GATCGAGTACGCTCAGCGTCTGCGGGTCCTCGCGGAGGAGCTGAAGGATGACCTCTGCATCATAATGCGGGCCTACCTCGAGAAGCCCCGGACCACGGTCGGCTGGAAGGGTCTGATCAACGACCCCGACGTCGACGACTCGTACAATATCAACAAGGGTGTCAAGATCGCCCGTCAGCTGCTCGCCGACATCACCGATCTCGGTGTCCCCGTCGCTTGCGAGATGCTGGACACCATCTCCCCCCAGTACACCGCCGACCTGATCAGTGTCGGTGCGGTGGGCGCGCGTACCACCGAGTCCCAGCTCCACCGTGAGCTGGCCTCCGGTCTGTCTTTCCCCGTCGGTTTCAAGAACGCTACAGACGGTTCCGTCGGCACCGCCGTCGACTCTCTCAAGTCGATGCGTGGCCGCCACCACTTCATGGGTACCACCAAGCAGGGACTCATTGCCATCACCACCACTAAGGGTAACGAGGACGGCTATGTCATCCACCGCGGTGGCAGCCGTGGCACCAACTTCGACGCCGACAGCGTCAAGGCCACCAAGGAGCTTCTCCGCTCGAAGGGTGAGCGTGACGTTCTCATGATCGATTGTTCTCACGGTATGTTCATTCCGAACCTTTTCTGCCCCCTTGCTACCGGCACGGCACGGAAAATGTTTCCGTCAGCGGCTGTGGCGATCTTTAGTGTCCCGGCGCTACCCAAAAGTCGGGAATTTCCAAAGACTAACGGGACGCGTAACTAGGGAACTCCTCGAAGAACCACCGTAACCAGCCCAAGGTGCTCAAGACCATTGAGGACCAGCTTCGTCAGGGTGAGGAAGGCATCATTGGAGTGATGGTCGAGTCCAACATCCGCGAGGGTAACCAGAAGGCCACCGCTCGTCTGGAGGGCTGCGAGAAGGGTGTCAGTATCACCGATGCTTGCATTGACTGGGAGACTACCGAGTCGTCGCTCCGTTCTCTGGCCGAATCGGTCCAGGCACGCCGCGCTCGTCTCTCGGCCGGCAAGCAATAAACGCTTGTTTTCTTTTGTCCTTTGTTTCGTGAATTGGCGCCGGTGTATTTCGGATTCCTATATCTTAGTATTAGTTAATAATAATCCTAAAGTCAATCATTCAATCATGGTGCAGAGTAATCTTTGGTCCTTTATGATGTATTACTTCAGCAATTTCCTGCACTGGGAGGGGGCAGCGTGTGCGTCCCTTGCGCGATATATATTTGAGACGGCCGGGTAGTTCCATTTCCGCCGGAAACACGCCGTCCTGCATAAGTTATGAAGGGGTAACCGCTTTTCCGCTCACCTAAGCACCAGATTTCCATGATTAATATTACGTTGCTTCTATGGTTCGCCTTCTTGGCAAGCAATTCTAGTAGAAAAGATTCGGTGCGTTGTTAACATTACTCTTTTGAATATATTAAATACCGACACAGTACCGATAAGCTTCTCACTTATGGAGACCCTGGTTTAGTTAGTTAAATGCATACCTAAGGATGAGGTCAGCATTATGCTGCGCCAACTTATAACTGCCGAATCTAAGATATTCACTGCCGACCCAAACTATATATTTGAACACAACGGCTTAAAAACCACTGTTCACTGCAGAAGAATCAAATTCTACCGATAATGCAAGATGAAGGATGATCAGAAACAAGATAGTGGACACGGCCAAGAAAAACGACCATATCACAGCGTCTCTAATTGCTCGTACAAGGTCTAAGCTCGCCCCTCGATACTCTCGGAAGTCCCCCTCTCCGAACAATGCCAATGCAAGCATAACTTAAGCTCTTACGATGGAGCCTAGCTGGCATAAACTTTGCTCCCTGCCTCCTCGATCTCAAACACAGGTTTGACGGTCCAGCCCGCAACTCTATCGGATACGATCAGCTGGGTTTCTTCCAGGTTCCCTGCCTCTCCTCCCCACCCGGGAGGGGTTCGTCCGGGATTCTGGAACGCACCTCGATCGATCGTGGTTTCGATCTAGCAAAACCGCAGGAACGAGATATTGTTGTTCACCTCGCCGTTGTTGACGGGATCGACGTCGCCGTCCTGAGTGACGGGGTCGGCGCGCTGGATCCGATTTTAGTTTTGTTTTGGTGGAGTGGGCTGGAGGACTGGCTTACCTTTTTGTTTTTCTGGTGACGAACGTGCCTTAGCAGGGACTCGAGCACTCACTTGATTGGAGGTGACTTACACACTGGGTTCGTTAGCATAACTGCAGACTGTACAGAGGGCGGGAACATACAAACTATATGAATTGGCAAGACAGTCACTTAGTGATCTCACTTCACTTCATCATCGGAATTACTTACGCTCTATCAACGAGTTAGTAATTGTAGTTCAAGTAGCAACAATATCACTCACCAACTATAATTCCAGAACAGACCGACTGTTAGACCCTATTCACACTTCATAGACCCTTGGGACCAGAGGCAATAAACTTACAAGCTGGTGTCTGTTAGCGCCATCTCCGACTAGTCTAATAAAGATAAGGCATACTTACGCTCTAGTTCCGAGCATTAGTGAGAAGATCCAGTTAATTCAATCGAGGTTAGCGAATAGGCGAAGTACTCACGACCTGACAAGTTCGGTTAGATTGGTGGGTTTGCAATATGTATGAAGGGAGTGGATTTGACTTACATTCTGAGTCTGACATTAGCACTGCACTGCTGCATTATTGCATTAACGGACCGAGGGAAACCAGAGGTGAGGCTTACATTCTGGATGGGGTTGGGGTTAGCGTTATCAGATCAGGTAGAAATCCAAGGACGGGTAGGGTATGTTTGGGACTCACGTTCTGATTGGAAAGCAAAAAGGGCTCGTTAGTGGAGTTCAAAGATCACTTGTGTCCATGCCATGTCAAAGTCAGGGTCTCACATACCACCTGTCAGATGTTAGTAAATTGATCAATGGAACTAGGGGTTGATGGTTTAACTTGCCGTCTATCAAGTAGACAGGCGCATTCTATGATTAGCATAATAGAGACAACCCTCGGTGGCAGTCAAATACTTACGCCCTGTCTGGGTCAGCATAACACCCCAAATGAGGATATGATATCATACATTCTACCAGACCAGACAAGTTAGCAATCGAACACCCAACCAGACAAGCCAAAACTTACATTCTGATAACCGAAACCAAGCCAGTCGGTCAGCAAACATGATTTCTTCTTGTCAACAGCACTATCCACAAGAATCATTCAACGTACTGACACCGGGTTAGCACTCCAGTCGTCAATAGTCTATGGGGTTAGGGACTCAGCACCTAGGGGCTGTGGTGATCACCACGTATCCAACACATTAGCACTATTGAATCCAGCACATCACCCCAGGTGGATAGTTCACGTACAGCCTGCAATCACACCGAGTCAGTATCGTCCCAACTAGACAGGAATTAACAGGCACAGCCGTGTTAGCCGTGCCGGAGGGAGAATCAACTCACCACATCACCAGTCTATTGAGGCAAGGATGAGCAATGTCAGCGCAGAATGGCACATCACGGAGCCTCGCGGCCCATCGTCCCAGCGTCCATACCTGAGTAAGTTGTTCCTTAGAGATGAGTGGGGAAGTCGGAAGGGAGAACAAAGGTGCTCCAAGACATCCGACTACCAGAGCCGCCGAGAAAGCAAGGAACCGCATATCGGGATTATGCAATAAGAATGAAGGACAAGAGTAAATGAATGTAAAAAGTGGGAATCGATCGAATCGATCTGTTCAGAGGCAAAAAAAAAAAATTGAAAAAAGAGGGGCTGTGAGTGGGAGTGTGAAGGAGAGGGAAAGAGAGGATATCGAGCAGAGAGGAAAAAGGAAGGCGAAAAAGGACAGATTCAGGGGAGAAAGCCAAAAAAATCTATTCTTTTCCACTCGTGGATCCATCCTGGCGACGATCCGCGAACCTTGGGATTAGAGGCAGTCTTGGCACAGACAGTGGGAACGTGGACGGAATGATCTGATTATGTTTAGTGTTTACGGTGTAAGGGTGTATCGCTGGTACGCGGGTTTAGTCGCGGTGCGGTAACGGAATACCACGATACGCGGTGGACATCCGATAATTCGGGATGCCCTCATCATTTCCCGTTCGGGTTAACCGTCTGGCTTCCGTGGTGGGTTCCTCCCAAACTCACGGGCTCAAGTCCCGGAAATATTTTGACATCATCATGACCCAATAGAAACATGATCCTGTAAACCTTCCAGCCGGCGGTTTTGAGTTTGATATATCACGGAGCGTGCCATGGTCGAAAATAACATTCCTTCGATATAGTAGCCGTTCTTGAGCGTTACCAACGGGTTCAAGTCAAGGAAACGGGAAAAAGAAAGCAAGATGCTGGAGGTCGAGATTTGTCACTTTCCCTGCCATGTCTCACCCAATTCGCCTGTGCGAGGGCGCGTAGACCCGCCGACGCATCTGCTAGGGCTGTAGATCTTAGAGCCTACGGGAAGGTGGAGACGCGCTCTAAGCGCAGAATCGTCGAAGAACCCTGGCAAAGCTGGCGTAGCTTGGCTCACGCCTGCTAAATCCAAGCTTGAACTGACTCGTACTTCAGGGGACAAAGGCCAGCTGTTCAGTGGATCCTGGCCAGAACCAAACCATGGCGCGTGTTCCGTCCCCGCCGGCTTCAAACTTGCCGGTGGAGTCGGCTTTTTGATTGTCTTAATCGAGTAATATCCACTAGGTTTATTTGTCTGGTACGATTCTCGCAAGACGGGTGTTTGGTGTTCCAAATTTCCCTTATATTGATCTATTTTTAAGACACCACATTGTATTGCCTCGAGTTAATTAATTTATCGCCATGAAGTATGAACTCCATCATTTGGAAATACTGCACCAGATCAACATTGTGATTGATAGCGTATAGCAATCGAATTTTGATGGAAGAAAAAGTCGTATATCTACACAAAACTCTAAATCTATAAATTTATTTACGCAAGAATGAAATCGCCCTCCACTCTTTTAGTGAAAACCAAACCAACCCGAATAATACACCCAGCCAACCAAAACGTCTAACCCCTCAAAAATGCCTCGCGTCCATACTTGGCCGCCAACACGGCAATCCCAACCCCCAGCCCGTAAACGGTGACACGCTGCAAGAACCTCCGCACAGAAGCCCAGATCACCATCTGCGCCTTCTTCTGGAAGATGGCACCCTCGTTGGCCCGCGGAAACGGGGTGTCGGGCACCGGCTTGCCCAGGAACTCGCACAGCGACGTCCAGCCTTCCTTGGGGTTCCATTCGAGGAGGTTCTCAGCGGGCACGACGCGACGCACGTGCTCGTAGTGCTCCAGGAAGGCCTTCTTGCCGTTGCGTTCGAAATCACCGCCGAAGAAGCTGTCGAATCCCAGCCGCACCATGCGGTTACCCAGCCCGAAGACATCCGGGTCGATCCAGCCGAGGAGGGTGGCCAGCGGGCTGTAGGTCTGGCTCATGATGGTCTTCTGCATGGACACGTACCAGTCGTCCACGTCGCGGAGCGTCAGCACCACCTTAGCGGAGGGGTAAGCGTTGGTTAGTTCCTCGACGAAAACGGCGCCGGGGAAGTCGGTGGTCGCTTCGACATGGCCGAGGAGTTGGTCCCATTCCTTCCGGGTGAAGGGCGTGCCGCCGTGGTATTTGCCGCGGAATGCATCAGCCCACATACTGGCGTCTTTGGGGTTCTGCATGATCGATGTCATGTGGTACGTGTCGTAGCCTAATTGCTGGAGAGCGAGCCATGTTGCTGCAATGCGTGCGATGGCCGTGTTAGCGGATTGGTTGTTTGGGTTGTGTTTTAGGAGAGGGGAAAAGGATTGAGGGTGAGGAGAAGGGAGGGCGAACTGACAGAGAGTTCCCGTCCTACAGAGACCCAAAACGAGGACTTGCATGGGTTTGACGCGGCTGCATTGTCGCCGGTTAATGTTCTGTGTTTGCGTGACTGTCTCGACGGCTTGCATGATGTTGGTTGTAGATCAGGTCTGGAGAAGATGGTCCAAGAGCTGAGATGTCAAAGCGCGCGCTGTCCTATTACTTATGATTTTGTTTACATTGATCATCTCTATATCCATTAAGATAACAATACCCACGCAGTCAACAGAATAAGATTGTGCCTGGCTTGGCACCCCTGCGTCGTGAAAATCTCTGCCATCGTGTTGACGGTACCACATGTCCGCGGGTACCCGGTCGGGGATATCGGCAATAAGTTGAGCAGAAGTAAGTTCGCCATAGAAAGAACTTGCACCCGCACTGCATAAGGAGAAGAAATTATAATGGACAGGGGTAAGGCCGTAAGACGCAAACTGCTGTTCGGTGTGCCTGGCCGTACCACAGTCCATTGCCGAAAACAAGTACCTTTGATCCCCTGGCCTGGTTGGCGCTTACTCATTGCTTCAATTGCTTGTCTTTGAATGGCCGGAACATCCAGGAAGTTCTGGGCCCTCGACCCGCTTTAATTCAATGAGAAGGAAGCGGGTCTTGAGGGAAAAGGTTCCGATCCAGATCCGAATTTTGTCCTGCGGGTTCCTGAGCTCATCCACGAAACATTTTTGGGACCTGCCGATTTTTTAGTAAGGTTACGATGTATCTTGATAAATACAAGACAGCTCAAAAATGATGCCAGCCAGACCTTGGTTTTGGACGAAACAATACTGACTGAGTGTTCCTACACCGTAGTGGTTGCATGCACGACGCCGCAGCACCTTTGCCGCTTTGCGTCAGCAGGAGCTGTGCGGTCAATGCCGATAGTTCGGCAATTAGCGTTCTTCTGCAGCAGGTTTCAAAAGAAAGACGGGGTCGAGGGTAAATTGCCTGAGAGCCAACCAATTGAGCCGCTGCACGCTAAAAGTGCCGATCTGCCCCATCCTGAAAGCTAATCTGATCGGGTATGAAACTCTGCGTATTACGGCGTCATGACGAGCAGCCCAGAACCGATACCGAACAGATACCCAGAACCTCGAGTTTTGATATCGTGACATGGTCAAAGATGGAGCCCAGCAAATCATACGGTTCCACCTTGGTCTAACACACTAAATAGCAAGCTGGGGGCATTTCCAATGTGAAATAGTTTATGGGGATACGTCCAGTGGTGTGGAAAACACACATCGTAGATCATTCGCCATCGATGGAGCAAATTTCCTTCCATCTTGACCCAGGACGATCCTAGGTACATGGAGGGTCGCGTCGGATTAATAGCTGAATCGGGGAATCGGGGTCTTAAGGAGGAACAAAATCGATTTGGTACCGAATTTCTAGGCGATCGGAAGAGTTAGCTAGCCTTGGGGGTTTCTGATCTGGATGTCAGCTATCCTTTTTTTCATCTGAATTAGAAAGCAGGGGAAAAGGTTTTTCTTCAGCTTTGACACTTTCTCGGCCTTAATGCCGCTTGCCTTCTCTATCCCTCCTTGCAAACACGTCGTTCCTTCTTTGTTCTTTGTAAAAACCCCCATATGTAATATTATTGAAGCCACTATACTTAATATTTTGTTTGATTTCAGCCTCTGTTGTATGAGTGATCGCAGTCATGTTGCAGGTCGTGTCTGATATTGATGCCGCTCCGTGTCATTTCCCTACAGAAAGTCTGGGGAATAATGATGTGCGAGGCTTCAAGTCGATCCCGGTCGCTCTAGACTCTCTCTCGACGACTGTTTCCAGCGACACCTTGCTGAGGGCTTGGGCTGTGGTCCTGCGCTATTATGCTGGCAGTGATATCATCTGCTTCGGCCGGGTCGACGACACCACCGACGCTTCGTTGCGGTTTGCTTTGTGCCATGGCGACATTCCCATCGACACGGCCCTTGAGGCAATTCAGCCTTCAGCGTCGGAGCTTGCGGGTGACTCGTCGACATCCGCGTCGCTTAAAGAATGGATGGAATCTAAAGCTTCCATCAATTCACTAGTGTGGAACTCCTTGGCTCAGGTATCCGAATCACATTTGCAAGATCTGCAATCCGCCCAGGTATGATGACATCCTCCTTTTCCCATGGTCTGATGTCAGGTCAATATATGCTTACAATGTTGCTTCCATCCCCAGTGTCCTCTTGCCATATTCTTCTCCTCTACCTCCGAACAACAGGTCACCTTGGCCTACGCATCACATACCATCGGCGAAACCATCGCTTCGTCTGTAGCAGAGGCATTGGCCCGTGTCGTGAACGCTATAATTGACGCACCTCAAACTCCTATTGGGGAGCTGGACCTCTTCGGCCCGTCCTCATGGAACCAGATCCATGAATGGAACAACACCGTCCCGGATATGTTTGAGGCATGCCTTCACGAGTTGATCGACGAGAGGGCAACCACCTGCCCCGACTCCACAGCCTTGGAATGCTGGGACGGTTCGGTCTCGTATGTGGACCTGGTAGACTATACTTCCCGGCTGGGTAATTTCCTTATCTCCCAGAATGTCGGGCCGGACGTCTTCGTTCCTGTCTGCTTCGACAAGTCCCTGTGGGCCGTAGTATCCATGCTGGGTGTACTCAAGGCGGGCGGAGCCTTCGTGTGTATCGACCCGGCACAGCCCATAGACCGACTGAGCACGATCATAGAAGAAGTAGATGCGAGAATCGCCTTGGCTGCACCCGAGCACTGCGGCAAGTTGTCCGAGGCTCTTCCCCAGGTCATCGCCGTTGACTCAGCCTTGATTCACCAGCTTCCTCCTTGCCCCGATCTACCTCGCCGTGCCTCGCCCCATGATGCCGCCTATGCCATCTTCACCTCCGGCAGTACTGGCAAGCCAAAGGGTATCGTGCAGGAACACCGAGCCGTTTGCTCCAGTGCGAAGGAACATGCCAGCCGCTTGAACATCAATCCCGAAACCCGGACGTTCCAGTTCGCCGCATACACCTTCATTGTCAACACCTTCGAGCTCTTCACCCCCTTGGTGGAGGGTGGCTGCGTGTGCGTGCCCTCGAAGGAGGATCGACTGGGTCGTACCACTGGAGCTATGCGCGACTTGCGCGCAAATTGGGCTTGTTTGACACCTTCTTTCCTCCGGTCCCTCAAGCCTGGCGACCTGCCCGATCTGAAGACCCTCTTGTTGGCTGGAGAGCCGGTCCAGCAGGACAACCTTGACACCTGGCGCAGCCGCGTGCAGATGCTGAACATGTACGGTGCCAGTGAGGCTTCCGTCTGTGTGACGGGGGATCTCTCGGGCCCCGTTGGGCGATCGACCATCGGCCGAGGTGTCGGCGTCTGCACCTGGGTTACTGACGTTTCAGACCACGACCGCCTGGCCCCTATCGGTGCGATTGGTGAATTGGTCGTGGAAGGGCCTGTTCTCGCGCGTGAATATATTCATCTACCGGACAAGACTGCCGCTGCTTTCATCGCGAATACTCCGTGGTTAAAGAACATTCGCGGTGAGGAGCCCCTGTATCGAGCTTACAAGACTGGTGACCTGGTCCGATATGGATCCGACGGCCGAATCAACCTGGTTGGCCGCAAGGACATGCAGGTCAAACTGCGCGGCCAGCGTATCGAACTGGAGGAGGTTGAGTTCCATCTGCGCCAGGCTCTTCCCCGAGGTCTCGAGATCTCGGTGGGCTTGGTCAGGCCTAGTGATCAGCCTGACCGGCCGTTCCTTGCTGCGTTTGTTGCTCTGAGCAAGGGATTCGCTGACGGTTTCAACCTGATTGACCAGGAGTCTGCCGAGAAAATCGATTCGCTGACGGCGGACTGGAAGGCTCTCGCCGCCCAGGCCCTCCCAGGATACATGATCCCGTCAACTCTCGTTAAGCTGAAGCACATGCCGCTCACGGCGTCGGGCAAGACGAACCGAAAGTCCCTCACGGATTTTGCCTCGCAGCTTACCCTCGCAGCTCTAACGGGTGCCACCAAGGGCGAACGCAAGGAGCCTGCGACGACAACAGGAAAGGAACTCCGCAAGATGTGGGCTGGGGTACTGGAGATCTCAGAGGAGACAATCTCCGCTGATGACAGCTTCCTGCAGCTCGGCGGTAACTCCATCGACGCCATGAAGCTGGTTAACGTGGCTCGAGACGGAGGCATCGGGCTGAGCGTGGCGGGAATCTTCACGCACCCGACGCTGGACAAGATGGCCGAGGCCTCTTCCACGATGGAGCAGCTAGCCTTTGAGGATGTTCCGTTCTCACTGCTTCCAGAGGGATCCAATGACGAGGAGCTAGTTGGTCTGGCTGCGAACCAGTGCGGCGTCGACAAGTCGGCCATCGAAGACCTTTACCCCTGCACGGCCCTGCAGGCCGGATTGCTTGCCCTGTCAGACAGCCGGGACGGTGCGTACGTTGCACAGCATTCCTTAAAGCTTCCCGCCGCCAGTGTGGACCTAGACAAGTTCAAGCAAGCGTGCCAACAGGTGGTGACGGCGCACCCTATCCTTAGAACTCGCATAATCTACCCTCCTGAGTTCACCGCGCTGCAGGCCGTCCTCCTGGGCGACATCGACTGGCGGTCGGCCGAGACCCTCGAGGAATACCTTCAAACCGACAAACAGCAGCCCATGAAGGCGGGCGATGCTCTCACGCGGTACGGCCTCGTTCCTGACAGCGATGGCTGGACTTTTGTGTGGACGGTGCACCATGCGGTCTACGACGCGTGGACGCTGGAACTGGTCTTCGACCGCATCGACAAGGCCTACAAGGGCCAGGCACCTGAGAAGGACACCACCTTCAAGCAGTTCATGAGCTACGTGGTCAACACCGACGAGCAGGCTGCGGACGAGTTCTGGAGGCAGTACCTGAAGGGAGCCGTCCGCACCGAATTCCCTTGCGTGGTCTCGACCGCGAAACAGCCCGTTGCCGACGCCTCCCTGCACCGTGAGATGAAGCTCAACCGGCCAGAGCAACTGTCCGGCATCACCATGCCTTCTATAATCCGCGCGGCCTGGGGAATGATCGTCGGATCCCACTCAGAGTCCGACGATGTCGTCTTCGGCGGCATCGTCTCTGGGCGTAATGCGCCTGTCCCTGATGCGGACCGTCTTGTGGGACCGGGCATTGCTGCCTTGCCCGTACGAGTGAAGGTTCCCGAATCTGAGTCTTTGACCGTCTTCGACTTTGTTCGTAGCGTGCAGTCGGAGGCCACGGCAATGATCGAGTTCGAACAGACCGGTCTGCAAAACATTAGCCGTCTCAGCACCGACGCCAACTCCGCCTGCGACTTCCAGACCCTGCTGGTCGTGCAGCCGGCGAAGGAGAAGGCGGCCGTCCTTGAGGAACCGGACCTGCGCAACGTGTCCGAGGCCAACGCCAACTTCGGTACCTACGCCCTCACATTGGAGTGCAGTCTCAAGGCCGATGGGGTCTCCTGTGCCGCTCACTACGACTCCGATCTCATTTCTGAAGACTATGTCGAGCGTGTTCTTGGACAACTTGGGCATCTTCTATATCAGATGTGCTCCTCCTCTGGCGACAAGAAGATGAGTGACCTCGTCCTCCTTGGTCCTCAGGATTTAGCCAACATCCGCGAGTGGAACCAGGAAATTCCAGGTCGGATAGACAGAACCATTCACGACCTCATTGGAGATCGCATCGCTGAGCGCCCTGATCACGAGGCGGTTTGCTCCTGGGATGGCTCCTTCACGTATTCTGAGCTCGACCAGCATTCGGCTCGTCTGGCGCGTCGTCTCGCGCAGTCCAGCGTCGGCCCCGAGACTTTTGTTCCTTGCTGCTTCGAGAAAAGCCGATGGGCGCCGGTGGCTATGCTGGCCGTGCTACGGGCCGGCGGTGCCTTCCTGAACATCGATCCATCGCAGCCACCGAACCGCATCCAGCTTATGATCCAGAAGCTGAAAGCTAAGACCATCGTCTGCTCGCCCCGGCAATATGAGCTCTGCGCATCCTTGGGTGACTACGACGTCGTGGTCCTCGACGAGCAATCTCCAGATGCAGCTATCCCGGAGACCGTCCCCGTTAACGCTGTTGGTCCCGAGAACGCTGCATACGTTATCTTCACTTCTGGAAGTACGGGAGAGCCCAAGGGAACGATCATCCAGCACGGATCATACTGCTCTGGGTCAACCACTCACGCACCAGCGATGCTGATGGATCGTGACACGCGCGCCCTGCAGTTTGCCTCATTCACTTTCGATGCAAGTCTGGTCGAAATTCTCACCGTGCTTATCATCGGTGGTACGGTCTGCTTCGCATCAGAGGAACAGCGCAAGCGCGATGTTACGGAGGCCGTTCGCAATCTTAACGCAAACTGGGCCGCCCTGACGCCGTCTTTCGTCAATTTGATCAACCCCGACGACGTCCCTGGACTCAAGGTACTGATCCTGGCGGGTGAGGCTATGTCGCAGTCCCACCTGGAAACCTGGGCCCACCGTGTGCGACTCGTGAACGGATACGGGCCCAGTGAGTGCTGCGTGGCCAGTACATCCAATTGGGATCTAACGATCAACTCAAGCCCGCGCAACGTCGGCCGCGCCTGCTCAGGTGCGTCGTGGGTCGTCATGCCTAACAACCACCACCGACTGGTCCCCGTGGGCAGCGTCGGAGAGCTGGTCATGGAGGGATGGAACGTCGGTCGGGGCTATCTGGACGAGCCCGAGAAGACGCAGGCCGCGTTCGTCGAGAACCCCAGGTGGCTCGACCCCACCGATGACACCCGGCCACCGATGGTCTACAAGACCGGTGATCTGGTCCGTTACAACCCGGATGGCACCCTGCGATTCGAACGCCGCAAGGACACGCAAGTCAAGCTGCGCGGTCAGCGTGTAGAGCTGGGTGAGATCGAATACCGGATCAAGCAGAGCCTGCCCAACAAGCCCGATGCCGTCGTCGACATTGTTTGTGCTAAGGATGCCGTCGATCAGCCTCGCCTGGTTGCTTTCCTCCCCGTTTCTCGCGAGGACGCCATGGAAACCCTCGTCGATGTGGACGCGATCATTCCGCCACCGGACGAGCACCACGTCGCCGCGCTTTCCGGTCTGGAGGACCGCATGGCCGATTTCTTGCCGATGCACATGATCCCCAACACCTATCTGCCCGTGTACTACATTCCCAAGTTGCCCTCTGGCAAGGCGGATCGCAAGACCCTAAAACGTGTGGGTGGCCAGCTGACCCACCGAGAGATGGCCCAATATTCCGGCACCACGGAGGAGGCCCGTCCACCGACCACGGAGATGCAGCTCACTCTGCAACAGCTGTGGGGTGAGTGTCTTAAGATGTCCGCGGCCCAGATCAGTCTCAACGACAACTTCATCCGACTGGGCGGAGACTCCATCACCGCCATGCGGCTCGCCTCCGCCGCGCGGTCGCGGGACATCCCTCTCTCCACGGCCTCTGTCTTCCAGCACCCTACTCTGGAGGCGATGAGCGCCGTCGCCGAGACCCTGACGCAGCAGAAGCTGCCCCAGACATTCGAGCCCTTCTCCAGCGTGAAGTCCATTCCCAAGGACAAGTTGCTGGACGACATCGTCCTGCCCCAGGTCGGAGTGCCGGCATTCCAGGTGGAGGACGTCGTGGAGGCGACGGACTTCCAGACGCTCGCTATCAATGGCGGTCTGAACCAGACCCGCGGCTGGAGCAACTATCTGGTGTTTGACTTCAACGGTCCCGTCGACCTGCGCCGACTGCAGAATGCCTGCGATAAACTGGTGGCGCAGCATGCGGTTCTCCGCACCGTCTTCGTCACCACCGGATTCCAGCTGCTGCAGGTCATTCTGCGGTCGTGCACACCCGAGGTCACCTTCCACATTCAAGACGATCAGGATCCCTCGGAAGCGCTGGTGCGAGAGGACCTTGCCCGTACGCCTCGCCTGGGCGAGCCCATCGTGCGGTTCATGGTCGTCAAGAACGGCGCCGTCAAACACCGCGTTATCATGCGCGTTTCTCACGCCCAGTACGACGGCTCGTCGATGCCGCTGCTGATGCAGGACCTCGGCGCTGCGTACAAGGGTGATGAGCTCACGCCGCGACCGCAGTTCTCGGACTTTGTGCGCATGCAGCTGCACACCAGCGACGGGGCCGAGTCCTTCTACAAGGAAATGCTGGCCGGGTCAAGCATGACACAGCTGGTCTCGCACTCCAAGATGTCGACCACCAACGTTCTGAACACCATGATTGTCGAGATGGTGCCGCTGATAGCCTTCAAGGAGCACGGCATCACCTCGGCGACCGTGGTCAAGGCTGCCTGGGCAATGACTCTCGCGGAGATGGCCTGTACGTCGGACGTGGTGTACGGCCACATGGTGTCGGGCCGCAACCTGCCGCTAAATGGCGTCGAGTCTGTCATGGGTCCCTGTCTTAACATCGTCCCTGTGCGGGCCAACATGGAGACCATGGCGACCGTGCAGGAGCTGCTGCAGTTGATCCAGCAGCAGCAGACCGACACCATCCCACACGAGAGTCTCGGCTTCCGACAGATCATTGATCAGTGCACCAACTGGTCCAAGGAGACTCGCTTCAGCACCGTGTTCCAATACCAGGAGTTCGGCGGCGAAGACGTGACTCAGCCCATCACCATGGAAGGCAAGACCACAGTGGTGCCTGGATTTATCTGCCCTTCGCCAGATGCCTGCGACATGTCAATCCTGGCCACACCGGTAGGCGAGCAGGTGCGGATTGAAATGATTTTCTCGACTCACGCTATGTCTCGATCGTTCGCGGATGCCACGCTGCAGAAGCTGTCGGCGCGAATCAAGGAGATTGCCCGCACGGGCGTCGAGGGAAGAATGCCATCATTTGTCGGCGAACCTCAGATTCCTTTGCCGGAGCCTGGCCGTCGCATGACCAACGGAGTCAATGGAATGGTTGGACAGATTGTCAACGGCATCAACGCGCAGAATGGAGTGAATGGCGTCAGTAATGGAGTGAACGGAGTCCACGAGGAAAGCGCGCCTGAGGAATCGTATCACGTGAACTTGCTGGCCTCGGTGCCCCTCTAAAAGTATACCTATTCCTCAGTTTTAGTGATTTGATTTTTTTTTACCGGAGTTATGGTCGTGTACATAATCATCTATATTACCTTCTCTCTAATTCTTCTCAAGAAACAAGTCCTTCGTTATGTTGAACACCAGTAACTTATCGTGATCATATATTTCCTTGAGCGGCCTTGGGCAACATCTGATATCAAGCGTTCATAAATTCGAATTGCTTTCATTCTTAAGCTTGCCGCTCTTAAGGATACATTAACTGAATTCGCAGTCCAGAAATTTAGTCCTTGATTGGGGCTCTGCAGTCTGCAGCCTGTGAACCGAATCCCGACGCGACGAAACCATGGCAGTATGTCGTTTCTTACCTGCAGAAAATGAGTTCAAAAAGTTCCCTTTCTACTCCCTTATCCACCTCCAGAGTGATCGGAGGCTCACGGTGCCATGTATTGAGTGAAGCACCTGAGGTAACTCCTTCAGATGCTGAGCCCACGGGTCGTTAAACCAAGGGCAAACCAAAAACAGATATGATCGGCCTGGTTGCAACAAGGCCAATCCGCGTCAAGACCATGTGCCCTTCGTCTGCTTTGGACTTATCTTGGAGAACTTGTAGCGTAGCTTTCGCGACCGATCTCCTTCAGGTTGAATGATGTCTGGATGTCATACTTTATAGTGACTGTCGTAGTCTTGCACTAGCCACTAATCATTCGTTGCGGGTGTTCGGCAGTTCCGTGGTCTGACAAAGAACCGAATCCTCGATCATAACATGGCGCACAAGTGAGATCCGAAGTCACCAACGAGTATGGCCCTCTGGCGCAAAGTTCGAGATCCGCTAGATTGCCGCACAGCAACGGGTCGGTCATATGAGCGCCGTATAATGGAGGAGAGTCGTAGTCGTACGAAAATTCTTCGATCTCAAAACCGTGAGCCAGACCATCTGGCGTAACAGACTGTGGCAAGATTACGATGTTGAAAGGGAGAGCTCCGCTTATCTAATATACGTGAGTAAGAAATCCAACAGGTTGTTAAGGCTAAAAGCTTACTGTCGATAAATTTCCCTTCGCATTGACAAGCTCGACTGTAAAGACCAATTCATGATGAACCTGGATATTATTCGACCTGACGCGCTGTGTGCATTTCTCCAAGCTCTTCGGTAAAGCGACCGCTTTGGTCGTACTCCATTCGATGTCGAACATCTCGGATGCGGGGACTAAATAGTCTTCCTCTTGTTCATCATGCCGCTCACTAAGGACGATATGATCTTTTGCCGAGGTCAGATACCGCACGCCGTATCGAGTCGCGTATGCTGCAGGCGCATCGATCTTGGTAGAATGTTTTTCCACCACCGCCATCTTGATCGCTTTCATCCGAAGGCCCTTATCTAAAGGCGCCATCCAGAAATTCACCGGGAATGTGGAACCGAATGGGATCTTCTTGTGTGGAATCGACACGCTGTAGGGGATAGTCGGATCGGCAAGGTCTTCGGTGATCTACAACATCGTCAGTCCATGTCCACGGCATAGCGACGCAGGTGACGAACGATTGAGTCAGAGAGCAAAACATCACATCTGTCCCTGACAGTAGGTCTGTATATCATTAAGGGTTGAGAAACCACGTGGTTGCGATATAGTTTCCGCTCGACTATTGCGTATACTTGGTAGGAGTGGTAAGAGTGACCCGGACCTGTGATTGTGTCGTGCATGTTTGGGTCTAGCGGAACGTCGAATGGAAATTCGTATTGCCCTGCCGGCAGGGTGAAGGACGCCAATTTCTTCGATGCAGCCAGTCTCTGGCTCCGTACAAAGGTGATTTCTTCATGGCACGTTGAGGAAAAAAGGCCTTCTTGAAATGGTCTGGTGATATTAGCGCAGGCCTTGACAAAACTCGGGTCGAGCTAACAGGTTCGTTTGTCCTTTGATCTGAACGGAAATGCCTCGAATTGCGGTGTTACTGGAAATCGATAGATAGAGTACGCCGGATATCGAGGGTTTTGCCTCGGCCTGATATGTTGACGGGAGAAAAATGCACGGTTGGTCCAGCCTATAGAGATTCATTTAATTAGCCTAAGCAAGTTCGGGCTTCGTATGACTTGATTAGTACTTACCGGAGGTTGCAGCAGATACTGCCAGAGCTGCTGCTAAACACCATGTCTCAAATAGGTGTGGAGGTAGCTGGAGAGGAAAGGAGTTCTCATCTACCTGACTTTTATAGTCAGATACGAAGCGGTGCAAGATTACTCTTTCGAGTCTAGCGCATTCGGAAACCTACTTAATTAGGACATCCCGACATTGTCAGTCCAGAACCGCTGCCCGTCTTGCCGCATCGGGGACAATCTTCCGCCAGTCAGCCTCAGGAATCCAACGTCATGCCATCGGTGTAGTCACTGCTCCGTTATTCACCTTCCCTTCACTCCTTGTGGCGAACTCGCACAAGCTTAACATAACAGCTTTCACTCAACAAGTTCCCTTATCCATTGAAAGCTCCATGATCGAGGCACCACATACCGCCCGGTGATCAAAACTAACGCAGAGTGCCCACTTCCGAGCTGTACAAACAGCACCTGCCAGGTCAATCGGTCCCCTCAAGTTAAGGCAAGGGCATATACGCTCGATCAGGTGTCATTACAGGCTGAACAATTCAATCGGGCTTTGTGTTTCCGATCCCTTGCCCATTCCTACCCGCCGATCCCATGGAGGTGAAATTCCATATCAGCCAAGACGGTCGGGTTCCGAAGCGGAAATATGCCAAGGCCGCTTGTGATGCATGCCGTCGGAGAAAGGTATGCTGGCTGGTTTTTCAGAAGGATTATCGCTAACGCTACTCAGAAAAAGTGCTGCCATGAAAAGAAAAAACGTTCACCAGCCACTCCGTCAGTAAATTTGGAAGACAACGATGCTAGCTACAGCTTACAGCCATCAACTCGGGCCCCGGTCTCTACCGAGGAACCGCAGCGTCAAACACAGGCGCCTCGATTTCCTGTAGAACAAAGGCAAAGTAGCCAGCCGGAGTGCTCGTCAAGGCTACTCCAAGCTGACCGTTTTATCGGTGATTTGAACCCTGTTGTCTTCTTTGTTGATGACACAAACACGCGACTCATGGGCGGACGAGCTCACCAAAAAGATGTAGGAGTATGGCTGGATAGGGACAATGACCTGGTCTCAGGCGGAGAACCTCATGCGGAAAATCTGTCGTCGGAGAGCTCAAGCCACCACACGAGGGGCCAACGAGGTAATACACGGCGGGCCGTTCTACTGCCTCCGCGTCAGAGCCAGGAGGCATTGGTCGATATCTATCTCCGCCGCATTTACCCCATACTCCCATTAATCGATGAACATGACTTTCAACAGCAGTTTAAAGAAGGCTGCGCTTCCCCTTACCTCATTCAGGTTATATGCCTAGCAGCCTCCAAAGATCATGAAGCGGAGCCTTACCTCCGTCTTGCAAACACCGACATACTGTCCCGTGGCGAATTTGGCAACTTACTCTACGACGAGTTAAGTCAAGTGATTGCCTTGAGGCTGGAGAGGAAAAGAACCACGCTAATCCAGATCCTTGCATTGCTTTCTCTTCATGTTCCGGGATCCAGGAGCTTCGAGGATTCTTCGTTATACCTGGCCCAAGCCATTCACCACGCACAGTCCATGGGAATCCACATGACGAGAGGGCCAGCGCAGGAAAGGAAACCCGCAATCGCGCTATTTTGGTCTCTGTGGGCTCTCGACCGATACACCGCTGCCATACAGGGCAGGCCGCTAGTCATTCATGACAGGGACTTAGGCCAGCGGTTGGCAGACGTGATCGCGCTTTTTGAGGCGCCTTTCCGCGTCTTCCTATCTCTGGCGTCAGTCCTTGCCGATGTTTTCGTCGTCTATCGGCCGGCTTTAGAGGCCCCGATCGATTCCGATAAGCCAGAAATCCCGCGATTCGAGGATATAATTGATAGATGTGGCGCCTGGAACATTCCACCAGATACCATATGTGAGTGATCTTTTGGACTCGGATAGATGAATCCTTCTAAGTTACCAGTGTCTCTAGAGTTTGTATATCTCGCAATCGCGCTTCTATCCTCGCGGCCATGGGTTCTCAAGGATCAACCCAAATCAAATAGTTTGTATGTTAGGCAGGATTTGGCTGTCTATCGGATGGTTTCCTTGATTCAAATTTGCGACTCCGCGCAGCTTCTACCACTCCCAATTGTCTCTTACGCCATATCTTTAGGCTTCTGCGTTGCGTACAAACAAATCAAACGATGCCAGCTTCTCAGCACCCAGTTAACTGCGAAGCAACACCTGCAGGCTTTGTACAAGAGCCTTGAAGCATTATCACCAACATGGTGGTCAGCTCAGGCCATGACCCAACTCGGCCGGCGCGCATTGAGTGAGGTTCAACGCACCACTGAAAAGATAAATGAACTGCCTGGCAGGAACCGACCGTCTGATCCAGTACCATTAGCAGAGTATATCAACACCCCCGTGCCTCCTGGCTCACCAGCATCAGACCCTGTAACCGGGATGGTTGCAAGAACTGAACAAGCAGTTGATCTTGCAGATATGGAAGATGATGCGTTCAGCTACTTTTCAGGAAACACTTCTCTTGATATCGACAGTCTCCTCGGGAATCTCCTTAATATCACGGTCCCGACATGTCCAACAAATCCGTCATTTACCGATTTTGATCTAAGTTGGGATGACCAGTCTGGATATGCTAGCTTCTACTAAGGTGTGCTAGGGTTCAAGAGTCAATTTTCCAAGTTCCGAGAAAAGTGCTTAGCCTAACTGCTTTTTTCAATGAACCAATTCATTTCCATCGGTTCATATGTGATTAAGGAACTATTCTGCAATAGCATAAACATGAGTATCCGTTTACGTAGTTACGGATTCGTTACTCAATAGCATAAACATCCATAGCATTAATTTTTGAGTCATCTCATTATGGGTACCATTCTATATCTTCCATGTGTTCGTTTCCAAATCCCTCTAAGCCCTGAAACACCAACCTCTATGGTAGGCCCAGTTCTAAATGTCATTGCCATCATAACTCCTTCCCAATCAATAGTCCTCCTCCGATCCATCATCACTGAACGCCGCCTCGTCCAGCAGATCATCTTCGCCATCATCCTCATCCGCCCACTCCTCATCGTCGAAATCGTCGCCCGACTCGTCGTCCAGCATCGCATCGTACATCTCACTCATTAACGCCTTGACCGCCTCTTCCTGCCCCTCAGACAACTGCATCAGGTCCTGCAGCCGCTGCTTCGGCTTCCACTGCTCGGCATCGAAGTCGTCCGTGTCAAAAAAGGCCTCGGGCAGATGCGTCCCGAAAAAAGCCAACACCATCGCCGGCACGCCCATCACGTACTCCGCCGACAGCGAGATGCTCGCCTCGTCGTGGTCCAGTCGCTTCGCCAAGCTCGAAGTATCGCGCGCGCGGATCAACTCCACGATATCGGACCCAGGAATCTCAACCGTCTCTCCCGCCTGACCGTTGGCACACGCCTTGATCAACGCCAGCGTCTCATCCCAGTCCAGGGTGTGTCGCTCCGTGAGCAGCGCCAGCAGCAAATACGTCGGGCACTCGTTGTGCGCATTCTCGCCGTTCAGCACGCGCGCATAGGCATCGCTCTCCGCCTCCAGTCGACCCTGGAACGGCTTCCAGAACGCCCGGTGCCACGGGTCCGCGGTGTTCGCAGACCCAGGGCCCTCGGTTTTCTCCTTGCCCGCGAGCGCCTGCGGCGGAAGATACTTCTCGTAGCGGGTGAAGTTCCACATGTTCCAGAGGTTGTCGACTTCCTCGCCCATCTTAGTCTTGGTGGCGAGGTCGAAAGAGAGCTTAGCCGACTCGGTGCCGTCGGTCTGAGGCAGGAGCTTAGCCTCGTACCCTGAGATGGTCTCCTGCAGGGACTTTTTGCCCGCTTCGGAGCTGTCGCCCTCAGCAAGGATCTCGCATGCTTCGCGGTACGTGACGAGCGCCTCGTGCTCGGCCTCCGTGACGTTGCAGTGTGGGTGCGTCAGCAGGGCGTCCACGAAGGCGATGCGCTCCTTGGTTTCTTTGCTAGAGGCTTGCGAGATGTCCTTGAATGGCCGCGGAGGGGCCAGATATCGTAGGGGGTCCATTGTGAGGTATAGTCGTGAAATATGTATGTATTGGGTTTTGTTTGTTTTGATTCTACCTTTTCTTCTTTTTCATTTTTTCCAGGGGTCGCGATAAGAAAAAATTTGATCGTGTCCCGCCACTTTTATTGTGGGTCGGCCGAAGTCTTGTCGGGGGATCGGCACTGTCGTTCTTCTGGTCCAAGGTGGATATCTTGACGGGGCAATGTAAATGTGCAAGGGTTGATGTTGTTTTCTTGTGAGATGGTGTGAGATGAATGAGTGGGGAGGACATGCAAGGATGTGTCTGTAGTGCTACTTGCTGCCGTTTCATCTTGTTTGCTCATCCCGGTTCAGTGTACGAGGCCTGTAAGTGGTTGTGAACACCTAAAATTGGTAGTATTCAGGTATTCTCTTCCTATATGATAATCAATCATAACAATTCTGTCTTCCACCCAGTCTCTAACTTGAGTAACGCTCTGCGACAAGTCCTGTACTCCTTCATATCCCCAGTCCCCACACTCGACTCGACACCTCGAAAAGATACGAGAAGCGACGATCAACGCATCTATTTTCCCTGGTCTCAAATTCCAGCATTAGTCCCCGTCTGAAACACCCAGCCCTGAGTCTATTTCCCGATCGAACATGAAACCAGCCAAGCGATGCCTTACATTGCATTCCGCCAGGGATGGAAGGCATTCCGCAACGTGACGGGACAGGCGGGGGATGGATATAAAGTCTTCCTGCCACCTGTAAAACTTCATTGCAAATACCTTTGACTCTAAGATTTTTGGTTGAACACGACCTTTGAGTGAAACAATGCTTTGCATTCCTGCCCTCCTGATCAGCATGCTCTGCTTGGCGGTTGCCGCCCAGAGCCAAGACTTCTGCATCGACGTTTGTCGAGAAGAGAGGCCTGTTTGTCCTTCTGGGCAGGTGAGTATTCTGTCTTTGGAGGGTATTTGTAAAGGAAGGTCAAAGCATTAGAGCTAACCAAAAGGCAGACTGCCTCAGGGCAACCGGTAAGTTGACGATGAAATTGGTCTTGGCAAGGATCATAATAACCGTTCTGTGTAGGGCTGCTGGGGATGCTGTCGGTCGCTGGAAGAGACGGATGGGCATATTTCGGCTCGAACATAAAGCTTCTTTTCTCTCTATTTCTTCCATATTCCACATCGTTTGCGAAAACCGTTGCCGGATACTTGCGTTGTATGTACTTTGGTTGCGGCGCAGTTGGAAAATATATTCAGTTGATAGGATTTGTACCACCACACCACGCATGTCGACAGAACCAAGTAGAACATGGGATTTTTTTTTTTCTCTAGACCAGAAACTATAAACTGAACTCCGACACACGAACAGAAGTACCACAGTCAGAGCACGAAGACAGAAAGCCCCCTCGAGGCTGTGCTGCCTGCAACTGCGGCAACGAGACCAACGTTACCTTGAGCGCTTACCAGCATCAATTAAGAGCCAGTGAATGTAATGCCACCAAGAAATCTCCGTGGCCGACTGGTTACTCCTGACCAGGTTATGAAGTACTCGATTTATCACTGACAGCGGCGTAGTCATTTACTCTGCACCACCAGAAATATAAAAATGCAGGGGTCCTCGGCACCCATCACCAGGGCCTTTTCATCCTCTCAAATCTCCCAGACATCAAACACCTACACTCAAGATAACTTCTCCCGTCAACATGTCAATCATCCACACCCTCCTCCCCTGCTTCAGCGCCCGTCGCAAGTCCACCACAGCCAGCTACGCCAGCAACCCTCCCAAAGAACCCTTCACCCTAGCCACCCAAGCAACCACCATCCTCCTCACCACCGAAGACCCCAATCTTATTCGCAAGCAACTCTCGGATCTGATCACTACCCCCGGCTGGACCGAGGCCCTCGCCCAAAGCATTCTACACGCCGTCGAAGATGCCATCAAGGGCGCCGCAAAGATGGCCCAGCCGGCTGCCGACGCACTCACCCGAGCAATGCACGAGGCCTACGACTTCGTGCATGACCACCCGGTCTATACGACGATTCTGGCGCTTGGGGTATTGGTTATCCTGGCGCCGTGGGTACTGGAGGTGCTGGGGTTTGCGGAGTTGGGGCTCCTGGAAGGCAGTTTTGCCGCTTGGTGGCAGAGAATGTATGCGGGGTATGTGTCGAAGGGGTCGCTGCTTTCGTTTTTGCAGCGGTTGGGGATGATCTGGAGGGTTTAGGCGGAGGTTTGTACAGTACTCAGTTTGGTGGGTTGGATGGGATGAACTTCATACTACTGGATTAGGCAGGCTGGGGAAGACCTAGAGATATGTTATTATTTTATTAGGGTAACCCTCAACAATTGGCCGGTTGGTGTAGTTGGTTATCACGTATCGTTAACACCGATAAGGTCCTGGGATCGAGCCCCAGACTGGTCAATCTTTTTGTTTAGCTTTAGCTGTAGCAGAGTGGGTGGGTCCTTTGCCCTGCTCTGTACAACAAGGTCTATACCGTAGAGATCCGAAGGCATGATCCCGTTCCAAGCCAGTCTCAACTGGCAGCCACCGTCCCCGACAGCCTGCCTGCTCAGTAAATACCTACCTGTGTAATATGGCGATTACTAGGTACTGTATACGGCCCATCTTCAGTACTCAGTACCTTCATTCATCTCCAGAAAACTCCTGCAGTAACTATACTAAGATCAGCAGGGAAGTATATCTCAATCCTCAATCTATCAGCCTCTCACCAGCAATATCTGCTCAGAATTTAGTCAACGTTGTATGACTCCACGTTCATACTTGACCTTGCGAGGAACATTCGTATATAATCCGCTACAGCAATTCATAATCTTGCGAGATAGCCACCCCGTTGGACGATGTACGGTATTCCTGATCGGGAGAGGCAAGTCTGAGTCATCCTCCATCAATCCATCACGTGTTGCAGCATATGTCCTCCTGTCCTCTCGAAGTCTCCAAACTTCCATCCGTCAAGATCCTCACGCTGCAACTACCGATCTGATCAGCCAACACTCGTACGATCTATACCTCAATACCATACCAAGGAGATCCTCGGCCAGCAGGTCGGCTTGCCGAACTCGTAGCCGAACGGATAAACGGGATTCTTAGTGCGATCCACAGCGGAGCGACGGGTTGGCCTCCATGCGAATCACAGCCAATGGGTGGCGTCGTGGTCTGATCCCTCTCCAGGCTTTCTCTGTCATCATTACACAAACGTCTGAGTTGCTTCGACAAATTTTTCGGTCGCAGGGGCCAATCTGACCAGATGGATTCGATTAAAACCGAAGCCTGTCGCCATCGCCTGGCGCAGACCCAACTGGCAATGTCCTGCTTGACTCTTGCACCAACTCCAACACCTCGTGGGAATGGCGTCCAGAGATGCGGCCGCTGAAGCTCCTCGCGCCCACCGAATCCCCCACTGGCGTCTCCTCCTCGACCAGGGCGTTGTGACCTCCGAAATTATCGAGTATCCCTACGTGGGCGCCGGCACCAATGATGACCCGTTTATCGTGGAATGGATCCCCAACGACCCGCGCAACCCTATGCTCTTCGACAAGAACCTGAAATGGGCCTACACCATCACTGTCGCCTTTGCCACTTTCGGCGTCTCCCTCGCGTCTTCTGCGTATGCCGGCAGCATCGAGGAGGTCCTCAAGTCTTTCGGTATCGGCCAGGAGCTGGCCACGCTGGGCGTGTCCCTGTTCGTGCTGGGCTTTGCCGTCGGGCCGCTGGTCTGGGCGCCGCTGAGTGAGCTCATCGGGCGGCAGATCATCATGTTCATTTCGTACTTTGCCCTGGCGGCTTTCTGCGCGGGGGCCGCCGGTGCGCAAAACAGCTGGTCGTTGATCATCCTGCGCTTCTTTGCGGGGTCTTTTGGCTCGTCGCCCCTGACCAATGCAGGTGGCGTCATTGCCGATATCTTCCCGGCTGATCAGCGCGGTTTAGCAACCAGCCTGTTCGCCGGCGCTCCTTTCCTCGGTACGCTTTCCCACTGTATAGTCTACAATATTCAACCGCATACTGACTTACCACAGGACCAACCCTCGGTCCCGTCATCGGCGGATTCCTCGGCGAAAACGCCGGCTGGCGCTGGGTGCAAGGCTTCCTGGCGACCTTCACCGGGCTCATCTGGATCGTGACCATCTTCCTCGTCCCCGAAACCTACGCGCCCGTCCTCCTGCGCAAACGCGCCGATAAACTCACTCAACTCAGCGGCGGCCAGCACATCTACCGCAGCAAGCTGGATCTCGAGCGCGGCCGCGTCTCCGTCGCCACGGCCTTCGGCTCCTCCCTCCTCCGCCCCTGGATCCTCCTCTTCGCCGAGCCCATCGTCCTGCTGCTCTCCATCTACATGGCCATCATCTATGGCACGCTCTACATGCTCTTCGACGCCTTCCCTATCGTCTTCCAGAACATCCGCGGCTGGAGCCAAGGCATCGGCTCGCTGCCCTTCCTCGGCGTCATGACGGGCATGATGATCGCCGTCGGCTGCAACATGTACGACAACAAACGGTACGTGCGCGAACACCGCAAACACCGGGGTTTCGCGCCCCCGGAAGCCCGCCTCCCACCCACGATGGTCGGCGCCGTAGCCATCCCAATCGGCCTGTTCTGGTTCGCATGGACCAACGGCCCGAACGTCCACTGGATCGTATCGATCATCGCCTCCGCGCCCTTTGGCTTCGGCATGGTCCTCGTCTTCCTCGGAATCATGGTGTACCTGATCGACGCATACACCATCTACGCAGCTAGCGTGCTCGCCGCGAACTCGATTATCCGATCCTGTTTCGGCGCGGGGTTCCCGCTCTTCACGACATACATGTACAACAATCTCGGCATTCATTGGGCGTCGTGCATCCCTGCTTTCTTGGCTCTGGCGTGTCTGCCCTTCCCATTTGTCTTTTATAAGTATGGCGCGACGGTGCGCAAGAAATGCAAGTATTCGGCGGAGTCGGATGCGTTTGTGCGCAAGTTGGCGGAGAAGAGCTTGACGTCGGGTGATGGGGATGAGGAGAAAGTGGCTGATAAGGAGGGCGAGGCTGTGGTGGACAGAGAGGGTGTGGATGTTGAGCATGAGCAGGAACATGAACATGACCTGGAGAGAGCGGACACCGTGTCGACGAGTAGCGACGACGACGGACAATCGCGAGGCACCTACGAGGCGAATCCGTACGACATTGACCGCGTGAATACGCGCAATTCAGCGATTACGCAGCGGTCGCGATCGCGATCGACGAAGGGGCGGAAGAGATTTGGGATCTTTTGATTTGAACGTTCAGCGATTGCATTGTTATTTATACTATACTAGAATAGCATTGATGCGTATATAATAGACATAAGAATGGAAATATTTAATCATGTATTCGTCTCTTCTCGTCACATTTACGTTGCCATGTACTGTACTGTACTATACGTTACTTATCGAGTCGAACAACATCCAACTCGGTCCCTCCCTCCATCCATCCATCGTTTTATCATCTACTCTAAGAAGTAGCCGGAGCGGGCAACACCTCGGGGGTGTCGGAGCGGAAGCTCTGCGTGATGAGATGCTTGAAGTTGGGCGACCATTCGACACGCGGGGTCAGGACATCCAAGTTCCACAGGTCGGCCAGATACTTGAGGATGGATGTGTGGGTGAACTCGCCGGACTGGGCGACGGGTCGGTTCTGGACGATGCCCTTGCCGACCCAGGGGGAGATGAGCACGGTGGGGACGCGGATGCCCAGGCGGTCGAAGTGGAAAGTGGTGGGGCGGCCGTCCTTGGCCTTCTCGGTGTAGGTGAGGTTGTCGCCGGCGGGCACGTTCTCCGGCGGCGAGACGTGGTCGGCGAAACCGCCATGCTCGTCGAAGGTCAGGATGAAGAGGGTCTCGTTCCACTGGGGGGACGAGCGCACGGCCTCGTAGATGCTCTTGACGAACCCCTCGCCCATGTTGATGGGAGAGGGCGGGTGGAAGGACATGTACGAGCAGCACTCCGGGTTGATCCAGGTGAACTGCGGCAGGGTGCCGGACTGGGCGTCGCGGAAGAACTGGTCCAGCGGCTTGACGTTGGTCTTGTCCTTGCCGGAGCGGGCGGTCCACTCGTAGAACTGGGCGTCGGGCAGGAAGCCGGAGCCGGTGGTGTTCTGGTAGTTGATCCAGCTGACGTTGGCGGCGGACAGCTGCTCGAAGATGGAGACCTGCGGCAGCGAGGAGGTGAGGAAGTCATCGTCGTTCTGGCCGTGGCCGTGCGAGGTGCCCGAGGTCAGATAGGCACGGTTGGGGTTGGTGGGCCCCGGCACGGAGGCGAACCAGCGGTCGAAGAGCACGAAGTTCTCGGCGATAGCGTTGAACACGGGCACCGTCTGGGGGGTGTAGTAGTTGATGACCTCGGCGGCGCGCGATAGGTCGGCGTGTAGGCCGTATGAGACGATCTGCTCGGTGACGAAGCCCTGCATGTCGGGCACGTCGTTCTTGTAGTTGGGGTGGTAGGTGCTGTAGACCTGCTGATTGCCGCCGCTAATACTGTGATCGGGATCGTCGGGGGCGACGTTCTTGGCGATGGGCTGCGCGCACACCCTCTCCGACGTGGGGTCCGACACATTGGCGGGATTGCAGTAGCCCGTCTTAACCAGCCCGTCGATGTCCGGGTTGTAGGTCAGGCCGCCGGCGAAGACGTCGAAGGACAGGTTCTCCTGCACCAGCACGACGACATTCTTGATGGGGCTCTCGGCGGTCTTCGCGGGCCCGTGGGGTAGGCCAGAGATGCCCACCCCGAGAGAGAAGAAGGTGACGAGGGAGAGGATGCTCATGACGAGCAGGAGGAGGGTGATGCAGATGGATTTGCGCCAGGAGATAGTCGAAGATGATCGAGGCTCCCAGAAGGGCGTCTTTATATCGTGGCCAACGTGGGAAGTGACCGGATCATCTGGCGGCAGATGCTTGAGCATCGGCCGCTTCTCCGGGTCCTCTGTCCCACGTGTGGCTGCCGAGTGATTCCATTGCATGGTTGGAATAGGAAGGAGGTATTGACGGAGATACGGGTGGATTTGTGCAAGTGCGAAGCGGCATGGGGGGGGGGGTTGGTTCAAGAACTTGCAGGAGTATCACAAAATGGGCGTTGCGGACGAAAGGCGGAGAAGGCGGGTCCCCCTGGCAGCCTCAGGCAGTCAGGCTCCCCAGTGACCTGCCCGCATGCCGGCCAGGCCCCCCCTGATTGGCTGTTGTCCTCGGCTTGTCGGCAGTTTGTGGCGCTAACGGCACTAGCTCCGATGGGGACTAGCTCTTATTACACAAAGCAGTGCCATTGGTCAGACAGTGAAGATCTGCAGGATGGCCCACCCCGATTTGGCATGCGGCGTCCTTCTGCACGGTGATTCGCAGTCTTAAGGCCGATTGCTCATCACTCTATGCAGCCTCAATTAAGAGTCAAGGCCCTCTTCTGCACAGCGTCAACTCAGCCGAGCCTGTCTACCAGGCACGTGGGAGAACATGCCATATGCCCCGGTCATCATTGGCCGACGCCTTATCACGCACTAACTATACGCCGTAGAGTGCCGACAAGGAGGGGCATGTCTTTTGGCGACTGCCCCTCCATTGCTCCGTCACAGTGGGAGGGCATCCGATCAGTCTCGCTGCTTCCGCCAGAGTACTCCTGCATCCCCTGGACAGACCTGAGTAGCCTCTGCAGGTTTGTTTTCCCCTTGTTTCATGATTCCCTCAAGTGGCTGGCCATTTATTCGCCGTCTTCCAGCCACCCGTCGGTATGTAGGAGAGATTAGAATGCAACTGAATGCCCTGCCCTTGAGATCTCGACTCCGGTTCGATCGAGTCGCGGTGGTGCAGATTCTTGGTGACATGTGTCACTTAGTTTATTTCCTAATGTTACACCTGTCAACCTCCGAGAACTATTGTCAGCCGATCAGACTCAAGGATCTGTTAATCTGCATATGACACGATGGCGGGGCACTGACTCAGATTGATGGCCATGGTCGTACCAGAACTTTTTCAGGGCTTTCACGTTCATGGAGTTCAATTGTGCTGTCGCAGGCATATCTCGCGACGGATTATCTCATCTGACGTCGTCGGGAGGTCTGTTCCCGTTGTTCGCCCTGCTCGAAAGTATTGCGTTTTGTAAGAGCGTCCTGTCATGAAATCATTGTGAAGATATTCAACTCACTAGAATTTGCACTCATTCACGACAAAGACACTAATAAATGCTACTTCTTGGTGACCGACACTTTTGACTGCACCGGCAAGTCGGGCTGGGTTGGGTACGGGGAAATCGAATCTTACACCTGCCGAAGCACGAGTGAGTAGGTTACAAACATGCTTCAAACAGACCAAAGTGAAGCTAACAACCGTAGACACTAACGAGAAGATGGAGAACTTCTGCGGTGACGGCACACTGTGATTCTTCTATGGCTGGTACAACGGCGAGAGTGAAATCAAGTACGCCGAGAAGAACTGGTTCTATAACTACGATAGCAAGAGCAAACTTGGAGTATCACCCCTCAAACTCACGATGCTAAGAGATGCCAGGGTAATGCAAAGCTGAAGGGAGAGGGTTTTGTGACGTGTTAAGGCAGATCTACTATAGGAGGGTTTTGTGTATACTGGCCAAACCTTTCAATGATTTTTTTGGTGTATTCAGGACCTATACAGTAACATGCTCCACAAGTACCTTGATCTATGGGGCTAGCAAAATTCAGAACCGTAAAGACATCCAGTTTTACATCTATCACCCATCATGACATTCATCCTAACTCGAGTGAACTCCCACAGGACCCTCAAATAAAAATTGACGAACATAGTCTGAATAATGACTACTTAGAGGAATTCATGATCTGAATGTGCCTACTTGCAGGCGTATACGCGGTTGCCGACAGATCCGCCATTATAGATTCATTCCGACGGGCTGATCTCTCCCGTCACCTAAGCCACCGTGTCATAGATCCTAGTATGAATCTGACTGAGATTTTCTCAGACTTTTGAGAGGGAAGATGAGTACAAAGCTGATTAAACTGTTGTAAAATTGTTGACAAGGACCCCAAAAAGTCATGGCGATGGCCATTTCAGGTTTGTGGCGGATGTTGCAAAAAGAAAAAAAGATAGCATGTCCTAGTTTCGATCTAGGGTCCTTTCGAGTTGTTAGTTGATTTGTTCAGTGGTGTCTAGAATGGGCGGTGAAACGTACCTCCGGGTTATGAGCCCGGCGCTCTTCCCCTGAGCTAACATGCTGGGGTGATTGAATGGTGGCTTGCATTATAGCATTATGAAGACAAGCAGGATATTCCATGCTATCTACGCCCTAACCAACAACCAGGCTTTTTTCTTGGGAAAAACATGTTGATCATCTTGGATTCCCCGGATCTTACAACAACTCACATACACCATAATCACATTAACTGACTGACTACTTTACTCCTACCGCAATTAGTCACCGATGGACCTCTTTCGTCATGCCTCGGGATCATCTGCCAAGAACGGGTCCATGTGAGATCTCGGCCTTTGCCTGCACCCTACTTAGGTGTATCCTTTTCCTCTTCCATACTCCCTCCAAACCACTCTAATTCCTATCCAACATGGCCCCATTAACAGCTGCAGAGATTCTCCATCATCCTGCTTACAAAGCCGTGGGCTACAACCTCACTCCCACCTCGTCCGGCACGCGTGCAGTGGCCCAGAATCGCCGTGGCGGTCCCTTCAACCTGTATTACGAGATCCATGGCACGGGACCAACCAAGCTAGTCGTATGTGCTCGAGCCCTTCTGACATACCGCGAATGATACTTGTGGCCAGCGAGTCTGACAGGCATTATCTAGTGGATCATGGGGCTCAACGCCTCTCACCAAGACTGGCGCCGGCAGACCCGGTACTTTGGCCATGAACTCGCCTCCAAGTACACCTGTCTGGTCTTCGACAACCGCGGCGTCGGCCAGTCCGACAAGAACGTCGCCTTCTATTCCACCTCCGAGATGGCCCGCGATGCCGTAGACCTGGTGGCCTCGCTCGGCTGGATCGATCTGGCCGCGGAACCCACGCGTTCCATCCATGTCATCGGCGCCAGCATGGGCGGCATGATCGCCCAGGAGGTCGGCATGCTGATCCCCGATCGGCTGGCGAGTTTGTCATTGGGCTGCACGGCCCCGCGGTTGGTCCGCACGGCGCCGTTCCTGGAAAACCTACGACAGCGCGCCACCATGTTCATTCCGCGCCATATCGACGTCGAGCTGGATCAGCTGTCGCATTCCATCTTCGCGGACGAGTTCCTGACTCGGCCCGATACGGAGAACGAGGATGCGAAGCTGAACTTTCCGACGAATCGCGATCGGTTCACGGCGTCAGCGCTGAAGAAGAGAGAGGATACGGAGGGGTTCACGAAGAAGGGGTTCATGATGCAGATTGTGGCGTGCTATTTTCACCACAAGACGGCGGCGCAGTTGAAGGAGCTGGGGGATCGTGTGGGGAGGGAGCGGATTTCGCTGCAGCACGGGACGGAGGATCGGATGCTTACGTTCAAGCATGGAGAGATCCTGAAGGAGGAACTGGGCGAGGGGATCTTGTGGAAGGTCTACGAGGGGACGGGTCATATGTTAGGCTGGGAGCGAGAGCAGGAGATGAATCAGCTGCTGGAGGAGTTCTTCCAGAAGTGGAGCTGAAGCATCTATAGACGGTTCGGGGTGTCCGTGTACATACCAGATAGCATTGTACTGTACCTTCAGTCAGTCAGCATAAGCCATCGGCCCGCTGCGGTCATCTGTGCTCCCCCCCCATGACCTCCCATCTACCAGGATCCCTGCCTACAAGAAGGACAAGGGAAGCTGCTTCTATCTTTCTACCCCGGACGCTATCTATTGATTCACATCCCATCCTAACCACCCATCTCCCCAATATTCAGCCCCATACAATTTGATCCTCACGATGTCCTCCTCCTCTACCAGCATCACAGAACCCAACCCTCCCCAAGGCGAATTCCAACCCGCAGGCCCAACAGACCTCCGCGCTCCCTGTCCGGCCCTCAACAGCCTCGCCAACCACGGCCTCATCGCACGCTCCGGCCGCAACATCACCGCCGCCGAACTCACCTCCGCCGTCCGCTATCTCGGCCTCGGTCCGGATGTCGCCTACCTCCTCGTCGACAGCGCCTTCAAGGTCCACTCGGACGACCACAACAACCCTCCACCCGGCACCAGATGGTCCGGTCTGCGAGATCCCGAGCAGGTCAATGCAGATGGCATCCCGGTGCTCAACCTCGACCAAGTCGGCCGACCCCACGCCACCGAACACGACGTCTCACTGACCCGCCAAGACCGGCTTCTAGGCGACTACATGAACCTGAACCCGGACCTCTACGAGGGACTACTCTCCTCCCCACGAGATCCGTCGACCTTCCGAGTTTCCGATCTCGGTCGATTTCGCAAAACCCGGTATGACCAGCAAAAGCAAACCAACGAGAACCTCGATTTCGATAAGAAGAAGCACTTCATCGCGTGCGCAGAGGTCGCAGCCGTCAGCACGGTCTTTGGTCAAGGGCTCCGACGGAAGGTCCCGAGGAGGTATATCGAAGCGGTATTTGGGGAGGAGAGGTTGCCGTATGACGAGGGGTGGAGGCCGCGATCGTGGAAGGTCTTTTTGCCCGAGGTGGCAGTGTTCGTGTTGGGGGCTTCGTGGTATGCGTGGCCGTTCTGAGGGGTAGGATGTTTGCTTTTTGCTGTTGTTTCTTGGTGTTCTGTTGTGTTACGTTTTCTTGGTTCTTTCTAGTCTAGCTCTTGCTCATGGTTGTATTTCTTCTTTTCACATGTGGGCATCTGAAGCAATCCACTCAGCTATCATATTCAGTGCTATGCGATATACTTATCTAACTAGTGTTTATTCGTGTCTGTATGCAAGCTCAGCCGGCGACAATGCTTGACCGGTCAACGCAACAGCAATACATGATATGCTTCGTCTAAATTCTTCTCGATATACAGAGACCTAGGCTGATGAAAAAGAAAGCATATGGAGAAAGTAGAACATATCCCATAGGTATACACCCTGCAACTCATTGGTTGATATCATGAATGGACTGCTCAAGTATAGATAGACTTCCGTTATCGACAAAATGAATATTACTGTCATTAGAACTTCCGGAAGAGGGACCTACTCCTTCTGTATATCGTATTGATCGTATGGGAAAAGAAGGATTCGCCGTCCTTTCTGTCTGGGTTCCGCTAGCTCAATGACCACCACCTCTTCCCGAAAGCTTCCTTTAGAAAGGCTGGGATAGATTTCGGTAAAGACTATTATGGTTTGACGCTTGATTGCCTGTTCTTTTCATCCAATAGCCGGATGATCTCGGCCCTCTCGTCTTTCCACTTCGTCTTGTCCAGCTCTGATGCTAATTGTCGCGCCGTCTTACCTTCAGAATCCTTTATCGAGATAGCAGCACCCCCTTCGAGAAGTTTTTCCACGGCCAACGGGGTGGCGCGAAAGACTGCCTGATGGAGCGCGGTTCGGCGCTGCACGCCGGCATTCTCGTTAAGCTTGATACCTGCACTTTGAAGAAGAAGGTCCAAGATGGTTTCTTGATCTGCGATTAAGGGACCAGCCCATTGAGCTGCAGCCAGGAGGAGAGGTGTGGCACCAGCTTGGTTCTTGGCATTGACAGATGCACCCCGGAAAAGCAACAACCCAACGGCCATCGGGCTCCGTCGTCTGATGGCAAGGTGCAAAGGGCTGTCATGCGTATGGGGGGTATAGACATTGACATCTGTCTCTTTCCCCCCACCTGCTACGAGAAGACACGCCAGCGCATCTAGTTGGTGTTTTTCAAGTACGTCGGTCTTTTGGACGTCAAAGGCACTCAGAATCGGTCGTTTGCCGGTATGATCGGACTTGTTTGTGTCAGCAACGCCGTTGATCAGATCTCGGACAAGACTCGTATGACCGGCGAAAAACGGCTGCTCTATTGCGATCTGCAAGGCCGTGCGCCCGGTCCTTCTCTCGGTGACGTTCAAGTTGACGTCGTGCTTCATCAGCTCCTGGACGCATTTATAGTGCTGATATGTGCCTCCCTGGATTGCCCGAATAAGAGGTGTTGGTCGGGGCTTGAATTCAGTCCCCGGATTGCATCCGTCCCTCAACAGAATCCTCACAGCCTGCACGGCCCCTTCAGTACAGAAACTCTCCAGAATACGTTGGTCCCGATCTAACCATTTCCACATACTCAACCTGCGGCGATTGATTGAAATAATTCTAGTGTCTTGCGTTGAGGCGGCTTCCCAGGTCGTGTCCATGTACACCTGAGGACTGAAAACTGATACCGGGGCTTGTTTCTTTGGTGCCGCCTGTTTTGTACTTGATAAGAGGGCCTGTTTGTGGAGAGACATGGTCCCTTTCTTGGGGCTGGTTGCCTTCTTTTCTTTTTTTGTTGGTGATGCGTGACCTTCAACTTGTTCGGACCGTGCCTTTTTCTCTGAACTGGGCGTGTTACGTGACTCTGGCTTGGTATCCGTTTCTGATTGTGCGAGGTCGTTACTCGACTCCTTCGTGGATGGTACTTGCTCCGCCTCTGTAAACCGTAGCCTTTTCACCTCTGGGTTGGATGTCCCTTGTGGTGCTTCCCTGGCTTCTGGTTGATCTTGGGATTTTTCCCTTTGTGAATCACTGCTGAGTGGGACCTGCTTCGCTTTTTCGGTCTCTGGCTTCGCTTCCGATGCAGGTGGCGATGTGTCGCTTCGCGGTTTCCTCATCGACACGCTTTGGCCATCCTGATCTTTGAACACTTTCTTCTTCTCCGAACGGGATGATTCATGTGATTCCTCTCCAGCTTCTGGCTTCTCTTGTAGCGGTTTCCCCTTATTCAATACCACTGGACCAATGCGCTCTTTGGTCCGTTTCTTCTTTTCACATTCAGGTCGCTGGGGCGGCTTTGTTTTGACCTTTGGTACGACCTGCAATGCATTCGCCTGTGGCGTTTCGACATCCATATTGCTTGTTCGGCGCAAAGGCGACTCATTCCCAGCAGCCGGTGGAATCAGGTCATCTGGAGTTTGATCACTCATTTCAAAAACTGGTACATGCTCAGATGTTGTTTCTCTCACATGGCTTGGTGGTGAGGCCGTCGGGTCACATTGATGAGAGACAACCGTCCAATCAACCGCTGAATTTTCCGGGATATCAACGCAAGGCAAATGTGGGCTCTTGGGTAGATCAGTAGATTGTGCGGTCAGAGTCGTCTTCGGGCTTGGAGTTGTTCGAATTGCTGTTTCTGACCATGATTGAATCCCAGAGTCATTACTTTGGCTGGATATCATTGGCTCCTTGCATTCTGAAGAACAGGAGATGCTTGTTGGGGTCTCTGCTACCGGAAGTAGCAGAGGTGAATCTAGCGATTGGCCGTGTTGCCAAACTGTACCGCTGGAGGACGGTAGCATATTCGCTAGGAATTCCGGTCCTCTGCCGCTTGCTTCAGTCAGGCTATTATCTGCCCAAACATTCAATTCAGCTTCCGCGAGAGACCATATGTTCTCTAGTTGACCACCACTATCATACGGTGTACTACCCGCGTCATCGCTGTCTGATTCTTCTTGAACGGTGACATTCTGAAAAGGTTCTGTCCGGAATTGCAATGGTAAAGTCGTGCTCTTTGATTCGCCATCACCCGGGCCACTATGCGAGTGGGTATCCTCGTGCAAGGACTGATAACTGCCAGTGGTAGATATATCATCCAGATATACCATTCTATCCTCTTCAGAGCTCTCGGCAGAGTAAGCTGTCGTGCCGTCCTCCACAATCTGGATAGGGACATCTATATCCGAAGGTGCAGCTGTGCCACTAATACTCACAGAGGTCAAGGACATATCTTCATCCCCAACAGCGCCCAGCCAATTCTCAATTGTCTGATTTCTCTCGTACTCTCGGGCCTTGTCGACAGGGGGGTCCAAAAGCGCAGTGAGCTGAGCACGCACGTCTGCCGAGTTACCCGGGGCAGGAGTTTGGCTGTCTAAGGTTTGCTGGGTATAAAGAAAGGAACGCTGCTCGTAGACCGGCCAGCAGTCAACGCAGCAGAAAGCGTGAAAAGATGGTGACTCTAGAATCTGTTTCATAAGGCCTTCAGCCTTAAGGCGCTTATTTGGCTTCTCTTGCAGCAGGTCTCGGACCCAGGACAGTGGCTCGGTGCTTTCCTCTCGCGCTGTAGCAAAGCTAGTAAGTGCCCCGATCCATGTATCTATCACCGGAAGATTTGCCCATAGGTAAGGCTCTGTTCCACGGGGATGCGAAAAAGCATGCAGTCGGGCTTTCAGCTCGCGAATGGTGCTGCCCATCAGGACGGTGGACATTTCCATGAAGACCACGCCTAGTGACCAAAGATCACTGGCGGTGCTGCGGCTCTGATGTAGCGCGACCTCTGGAGCAATATACTCGGCTGTATAGGGGACATTGCGATGGTTGGTGATACTGTGTTTTGAGCCCTTCCAGCTGTACGCTGTTCCGAAATCTGCCACGAAAACCCGACCATCTTTGATGAGAATGTTCCGCGACTTGAGATCCCGATGGCGAATCTTGTTCTCGTGCAGATACTGAATCGCCCCTGCCAGACATCCGAAGAATGGTCGCAGGCATTCAGCCCCGCTTCCTGCGCGGCCTAAAGTCCGCAACAGTTTCTCCAGGTCATAGTCTGCCACGGGTTGCATGAGGAATGCAATATACTTCTCGTCGGTGTAGGAAGCGACATATCGAACCAGATGATTATGAGAAAGGGTTTTCAGGTATGATAACTCTCGTATCAAAGACATTTGCCCTAGTCTGTTGGTCGTTGTATCTCTTCCGCGTAAGACACGTTTTCGTGCATAAGATTGGAGGCTCAGTCGACTGGTTACGGCGTCGACTACTCTTGAATGGAAAAGCGACAAAGGGAAAACCAGTTAGTCTCCCTTGCAAGCCGACATAGATGTCACTAAAACAAAACTCTGGGAAACTCACCCATATCCACCTTGCCCCAGTGTCCCCTTGTAGTAGAAATATCTCTGTGCATTCCCCGCAAGGCTCAGATGCGGTCCGCCGTGGCTATCCAAACCCTTTGCCCCCGAGGAAAGCACATACTCCTGGAAGTGCAAGAATGACTCTCGGAGGTTGCTCTCGTGCAAGAAGGATGGAAGTGTGTCCTCGTTGAAGGGAATATGGAAGTCGGTCAACTCGGCCTTCACAAAACAGTCTAGCAGATCCAGCCGCTGGATGTTGCGCAAAACAATGTATATACGCGGTCGCTCACTCCAGGCGAGTAGTCGCTCATCGCCAGTGACTTTACCTTTGTTCAAGAGAATTTCACTTATCTCATTGCATCGGTTGATGCCCACGCTGCCAGACGCGCTCGGGTTGGTCCCAAATACCGGCCGACACAAGCGATCTAGCAAATCCTCGATATCAGCCTCATCTTTTCGAACGGCGGGCGGCTGATTCGACGATGGTGCTCGCTTCCCAAATACTCCCTGAAAGAGCCCCATGCCCATGGGTCGGATGGAAAAGGGCTGGGACATGGTAGATCGATCGAGCCTCTCAACCATCTGACCCTGTTATCGGGAGGTATAGAAAGATTGGCATAACGCATGGCTCATGGATACCGAGAAAAGGTGGGTAGGATGATGAAGCTGAAGAGACAGGGCTTTGTACTAAGAAGCGGGGTGTGAGGGGCTTCAGCCTCGCGATGAATCCTTCTGGCCATGACGTGGCGCTTAGCGTTCGATCGCTCGATTTCCCTTCACCCCCGCTTCCCCGGCCTGTTCATTTGTGTGACGTGAGAATGGAGGTGCTGGGAACGATTGTCAACGCTGTGCAGATTTTCGAGACATGCGTCAGCACATATAAATTCATCTGCCTTGCAAACAACGTGGGCAAGGATGGCGATCAGATCGTATCGCGACTGCAGTGGCAATATTATCGGCTCATACAATGGGGGGAGAAATCGGGGATTGAATCCAACCCTTCAAGTCGGCTGAACTGGGAGGTCGCCAGGAGCTTGCTGGAAGAGCAGCAAGAGTTGCTAACCTCTGCCGAAAAGCTCAAATCCAAATATAATCTCGACATTGCTGACGATGAGGGTTCAGCTACGCTGAAGCCAGAAGAGAAGCCCTTCGAGACTTCCTCTAGCTTGACCAGGTTTCTTCGCCATTTGACCAATTCAGAGTCAGGTAGCCCGCGAGCTAGGGCCATTCAAAGCCATAATAGCCCCATTCGACGACTTCGCTGGGCCAGTACGGGGAAAGAAAAGACAGACCGTGTGGTTAGCGATATCGCAGAGTTGAATGACCGTCTGGACTACCTGTTAGATTCAGCTGACCGCGAGAGACTCCATGCTGCATCAGACTCATTGCTCAGAGACCTCATCACACACTGTAGCAACCCTAGCGAGGTGAACACCATCAGTACGCTCCTGAATCCTTCAACCTCGGACTCGAGCCTCGCTGCGGCCGCGTCTTTGCGACAGATTCGCCTGCTACTAGCGCCATCCAAGGGCTCTAAACAGAAATCCGAGCCGCGAGGTGCTCCTCTTCAAATCCTTGAACTTCGGCCGCGACGTCTTACTCCTCAGTACTCGGACCACTCCTTAAAATACGCGGGAATCGAGGCCGCGCTTTACAACGGACAGAAAGTCATTGTAGAATGGAAATACGCTGGAGATCCAGGCTGGGACCAACTCGCTAAATATGTCCGCCGACTAGCGCTGTTACTGAGTAGAATGAATGATCCGTCGTTTCATACTCTGCCGTGGCATGGTCTATTGCCGTGGCGTGAAAGGTCACTATTTGGTTTTGTGTACAGATATCCAGTTCAAACAGAGGGGCTCAAAGGCTCTTTCCGGTACGAGTCTTTGCATAAGGTGATTCAATATTCCTCGATTGCCCCGTTAAACCGCCGTGTGAAGATCGGCATGGATATGGCGGAGACGGTGCTCCAACTACACACAGCCGGCTGGCTACACAAGGGGATTCGGTCCGAAAATATCATTGCATTCTTCGCTCAGGACGAAGTTCTCCCAGAAAAAGCTCATCTCGTTGGGTTCGAATACGCCAGGCCTGATTCTGAAGATGGTTCAGCCATAACTCAACTTCCCTCTGGCTCCCCCAGCGCAGATCTATACCGACATCCGAAGGCGCGGGGCACTCGTCGGAAATCATACCGCAAGTCATTTGATCTCTATGGATTGGGCTGTATCCTTCTTGAACTCGCGCTCTGGAGGCCATTGGATCAGATCCTTGCCGAGGCCTACCCTGCCACTGGTGAAGATAAAGACCACCCCGATGGGATTCCCACAGACGAGTCTCGAGCGCCGTCGCTGCTGTCATTCCAGACATGCCTGCCATTGCAGCTGCTCATCATGCATCAGGCTGGTAGCGTATTCTGCGATACCATCGCCCTTTGCTTTGAAGACCATGCGTTCGATGAAGATGGGCTGGAAAGACAAAAAGCAGTTCTGGAGAAACTGGGAACGATTCATATATAGAGAACCTGATGGCGGTCTGTTTGTAAAGTCACATCATTTAGATCCATCATGAAGCCTGCCGTTGATACCAAATCATAACTCTCTCTCAGTGGTATAAGACACATTTCTATCATACAAGCGAGGCGCAAGGAAAGAAATAACAAAGCCAGTACCCACTAGAAGAGGTCCATCCACACCACCTTATCATAGTCGACATTCATCGCCTTTGCCTCTACCCTCTCACCACAAGTCCCAAACAACCGATCCCAAACCCTCGTTTGCTTCCCGTAATTAAAACTCTTCCGATATCCCCTCCGATGATGCAAGTCATGATCCTCCACAGCCAACTCAGCCCCACAAAGCAGCAGCAGCCACAAAACCGGCGAAGGAACAAAAGACTGCACACGAATACCACTATGGCCGGCAATTTCAGCAAAGTTGATATACTCAAGACAGAGCCACCACTCATAAAAGCCAAGAGGAAGACCGACAAGCCACAGCGTGGCAAAAGCCAGCAGAGGCACGATAACAAGCTCCACGAGTTCTTGTTCGTCATCCGCAAAAGCCGTAAAGGCCGCAGTAGGGTGCTTGGTCAAGTGATGTGTCAGGTGGTATTTCCAGAGAAAAGACACCTCATGACAGGCGCGGTGGTAGATGTAAAACCAGAGGTCGAGAGCAATGCCGTAGAAGCTTAGCTTAACGAGGAACGGCACCCATGACGTGAAGTTGCTGATAGCAGCGAGAGGCGAGATGTCAGGGCTGTAAGTGATGAGCACGGCTAGAGCAACGCGAGAGCCTGCGACCTTGCACAGAGCACCCAGTATCCTCCCGACGGCAGAGTTAGGTATACCATCTCGATCAGCCAGATCTCCATCAAAACAGCCGTACTTGTACAGCCCACGGCGTAGCAGACGAAGAAGGTGGACAATATTGAACGCATATGCACCACTATAGAGGACGAACGTGGTCCGTTTCTCAAGACAGCGCCCCGTCAAGAAAACCCAAGCCTGGTGAAGCAACATGGGCATGGCAGCAAAGACGATGATAAAGCGGTTCACCGACCATTGGGACATATATGGGATTTTATCGGACTTTGGATGACTAGGCAGCGGCTGGCGCGGAAAGACAGGGTAGAGGTTCATGAAATCGGTGAAGCGTTGGTATCCGTCCCATGTGCTTCGGTTTTTGAATGGCCAATCTGAAGTCATAGAATGGGGGTTGGAGGCGGCAGCCCAGCCCATTTTGAGATTTGCTTGAACTGAGTCGTCGTTTGATTTTTGTCGCTGACGGCAAGGTTGGATCCTTGAGATATAGTCTTTTTGGATAACTACTTCCAGCATGATCAAAATCGGTGGCTAGTAGGATCACCCTTGTGACATATCATACAGTATAACAAGGGTCAATGGCGGTCAAGCAGGTCATTCTCAATATCCCTTGCTTAGACCGGCTGATCCTTTACTAATCTGGAATACATTGAACGATGTTGCATATTTTGGCTTGTTTTAGTTAATTCGGCCTGCATTTGTGACCTGCATTTGCGGTCTATCTTGGAGAATGAATAAGAGAAGGAAAAGGGGGGGAATGCACAAACGAGTTGTATAGATCTTTAATCGTTGCGAACCCAGAAGTCAGTCATTTCCCCAAGCTAGTTCCGGAATGTCACATTCAGTCAGTCTCTGCATAAATTTCAATTCGCCTCTGCTCCGTGAAAGGGTTCTTGCAAGAATAACGCATAACCTATCTATCGAAAATGAAACTCAGTTTCAAATGATGAGAGAAACTTTTATACACGGCCTATGTGGGAAAGACCTTGTTACCACTGTCTAAAACGGACTGCGATACTTGCGAAACACGTTCAACGGTTGAGCTGTCTGCAGAATATTCTTCAGCAAAGTCCCATAGTCCCAGCCGAGAGCTGCCGCAGACAGAGCAGTCAAACTTGCTTGATCTTCGCGTCCCGGACGACCAGGCCCCGTCATGTTCTATAATTCACACCGGGTAAGTAGCCAAGCTCATCCAGAAATTAAAACGTCATATGAACTTACCGGCTTCATGTTGATGTCAAAGAGCGCAAAAGAAGAGTCCTTGCTGAACCGTCGTATATCCACCCGAATTGGAGCCGTTGCCCCAATCAATTCGGCAATCTTCGCACATTGATCCATGATATCCCCAAACGCAGGATCTTTCATCTCCTCCTCCGAAGCCACCCGGGAGTTGGCAGTCACCGCGACGACGCCATTGTACGGCGCGATACCATCCGCATGGTTGAACCTCACAACGGGCAAGGTACTCCAGTGCCGCGGCCGACCCGGGGATGGAGGCATCACGGTAATTGTCGCCTCCTCGCCGGCCAGAAACTCCTCCAGCATAACGAGAGGGGATTCACCAAGCAGAGTCTGCACATGGGCTTTAAGCTCGGCATCATCATGACAGACCTTGACGCCGTGGCTCCCTCGACCACGGACCGGTTTCCCCACCACGGGGTACTGATCGATAGAGTTAACCAGCTGGTCCAGATCATCGGAATCGCTGACCATCCAGGAGCGAGGGAGAGTGAAGCCACCGAGATCTCGGAGCTTGCCGTTCAGGTACGCCTTGTCGTCAAATTTCTCAACTAGGCTAGGTGGCTGGCCCACGATATAGAGGTCTGAGGCATGGGCGTCTAGTTTCTTGGAGATTTGAAGCGGATGCGACGAGAACAGGATCGTGTTCGCCCACAGATGTGTAACGCCTTGCTGCACGGCAGAGTATATGCCCTCTTCTGTGTCGGGGAAACACCACCCCTCATGCTCCTGCGGGGAGCTGCTTGGGGTGACCACATCGAGGCCTTTTGTTCGGAGAGTGTAGGCAATGTCAGCTCCGGAGTCTTGGTAGCCTGGAGAAAGTTAGTAAGGTAGCTTTCTTGGATTTACTACAAGGCCTTTCAATGGGTCGTTCAAAATCACTCAACGGATAAAGGATCCTTGACGGTTTCGGGAATGCCCGAAATTCCTACCTCCTGGTTTCCGGGGTTTGCGCACACCATTGATGACAGGCGGATCAATGGCCTGATAAAGCAAAGCCACGGTCGGTGAGGTGCGGCTGGACGAGTATCTAATCCATGTTTTGCCCGCGATAGCTGAATTCCACCCACGGGGTGACGAGCGCAAAGCACGGGAAACAGGGTTCGGCATGATGCCGCGTTTTCAGTTGGCAGAAAGCGAGCACTGCTTGAGTATACTGAAAATAGATGAACCCTTGAGGCGAGCGGGATAGGAGAGGCAACAGAGTAGGTAGAACCAACTGGTGCAGAGCGAGTTGAGATGGATATAAAGAGGGAGACAGTAGAGGCCGGAGCCACGCGAGTCAACCTTCGGAGCAGTCCGACATGGCGATCCTTTCGGACCGGTTCCGACGGATATTAACCGCTTGCCATTTGGGTCGATTTACATGACAACATGACACAGCTTAAGACTGAGTGTCGCGGGGAAATAAGGTAAGAATCAACGTGGATTTTTCTCTTGGCATGTAATGCTTAAATTTATTCTATAACATCTTCTAGTGAACAATATTATACGGTGTAGTATCGTAGTCTTCAAATACCCACCCAAGCGGAATTTCCCACCCATTCTTCCAAGCCACCTAGGAAACCACCACAATTTCATTTTACCACCGGGGCCACCGTTTTTGAATTGTGAATCCTGATTAAGCCAGAATCGGATTCTCCCTCTTGCTTACTACATCTTGTTCGGCGAGACACACCATGAGGCAGGCAGGCAGGCTACCGCGCATGGCGGGCATGCTATTCCCATGACGAGCTCGTTTTCCTTCTTAACCAAGAATAGATAATTCGGTCCCTTGTTGGAATGTTAGAAGCCTAGGAACAAGGAAACCTGATGTTGGAAACCGTGCCCAGCGGAAACCAACGGAGGCGATGAACACATAGCTATGACGACATAGCACGGACCAACCTACTAACCAGGGATATAAACCAACACAATTGACCAAATCACGGTTCTGGTTTCCGTTACACATTTCGTCCTCGATTTTACTTAACTGATTTTGACCTTTTGGAAATAAATCACAACCATGTCTCCTCCGCAGCGAAAACATAGAGTAGCCGTGATTGGCTCAGGGAATTGGTACAGCGAAAATCTAGCCCCTTGCTTCTCCCACGGCCGCCTGAATATCTTTACTTATGTATATCCAGGGGCTCAACGATTGCAAAAATCGTCGCCGAGAATACCAAAGCACACCCCGACATCTTCGAAGAGGAAGTGCGTATGTGGGTGTTCGAAGAAGACATTCAGATTCCCGAGTCCTCAAAACACCGCAAGCAGTTAGGCGACCAGACATACAAGCTCACGCAGGTGATTAACAAAGTACACGAGAATGTCAAGTACCTGCCTGACATCACACTCCCCGACAATGTGGTCGCCAACCCTGACCTACCAGCAACGGTCAAGGATGCCACCCTGCTAGTCTTCAACCTGCCGCACCAATTCATCTCCAAAACGCTGGACCAGATCAAGGGCCACCACTTACCATATGCCCGTGGCATCTCCTGTATCAAGGGCGTCGACGTCTCGGATGGAACAGTGACGTTGTATTCCGAGCTGATCATGGAGAAACTGGGCATCTACTGCGGTGCTCTTTCTGGCGCCAACATCGCCACAGAGGTAGCGGCCGAGAGATTCTGCGAAACCACCATCGGCTACGATCCTCCTCCTATGGATCTGAACAAACCCCACAGCGCCCCTGAAGACAACCTGATCAAAATTGACGTGCAACGACAAAAGAAGAGCAAGGCCACGCGCATCCACCTCGAGCCAATGCCGCAAGAATACCCGCACGTGGACTCAACCTTGCTCGAGGACTTGTTTGAACGGCCGTACTTCCACGTCCACTGCGTGCGCGATGTCGCTGCGGTTGCCCTAGGCGGTGCGTTGAAGAACATCATCGCTCTGGCCGCAGGCTTCGTCGTGGGGAAAGGATGGGGAGAGAACGGAAAGGCCGCCATTATCCGTCTCGGAGTCCTAGAGATGGTCCGGTTCGGACGATACTGGTTCCCCAAGTCTGTTGAAGAGAGGACATTTACAGAAGAGAGCGCCGGCATCGCTGATCTGGTGGCATCTTGTAGCGCGGGCAGAAACTTTCGGTCTGCGTGCCATGCAGCTGAGAAGGGAGTTAGTGTCGATGAGATCGAGAAGACGGAATTGAACGGTCAGGTGTTGCAAGGGACTTCGACTGCCTATGCGGTTAGGGACTTTCTTGCTAAGAATGACCAGTTGGAGGAGTTCCCGCTGTTTGTGTCTGTTCATGGTGAGTCTGCCCGATCTTGTTCTTTTGCTTGGTTTGACCGTTCTAACGATTTGTTAGGAATCCTTGAGGGCACTGCGAAAATCGACGATCTTCCAGCTTTGGTCAGTAAGAAGAGGACTGCGCGATCGTAGACCTGCTGGGATCATCTTGATAGAAAAGCCTGTAACGAACCGTATAAGCAACTTGGGTATATATTGCAATCACTTGGTCCATTTTCATCTTGGCTGCCCGTCGTAAGCTCCAATATGTTTCATCCTGCGGATTAAACCCACAGACGAAGACTCGTACGACTATGAATATTTTGCACAGCACGTAAAAAAGGGGCCCTCTTAATCTGAGACACAAAAAAAGGCCCAATCTCTGACTGCAAGAATACCGTGTATCGTGTGATAAAAAGCCAAAAAGATCGTCAGCGACAGGACTCGAACCTGTGCGGGCGAACCCAATAGATGAGATAGATGAGGATCCATTCTAGTCTATCGCCTTAACCACTCGGCCACACTGACTGATGCTGCTGACTCAGAGAATATTTATGCTTTATGTGAATTACTGAGTGACGATTTGCCCTGACGGATAAAGGCCAGAATAACATTCTTGCTCTCGGTACAATGATCAAGGTCAATCGAGAAAAACCTCAAAGATATACGCGCAACCAATCAAGCTCACTACTAGGGTAGTAATTGACATCGCTCATCGCTACGCTAGTTTTGATCCTCATAGAGCGACCAAGATATTAAACCAGTTGCGTCAACCTTGACTGCCTCGTTGGCTGTATGGCATAATTGGCATTGTCTCCGATTCAGATGCAAGCAATGTCAACATCAATCTCTAACATCCTACATTGGGAACTGAAATGGTGCGAAATACGTTCTTCTTATCTTTGAACCTAGGCAGCCTTGACATAATGGATGTAACTGAGAGCAGTGCTGATTCATGTTGATACTAGTGTTGTCCATCGCTTTTCTAAAGCACACAGGCTGCAACATTCCCTTTGGCTCATAGAGCCAAAATCTGAGTACCTTAGCATCACCAGTCAGTGTGGCCGAGTGGTTAAGGCGATAGACTAGAATGGATCCTCATCTATCTCATCTATTGGGTTCGCCCGCACAGGTTCGAGTCCTGTCGCTGACGGTTTCGTTTTTGTTTTTTGCGCTACCCGCTCTTTATTAGTCTCCAACAGACAGATTATATGCGTGTGGCTCCATTTCAAGCAATTTGATTTCAATGGCCAGTAACAAACTTAGTTGTGTCTTGTTCATCAGGTGTTCTCTTGTTCTTCCACGGAATGATGGGCTGGTCTTCATACAATGCGTACCCTAAATATGCTCTCAGTCACATATAAGTCTTATTCCAATATCTATCACGAGGACTGTCAAATTCTTTCTTCTCCCTTATCAAAAAGGCTAAACAAACGCATCACTCAAGGAAGCCCAGCCCCGACATTGATATTCGCTCCATATACAGGCCGCGAATCCTCACTCAACAACCAGACAATCGTCCTAGCAACGTCATCAGGTCCAATTAGTTCCAGACCCCACTTCTTCCAGGACTCCTTCAGCTGCTCTTCTGTCTTGGCCTGTGGAATGAACTTTCCAAGCATAGGAGTCACAGTAGCGCCTACTCATCAATCAGCAATATTGGTACATACCTAGACGTGCCCTATCAGGCACGGAAGAAACGAAGTAAACAAGATCACTCACCCGGCGACACCGCATTCACCCTGATTCCCGAAGCCAGGGTATCCTTCGCCACGGAGGTCGAGAAATGCGCACACGCGGCCTTCGAGGCCCCATACGCAAACACATCAGGGCTATGCATCATCGACGCAATGCTGGCGATATTCACAATGCTGCGATCCCCCTTCTGCAGGTCCTTCATGGCGCGAACCTGCGCCTTTGTGGCGTGGAAGACGCCATCCAGATTGACACTGAGAATCTTCTTCCAGGTCTCCTCGTCCTCCTCAGCAATATTAGGCGACTGGCGAACTCCCGTGGCCTGCGGGATGCCAGCCACGTTGGCGGCGCCATGAAGATCCCCGAATGTCGAGACGATAGTTCGCACCCATTCGTCGACGGCGGATGACGATGTCACGTTTAGAGAGGTGCAGTGCACTTCGGTAGACGGGTTGATCGTTTTGACGGATTTAATGAGCTCGGGGAAGTGCTGCGTCGAGAGATCGCCTATCGCTACTGCTGCTGCTCCTCGATGGGCGAGGAGACGAGCGGTGGCGGCACCCATGCCGGATGCGCCACCGGTGATGGCAAAGATTCTGGATGCCACGGATGCCATTGCGGTGGATGGATTGGTAATTGATTGATTGAAGGAATGGAGGGGAATGGGAACTGATATAGTGGTACCTACTCAGGGGGAAAGAGATTGTGCCAAACCTGGTGAACGGAGTTTCCCTTCTCTGAGGTTGTGTCACAAAGTCAGAACACACCAATGATGGCTAGCATAGGCCCCCCTTAAGTAGACCTGTGTAGCAATTCTTCGCCCGCATCTGTATCCATGCAGGCCAAGCGCAAAAGGATATCCGAGATCCGACATCCACGGAATACTTCAGTCTCACATCCGGCGACTTGGCCATCACCTGGTCGAAGGTTCTCCTCAGGTATAACTCGAAAAATAATACCCAATCAGGATTTTGTGCAACTTATGCCTGCTATCCAGACAGGAAAGCTTGGTCAACCGAGGAAAGCGACGATCCCCCGCTGCGAGCTGCATGTCTGGACCGGCGGAGACTAGGGTTTTCCTTGCCATCGTGACTTGATGCGTGAGGGGTTGTTTCTGGGCGCAGGTCATCACCCTCTTCTTATGCACGTCTGGGCAATCATAGTGGTCGGATTGACCGAGGGGCATTGTTACATATTGCATGATTGACTGACGATAAATATCCGTGATCGAACTGCGATCGAGACGAGAGGTTGAGTGTGTTCCCCAACATCCAAGCACAGTCAGTCGGTTATACACTTCGCACTGCCAGAATGACCGTCATCGAAAACCCCTTTCCTATCCCCACTCAGCTGTTTATCAATGGCGAAGTAGGTATCATGCCTTATAAACTCAAAACATTAGGTACTGACGAGGAAAAGTTCACAGAGTCGAGCTCCCCCGAGCGATTCTCCATCTACAACCCAGCCGATGGCAGTCTCGTCACCGATAAGATCCAATATGCCGTATCGGATGATGTCGACCAGGCAGTGCGCAGTGCCCAGGCTGCATTCCGGAACAAGGCCTGGGCTGGAATCACGTCCCAAGAACGAGGTCGCGTTCTGAAGCGCATTGCCAAAGCCATTGAAGAGAACAAGGAGGAGCTTGCCTGGTTGGACCGAATCGCCATGGGCAAGCCCGTTACCAATGGTATCGGCGAAGCGCAGTTCACGGCCGATATATTCGAATGTACGTGCACCTCTGCCATGGCCCCTGTATTCATGTCTATACAGACCGACCAAAGTCCGTGAACCAAATGCTAACCTCAGCACCAAAATCAGACTACGCCGGTTGGGCCGACAAGCACGCCGGCGAGACCTTCCCCGCTGACGATGGATTCCTCAAGATTGTCCAGCACGAGCCACTCGGTGTCTGCGCCGGCATCCTGCCCTGGAACGGCCCCATGGCCACGACCGCCTTCAAAGCCGCCCCGGCCCTAGCCACCGGAAACGTCATCATCCTCAAGCCGAGCGAGAAGAGTCCCCTCTCGGCCCTGCGTCTGGCATCCCTCCTGACGGACATTCTCCCTCCGGGTGTCCTCCAAGTCCTCAACGGCGCCGGAGCCACGGGCGAGCTCCTCGCGCGACATCCTGACATCCGCAAGATCAGCTTCACGGGATCCGGCCTAACGGGCAAGAAGATCCAGCGCGCCGCCGCAGAAAGCAACCTGAAGCGTGTGACGCTCGAACTCGGAGGCAAGACACCGGCGGGGATCTTTGACGACTGCAACCTCGACAACGCAGTCCAATGGGCCACGAAAGCCATCACCTCAAATTCCGGACAGATCTGCATCGCGGCGTCCCGCGTCTACGTCCAGGAGAGCATCGCAGAGAAATTCATCGCCGCATTCGTCGAAAGCATCAAGGCCTCGGCCGAAAACATCGGCGACCCAAACAGCAAAGATACCCAGTTCGGGCCATTGGCCGATAAAGCGCAGTTCACGCGAGTGCAGACCTTCTTCAGCGAAGACGCGGGCAAAACACAAATCCTGACAGGCGGCAAACAGCACGGCGAAACGGGCTACTTCTTTGAGCCCACGGTGCTGTATAACCCAGATCCGCAGGCAGCGGTGTACAGGAACGAGATCTTCGGGCCTGTGGCGTGCGTGCGGACGTTCAAGGACGAGGAGGATTTTCTGCAGATGGCGAACGATACCGAGTATGGGTTGAATGCGGCGGTGTTTACGAAGGATATCAACCGGGCCATGAGGATTAGCTCGCGGCTGGAGAGCGGCACGGTGGGTATTAATTGTGTGACGATGCTGCATTATCAGGTGCCGTTTGGAGGGTCGAAGCAGTCGGGCTTTGGTAGGGAGCTTGGGGCTTATGGGTTGAAGTCGTATACGGAGCCGAAGTCGATCTATGTTAAGTAAGTGTTGGGTCTGGATTGTATTGCATGATTGCTAACAGTTGTGAAGTCTGAACAGCTAGGTTGGCTCTGTGTCACGGGCACGTTTTAGGATGGTGAGCGACTGGCTAGGTGTACAATTCTTAGTTCATGCGTTGTTCCAGAGTTTCAAATTGCGACTATCGTGACAGATATTCGGCAGACTGACAGAGGAAGGAGATGCCGTATTTAGCACAATGAATTGCATCTTGTAAATCTCATCGTTCCTCCATGAGGACAAGCTATACGAGTGTATCACCCATGAACACCAAATTGACGAACAAAGTAAATAGTTGAAGATTCCATATATATAATCGAATAACGCTTTATGTCTTGGCATGTAGCAGACCTTGGACCATGCAACTCCTGGAAGCAGCGATTACCACATATGTCTCAAGTTTGCAGCTTGCAAGCCAAGCCAAGCAACCGCCTTGTAGAACAAACCATCGTCATTTCTTGGATCGTCGTTAAGGGCAGACGAGGGAGAGCGAGGGATGGAGCCTGGCTCTGTTATTAGGTTGTTGGCTATGAATTCCTCCTTTGTCATGTTCCCGTTATCCACAAGCGCTTTCTCGTCCTCCATCTCGTCCAAAGCTTCATCATACTTGTCCAGCTCGCTCACCTTCCTCGCCGCGAACACCTCAAGCTCCTCTGCATTGTCAAATATCTTCTCGCGCCTCGTCCACTCGGTCCCAAAATGTCGGCGCAACTGGGTAAAAGGAAAGCTGCGATAATCATTGAAGCCAGATGAGATGAGCATATGGAGCCACATGGCCCCGGAGGCCTGTGACCACTTGACAAGATCGGAGAGCTCTCTGTCTTTATGCTCAGGCATTTTAGTTTCTTCCTCCTCCAGGACACGTATAAAAAGCTCTAGACATCTGAAGTACCGGGCGGCAATCTTAGGCGGCTCGTCATCCGTGCAATCCCACGTGCTATTGACGGGCCTGTCTTGGAGAAGCCACCATGGCGCTGAGCCAAACAGCTGCGCGGGTCCGATGTATGACCATTCCAGATCCACAACTCCAACGACAGTGAGATCTTCCCTGCCCCGGACAATTAGATTCGCTAGGCCGAGATCGTCGCAAATCAGCTTGAACTTGGTACGGTCATATTTCGCGTGGACCAAGTCAGGTATCAGGCTTTTTAGGATCTTGAAAGCCACGTATTTGGTTTGAGCATCATACGAATCATCGGTCGAGTTCGGCTGGTGGACAAGCTGGTCCCAGTCTTGTGTAAGGACATATTCAAAATATTCGGTCGTCGTCGCGAACCCCTGGGCTCGATCACCTAAACATAATTTGCTTAATCAATATACATGGTCACAGAATTAGGGGAAAACCGGAATAGGAAGACAGCAAGGCGTACCGAAAGTGTTGACGCCTCCGTTCTGTAGGATGCTATGAGCCTTAAACGTTAGCGGCCGTTGCGGTGTCGGGCTTTGCGATTCAGTACGTGGCGGCGTAAGGCTACCGATGCGGTCGTGATCGAGCTTGAAAAGCTGGAGCAGGAAATTTGCCAACTGCCTGTAGATAAATTCAACATCGCCATCGCTGATATTCTCCCTCATAACTCTGCTAGGTCGCTCGGCGTCAGGGTCCCGAAGGAGGTCGTTAAGGCTCACACCGTCAATGAAGTCCATCATGATAAACGGACCTAGACTAAGTGAATTGGTGGCCGCCGGGCCCCACGCATGGACCCTGGGAACAGGAATAGTGGTCCTGTTACGGATAATATTCAGAGCCGTCACCTCCATAGCTACCTTCTCGTCGGCGTAGTCGTCAGAGACCCTCCCCACACGAGGGAAACGAACCATCCAGGCGGTTCTGTCACTAAAGACCATCTTTATGCCGGCATTGAATGCCCCATAATGAAAGGTACCTTCAAGTTGGCAGGGGAGCTTGTCGGGATGGAAAGTCGACACCCACGGACAGAGGCGGCCCGTTCTGTGGGTCTCGTTCACCTTGTCAACCCAAAGCTGACCCTGCACCTCGTGAACGAGGTCGACAAGCGCGTTAGTTTCCATAGGATTGGAGAAAGGATTGGTGGGGGATGATCACTGGGGGATTACGACTTTGATGAACCAGGAGCTGCTCGACAGAAGAGCGATGGGGACGAGGCCGCTGCGACCCGTTTTTAATCGTTGGTTGCGCACGGGATTGAGTGCCTCAGGCGGCTTACAATTTTCTTGGCGTGCATCACGTCCAAACTATAGAAAATGAAATTATGCTTATACTAGGATTGAAAAACTTGGACTTGTTGAACGGTGCTTCGATGTTGTATTTGACTCGGCAAAAGAGATGCTCAATAAAAGCAGGTTCTTAAGAGTTCCAGTAGCATGAAATTAGGCCAACGAGAGGGACCACGCTGCGCTGCGTCACCAATCCACCCCTAAGATCTGCAAGTGAAAGAACCAAGATTTCAGAGACAACAGTCAACGACTGATGGCAAGACAGGCTGTGCTGTGGATGAAACGACTGTAAGAACCGTCCATCCGGTTACACACGATCCGCGAGGCGTTGGAGGGCTTATCTCTAGCTAGAGGGACCACCCTTCTATCGTTAATAACAATCGTTAGCACATGCCTAGAGAGCTCAAGGGGGTTAACTCCTTGAGGTTAGTACGAACAGCGGCTTCAGCCATTTCCTTAGCAGTCTTCCTTTCAGCCTTGCGTCTCTCCCTCTCCTCTTTGTTCTTGCGCCGCTTTTCAACAGAGGAGTTGGCAGTGTCAACCATTAGTCCGACGGCAGCGCTTCCAGAGCTAATGAGCGCGTCGTTGACCTCCCTTCGAGCGTTTGCATTGGTATTAGACATCGTGAGTAGGCGTGATGTGATGGGGTGTGAGATATGTGGCAGACTTAAGCCAATGTTTACGACAGATAAGTCGAGAATACTTGATTCACAGTGGCCTTTAAGTGAATAAGCAAACGAAGGCAACCCCCTCCCCGCCCCCCTCTTTAGGATGAATTGGAGCCTTTTATATCGCTTTTGTGCGCACGGTCTGTGCAATGATAACAGTCTTCCAGGGTCTCAACCCCAAACGAGAATTCGCTGCAGGCTCTCAGGTATCTCGCGCATTGATAGGCCGAGCCCTGCCCGACTAGTTCACTGTCCCATTGTTCCACCATGTATGCTCAAGCTAGGTTGCATCCAGCGCGCACAAGGCATATGCTCAAGTCCCCGCTTCTGATGTTAAAGGGCTATCAAAGCGTCCCGCCGTGGTTAAGGGTCAAAGCACCTGTTTAGTCTGTCTATTTGAGAGTCCGTACATAGTGCCGAGTTGATTCGCTTTTGAGTGACGCCGTCTAGAGATCAGCTAAGTATGTATCTCATATGGAAAGAGATTCGATGCTTGTGCAATTGAGTTTTTACCCCCAACATTTCAATGCTTAAGCAGAATTTTACTAATCTTCTACACCGAAACTCACCATAGTGATCTGGTCGCAGGTCTAACTCTAGAAAGTTCCACCCGAAGTAGTAAGGCCAAGCCCAGACGCGCAGACTTTCCCCCGCCCGATCCTTGTTCTTCCTTCCTCATCCCACCATCCCACCGTCCCTCATCCATCAGACCATTTAGCGATCAATTGATAAATTACGAAGCGACGAGCGACGCAAAGACACCAGTGAGAATTTTTTGTAAACCATTCTCGTCTTATCGAGCACCCCATCCATCTCTGAATCCAATCGACCGACCGACCCCCGCATCCCCGCGTTTCACCTACCCTCGACGATCGACTATCTACGACCTACGATCTACGCGACCATGGCTCCTACAATCCGAGTGATCGGCTCTTTAAACGTGGACATGGTGTCCGTGACGCCTCGATTCCCCGAAGCCGGCGAGACCATCACTTCCTCGTCGTATTTCATTAGCGCCGGCGGCAAGGGCGCCAACCAGGCCGTTGCCTGCGGACGGCTGTCGCGATCGAAGAACGACCCCTCCCCGCCATCGGGCAAGTCGCCCGTCAAGGTGGAAATGGTTGGCGCCGTGGGAGGACTGGACGGACACTTCGACGCGCTGCTGAAACCGACGCTGGAGAAATCGGGCGTTGATGCGTCCCGCGTCCAGGTCATTGGGGATGCCTACACGGGCGTGGCGGTCATCGTTGTCGACGAGTCGGCCGGCGGCGAGAATCGCATTGTGTTCTCCCCCGGCGCCAACTACCAGGGCATGAAGCCGGAACCGCAGGTGTTGGGCATGGGGTTGGCGGCGCCCGTGCCGGACGTGATTGTCATGCAAGGGGAGATCCCCGTGGACACAACGATTGGGATTCTGCGGGAGCTGGCGGCGTTCAAGGTGAAGAACCGGGCGGAGGGCAAGCGAGGCATCGAGGTGGGTCCGGACGTCCTGTTCAACCCGGCCCCTGCGCCGCCGGGTGGACTGCCAGAGGATGTGTATGCGGCGGTGGACCACTTCGTGATGAACGAGACGGAGGCGGGGCTGATGTCTCCGCCGGCAGGGCAGTTGTTGAAGGTTGTTCCGGACGCGGAGGGTCAGCCCAGCAACGAGAAGGTGGCGCGGTACTTCCACCAGCTAGGGGTGACCTACGTGCTCATCACGTTAGGGTCCAAGGGCGTCTGGTACAGTGCCACCGAGGCCAAGACCTCCGGCCCGGTCGACGGCGTCAACCGATTCACGAACCAGCTGCCTGCCGCCAAGGTCAGCCAGGTGCTCGACACGACCGCCGCCGGAGATACCTTTGTGGGAGCGTACGCGGTGGAGGTGGCGCGATGGCGCGAGCAGCGACGAGCCGATGGCAAGGTCGGGCAGGACGTGACGACGGAGGAGAAACCGGTCCGCTATCAGCAGGTGATGAACGAGGCGTTGGGACTGGCAACGCGAGCCGCAGCCCGCGGGGTCGAGCGACGAGGCGCGATGGACAGCATTCCTTGGGAGGACGAGATCTGAGAGACGACTGCAAACGGGAAGGAGGCGAACGGAAGAATTGTCACGGATGTATAATATTGCACGATTGAGAACCAGGATGAAGATAGAAAAGGATATAATTATAGAATAGCCAACCAAGACGCGAGAGCATGATGTAACCCATGGAAGAAGCGTTTGCGAAGACAGCAAATGACGGTTCAAGGACCGGAATAGCGCGGCGTCAACCTTGCCGATCGCCAGTGGCAAGACAAGACAGACAGCCAAGAATGTCTTGAAGATTGTACAGAGCCCGGAGTGCTGCCCGTCGGACGCGAAGAATGACTATATCCTAGATGCGTCCGGGCGCGTACGATGCATACGCAGCGTCTAGACCTACCATAACGACCATTCAGAGGATCTTTCGACGAGAATGCTCGGGGTGAAAATGTATTATAATACATCATCTCATTCTCACGAGGGGGCATCGAACCTCGCAGCGTCTCACCTCCCAGCTGGAAGAAGAGAGGGGTTCAGAAGGATGAAACCCAGGCTGGGGACTAACGATGCACGAACGAGCCAAATCAACCTAAAATAGGCCGGACAAATGAGACTCGAGAGGGATCTGCGTTTGATTGAGGTCTACAGGACAGGCGAGACGGTCGCGGTGTCTTTCTCCCGGAAGGGAGGCAGCAAGAGCAATGCAGATGCAGCACAAACGCAGGACGGTGAAACATGGGATGGAATACGTGTTCGAGTGATGACACGCGACGGACGGTCGGCAAGGAAGAAGATAAGGGAGAAAGCAAGAAAGGGACGTGCTTGGGGGACGCGTTGAAGGGAGACTGTAGTACCTAGTTACTAGAAGTAGTTACCTAGAGGTAGGGTGGTTACGGGAATTGAGTTCAATTAATTAATTAATTAGTTAATTCATTCATTCATTAATTATTACTCCGTACTTCTAGAGATGAATCTCTTCAGATCGAAGATATAATAGTGAATATAATTATTCTAATAATTCTAGTAAAGACGCGCCTTGCATGGAGCGAGCGACACGACTCACGAGAAAGTCACGACTTACGCGCGCCTCCACCCACTTCGCTCATTCCCTTCAGCCTTCATACCGGTTCAGACCTGCATGATTCCCTGCCCTTCAATTACCTTTCCCCTTTCGTTCTTCCCTTGCCTCGCTTGCTTCTTTTATATCCTCCTTCGCCTCCTCCTGTTGCTTCCCTTTGTTTCCCTTCATCCCCTCTAACACTGGTGGTCGAGGTGTGATCGTGTACATTCGACATTCAACATTCAATCCATTCAATCCGTCTGATTCCCATCCATCTCGAGGAGAACCACGTCCATTCAACCATCAGTCCTGCACTACGCTTTAGTGATCCTCTATACTTCTGCCCGACCGCCAATCATCCGTCCACCCCACTCCCGCGCGACCAAAACAAACCCCCCGTCTATCCAGATAAATAAACTCCGTCTTATCCCTCAATCCCGCCGAAAGTCGCGTCTTTTCCCTTTCTTTCTTCATTTTTTTCAATCCCTCCATCATGGCCACCCTCACCATGACTTCCACTCCCGTGCGACAGCCCTTTGCCAGCCTGGATGCCCCGCGGGTACGCTCCTTGCTCAAGACCAAGATGAACGTGCAGAACAAGCAAAATGGTATGTCCACGCTAAACTCACCACCTTTCGGATCGACAGTCCTTGTACGAGTTTGCTAACCCGTCCGTTGCATCAGGTGCTCTCTTGACAAGCAAGCGTCAGCCACTGTCCGACATTGACTCCGAGAACATCGACCCCGTCACCCTGAACCACTCCTCCAAACGCAAGCGTGGTGCCGACGACGACGACCACGAGCCCGTCAAGGGCCCTTCCAAGCCCCTCAAGGCCTCCCGCGTGGCTCTCACTACCGTCAAGTCATCGCCTGCGCCCCCCAGAGCAACCCCTTCGACTCCTAAATCCGCCCCCACTCTGAAGCCTGCTGGCCGCTCCCCCCAGGCCAAACCCTGCAAGCCATTCGCTCGTCGCTCGACAATCGCCAAATCCCGTGTCGATCCTACCGCCAGAAAGAGTGTCAACCGCCCGTTCTCCATTGCGACCGCTCTGTCCAATGGCAAGCCCAAGAGCCAGCCCGCCAAAACCCCTGCTTCCTGGTCCTTTGATATCTACGTGGACTCCGAGCAGGAGGAGATGACCAACCTGATGCAACACTCGACCGGTGTGTTGGATATCAGTGACGACGAAGGCAAGGTGGAACCGAGCACCCGAGGCAAGGAGAATATCCCTCCTGCAGATTTGGGTATCTCCTTGCCTCGTTCTCGTCAGCAGGAATCCTCTGCCGCCGCAGCCCGGAAATCCGTCATGATGGAGGAATCCCGCTCTCCGTTGGGTGAACTGAACACGGCCGACTACTATGGCGAGGATTGCCACGCCTTTTCGTACGCCATCATCTACGATGACGAGGAGGCCATCGAACCTGAGAAGGTCTCTGTTCCGTCCGTGCCCCGAGCCTCAGGCAGCTCTCACCATACCCGAAGCAAGCTCTCTAGCGTCTCTTCGATCTCTTCTATCCTGGAAGCAACTGCGCCTAAAACCCCTGTCACAGAACCTACCGATCACGCCACCGCCGAGGTCGAGATCTGGGAAAGCGGGAGTGCTGCGGATGAGGCTGAGAAGGACTCCTGTAGAGTCTAGCTCGGTGTCCGCTTAACCACTGCTTTTACTAAACCCGGAATCCAACCAGGCGTTGCTCAATTCAGGCGGCGTTGAATGAGACATCCTCGCGCCGGGAGGGTCTGTTATTTGCGACTTGTTACTCGATACCCGAATCTTTCCTTTGTTCTGCTTCTTGACCCTTCCGCTAGTTGTCTCTTGATTTATTTCCTTTGTTCTGTTTCCTTCTAGTCTGCTCGTTGGATATCCGGTTTATCTCCTTGACTCTTACTCCATCCTTACCTGATTCTCACTCTGCTCTCACCTTACTCTGTTTACCTTATATACGAAGACAATTTTGTCCATCTGGTGTCTTGTCTACCTTTTGCTTTGTGGTCTTCTTGTTCTGTTGGAACTGATTCATTCATTCGCTGGGACGATGCCATGCCATGCCATTTCTGTACTATCTAATGATCGAGAATGCGTTACGTCGAATGATGTCTATGATGTATATACAACCATTTCCTTAATTAATTGATTGGAACCATTTGGCCCTTGAACTGTAGAATATGATTGCGTAAGAAATACTGAGCTTCTGTAATTAGGAGGTAGCTACTAGCTATAGCTGTCGACCTTTTCCTTTGGCCCTTCTTCTCCTCTCCATCTCATCCTCGTCCTCCTCAGAACTCTGTTCTTCGTCCTGCGGTGCCGATACTTGTTCTCCAATTGCCGCGTTCACCGATTCCGCCGCGGCTGCTGCCTGCGCTTCTAGAATCTCCTCCTGCTCGATGGCTTCTTCTTCCCCTTGACTTTCTTCCTCCCCGTCCACTCCACCCGCTTCACCACCACCATCCTGCCACTGAACTCTCCTCCCAGGCTCTATTCTAGCCCCCTCCCCAGAACCTGGTCCCTCCTCTCCTTCCTCCCCTCCCTCCTGCTGCCCCTCCCCCCTCTCAAGCTCCATCTCCATCTCCTCCGCCTCCCTCGTCCTCTCCTTCCAATTCGCCGACCCCTTCAACATGGCCCTCACCTCCGTCGCCAGCGCCAAATCCTTGGGCGTGGCTTCTTTCGGATCCACCGCGAACACCCGCACCACGTCTTCCAAGTCCACATGATCCGGGAACTGGAGGATTTTCGCAAAGTCCGCGTCCTCGGGGACGGTGTTGTCGAGGAGCGAGAGGACTTTGTTGCGCATGATGGCTTTGGCTTTTGCGAGCGTGCCGTTGCCGAACCACCCGTCTGTTACGGGGTCGCAGGTTTGCCGGAGGAAGTTTTCTGGCGGAGACGAGGAGGTAGAGGATTCAGGGAAGAGGATGGATTTGAGGAGCGGGTCGGCGACGTCGCAGAGCATCCAGATGCGGCCGTCGGCGTGGAGAGGCAACGTGCCGGTGAAGATGTGGCTGTCGGGGATGATAGGATCGACGGTGGAGCCGGAGGCGAAGGAATCGTTCGGGCGAGCGAAGGTATGTCTCCTCCCGTGGCCGCCGTCGCGCGCGAGTTCCGGCTCCCGAGGAATGATGCGGAACATGACGGTTTGGTAGTGGCGGTAGTCCGGGGAGGAGCGGGGGTCGTGGCCGAATTTGATGATGGCGTCGCGCCACGGCCCCGAGCGGAAGATGTATCCGACGTAGGGGACGGCGTAGCGGAGGAGGTAGCGCTGCTCGGACGAGGTGATGTTGTTGCGGAGGCCGCGGCGGGTCCAGGCGGGACGGTCTTGGAAGAGGGATTGGACGGTCGAGATGGTCTCTTGGAGGGACTTGTCGAGCGTGCTGATTGCCGGGAGGGTGTCGCGTGGGGCGGACGGCACGGTAGGGATGTCGTAGGGGACGAGGAAGGTCATGATTTTAGAGGCGGTTTGCGTGTTCACTGTGGTAACGTTGCCGGAGGTGTCGACGGATTGGCGGACGGTGGGATTTTGGTGGTAGCTGTTTAGCTGGTTAGTCGGGAGATGATTGATAGAAATGATAGAGCATACATGTAGCCGAACGGCACATCTCCATGGCTGAACGATGGAGGAGGGATAATGTCCACATTTGAGATGACTCCTTTGGTCATGTCCAGATCCCATTCTCTCATCTTATCGTCTAGCAATCAGTTAGTCTTCAGATCCACAGATCCAGAACTTGACGGCACAGATCCGTACAGTCAAACGACAAAATCTTCTCCCGAAACCGATTACTGAACTCGCTCCGCGCGGTCGAATACACAAAATCCGGCATCCCTAGAGACCAGGGTCAACTCCCCCTCCAAACCACAGGTTGAAAGCAAACAAACCTCGAAACACATGCGTGCGATTGATCGACCCTACTGGCTCGACCTGATACCTACCCTCCGTATCCCGGAGCGTCCTTAGCAGATGCCTCGCCCCAGGCCGCTGTGGCTCGCGATTAATAGTCGTCACGGCGACCCCGGAGAATGGCTCATCGGATCCCTTCTTCCTCTTGCGTCCCGTTCGCTTAGGCACCGTCACCTTGAGCAAGACGTTACTGGACGCCGAGCTAGTCGACTGCAAGGGTCGGGACATGGCGTCCTCCGGCCGCAAGAGGAGGTTTGCCGATGCATCGGCCTTTGGGGGGTTGAGGATCTAAATTCTCCATTTAGGCATTGGGAAACATATTGAAAGGGGGTGGCAATGGACTTTACCTTGGAGATTCCTGCGTTGCCTTGCAGGGTGTCAATCGCTTTGTCGACATCTTTGATAATGGCGGGATGTTCGACGCTGACAAGTTGTCGGGATGGGACTGTGTAGAAGGGGGCTGTTCTAGGGCCGTGCCATTCTGATGTTTGGTTGGGGTCCATGTTGATTTGCAGTGTGCCTTGGAGTGAGGTTGCAGGTTGCAGGTATATTCTTGCGTCCCACTATATGTCTGGAGACGATTACTCAAGGTAGAATGGATACAGAAGCCCGAGATATATTTCCACGGGACAGGGAACTAGACTGTTGGGTATTATGATGAACACCGCATGGTCGTTGAGTTGGTGAAAGTTAAAGATGAAAGTGAATAAAGATTGACGATGGAAAAAAGAAAGGTTGACTGCACCAAAGCTCTTCTCGAATAGAAGACACAGGAAAAGCAAAGACGCTACGGCGATCCTGACGCAGTGGAAAGAACCGCATAAAAGCAGATTTCCTGCCGCTTTACCGTCAGGACACACCACTGTCACGTGCAGTAAGTGAAGCGGCACCGCCACCAGTGCGAGTCACCTGATCCCCTCCTCCAAGTGCATTTTTCTCCCTGCCGAGTTCAGCCAGCAGTACTGTAGTCCTTACGTCTCGGAGTGCATATGGAACTGCATCCGACACCGTTGGAGTTTGACCTCATTTGCTACGCTAATTTGACATATCAACGGAGTGGTGCGGTTGTAGCATCCAGCGGGAAAGAAGTTTAGTTCGAAATGATCGGTTGCCATGAGGGCCGATGAGCTCATGTCCATGGCTGTAGTCGATTTCTTGAAGGTCGAGGGTCAGTAAATAGAACGCAAACACGGCTTGGTGTACCTACAGCCATGTATATCGGCCCCTTACCTGCAATCCAATGGATACGGGAGGATATTTATATCCTAGAAGATGGGGGAACTCAACGCCGAAGACATGGTTGGAGATACCGTAGAGTACTACTGATCAAGGTAGAAATACGAAGTAAAAATCAATTATCGACGTTCATTGGAAATGCAGTTTGCCGTGCCTCTTTTATGTGACGGAGACAGAGAGACACAGAGAGAGAGAGAGAGAGAGAGAGAGAGAGAGAGATGGGGAGACTAAAACGAGTCCCACCCCTTCTCTCTCTCTCTCTCTCTCTCTTTCTTCCTCTCCCTCTCCCTAAGACCCTCACTCCCTCGACGTGCCGACCGGGGCTTTTGCGTCTCGAACGGACCATCTCTTTCGTACGATTTCTGATTTATTTTCTGACCGATAAATTTTCTCCATCCGTTCTCATTCTCATTCTCATTCCCAAGATCTTGACCATCAATCCCCGGGGACTCTTACACCCCACTTTCGTTGCCAACCAGCCGCTAAGCGACACGGAAGACGATCGTCTAGCGCCGACCCGACCGACTGATTGACTGGCCGCTCCTATACCACTACCACTACGGTGTTTCGCGCCTAAAGCTGGACTGTCTGTCCCTTCTTCCTCCCACTTTGTCTCTCTCTCTCTCCCTCTCCAATTATCTCGAGGTAAGTCTGCATTAACTCCTCCTCTCCTGCTTTTCTTGCGCCTTTCTGGGGCGACCGCTTTTTGTTTGCCTTTCCCCCCTCCCCCTGGTGCTACCACCTCTTTGCTGGCTGGCTGGCTCGCTCGCTCTACCGCCTCCTCTCACCTCCCTCTTCCTCCAGCGTCTGAGTGTGCACTTGTCTCTTCTGTTATCTTTGGTCTTGTTTCTTTCCTCGAATTGCGATCTAGAACTTATTTACCACACGCTTTTGCCATGCTTTAACCCGAATCGAGCGCGATGTCCTGCTATCTTCTGATCGGAAATGCTCATGTGGTCGTTCCCAGGCCGACATAAACAACTTCCCCGTCGTGGCTCTCCTGAAAACTGCCTCCGCCTTGCCCAACGCTCAACCCCTCCCGCTAGTGTGCGGCATCTGGCTGCACTGGCTTTTAGTCCCCCGACCGAGTACATGTGGCTGTTCGATTAGGCCGCGACAATGAAGGGCTTCAGACAGAGAGTGGTAAGTGGTCCGCCTATCTCCCCCCCCGTGTCCCTTGTGTCCCCTCTCCTCCCACCCGCTCTCCCCGCGTGTGGACACGATCAAACGACAACGCCGACCACATCGTCTTTCCCGATCTGCAAGCTGACCCTCTCTTACCTCTCAGCACGAGCAGTTGTCGAGGGCCAAAGATGCGAATAAATCCTCTAAGAAGAAAGACGCTCAGAATCAATCGTCGCTGGGGGTTCAGCATGGCCAACAGTCCTCGTCCCCGAACCAGGGCACTCCCACCTCCTCCTCGACGTCCGTGAACGATGCGAGGAAATCGCCGGATAATGCTGCACAGGCCGGGGCGTATCCCCCGGGTCAGTACTATGTTCAGCAGGGTGCGGGAGCGGCCGGTCAGCCCGTGAATAATGGGGCCCCTGGGACTCCGACAAAGCAAGGACAACATGTGGCCCCCAGCGTGGTCATTAGTCCTAGCGCGCCGGTGAGTACTCGCCCTGTCCTCGCTCTTCTCACTGCCCGCGACCGGCAGTTTGACGTGCTTTTTTGTCCAAGCGCTAATCGTTTCGTGTGTTGCAGCATGTCCCCCCGCCCGGTGCCGCCGAGACGATGCCGGGAGATCTGGCTCCCCCGCGAAAGTCCCACGTCTTCGATCGCCTCCAGACGACCCCCAAGGATATGTCCGAAGGCATTCGGACTCCCAAGCGTCAACATTCGTCGCGATTCGACATCTCCGACCAACGTCAGCGGGAGCTGGAGAAACTTCCCGGCTTCCACGAAGTGCCCCCTAACCGGCGCCAAGAACTGTTCATGCAGAAGATCGATCAGTGTAACATCATTTTCGATTTCAACGACCCCACTGCGGACATGAAATCCAAGGAGATCAAGAGACTGGCGCTCCACGAGCTCTTGGATTACGTCGCCAATAACCGCTCGGTCATCACCGAACCCATGTATCCTCGAGTGGTGGAAATGTTCGCCAAAAACCTGTTCCGACCGATCCCCCCGCCCGTGACGCCTCAGGGAGAGGCCTTTGATCCGGAGGAGGACGAGCCGGTTCTGGAAGTGGCCTGGCCCCACATACAGGTTGTGTACGAGTTCTTTTTGAGGTTCATTGAGAGTCAAGACTTCAACACGAACATCGCCAAGGCCTACATTGATCACCATTTCGTGCTCCAGGTATGTGCTGAGAAGAAACAAGGCTTTGGATGCGAGCTGACCTCCTTTCTAGTTGCTGGAGCTGTTTGACTCCGAAGATCCTCGGGAACGCGATTTCCTCAAGACTACCCTGCATCGCATTTATGGAAAATTCCTGAACCTGCGATCATATATCCGTCGATCCATCAACAACGTTTTCTTCCAGTTCACATACGAAACAGAGCGATTCAACGGTATCGCGGAACTGTTGGAAATCCTGGGGTCGATCATCAACGGGTTTGCTCTTCCTCTCAAGGAGGAACACAAACTCTTCTTAACAAGGGTCTTGCTTCCCCTGCACAAAGTTAAGAGCCTCAGCATGTACCACCCTCAGCTGGCTTATTGTATTGTCCAATTCCTCGAGAAGGATTCGTCTCTAACGGAAGAGGTATGGCTTTTTGTTCGCTCCAGGAGTAATACCATTGGCTAATCCAAATAATAGGTTGTCCTCGGCCTGCTGCGCTACTGGCCCAAGGTCAACAGTACCAAGGAGGTTATGTACCTGAACGAAGTGGAGGATATCTTTGAGGTTATGGACCCGGCCGAGTTTGCGAAAGTCCAGGAGCCCCTGTTCCAGCAGCTCGCCAAATCGGTTGCAAGCCCCCACTTTCAGGTTTGCATTGTCCTTGATAGACCCATTCCCTTGCAACCGCTAAGTCAGTCTTGTGCAGGTCGCCGAGCGAGCACTCTACTTCTGGAACAACGAATACTTCTGTAACCTGGTCAGCGACAATGTCGATACTATCTTACCCATCATGTTCCCTCCCTTGTACGAGAACTCGAAGGGTCACTGGAACAGGCAAGTCTTTGAAGCTCTTAGCCCTCCCTCTCCCGGCGCAACGATCTAACTTCCCTTAGAACTATCCACAGCATGGTGTACAACGCTATGAAGATGTTTATGGAGATCAACCCCCAACTTTTCGATGAATGCTCGCACGACTACAACGAACGGCAAAATAGCGCCGAGCAACGCGAACGAGCTCGACAAAGCCGTTGGGAGAAGGTCGCTGAGCGGGCAAAGGATAGACAAAACGGCATTGCTCCACCTCCGTCGTCTGTGGAGGTTTCAGCTCAGGTGGACGAGGTCGAATCCCTCACCAACGATAGCCAGAAGCGTCTGCATGCTTTAAAGCTGGATGAGACCGGTACGCCAATTGAGAGAAGGGCTACCGGGGGATCGGTAAGTTCCATCCCCTCCTGACCGTGTGCGTGTAGTTATTTGTCATGCTTGACATGTTCTGCACCTCGCCGAGTTATTTTGTCCCCCCCTTTTTTTTTGCTGTCGTTAGTCATTACTAAGAAGTTGTCGTTTTCCATGTATAGCAAGCGTGATTCTAACGTCAAACGTCCGTAATACTCCAGAGACGGCGCCGAGGTTCCATCGATGGTCCCAGGAGGCGAAGAAGTGGTAGCGGCAGTGAGATTCGACCGCGACGAAGATCGGTTGGCTCAGGTGCCGTAACGATCTTGTCACGAAGCAATTCCACCAAGTGACAATCGAATTTATGGCATTTTACTCGTTAGACTTTCCACTACGACGGTATTAGCGATTGCGAGCTGCGATGAAGTATATTTGACTCTTCTTCTTGGGTTTTGATCCAAAAATCGCTTGTTCGTCTTTTCTCTTTTCTCTTCTTTTTTTTCCTTTTCCTCCCACCCCTTTCCACATTTCATCCTCCAATTCTTCCCCATCTTCTTTTCACGTTTTCTCTTTCACCACTTCCCTTGAATTCCCTTTTGTGTACATGGCTATCAATATTCTTCTCTCCGCGTGCAGGGTCGTGCTGAGCCCCTGTTTCCATGTGGACGTTTTTAAGTTGGACTATTAGAACTGTGTTCGGGGCTGGAAAACGGGTGCGAATGGCGTTTCCCTCGGTCGATATTGAAATCGATGACCTCATTTGAGTTTTTACACATGAAGTATTTACGGCATAGCCTTGAACCAGAGTCAAAACATTTCACCTTTTCCCATACTCCGTAGAGCTCCAGCGTTTTTGGGCGCACCGGTGGGACCACATGCCCCTGTGCCTGTACGGTACCTGACCACCTACGACGCGCTGATAGGCTATGTAACCGATACTCGCGTAGTAGACGCGCGCTTGACGGAATGGAGAATCGAAGACCCGATATTTCCTCTTTCGGACTAGCGTAAGCGTTCGGGGTCTCTGCGACACCCGCGTTCTGCTCTGCTGCTTTCTGCTCATGTTCATTTGCAGGCGTGATTTTGCGCGCATTCACTCTTGTCCTCGAGATACCCCATCCCTCCTTCCCCCCCCACTCCACCCTGGGGACTCTAAACTCCGCTCTTTTACTAACTATCCTTTCTTTTTCTCTCTCCTTCTATCCTAATTGCCTTTCGCCCCGGTGGGATTAATGAATTTACGACCGTGACCTTTTACCCGTTCCCTGTTCGATGAAGCGTCTTTCCTCGCCGGGCGAATAGAGAAAAGCTTCCTCTGTCGCTATTCCGCATGTGAACACGACGTCCCACGCAGACTGTGCTGGTTTTCGATTCCTCGCCGGCCCCTTGGCCTGGCATTAATTCAATCCCGTCCTAATTACTGAGAACTCCGAAGGAGTTGCATCAACCATGGAGCGAAACATTGACATCTACGCCAGCAAGCTGGCGGATGAGAAGCTTGGTACGTTTGGTCCTCGGTGACTCGAGAAGGAAGCCTCCATCTGCGGAGACTGCGGACTCTCCGCCGACTGGGCTCTCGAAGCTCTTTGTTGCTTACCCTCACTTTCCAACCAGATATCAAGCTCCGGTCCAACGTCGCACTTGAATTACGAGACAATATAGAGCCACTGTGCTCCGGTGCGAGCTATCCCATATTTCTTTCCAAGCTATGGCCCGTCTTCAAGACAATCCTCAAGGGCGAACCGGTATTCTCCAGCTCGTCGTTCGAGCAGGTTAGTCGCGACTCTCCCCTCCCCCGCTTATTATACCGGAAACTTCCACCCTCCGAATTGAGGCTGACGACCCCCTTCCTACTTTAGAAATTACGCAATTGTGTTCTCGAGACCCTTCACCGGCTACAACTGGCATCCCCCGACGTCGAACCCTACGCCGCGGATATGGTTGATATGTTGATGGACCTGGTTCGGATCGAAAACGAGGAAAACGCCGTTCTCTGCATGAAGACCATAATGGACCTTGAGCGGAATCAGGCCAAGGCGACCGCGGCCCGGGTACAACCGTTTTTGGAGCTTATCCAGGAGATGTTCCAGACGATGGAGCAGGTGGTTCGCGACACATTCGATACCCCTAGCCAGGCGACTCCGTCGGGGATGCCCTCGACACCCAGTGCGACCGCTCAGAACTTCCAGTCCCCTCGACCAAGCTCACCCGCCACTTCTGTCTCCGACCTCGGCCCGGATCAGCAGGCCAGCAACGTCTTGCTCAAAGGCATGCAATCTTTTAAGGTCCTGGCGGAATGTCCCATCATCGTCGTCTCAATCTTCCAGACCCATCGCAACTCGGTCGTGCAGAACGTGAAGCTTTTCGTGCCCCTCATAAAGAGTATCCTGCTACTGCAGGCAAAGCCGCAGGAGAAGGCGCATGCGGACGCCGCAGCCCAGGGACAGATTTTTACCGGTGTTTGCAAGGAGATTCGGAATCGTTCTGCTTTTGGTGAATTCATTACCGCGCAGGTGAAGACAATGAGTTTCCTGGCATACCTCCTAAGAATGTACGCGCACCAGCTACAGGATTTCCTTCCCACACTCCCATCGGTCGTTGTGCGGCTGCTCCAAGACTGCCCAAGGGAGAAATCCAGTGCGAGGAAGGAGCTCCTCGTCGCCATCCGTCACATCATTAATTTTAATTACCGCAAAATCTTTCTGGAGAAGATCGACGAACTTCTCGACGAGCGTACTCTCATAGGCGATGGCCTCACCGTGTATGAAACGATGAGACCCCTCGCCTATAGCATGCTGGCAGATCTGATCCATCACGTCCGGGACCATCTATCCCGCGATCAAATTCGCCGCACTGTTGAGGTGTACACCAAGAACCTTCACGATGATTTCCCCGGCACCAGTTTCCAGACAATGAGCGCGAAGTTGCTACTCAACATGGCGGAACGGATATCTAAACTGGACGACAAACGGGAGGCTCGCTACTTCCTGATCATGATCCTCGATGCAATCGGTGACAAATTTGCCTCCATGAACCACCAGTTCGATAATGCAGTGAAGGTCTCAAAGTTATACAAGGAGACAAAGAAGGACATAGAACCGTCGTCGGAGAGATACCTCGCGGACAAGGACCACCCACCGGATTGGGATGAGATCGATATCTTTTCCGCTTCTCCCATCAAGACTTCCAACCCTCGCGATCGAGGAGGAGATCCGGTGTCGGACAACATCTTCCTCTTCAAGAACCTGATTAACGGTCTCAAAACCATCTTTCACCAGCTCAAGAACTGCAATCCCGACCATATCCAAATAGATCCGAACAACGTCCCGATCAATTGGTCTGAGGTCTCCTATGGATACAATGCCGAGGAAGTTCGGGTGATCAAGAAACTATTCCACGAAGGTGCTCGAGTATTCAAGTACTATGGTGTGGACCAGTCACCCCCGGATGTCAGCTATTCCTCGCCATTCGACTTTCTTGCCAGCCAGTACACGGCGCCCATGTCTCGTGAGGAGAAGGAACTTCTGGAAAGTTTTGGAACCGTCTTTCACTGCATCGACACTGCGACGTTCCACGAAGTCTTCCACTCGGAGATCCCCTATCTCCATGAGCTCATGTTCGAACACGGTGCCCTTCTGCATCTGCCCCAGTTCTTCCTCGCGAGCGAGGCCACATCACCCGCCTTCTCCGGGATGGTCCTGCAATATCTCATGGAGCGGATCCACGAAGTTGGTACCTCTGACATGACCAAGGCGAAGATCTTGCTCAGGATGTTCAAACTCTCGTTCATGGCCGTCACGCTGTTCTCCGTTCAGAATGAACAGGTGTTGCATCCCCATGTCACCAAGATTGTCACCAAGTGCATTGAGCTCTCGGTAACTGCGGAAGAGCCTATGAATTACTTCCTCCTTTTGCGCTCCCTCTTCCGCAGCATTGGTGGTGGCCGCTTTGAGCTTCTGTACAAGGAAATCCTTCCCTTGCTGGAAATGCTCCTTGAGACTTTCAATAATCTATTACTCGCAGCGAGGAAGCCGCAAGAGCGTGACTTGTACGTCGAGCTGACTCTTACTGTACCGGCCCGCCTCAGTCATCTACTGCCACATCTCAGCTATCTCATGCGCCCTATCGTCGTGGCGCTGCGTGCGGACTCAGACCTAGTAGGACAAGGTCTCCGGACGCTTGAACTGTGCGTGGACAACCTCACAGCTGACTACCTGGACCCTATCATGGCCCCGATCATGGATGAATTGATGACAGCGCTCTGGGACCATCTTCGCCCGCACCCCTATAACCATTTCCATGCTCACACGACAATGAGAATACTAGGCAAGCTGGGTGGCCGCAACAGGAAGTTCCTTAACCACCCGCCAGATCTTTCTTTCGAGCAGTATACCGATGATGCGCCGAGCTTTGACATTAAGCTTATTGGACCAAGCGAAAAGCGACCGTTCCCCATCGGAATTGGCGTGGACCTGGCGATTGGGAAATTGATGGAGTCTCCGAAGACCGCTGAAGCAAAGGCGTCTGACATCTACTACAAGCAACAGGCCTTCCGCATGCTCTCTTCCCAGCTGAAGCTTTACATCGGACATGAAAACCTTCCGGATGACCTTGCCTCGCTCATTCGCTTGCATGCCAATGATCTTTTCGAGAACAAGACTACCGACATGGGAGACATCATGGATAAGTCCGATCGGTCCAGCTCCATTCCGAAGAAGTTGTCACAGGAGGGCTCCTTGAAGAAGCTTCTGAAAGCCTGTATCTTTGCCACCACCATTCCGGAGCTCCAACAAACAGCGACTGCTTTCGTTGCCGAGACCTGCAGGCACTTTGCTATTGTCGAGGTGGGTCGAGCACTGGGTCAAGTTCGGCACACCCGAAAGCCTTTTGATGTTTCCAGCGGAGAAGGGCCCGTGTACCTTGACTCGCGCGTCCTTGCTGAAGCCGTGGTTGAATGCCTGTCTTCCGATAACGCCGAGGTCCGTGATGGCGCGCAGGCAGCGATGCAAGTGATCAAAGAAGCAGCAGCTGTTATGTTCGGCACACCGGATCGCGTATCGAAGTTGCCGTTCTTCCAGCACTTGGGCCGTGTCTTCTGCCACAGCTGTCACAGTGAGGAATGGTTCACGAAGGCTGGTGGTAGTCTAGGTATCCACCTCTTCGCAACTCAGCTCGACCTGGGCGATACATGGCTCTTCGACAAACAGGCCGAATTTGTCCGAGCTCTCATGTACGTGATCAAGGACACACCAGCCGACCTTCCTGCCAGCACACGCGTACGAGCGCGAGACACTCTAGACTTGATTCTACGAAAGTGCTCTAAAAATGTTTCCAAGGATGACATGAAGAACGAGAAGAGCCGGCTCTATTCGCTCTGCGGGTTCTTTGTGTACGAATTGTCGCATATGAACAAGTTTGTCCGTGAGGCGTCTCGCCGAAGTTTCTCGACCATCGCCGAAGTTCTTGGCTGCCAACTTCACGAGTTGATCTTCCCCGTCAAAGACCGTCTACTGCAGTCGATATTCAACAAACCTTTGCGCGCTCTGCCTTTCTCCACGCAAATTGGCTTCATCGATGCGATTACCTTTTGCCTGGGCTTGCATAACAACATCGTGACTTTCAATGACCCGCTCAACCGGCTGATGCTCGAGTCTCTTGCCCTCGCCGATGCCGATGACGAGTCTCTGGCGCCCAAGCCCAATGAGTTCAAGAACGCGGAAATGATTGTCAACTTGCGGGTTGCTTGTCTTCGCCTCTTGTCGATGGCGATGAGTTTCCAGGAATTTGCCAACACCCCTCAAAATACGAGTCGTGCTCGCATCATTTCTGTCTTCTTCAAATCGCTGTACTCACGATCGCCCGAGGTTATTGAAGCCGCCAATGCGGGTCTGAGGGATGTTCTCACGCAGACCAACAAGCTCCCCAAGGATCTGCTGCAGAACGGTCTCCGCCCAATCCTCATGAATTTGCAGGATCCCAAGCGGTTGAGTGTCGCCGGACTCGATGGACTGGCCCGGTTGTTGACCTTGCTTACCAACTACTTCAAGGTCGAGATTGGTGCTCGTCTTCTGGACCACATGAAGGTGATTGCCGACGACGCTCTCCTGCAAAAGGTGTCTTTCAGCCTTGTCGAGCAGAACCCGCACATGAAGATCGTCGCTGCCATCTTCAATATTTTCCACCTGCTCCCCTCGGCTGCAACGTCCTTCATGGAGCACCTTGTAAATAAAGTCCTAGACCTTGAGGAGAAGCTCCGCAGGACATCGAACAGCCCTTTCAGAAAACCGCTCGTCAAGTACCTGAACCGCTATCCGAAAGAGAGCTTGGCCTTCTTCCAGGCTCGATTTAAAGAGGAGCGATTCGGACGCTTCTTTGGACAGGTTCTTGCGGATCCGGAAAGTGAGGGCTTGCGCGCTGCAGTTGTCGCCGACACCGAAGGTTTCACTTCGGCCGCCTTTGCCCAAGATGCGGCCGACGGCAAGAACACTGCTGCAATCAACGGAATTTATGTCGTGCATTCGATCTGTTCGTTTGAATCCACCAAGCGCTGGCTGGTTTCGCATGCGGACCTGAGGACAAAGATACTGCATTCTGGACGTGATTTGGAAAGGAAGTTGCGCAATGACAAATTGCCCGCCAATGAGCGACTGAGAGTCGAGCAGGCCGAAGATCAACTGATGGATGTATTTACAATCTATCTGGCGGAGTCGGTGCAGGACTTGGACTTCATGTTCGAGGTGATGGATGGCTTGTCTGCGGACGAACTGAAGCGCACTCTGGCATTCCCGAAGTTTATCTATCGCCACATTATCACCAACGAATCCATCGACTATCGGCGCTCAGTAATCATGCGATGTCTCGATCTCTACGGCCAGCGCTCGTGCTCGCAGAAGATGAAGACTTATGCTTTCCGTCATCTGGTCAACCCTATCTTCGCGATGGACGTTCAGACAACATGGAACAACCCCCCGAACAGCCCCAAGTTGATGGACAAGAGCATGACCGAATTCATTCAGAGTCGCCTGTGGAAGCCTCAACTAGCCGATCTGAGCGAAGAATCCAACCAAGCTGGTGTCGACCATTCCCGGATGGAACTCTTGCAACTATCTGCTCTGCTGATCAAGTACCATCACCAAACCGTGCAAGACTCGCGGAAAGACATCATCAAGTTTGCTTGGAACTACATTCGGCTGGAGGATATCATCAATAAATACGGCGCCTATGTTCTCATCAGCTATTTCATTGCGCATTATGAGACGCCGTTCAAGATTGTTGTCCAGGTGTATGTTGCTCTGCTGAGGGCACACCAAAACGAGGGCAAAGCACTTGTTACTCAAGCCTTGGACGTTCTGGCTCCTGTGTTGCCCACCAGGATCTTGGCAGCAAGCAGCAATGCCCAGACACCGGATACTCGATACCCGCTGTGGGCCAAATGGCCTCGGCGCATTCTGGCCGAAGAAACGGCCAACCTGCAGCAGGTCATGTGCATCTTCCAATTCCTTGTGCGCCAGCCAGATTTGTTCTACGAGTCGCGCGAGCATTTCGTCCCCTTGATCGTGCCCTCCTTGGTCAAGATCGCCTCGCCGCCTAATTCATCGAACGAAAGCAAGAAGCTCGCTTTGAATTTGATCAACCTCATCTGGCTTTGGGAACAGAAGCGCGTCGAAAGTCAGGCTGCCTTGCCAAATGGCACGCATGAATCGCCAAGCATGAAGAAACGGAAGCTGGAGGACGGCCAGGCCACGTCGACTCCTTCTCCAGCACTGGGACCTCCTACTTCTCGTGAGCGCTCTGAATATATGGTTCCTTCGGACCTTCGGGCAAACCTGACGAAATATCTCATTTCGTTCATTACCACCGTTCCCGAGCGGTTCCCTGTTCCTGCTGCCCACATCCGTGATCTTCCCTCCAACAAAACGCAGCCGCCCGTCCTCACGGGCGACATGATCAAGAAGGCTATGTACTTGTTGCGAAACCTGCTGTCGCCGGAGTACTGGGGTGATCTTGACATTGAGCTATACCAAAAAGTCACGGAACCCATCCTCGTGGGAGAGAAGGCGGACAAGCCGGACGAGAAGCACGTCACGAGTATGGTCAATGCTTTGCAAGTCGTGAGGGTACTTCTCGCAGCAAAGACCGATGACTGGATTACGGCCCGCTTGCCATTGATTCAAAAACTGTTCGAGAAACCCTTGCGCTCAGACAACCCAGAAATCCAGGACTGTCTTCAAGGCTTGGAAGACGAAATCGACATCTCCCCCAAGCTTCCACCTCCCGTTAAGCGTGTCCTCGACGCTCTTCCTGACGATCAACCGGAGGAAGAGGATGCAATGGATGTTGAGAACTCGCCCTCGGAGTTCGTAACGTACTTGTCCGCCATCGCCACCGAGACCCTTTCAGCAAATAACTACGTTTCGAGCCTGAATGTTCTTTGGACGCTGTCCAAGAGCAAGCCCGCTGAGATGGATGCTCATATCGCATCGGTCATGAAGGCATTCTCCCAGAAACTAGCAAAGGAGCATGTTGCGGCCTCCACGAGCAACAATGGCCAAAACAACAATGGCCAAAACAGTAACGGACAGAACAATGGTGCCAAGCCCGCAGAAGGAGTGCCTGATCAGCAAGAATATGAAATTGGAGTTGACCTCATCTTCAAGACCATTGAGTTGATCTCTGTACGCATGTCCAACCTTGGAGAGCAAAGGCGGCCTTTCCTGAGTGTGTTGGCGCAACTCGTGGAGCGATCCCAGAATATCAAACTGTGCAGCAAGGTGCTCGGTATGGTCGAGAGCTGGATCTTCCAATCGACGGAGTCTTGGCCGACCTTGAAAGAGAAGACGGCGGTCTTGCACAAGATGTTGCTCTTCGAGTCGAGATCAGACCACACAATGCTGAAGAAGTTCCTGGATCTGGTTATTCGAATCTACGAGGATTCCAAGATCACACGGACTGAGCTGACGGTCCGACTGGAGCATGCTTTCTTGATTGGTACCAGGACGGAGGATGTGGATATGCGCAATCGGTTCATGACAATCTTCGACCGCAGTCTGACCCGCCTTGCTAGCTCGCGACTGAGTTATGTGCTTACCTGCCAAAACTGGGACACTCTTCAAGATTCTTTCTGGCTGTCGCAGGCGGCCCATTTGGTTCTGGGCTGCGTTGACATGAATGGCCCGGCGAAGCTCCATCCGGACGATTACACTGTTTACCCGGTGTCCTTCCTCTACAGCAACGCTGAAAAGGATTCAAGAAAGGGTGATGTCATGGTTGATGCTCAGCTGGAAGCTTTTGTCACGGAGCGAAGGCGGTTCGTGTCTGAACTTGGTGATGTCAAAGCTCGCGATCTGATGGAGCCGCTCTGCCAACTCCAGCACACTGATCCCAATGTTGCCTATACCCTCTGGACCAATCTCTTCACCATCTTCTGGTCTACCTTGTCGAGGGAGGATCGCATTGACCTGGAGAAGGGGATGGTAACTCTCATCACTCGCGAATACCATCGAGGACAATTGGACAAGAGGCCCAACGTTGTACAAGCTTTGCTGGAAGGCGCCGTTCGAGCCAAACCTCGCTTCAAGATCCCTCCGCATGTGATGAAGTATCTGAGTCGCACCTATGACGCCTGGTACACTGCGGCAACTTATTTGGAGGAAACGGCAATAAACCCCATCATTGACACGCCAACCGTTCGTGAAAGCAATCTTGATGCTTTGGTTGAGGTCTACGCCGGCTTGCAGGAAGATGATTTCTTCTATGGGACCTGGCGGCGGCGCTGCAAATTTGTTGAGACGAACGCTGCTATTTCTTATGAACAACAAGGGATGTGGGACAAATCTCAGCAATTATACGAGAATGCGCAGATCAAAGCACGCTCAGGCGCAATGCCATTCTCTCAGGGCGAATACTACCTGTGGGAGGACCATTGGTTGATCTGTGCCCAGAAGCTGCAGCAATGGGAGATACTCAGCGATTTTGCCAAGCACGAAAACTTGAACGATCTTCTGCTGGAGGCCGCGTGGAGGAACATCGAGAACTGGCAGAGCGACGGAAATAGAGAGCAGCTCGAGTCACTGATCAAATCCGTCTCTGACGCCCCCACACCAAGACGAACCTTCTTCCAGGCGTTCATGGCGCTGCTTCAGTTCCACATCAAGAAAGACAACCTGCAGGACTTCAACGGTGTTTGTGACGAGTCAATTCAGCTGTCCATTCGCAAATGGCTTCAACTGCCCAAGAGGATTACCAATGCTCATATTCCGATCTTGCAGCACTTCCAACTTCTGGTCGAGTTGCACGACGCAAGTCACATCTGCGGGAGCCTAGCGCAGACCAACGACCGGAACCTGGACACGAAATCTGCAGAGCTGAAGCTGCTGTTGGGAACTTGGCGGGACCGTCTCCCCAACCTGTGGGATGATATCAATGCCTGGCAAGACCTTGTTACTTGGCGCCAGCATATCTTCCAGCTAATAAATGCCACCTATCTGGGCTTGCTACCCCCCCAGACGAACAACGTGGCAAGCAACTCCTATGCTTACCGTGGATATCATGAGACGGCATGGATCATCAACCGCTTCGCTCATGTCGCTCGTAAGCACCAAATGCCCGAGGTCTGCATCAACCAACTCAGCCGCATCTATACCCTGCCGAATATTGAGATTCAGGAGGCGTTCCTCAAGCTGCGAGAGCAAGCAAAGTGCCACTACCAGAACCCCAAGGAATTGAATAGTGGATTGGATGTCATCAACAATACGAATCTGAACTATTTCGGTGCGCAGCAGAAGGCCGAGTTCTACACTCTCAAGGGCATGTTCCTCGCCAAGCTCAACCATGTCAACGAGGCGAATGAGGCATTTGGCGTCGCGCTCTATTACGATCTGCGACTTGCCAAAGCCTGGTCTGAGTGGGGCCAGTACAGCGACCAGCGATTCAAGTCCGACTCGTCGGATTACGAATTGGCCAGCAATGCCGTTAGCTGCTACCTGGAGGCTGCTGGACTTTACAAGAATTCCAAGTCCCGGAAGCTGCTCAGTCGGATCCTCTGGCTCCTTAGTCTGGACAATGACGAAGGACGCGTGGCGAACGCCTTTGAAAACTTCAAGGGCGAAACTCCCGTCTGGTACTGGATCACGTTCATCCCCCAGCTGCTCACCAGCTTGTCGCATCGTGAGGCTCGCCTCTGCAAGGCTGTTCTGGTCAAGATCGCCAAGTTGTACCCTCAAGCTCTTTTCTTCTTGCTCCGTACAAACCGAGAAGACATGCTGAACATTAAGAAGCAGCACGATCAAAAGCAGGAGAAACTGAACCGGGCTAGACAGCAGCAGCAACAGCAGCAGCATGCTTCGCCGCAGCCCAAGCCTTCCCCGGCGGTCGCCGATGGCTCGCCTATGCAAAACTCCCAAGCCAACGCCGGCCAGGGCGCGCAGCCGAACAACCAGCAGCAGGTGCAAAACCAGGCCCAGCAGCATCCCCAGGGACTGCCTCAAGGACAGAGCCCTCAGATCAACAACCAGGCCCAAGCCCAGCAATCTCCTGCCCAGAATCAGATGCAGTTGCCTCAAGGCCAGAATGGCACGCCAAACCAGGGCCAGAACCCAATGCAACAGCCTCAAGGGCAGCAGAATCACCTTCAGGTTCCTCCTGGCGCCAACGGAACGCCACAGCAAAACCAGAACCCTGGCACCGAGGTGGAGAAGGAACCTCTCAAGAAACCATGGGAGTATTCCGACGAGATAATGTCCGGCCTCAAGACAGCTTTCCCATTGCTTGCGCTGTCGATGGAGACAATGGTCGATCAGATTCACAAGAACTTCAAGTGTCCTCCGGACGAGGATGCTTATCGTCTGATTGTTGCTCTTCTGAACGATGGACTGGCGTATGTTGGCCGCATGCCGGGCTCGTATGCGCAGGACTTCAAACTGCCTGCCGCCACCGAGGCCAACATCACTCGCTTCGCGGAGACTATCTTGCCAGCTCACATCCGCAAGTCCTTCGAGGCTGACTTTGTTGTCAAGAAGCCGACCATGTATGAATACATCCAGAAGCTGCGTCGCTGGCGAGACAAATTTGAGGAGAAGCTCGACCGTCGACCTCAGTCTCAATTCTTAGAGAGCTACTCGCCTCACCTCAGTGAGTTCCGATTCCTCAAATTCGACGAGGTCGAGGTGCCCGGCCAGTACCTGCTGCACAAGGACAAGAACCAGGACTTCGTTCGCATCGATCGGTTCTTGCCTGATATCGATCTGGTGCGCGGTATCGGTGTCTGCCACCGTCGCCTGAAGATCCGAGGTCATGATGGCAGCGTGCATCCTTTCGCTGTCCAGCACCCGGCGGCTCGTCATTGCCGACGGGAGGAGCGGATCCTGCAGCTCTTCCGTATCTTCAACGGTCTGTTGGGCAAACGCAAGGAAAGCCGACGACGCAACCTGTACTTCCACCTTCCACTTATGGTTCCGTTGGCTCCTCACATCCGTCTGGTTCGTGATGACCCGTCGTACATCTCCATGCAAGGAATCTATGAGGATTACTGCCGCCGGGTTGGCATCAACAAGGACGATCCTGTTCTTTTCACCATGGAGAAGATGAGGTCGTTGGCAGAGACCAAGCAAAACGTAAGTACACCTTGTGATCGCACGGTGGACACGACTGACATTTTACAGCGCACGCCCGATCAACAGCAACTCCTTCGAGGCGAGATACTCACAGCCATTCAGGAGAAATGGGTTCCGAATACCGTTGTACTGGATTACTTCCAGAACACATACCCCAATTTCGCGGACTTCTGGCTTTTCCGCCGGCAGTTTACCTACCAATACGCTGCAATCGCGTTCATGACCTACGTCATGCACATGGGTAACCGGTACCCCAACAAGATCATGATCTCGAGGACGACGGGTGATATCTGGGGCTCTGAGCTCATTCCCGCCATCAACCCTGCCAAGGCCTTCTTCTACAATCCCGAGCAGGTGCCTTTCCGATTCACGCCCAACATCCAAACGCTTTTGGGGCCCATTGCCACCGAGGGTCTCTTTGCGTGCGCATTGATGGCAATTGCGCGATGCCTGACCGAGCCCAGACACGAGCTCGAGCAGCAACTCAGCATCTTCGTGCGCGACGAGATGATGTTCTGGGCTACGGCTCAGCATCGTGGTTCTCTGCCCGTCCCGCAGCTCCGCGATCTGGTTTTCAACAACAGCGATGTGATCGTCAACCGAGCCGTCAGCCTTGCCAGTCCTCCTGAAGGCAACCTTCCTGCCAACCAAACCACTATCGACCTCATCTCCAAGGCTGTGAATCCCCAGCATCTGGCTTCCTGCGACGCTCTGTGGATGCCGTACCTTTAGAGCGCAAGAAAAATCCTTCTGTCCGTCTGTATTATCTTTTCGTTGCGTGGCGTTTGATTGCTTGCCACTCTTGTTCTATCCTACGGGATTATCTATTAAGGATGTTGCTCATGGATTGAGTGGGCTTCGTGATATCAGTTATTCTTTGTTCTAGCGTGGCGCTCAGGGTCAAAATCTTTGATGGATGTGTCTACGACATTTTTTTGATCTTATTTCCTGTTCTGTTTTATTCTTGCGATTGTATCATATTTAATATCCAGTCAAATGAATGATATTGGCCATTACTTCGTTTTCCTTTGTAGTGATTAATCAATCGTAATGCTCATCATTGAGAGCTTATGTATAGGATCCCGAACGCCGGAAATTGAAAGACCGTAGTCTGTATGTGTGGAAAGCCAACCTCAAGACTCAAACCAGCGACGGCTTAGCCTTCTTCTTAATACCCAGGCCATTCACCAACGGCTTCTTGGGCTTCTTGGTTCTCGCAAAGGAGGGCGGAGGAGGCATGGCGTCCGTTGGTTTCGAACCCACCGAAGAAGGCCCAGCTTCCTGACCACCCTCCTCCTCTTCAACCAACCTCTTCACCTTCTCCCCAGTCTCCGTCATAAACGCCCTCCTCGCGGCCTCCTCATCCTCCCTCTCTTCCCTCTCCCTCTTCTCATCCACCTGATCCCTCACCTGCCCCAACGCCACATCCTCTCCGAGCCCCTCAGTCCTCTCAATCCTCGCATTCCGCGTACGAATCTCATCCAACGCATCCGCAATCGCCATCTCCCTCTTCGAATCCTGCATCTTCTCCTCCAACTCCGCCATCTTATCCCTCTCCAACTGCTCCTGCTCCTCCCCCTCCTCCTTCTCCAACCGATCCAGCGTCTCCTGCTCCGTCTCGTCATACGTCCCCGCCGCGGCCGACGCATCGCGCCACGGCTCGAAGTTGCGCTTCGCACCCTTCTCCGCCCGATAGTCCATGTTTTTGGGGTCCGTCACGAAGGTGATTTCTCCGCTGCAGCGCGTGCATCGGATGTAAAAGCGGTAGATCGGGATCGAGAAGTATTTTTCCTCGGTGGTTTCTTTGCGCGCGTTGAATTTGCGGCCGCGGTAGATGTATTCTCCTATTCGGTATAGATAACTTTGTTAGTATGAATTGGGTGTACGTGGGCGGATGGATAGGTGGAGGGGAAAAGGGGGGATATGAGCGCAAACAGTTAGAATGAGTATGAGGGATGTATCAAGTAAAAATAAACATACCGCAATGTGTACATTTCATAGAAAAGGGCGCCATCAATCGAACAGTGATGACCTTAGGCCCTGTACTGCGCAGATGTTTAGGCGTTCGGGTGATGGCCGACGGATCGAAGTCCGGGGGATAGTATTTGGAGCTGGAGTGAAATAGTAATTAGCATTTCCGAAATAGTTCATGTAAACAGTTATAGCGGATTGGACTTGAAGTTGTTTCTCCTGCTGGGCTGCGCCAACGCCTCGGAGGCGAGGAAGGTCGGTGACTTACAGGACTTTTCGCTCAGACATGGTGGCGCGTCAGTTGCTTGTTCGTATCAGGGTGTTTTGTTTGACACTGAGAGTGTTCCCGATGAGATGCGTCTTCGTTTAGAGAGGGAGAGTGATGCTGACGATAGACGATTAGGGTAGAGAGATAAAGATGAAGATCGAAGAGGGATGCGACAGAGAGTCACCTGCGGCAGATTGATACGCTAACCCTAAATGGAAAATCAAGACGGCTGACCGCCCCACGCCAAGCTGAGGGTCCTTCGAATCATGTGATGTCGGTTCTCCCCCATTCTAGACACCTGAGGCCGGCGGAAAAGTATATGGAAGTCGGTTACAAGTCTCGATAAATCGAAACCTATCTATGCAAAACCATGTTCTCAACCAAGAGCTCCTTCGAAGAACGAACGACTGCAAGTAGGCATGCACGCCTGCGATATAATCAAGAATCTGTCGCAGCAAGCATACACCTTCGCCCACTCCTTGCGTCCGGCCTCGTCTTTAGTCCGAAAGGAGGATGCTAACCTCTACTGTCCTGGCAGATGATTTGAGCCTGATCGCAGATTTCTACCGTCGCAAAATTGAATAGCAATAAGAGGCAAGAACGTGACAAAGGGCCCAACGGTGGGGATCGATGGTGATGGCGTGATCTGACTCCATCATGGCTCATCCCACGATAGCGTCCTATTGCCAGCCAAGAGCTCAAATTTTTTTATTCCCCTTAAGTCGCATCCTTGCACCCTTGATAGAAAAACGTTGCATTCACTTTTCAACTTCACGAAGAAATGGCCACCAATTATGTCGATCAATCGCCCCTTGGGCAAAATGAAAAACATCCGACCAGCAAAACAAAACACTCAACTGGCCCGCCTACTGGAGATGCAGCGCTCGAATTGCTGGGGAATGGAGCCCTCGGTGGGCATCTGGACCCTGAAGCGTCGGCACGTTTGGTCCGGAAGATTGATCTCTATGTGATGCCGCTGATCTGCATCGTGTACTTCCTGCAGTACCTCGACAAGATTGCCGTCTCCTATGCCAGTGTGACGGGCGTGCGCGAGTCGGCGAATCTGCAAGGAAATCAGTTCAACTGGGTCTCAAGTATTTTCTTCTTCGGCCAGCTAGCTCTACAATTTCCTACGATGCGACTCATCCAAGCTTTCCCACTGGCACGGTATGTGGCCTTCAACGTCACCGTCTGGGGCGCGATCCTGGCATGCATGGCCGCGTGCAAATCATTTGCATCGCTGATGGTCTGTCGTGCACTGCTGGGCGCCGCCGAGGCAGCTGTCGTGCCAGCCTGGGTAGTCTTCACCTCCCAGTGGTATCGCAAGGAGGAGCAGGCGTTCCGCGTCGGCTTGTGGTTCTCCATGTGTGGCTTCGCCCAGATGTTTGGCGGATACATTGCCTACGGCGTGGCCATCCACATTGGCGGAGATCCCACGGCTGCTCTGCGTGGATGGCAGGTCATCTTTCTCATCCTAGGCCTGTTTACTGCAATTGTCGGTATCATATTCTTCTTTATTCTGCCCGACTCCCCAGTCACGGCTTGGTTCCTCTCGCACGAAGAAAAAGCCATGCACGCCGAGCGTTTGCGCGGCAATGAACAGGGCATCGGTAGCACCGTCTTCAAGAAGGAGCAGGTTTACGAGGCGTTCCGAGACCCGCAAACGTGGATGTATTCGTTCTGGGTGTTTGCGGCCAACGTCCCCAATTCCATCGCCACCAGTTTCGGAAACATCCTTGTCACCGGAATGGGATACTCGGCGAACCAGAGTCTGCTGCTGGTGACGCCGCTGGGTGCCTACGAGGTCGTGGCACTCATTGGGCTGACATATCTTGCCATGAGGATGGAACAACGCCTTCTCTGGTGTATTATCGGCCATCTTCCATCCATAGTGGGTGCCATCCTAATGGCGACCACGGAAAAGGCTCCGGCTCTGGTGGGATATTACCTCTCGGGTGGGATTCCAATTGGATGGACGACGATTCTCGCACTGACTAGCACCAACGTGGCTGGCTCGACGAAGAAGATCACCGTGTCCTGCATTCAGACGGTGGCATACACGGTTGGCAACATCATCTCTCCGCAGACATTTCAAGCGAAGGATGCGCCCCAGTATCTGCCGGCCAAGATTTCTATCGTCATCTTGTACTTCCTCGTCACGGTGGACCTATGCCTCATCCGATGGATGTTTATCCGCGAGAACCGCAAGCGAGACCAGGAGAAAGCCGCCCTAGGCGATGCCTACGTGGTGCCAGAAAACCACGAGTTCCTCGACTTGACGGATCGCCAGAATCCGGAGTTCCGATATGCAATCTAATTGTAAATGCAAAACCATGCATAGACCCGTTATACCCGTGGAAATAGCCGAATTGCACAGTTCTGCAGGAATAGAATGACCCAAGCGTACCTACAAGAACACCTTACTCGTATGGCAATGTCAATGACCGTATCGATCAGCATTTGTTCCCCGCAGGACGTTGGACTTCAGCCTAATGGAATCCCTGCAGGTTTCTCCTGGCGCCACGGCGTGATTGGCGGCAGGCGACGATCGTCATCAATGTTTGGCCCTGGAGAATTGACTCCGTCATACCATCAATTATCAGAACATGCACCCCCGCAGGAAACTTGCCTCAGGTGGCGAGCTCCGGGATGCATATTGGCTGAATTGACGCAGATCATTGTCGCAACTAACAGCTTTGGATAAACCCAGGGACACAATGTAGCACTCCTTTAAATTGTACACACTTTCCCAGGCTTTGGACATACCAAACCACAACATCTTCAAGATGGTTCACGTCGAATTCGCGGTCTGGTTGGCCCTTTATTTCCTCTCATCTGCTCTCGCAGCCGATGTCTTCCCAGATTGCACCAGCGGGCCTCTCAGCAAGCTGGCTATCTGCGATACCTCCCGCGATCCCGTTGCACGAGCCAGGTCCCTCGTGGCTGCGATGACGCTGGAGGAGAAGATCAACAACACTCGATTTGACTCTCCCGGTCTTCCTCGCCTGGGACTACCGGCCTACAACTGGTGGAGCGAGGCCCTACACGGCGTCGCCGACTCTCCCGGAGTGCACTTCGCCGACAGCGGAGAGTTCAGCTACGCGACCTCGTTTCCAGCGCCCATCGGTCTGGGCTCCGCGTTTGACGACGAACTCGTCAAGCAGGTCGCTACCGTAATCAGCACCGAGGCCAGAGCCTTCGGCAACACGGGCCACGGCGGCCTTGACTACTGGACGCCTAATATCAACCCGTTCAAAGATCCCCGATGGGGTCGCGGACAGGAAACCCCTGGTGAAGACGCGCTGCATACCGCACGATATGTCTACCATCTCATTGATGGTCTGCAAGGGGGCATCGGACCAGCCCATCCCAGAATCGTGGCGACCTGCAAGCACTTCGCCGCCTACGACCTGGAAGACTGGAACGGCATCGAGCGCTACGCCTTCGATGCTATCGTCTCCTCACAGGATCTGGCCGAGTATTATTTGCCGCCGTTCAAGACTTGCACGCGCGACGCCAAAGTTGACGCCGTCATGTGCAGCTACAATTCGCTGAATGGAGTTCCGACCTGCGCCGACCCATGGCTCCTGCAAACCCTGCTGCGTGAGCACTGGCAGTGGGAGGCTCCTGGACACTGGGTCACAGGTGATTGCGGTGCCATCCAAAACATCTACGCGGACCATCACTACGCCGCGGACGGAGCGCACGCCGCTGCGGCCGCAATCAAAGCTGGCACCGACCTGGACTGTGGAGATGTGTTTCCTCGATTCCTAGGTGAAGCCGCAGAGCAAGGGCTGTTCTCCAACCGCACGTTGGACCGCGCCTTGACGCGGCTGTACTCGTCGCTCGTCAAGCTGGGCTACTTCGATCCTGCCGACGACCAGCCCTACCGGTCCCTAAGCTGGGAGGACGTGTCCACGACGCAGGCGGAACAACTCGCCTATACGGCCACCGTGGAGGGTCTTGTCCTGCTGAAGAACAAACACACCCTGCCGCTAAAGAAGAACGGCACTGTTGCGCTTATCGGCCCCTATGCCAACGCCACCACCCAGATGTTGGGCAATTACTACGGTTTCCCAAAATACCTGCGCACGCTTCTCTGGGGTGCCTCCCACGCGGGATACAAAGTCCGCTATGTTCCCGGCACGGGCATGGACTCTGACAGCACCGAGGGGTTCGACGATGCCATATCCGCCGCCAAGGACGCAGATTTCATCATCTACGCCGGCGGCATCGACAACGACATCGAAGCCGAGTCCAAGGACCGTACGACTATTGTCTGGCCCGGTAACCAACTTGACCTCATCGACCAGCTGGCGGACGTGGGAAAACCGCTGGTTGTGGTCCAGTTCGGCGGTGGCCAGGTCGACGACTCCTCGCTTCTGGAGAATGACGGCGTCGGCGCTCTCCTCTGGGCCGGCTATCCCGGTCAGGCCGCCGGCGCTGCCATATTCGATGTCCTGACTGGCAAAGTCGCGCCCGCTGGCCGCCTGCCAGTAACGCAGTACCCGGCTGGCTATGTCAATGAAGTCCCTATGACCAATATGGCATTGCGTCCTGGATCAGGAAGCCCCGGCCGGACGTATCGATGGTATGATGAGGCCGTGATCCCGTTTGGATACGGACTCCATTACACCACTTTTGACGTTGCGTGGGACAAGTCATCCGGTCCATACGATACCGCGACGTTGGCGAAGTCAGGTATAAATCCCTCGGACACGGCAATTCTAGACACTTTCAGTTTAACGGTCAAAAACGTCGGAAACGTCACCTCGGACTATGTCGCACTTGTCTTCTTGACGGGCGACGTTGGACCGAAGCCATATCCCATCAAGACATTGGTGGGTTATAAACGTGCAAAGCAGATCAAGCCCGGGCAGAGCCAGACGGTCGAGATAGAGGTGGCTGTCGGCGCAGTGGCGCGTTATGCTACTAATGGCAACCAAATACTGTATGCTGGGGAGTATGAGCTGCATATCGATATTGAGAAGGAAGACACGCTTTCCTTTGTGGTGAAGGGGGAGGACAAGCTGTTGGATGTATTTCCTCAGCCTGATGGCAATCGGACTTCTGTTACATTGCAGTAACGGTGTGCTGAATTAAACTGTACAAATGATTTCGAACAATGGGTTGATTGGCAGTATTAAAGCCCCCCTTGTAGGCATTGTCTGGGTAGGTCCATCGGCCATCCCCTAGTTATAGATAGATAACTTCCATAAGCAGTTAGCGCCAGCGCCCTTTCCGGCGGATCTCACTCTGATTGATCGGCGCAGCGCTTATCTGCTTATCAATCGTCCCGTCAGCAGAAATTGCTTCGTTTATATTGACCGGAAGACAGAGTATAAGTAAGACAGTCCACTGCCAGCCAGTCAGTCTGCTTTTCGTCCGTTTACACTGTTCATGAACATCTTACATTTGTTCCCTTCCTTTCGGGGTTTCCGATCTACATCTCTATCTTTTCCTTCTCGAAGGGTTTTCCTGAATCCTGCCGTAACTCCCTTAACCTCAAGGTTCTTCTATTTCTCAACCATGGCGGAGAAAGACGCCGGCGCGTCCACAACGACGAGCGAAAAGGCGCCTCTGCCACCATTGTCGCAAAAGGAGTTTCGCATATATAATCGTATGGCGGAGCAGATGGATATGTTTGTATGTTTTCTTGAGTTTCATTCGTTTACTCCGAACATCTTCGACACCCCGTATTTGTACCTATACCGACACTATATCTATATTTCAGCTACACCCACCCACCCACATTCATACCTCATATACATCCATACACTTCCCCTTACTACATACTTCCATACATTCCCACTTCCTATATTATGCACCCCACTTAACAAAACTTAATCCATATACAGCACAATCACCACCGACAACTCTGGACCCAACTCCTGACCTCCTGCACCACCACCTCCACCAAATCCTCAAAGTCTCTCTCCCCGCGCCAACTAATTCTAACCGGCCTCCAATTTTGCTCGGGGTTGTCCATGCATCACGCCATCGAAGAACAACACATCTTCCCCCTCTTGGCGAAAAAGATGCCCGAATTCCGCCGCGACCTCGTCGCTCAACACCGCGACATTCATACGGGGCTGGAGAAGTTAGAAGGGTACTTGGAGAAATGCCGCTCGGGCGAGGAGGATTTGGATCGGGGCGAGGTGAGGAGGATCATGGAGGGGTTTGGGAAGGTGTTGTGGGAGCATTTGGATGATGAGGTGAAAGCGCTTGGGGCGGAGAATATGAGACTTTATTGGAGTGAGAGGGAGATGAGGGGGTTGCCTATGTAATTTCTTTTATTTCTTTCCTTTCTTGAGGTGGATTGGGGGTTGGATGTATGTAGGTATGTAGGTATGTAGGTGGGTGAGTATGTATATCGGGATCTGATCTGACCTGACATCCTTATCCTTGAAGAAAGACACGTGTTGTGAATAGAGTCGGATAATCTTGTGAACCTTGCTGTTATTGCATGTTACCATTCCGTTCGTTGAGTCCATTCATCCCACTGACTCGATCTTGACCTTATCACGACACTACCGATCTAATTCGAGGCAGAGCCTAGACACGCAATGCAACATACAACAGAACACAAATTAGTCTAACCAAATCAGTTTCGTCACATTGAATATCTCAGATACATCCACGCGAACATCGAATATCCTGACGAGGCTGTCCCGGAATGTGCGTGGCTGGGCAGCGCAGACGTCGGAATGTGGTTGCTCAGCGGAATGTAACTATCCTGTTTCTGAACCGAGCCCTAAGTCTGCCGACAGGATGGGTTGGTCACGGCATCCCTTTTTTGATGGGATTTAACTCAATTGCCTTGATGGATGGTGAATCTGAGGCATGGGGGTTATGTATGGTGTCTTCTGAGGTCAGATCGTATTTCGTCATATGTGTTTCGTGTCGGGCATGCTGACCCTGATACTGTGTGCAGATGACTTTAGATACCTATCCACATTGAGAGTCAGCCTGATCGATTACATTCCCGATGTCAATCGTTACTGCTCAGAGCAGACCTCTGCATGATCTTGCCCATCTACCAGATCGCCTCGTCGATGCTTGCAGCGCTAAAAAAAAGCCTGTCTGTCTGGAATGCGAGATCGTCGGTCTGTCATCCGTCTGCGCTGCTCACTGCTCACTCTGCCACGCGTCCAGACAGAAATGATATGCCCTGGCAGCCCGTCTCCGGTATATCATCCCTTTCCGCCTGTTGTAGTCTGCATGCTGCCTCGTCAGCCTCTCTAGTCAGAGTATAAATCCACGATAACCATCCCAATCCCCCGTCTCTTCTGGATTCCCCCCTATCTCCCCCCCTTTTGTCCATACAGCTACAGCATCCTAACACAATGAGACTCACCACCCTCCTCACAACCCTGACCCTCGCGCACGGGATCCTCGGCGCCCGCCCCGGCCTCCGCGAACGCATCGCCGCACGCTCCGCCCTACGAGCCCAAAACCGCCAATCCCAACCAATGGTCGAACTAGCCCCAGACCGCGACCACCGCACAACAGCAGACATTGCCTACAGCGCGAACTGGGCCGGCGTAGTCCGCGAATCTCCTCCAACCACGGGGGGCGCCTACACGTCCGTTTCGGCAACATTCACGGTCCCGGAACCCGCACCCGCCTCAAACTCCGCCGGCGGAATCCAAGCCGCATCTGCCTGGGTGGGCATCGACGGCGACACCTACACGACGGCGATCCTGCAAGCCGGCGTCGACTTCTACTACGACAACGGACAGATATACAACGACGCCTGGTACGAATGGTTCCCCGACGTAGCGCACGATTTCGACTTCAGTGTATCCACGGGCGACGTGGTCAGCGTGACGGTGGAATCATACACGCCGACGAACGGGGTCGCGGTGATCGTGAACGAGAGTACGGGACAGCGCGCGACGAAGCAGATCAGCGCACCGAATGGAGAGAAGTTGGCGGGGCAGAATGCGGATTGGATCGTGGAGGATTTCCAGTCGGGGGATACGATGGTGCCGTTGGTGGATTTTGGCACGGTCGAGTTCGAGGATATGCAGGCTGGTGATGGGGGGAAGGGGATATATGGCACGGAGGGTGCGACGGTGATTGAGATGAAGCAGAATGGGAGGGTTGTGACGAGTGTGCAGACGTTGGGAGATGATGGTATGAGGGTTAGTTATGTGGGGTGACCTGGATGTATAGTTAGCTTGGATGGAGTATGTTTATATTTGAATCGGATTTAGTGTGACGGTCTACAAAGGAGCTAATGAAAGACAAGTTTGTTACTGACTCCTGTATAGCCTGTTGTTTCAAGAGATAGGCTTTATCAGGTTAATAGAATTTTGATTCATTGATTGATATCCGCTTCAATAATCTAGTGTTTGCTTGATGGCATCATAAATTCCTGGACCCTTTGTTAGATTCAATCTTCGAGAGCCTACCAGGGGGGAATGTACTTACTTGCGACATCTGGTAGGATGAACTTCTCGTAGGAAAGACCTGTATGTGTACTCCATCCTGCAACCCGCTTCACCGGAGCCTCCAATCGTAGAAAGGCTCCGTCTTGGATCGTGGCGGCCACTTCCGCGCCAACTCCGTAGTTGATCATGCTCTCGTGGACCACGATCGCTCGGCCGGTTTTCCTCACACTTTCTAACACTGTCTCCCGGTCCCACGGGTATATCGTTCGGAGGTCGATTAACTCGATGCTAGCGCCAAGGGCCTTTTCGGCGGCGGCGATGGCTGCCGAGCAGAGATATAAGGGTTGGCCGTATGAGATGATCGTGACGTCGTTACCCGGTTTGAGGATTTCCGCTTTGCCCAAAGGGATCGTGTAGTATTCGTTCGGAACCTGCTCTACCGCCGCACGATACAACACTTTCGGTTCCATGAAGATGACCGGATCGTTGCGTTCGAAGATCGACGAAAGAAGAAGACCCTTCGCTTGTGATGGGGACCGTGGCATAACGACATGCACTCCAGGGACGTGAGCGAACAGCGATTCCGGCGACTGCGTATGATATCTAGCATCGAGCATGAGCATGAGCTCCAGGTCCGTCCGTCTCAACCCTCCCAATCTACTTACAGAGCACCGTGCCCGACTGCACCGCAGGGCATTCTCACCACCATTCCCCCCGCATTGACCCCCGTGCCGCCCTCACGATAGCGGAATTTCGCAGCCTCGTTGACGATCTGATCGAAGGCCGGGAACACGTAATCTGCGAACTGGATCTCCGCGACGGGTTTCATCCCCTGTGCAGCAGCTCCAATGGCGAATCCCACGATCCCTTGCTCTGTCAACGGTGTATTGAAGACTCTCTCCGATCCGAACTCGGTTTGTAGATCCATCGAGCATCGAAACACACCGCCGAATGCGACATCTTCGCCAAACAGCATCACCTTGTTCGATGACGCCAGGGCGGTTCGCAGGGCGGAATTGATCGCTTGGTAGAGGTTCAGGGTCTTGGTTGTTGTGGAACTGGGAAGGTCGAGGGCATCGGATAGGGAGGACGAGGTGTGGTGAAGGAGCGGCGTGGACTTGTAATCGATCGGGAGGTTCAGTCGTGTCGAAGGGGATGCGGCAGCTGAGTATAACCGGCGAGGTTGCTGTAACAGGAGCCGTGGTACGCGGAGGGGAGCCATTGTGAGAGAAATGAATTGAAAGCCCACAGAGGACATGACAACAATAGAAGAAGGGAGACCCCGTCACCCCAGATTTAAATGTTCGTCATGCGGGGACGAACGCCGCGGATAACCGAGCCGGGGGTGCCTGAGAACCCTGGCACTGATCCAGGCATCAATTTCTGCCTTATCTGGCCCCGGTCTACAAGTCTAGGGATGCAGCTTATTCTTCGCTAGCACTTACCTACGTTCAATGGTTTTGTTCCTTACAGGGAGCCCCGGAAAGGGCGACCATAAGGTTTTCGTCCCAATCTATAAGAATAGGTTGAATCCACAGTGGCTGGAGTCAGTAGTAAGCTGGTAACTTCTAGAGGCCGTAGCTGCTGTGGTAGTTAAGAAATTGCAAACATTAGATTCGCGTCGAAGCCCCCCTTTTTTTTTCTAAATTTTATTTTTTCATACCTACTACCTGAGATACTCCTCCTCCAATTCCCGCAGCATGCCCTCAATATCAAAATACCAAATTTTGTCCGACCTGCGTCGAATATCCTCATGCGCTTTAGCCATATTGCTGCCAAACTCAGGATGGTTCCACTCATAGATCTCACACGCCTCGCGACTACTCTGAACCAGCCACATAGACCGCTCATATCTGACCTTAGTAAACGCCTGGAACGCCTTCTCCAGCAAGACACCCTTCCCGATATCTCCTCTCTCCAGCAAATCCCTCTGTACAAGTCCGAGCAACGTCGTCAACGCCAGCGCATCCTCAATCCCAATCCCAGCTCCAGCTCCATGATGCGGTGACGACGCATGCGCCGCATCCCCTGCCAAACAAATCCTCCCTTTACTATACCCTTCCCTGGCGGGATATGCCAAATGATCAAACACAGCCCACTTATCCATCTGATCGGGTAACAGCTCGATGATCGCGCGCACAGTCGGACCCCACTCCTGGAACGCGATGCCGGCCTCGTCGCGCGTGGCGGGCTGAGACATGGGCTTCTGCAATGGCCAGCCATCGGGGTCGTTCACGAATGCAACCACGTTCATCAGTTTCTGTTGCATCACGGGGAAATGGAGGAGGTGGCCTGACGGGCCGCCGTACATGTGTTGGTTCGTGGCGCGATAGAGACCAAGTTTGTCAATGGCTTGAGGCATCGGTACGAGACCGCGGTAGGCGATCTTATGGGTGTAGTGTGGGAAGGCGCTTGGGTTGGCTGCGCCGAGGAGATGTTGGCGGACGAGGGACTTGATACCGTCGCAGCCGATTACTGTGTGTATCATGTCCTATTGTTAGACCGGGTTGAACAAGTTGGGTAGTAGATGAAGAAGAGAAAGAGAAAGAGAAAGAGAAAAGCGATATACTAACCAGCATCCGCACCCTCTACACTCCCATCCTCAAACCTCATCTTAACCCTAACTCCTTCCCCATCCTCCTCTAACCCAACCAACCGCTTCCTCAACTGCACCACACCCCCAGGCATCAACTTCATAACCTGCTCCAGAAACTGCGCCCGATGACACCCCTCGAACCCCCTCTCCGCGGTATGTAGCTTATACACCGTCCTCCCCTCCAACTCCTGCCCGACCTCCGTATCCTCAGGGCCATGCGTATATCCATCGACAAACTGCATATAGTTTGTCGGATTATCCGGGTCCCCGTTTGGAGTAGCCACGGCCCGCACGCACTCCGGCAGCCGCGAGTCGATCATGTACATACATTTCCGCGCGTTAGCGGTGAATGCGATGCCGGCGCCGATTTCGCGGATAGAGGCTGCTTGCTCGTAGATTCGGACGCGGATGGCCGATGGGGAGGGGCTGTTGTTTAAGAGACCGAGGGCGAGGACGGTGCCGATGATACCGCAGCCGATAATAGCGATTTCGAGTGGAGGGGTGGATGGGTTAGTGGGGTCCATGGTTGAGATGTTTGGCTGTTTGGTGTGTTAAAATAGAGGGTTGAAGGTGACGATAGTTGGAAATGCCTTGTCTATCTTGTCTCTCTCTCTCTCTCTCTCTCTCTCTATCTGTGTGTGTACCTGTGTCTAACCTGGACCACTCAATCCACCAAGAAGGGCGAAGGCGAGAAGGCCAGAATCATATCAGGTTATATAGGCCTATGGCTGCTGACTGGAGTCCACCCAGTAATTACTTGCCCAACCCAGCTCAGGCCAGCCCAATCCGTCTCTTCCCCGGAGTCCGAAACACGGCTAAACCCCCGGTCCCGACGGCCTCATCTCGGATTCAGCAACATCCTGTTCGTATAGCGTAGGATAACCTAGTCCACGAACTCTATTAATACTCGAATTAGGGGATGAAAACCCCCCTGTACGGATCCGAGTTCGTGTTACGAGGATGGCCTGGATGTGCTGAGTTATTTCCCCCGGCACGATGCATAGGACAGGAATGTTTGCGAGTCATAAGGTGTAGTCAGCGTTCTGTTTGAAGCTAAAGAAGGCTAATCTTTGTTTGTTTTCCCCGTAGCCAGCCGTGTTCTAATTCCAGCTCAATCATCGCGGAGTTTTTCAAGTCCGAACAACGTTATACAGCTTGCTCTTCGTCAATACATACCTCTATTCAACGGCCTTGTTCCTTACACAGCTCCATATCTCAATCTCTTGCAGAGGATGCCGAGTCCTCGGTTACCCACTGAGCTAACTTAAAGACTGTCTCTCCTCCCTTTCCTTATTATAACGACAGGATCGGGATTATCGTGGCGCTGGGAGTAACTATACTGGGAGGAGTATGCTTCGGCTGCCTTATTCTTGCTGGCATAGATGCCATCGTGTTTTTCTTCCGCAAACGCCGGTTGAGATGTCAGGTGCTAGGTATTTAGATGCAGAGGCGCAAGACCTGTAGCGGCGAGTGCAAGACTCCGAATCCTCCTCGAATAGGCAAGGAACAGTTTGTGAAGTATAACTGAGTCCGTAGAAGAGATTGCATGGTTAGTGCCCGTTAGCGTTACAACGCAGAATCTCGTCTCCGCCGGGACGAGGTGGTTAAGCTTCGAGAGGCGAGGAACATAGCTTGTCGAGACGACAGAGTGGGGCCCGGGGGTACATTGCTAAATGGTTGACCTTTTCGCTCGCTGTAGAGCTCTCGCACTGATTCTTCTTACCAACCGTCCTACTCGCACGGGACTCTTCTTAACGAGTGCAAACAGTGCGGAGATTCCAGATTCTCCCTCTTAGAACTCGGCTGCATATGACTGCGTCAGTCAATCATGAATGCATGGCTCATTGATCATATCAGTATAAAGCACAGTGCCGCCACCAGATACGGGCTGCTAAAACTCGAGCTCCTCCACCTCCATCCCACAGTCCACACATGTTTTTAGTCCGATTCCCGTCTCAGGATTCTCGACGGACCGGCCCCATTGATGAACATGCTTTCTATTGTTCCCCAGATCATCTCCAAAGCTTCCGCCTACTGCGCCTTGGCGATTACGACGATAGGCATCGACACGCGTTCGCTTCTTGAGGTCCTGCAACTTGGATTTAAACTTATCTTCCCGGCGACGTTTTTTAACGGTCTCTCGTCGCTCGAACTCGGCATCCAGTGCCTCGGCGGATCCCCACTTCTTCGCGGAAAAGGCATATTCTTCGACTTGGAAGCGTAAAAAAAGCATCATGTTGTTCCATGTTGATTTGTGAGGATTGGGACGCTCTAGATGGGGCAGCAGCTCTTCGTCGCGCAGCTCGGCTACAAAAGCAAGATGTTAGTTGGTTTGAAGCATCCGCAAGACCCGAGGAAGACCATTGTGTATCTTACGATCCGTCAAGAGGTAATCTTCCTTTGCTTCGGTCTTAGTAAGTAAACTGTACTTCTCCGGGAACTTTTCTTTGCAGGCGTTGCAGATACAGCACCGCAGCGTTTCCTCCCACTTCCAATCTATCTCCAGGTTCCCACATTCACGGCAAGCTTTCTGTTTCGCCTTGTCGTCTAGGACACTTAATCCTGGTTCAAATGGGCCCGTCCGATTTTGTCGAAGCGAAGCTAGTAGCCGCTGCTTCTCCCACTCCTTCTGCGTCAGATGCGCCGGTTTCTGATCGACATTGCCATCTCGCACGTGCAACTGGCGATTGTGAGGGTCATCATCCTCTGTCAAGAAACCCCCCTTCGTATCGGTCATCTTGCTGAAATCATAGTCGACATACTTGGCGAAGCTACGTGCCGGCTTGATAGCGTCCAGGGGTCGGTTCGTCGCATCGGCGTTGGCACGGCCATCGCGTAGCGTGACAGGCGTCTCGGATGTCGTCAGGTTGGAATAGGTTCGCTTGACTCCGGTGGTTGGCTGCGTAGTTTTGGAGTTTGCGTCTAGTGCTTGCGCTTGATTACTTTCCCGTTGCTCACGGATGGCCTTCGCTTTCATTCGATTGGTTTCCTAGGCACGCCACTGAAGGTTAGATGAGGATGTGATGTCCACGCTCCAGGCAAAACACGTACAATTCGCCGTAGCTGCTCCGGAGTCAGCGGCGCTCGTGGCAGCTGCCCTGGCTTCGCAGTCTCGGAATGGAGAGGCGGTGGGGTGGATGGTCGGTCTGATGCCATATTCTTTATTTGATTGACTATGTGAAGTCGAAGTAAACCAGGCGTCATCGTTACCGATCGCTCCGATGCCAAGCGATCGCCGCTAATGCACGTGATGATCGGCCCGCTCGGACATATGTCGGGCCGTAGCTCCCATACTCGGCCCTTCTTCTGGCCTCCGATCGGAGTGCATTTCCCATACCGATATTCGCCGGCCGGCGTCATTTCATCTCGTCGATTTCCTTTCGCTCATCCATTCTTTCCTTCCCACATGACCCTCCCCATCCGACTCAATCCATCATGTCGAAACTCTCCAGTGGCCTTAAGTCTCTCATCAACTCCCCTGCTGCGCGACCCAAGACAACTCCCGCCCCTCCGCAAATCGATTCCCTCTACCATAAGGTCCGACAGCATGCGCAATCCAAAGGCCTTTCTCAATCGTCATGGCTTGCTCTCTCGGTATGATACTACAGTCTATTGATTTTGGGCTAGGACGGTCTCTGATAACATATAGACGGCTGCCACGATGACCATGAATTCCCCCGAATCCCTACACTCCCTCTTCAACGTCGCCACTGCCGGGGCCTCGGAACACAACAGTGTCGAAACCGTCGAGTTCATGCGCGAAGTCGGTCTAAAATGCATCAGTTTCAATGGCATTCCCCGTACCATCAACTGCCTCGTTGATTTCAAGTCAAATCTGCCAAGCTCTATTACTGACCGGCTTTCGTCCACGCCGACGCGCGGTCCCGATTCGCACAATATTGATGGAATCAGCGCTCGTGGGAAAGGCCTTTGGGACTCTATCTACCGACCCTTTGAGACAAAACTATATCGCAAGCTAGGTGACGCACATCCGGATCTTCCCGTGCACATCCTCCACTTCAACTACGGGGCCCTGCTGTCCGATCCGCAACGTTCAACGGGGGCGAATGTAGGCCGGTTGGCGACGTCTATCGTGGCAATTGCGTGTTTGCGCGCACAGACGGGTGTCGGGCCACAGGTGCTATCACATGTTTTCGGGCTGCGGAAGGCCGTCGAGGACTCCACGTGGGTACATGACGTCGAGAGCGAGGAGGCGGCCAAATGGTTGGCGAGCGAGGAGGGAAATACGTGGATCCTAAACAGCGTCGATGATATTGTTAAGGCAATTGGGACGGGCGAGGGGTCGAATTTCGCTCCAGCTAGAGAGTCGAAGCTGTAAACATCGAGATTAGGACACATCCGGAGTCGGATATATGGTATTCCGAGTTGTACATAGGGGTCTACATATGATTTTATAACCCATTATTTTTGAACCGGGCATCTTCCGCAGCCCGTATGACAATCCGCCACTCAATAATGTGGCGAACGAAGATTCCAACGTCGACTCCAACTTCCGACAAGCTTCGGTCGGTGGCCGAGACAACGGCAGCCCTCGGGAATAACGGGAATAACGGGAATGCAGATAAAGTGGTCATTATTCATTATTATTATGATTAAGTGCAGGAGCTGCAGATTTATGCCGTCTCTGATCTCACCCACGCGTTGAACTTGTCCACCTGCAACTTGTCCGTTGCCCACGACGTGACGATTCGCACGACGGTCCTGTCATCCGCCGTCTGATCCCAGACATAAAACCGAAATCTCTCTTCCAGTCGCGTCACCAGTTGATCCGGCAAGATGGCGAACACCTGATTCGTTTCCGTTGGTGCCGCTAATTCATATCCAAGGGCCTCGAAGTTCGCCGAAATCAAGTGCGCCATCTCCGTTGCATGCCTCGCCATCTGGAAGAAGAGATCGTCTCGGAAAAGTTCCGCAAACTGCGCCCCCATAATGCGGGACTTGGCCAGGAGCGCCCCATGTTGTTTCAAATGGAAAGCGAAACCGTCGGCCAAGTGGCTGCGCACCACCATCGCCTCGCCCAGCAAAGCGCCCATCTTGGTGCCCCCGATCCAAAATATGTCCGTCATGTCGACCAAATCGCGCAGCGTCAGGTCGTTCGCGGGGGCGCTCAAAGCCACCCCAATCCTCGCGCCGTCCATGAACAACAGTAGGTCCAGCCGCCGGCACGTCGCTGAAAGAGCTGTCAACTCGCTCTTTGTGTAGAGAGTGCCCAGCTCTGTCGCGTTGGAGATATACACGAGCCGCGGCTTGGCCGAGTGCGGGAAGAATTGATTCTGAGCCACCACGCGCTCCAGGTTCTTAGGCGTCATTTTCCCCCTCACTCCCGGTACCAGGATCGTCTTGTGTCCGGTAGCTTCGATAGCACCCGCTTCTTTGCTGACGATATGTCCGGTCTCCACGGTTAAGACGGCCTCGTAGGGTCGTAGACAGCTGGCGATGCCGATGAGGTTGGCGGCCGTGCCACTGGGGATGAAGTGAATGGCGACCTCATCCTCTGTTGCCTGGAGATGTTGGCGGATTAATTGGCGCGCTTCGGCGCTATACGTATCGTTTCCATAGGAGATCTGTTGGGTGGCGTTGGTGCGCAGGAGGGCCTCGAGGAGTTGTGGGTGAGCTCCTTCGCTATAGTCATCCAGGAAGCTGTAGGGGGGAGGGAGGAGGCCGCCCTCCATTTCTGTATATTTGGAAAGCATGATTGAGAAAACCGGCAAGATGGGATCATTTAGAAAATATTTGAAGGGCGAAAGAGAAAAGCATCGAATATATAGCGGCGACCGTCGGGAATATTCTGGTTCGGGAATGACTCAGATTATTTCCGCGCGGGAATCCGCCCGAAATAGCATCAAACTATAATCTACTCTGTAGTCATATAAGGTGGAATCCTTGATCCTATGTCATATGTCAGCTATAGTCTCATTTCGAGGCGCTGCTTGACTATCAGACTATTCATCGCCGATACCTCGAAAATCTCTTCCTAATGGCCTAGTGAACCGCAACGGCTCATTCTTCAAATTCCAGGAGATCCAGGGCGAGCTCCACGGGAAATCAGTGGGTGTCCGAGGAAGACATTGCGAGTTTCGTGCGTATCTTCTCTTTAAGGATCAAGTCGCGTCAGCAAGATGGTTGAACTATGTACAAATTCTGTGAAGTCATGCTTCCTTGTATTGGTGAGCGTTAGGTGCAGGTCATACCACGGAAGCTTGAATGACCTTTGGATCCATTTTGGCACATGCAGAGGACCGGCATGTCTCTCGGCCACCGAAGATATCATTGAATGGGAGGATCTCACTGGAGAGCGAGGGACGAAGACATAAATGTAAAACAAGCAAACAATTCGACATCACCGCGTCACGTGGACACGGTCGGGTTGGCCGGGATGCCTGGGGCAGCATTCAGACGACTGCAGCTCGGAGTCGCACCGAACAACAACTATCTAGCAAGAGTAATATCGGCCACTGCTATTGCAATTATTTGACGACCTCTGGTTTGTTTTCCTATGGCTTTCCTATCTCTTCTTCTTCGCTTAGCTACAGTACATTCGATAAACCGGGGATAGAGAGAGATCGAACAAGTTACTAAGTAATAACCTTAACTAGTTATACGGCGACAACTGACTTCTTTCGTGCCAGATTCCCTTGGTATTCACCATCAAATATCAGAACTTTCACCCTCTCCTTCTTTGGATCTCTTCTCTTGGAACCCATACTCCGTGTCTAGCTCCGTCCTCAATTCCAATTCCTTTGCAACCCAGACCAAACAAAACCCAAATAAGCTGATCCCTAGTCCAATCCACCAAATCGCCTTCAGACTACGGATATAAACAGTGACAATCTCGCTCCAAATATTACCCTCGACATCACACTTGAGTGAATGAGCCTGGCTGGCAAACGCATACGCCCCTCCCTCTCTCAGCTCCTCCCTCAGCCACTTCGCTGGAACCCGGCCTCGTGCCAGCTCTCCCTTCCAGACGCCGTTGAACACGATTGACGGAATAGTCACACCCCAGATATACCCGAACGTGCGAATGAAGCTATACGTGGCCGACGCCGATGCCACGTCGGCCTCCGACAACGCGGCCATTATGGCAGGGAGCAACGTCGACAAGACCATACCGGCTCCTGCACTACCGATGAGCTGATAGAAGACCCAAGCAACCTTGCTCGTACTCTCATTTAGAAGAGTGAATAACCCGAAACTTATAGACGAGAATCCGAAAGCAGTCGCGTGGATGGGCCTATAGACTCCCAACTTGCTGAGAAGGGCGCCTGCAGCCGCGGCGAAAAAGAGCGTTCCGATGGCAAAGGGGAGGAAGTTGATTCCTGATCGGAGGACGGTGGTGCTCCTGACGGCTTGGAAGTAAATCGGGAGAAAATAGGACGTTGCTTGGACCAGAATGGAGGAGAGGAAGGTTAAGGCAAACCCGATGGCCGAGGTACGGTTGCTAAACAGTCGGTTGGGGACGCCGGGATGTTTAGTGAAGGCTTGTTGGACGTGGAATCCCATCCAGCCCAGGGTGCCGAGGACTAGAGGGACGATAACCCGCCAGGATGACCAGGGGTGTTGGACTCCGCCGGTTACGAGACCAAGCAAGAGCGAAACTATGCTGGGAATAAAGATCAGATTGCCGAGTTAGTCGATCTGGTTGAGCTTAGATGCGGTAGTATGTGACCCGGTGTCAACACGCATGCATGGCAAGATGACTGCCAACGCGACTCCACAGATGGGGATATTCAGATAGAATATCCAGCGCCAGTTTGCCTCCGCTAAGGCTCCACCAACCACGGGACCCAAGGCAGCTGCCAGCCCGGACCACGAGAACATAAGGCCGAGATACTTACCACGCTCGCGAAGGGGGACGAGATCGCAGCATACGATGTCCAAGAGCACGTAAATTCCTCCTGCGCCGATGCCCTGGACAGTGCGGCCACTGATTAGCATGGGGGGATTGCGTGCGCCTCCAGCGATGCCGCTACCCAAGATGAAAAGAGCGGTTGACCAGACCAGGGGGATGCGACGGCCGAGAGCGTTTGCGAGCTGTCCCATCAGCGGTTGTAGTACAGATGAGGCAAGGACAAACGAGTTCGCTATCCAGATGAATTGGGTGGCACCGCCAATGTCATCGGTTATGGTTGGAAGGGCCGTCGTGATAATTGCCACATCCAACGCGGAGACGAACGCCAGGAGGCAAAGAGCGGCGAACGTCCCCCAAAACTTCATGGCCTGATTGGATTTATTGGAAGTACCTGGAGGAGAGACACTGAAAATAAAAGTATCTTGAACTTAGATCAGCCCGGATACTGTATGAGATGGAAAGCCACGAATTCCAGCTGGCAAGGGCTGTCATGTCGACAACTGAGCTATAAATACGCTGATCAGACAAAGAACTCGTGCGCCAACTCTCCCGCTAGCATTCCCTAACACCTGGTTGAACATTCCGTTTTGTGACTTTGCTTGATGACACTACTGACAGATATGGTGACTGAGTTGCATTGGACAAGATAACCCCCTCTTTGGCACGAAGCCCTTAACTGACTACCCTTGGATACCGCTCATTCGGAAGTCTCATCAAAGGGTTTTCTTGGCAGACCCCGTCGAAGTCCAGTAAGAGCTGCCCAACCTGTTGGGCGTCGTCTAGCAAACAAGATATACCCGACAGGGGGTATAAGCTAACACTAACCGTGAGGCCTTCCGACAATCATGGTTTCCGGCGACATGAGCAGAAAGCCCGTAGCCTTCACAGCTTAGTGGATCCCAGTTTGTCTCCGGATCTCATCCGCTCCAACCGCGACATGCGAGAATGACCGACGTGGACGCAACCTGTCATGTTAGGGGGAAAGGCCGTATGGCTTGGTGTGAGATTCTGCTCCTCCCAATCATGATTGACCGGGGTTCATGCGTCCTCCGCGTTCTGACCGCAGGTTATACCTTGTAGCCCCGGTCATTTTTATGCCACCGCCGCCGTCATGAACGTGATATCGACCCAGATTATGCCAGACTATAATTGCCGGCTGGCAGCTCGGCGTTACTCTGCTGTAATTCCTGTCGGTCTAGCTGCCCAGATCTTATACCAAGTTGATATTGTCGTACGGACTAGTCTGTAAGGAGAGTCTCGGAGACCTTGTTAGAGCTGGATACTCTTGGCGTCATCTTTTCTTTGTCTGTTTAGGTGATCAGGGATCGTCCTTTCTCTTCGTTCCCACTGCAGCTAGTGCACTGAGCTAGCGTTTTCCCTGTCCATTAATATCAGCTTATCGGTTTTGGATGTCTTAGGGGAACTGGCCATCACTTTGTTAGCCCCCGTCCTGTTCATTCTCGCGCAACTGGGAAGTGATTCTAGCAGCCTCACACACCATCCTGGATGGAAGGGTCCGTACCATTGGTGACAAAAGTCCGCTGGCTTGCATCTCAGCCGCATGGCTGCCCAGCATCGATTCCCACGAGGTTGGGGTATATCTTGAACTACCTACGGCAGCCGTATCTTCAATTGCAAACTTCGAGACGTTAATTCACACATCCCCTTTGCCTAAGGCTCAACTCGAACATTCCTATATCTGAAAGAATATAGAACGCAATATGCTCGCAAAAGCAGCCATTCAGGCCTTGTCCCAGGTTCTGTCCCCACACCAGGTTATTCCGCAAGATACCGATGAATTTCAGGTACTGAACGGATCTTATCGTTCTGCCTTGCAGAGTGATATCACTCCAGCATGCATTATTCGGCCATCCAGTACCGAAGACGTTGTCACCTTCTTACGTACAATTCACCCCTTCGTTGACCGAGGCGAGGTGGCGTTTGCGATTCGGGGCGCGGGCCAACAGCCTGCCCCGGGTTGTTCCAACATTCAGGATGGCATAACTCTGGACTTGGGTCTCCTGACTGAAATTGAAGTAAAAGAAGGCCATGTGTCTATCGCAGCCGGCGAACGCTGGGGATCGGTCTACGAAAAGCTGGACGTCGCCGGGCTTGCTGTCACTGGGGCCCGCTCGTCCAGGGGCGGAATTGGTGGACTGGCGCTTCAGGGTAAGTCAGTCAAACTCATTGGTCATGTTTCCACGTACACGCACTGATTCCCAATTTATTCCCAATATAGGTGGTCTTTCCTTCTTCTCCTCCCGAGAAGGGTTCATCTGCGACAACGTTGTGAACTATGAGATCGTCCTGGCATCCGGAGAAGTCATACAAGCCAATGCCCATGAGAACCCCGACCTGTGGATTGCCCTTCGCGGCGGTGCTAATAACTTCGAAATCGTTACTCGCTACGACATGCGGACGTTTCCACAAGGTCGGTTCTGGGGTGGCAGCGTGTATTACTTTGAGCCCAGCTTTCCTAGCCAGATGGAAGCGCTAGTCACAGAAGTGCAAAAGCCCGATGCTACAGAAGAGACTCATCTCATGATCAGCATCGGGTACGCGGCGCAATTCGGCCAAACAATGTGTCAGAACCAGGTATACTACACTCAGAACGTTGAAAAGCCCGCCGTGCTGGAGCCGTTCACGGCGATCGAACCGCAGGTCGATCAGCTAAATTCCATGCGATTGCAAAGCCTGAAAGAGGCCGCCTCAGAGCAGGCATCTGTGGCCATGGACCAGTTGAGGTGGAAATCTTCCAAGATTCTCTTTATTCTAACCATAAGAAGTACTGATGTAATGTAGATGTGCATACATGAACATCACGGTTCAGGCAGACGTTGAGACGCTACAGACTGCTAGTCAGGTCTACACTTCCGCAATCGAGCCCGTCAAGCCTCTGGAGGGACTCATCTGTTCCTTCACCCTCCAACCTTACCGCTGACCCTGCTGAAGAAGTCCGCCGAGCATGGTGGTAGCTCCCTTGGCTTAGAGGCGGTGAATGGACCAGTGGTGTCCGTTCTTTTATTGACGTACTGGAAAAATCGCAGCGACGATGAGCAGGTTCTGGGTACCATGAGGGGCGTGCTTGAAAGGATCGAGGAGGCTGTTGAGTCCAGAGGTCAGAGTGTTCCGTTCCGGTTCATGAACTATAGCTGTACGTTCCAGGACCCCATTGCTTCATATGGACCTGAGAACAAGCAGAGAATGCAGAACGTGAGTCGTAAGTATGACCCGAAAGGCATGTTTCAGAAGGGTGTTCCGGGTGGTTTTAAGTTGTTTAATTGAGGATGTGACTATTGTAAGACTCTCTTCCTATGCTGGATGCTGGGTTTTTCTTTGTCGAGACAAATGTGCATATATGCATATTACCAGGCCGCACTTTTCATGTATACGTTAGTTATTCATTCATTCATTTTCCGGGCCCTGCCCCAATCGAAAGAACGATGAGGCAGGCATTCCAGCCTAGGAGGGCAAGCAAAGAGGCGAAGATGTCGTTATAGAAATATATGGCCTTAGGCACGTCGGCGGCGGACCGGGAGGCGGACCGGGAGCCGTAGGGAGTCCAGCCGGACCGACAACGGCAACGGACCGTCCGGGGATGTTGGAGAAGAGGGAGGCTGTCGTATACTCTCCATTCTCCACTCTCCACTCTCGAGTATGTTTAAAATTCGATTCATAGCTTTGTCCACATCATAATGTTCGCGATTCCACATCCTTGGGTCGATCATCCGTTATTTCTGTTTCTTTGACAGGGTCCCTTTGCTGTACACTACAGACCATGGACAAATCCCAGCAGATCATCATCATAGGCGCGGGCGTCTTCGGCCTCTCAACCGCCCTCTGCCTCAAACAGGAAGGATATACCTCCGTCACAGTCCTGGACCGTGCAGTTCCCCCCGTCCCCGATGGTTCCAGCGTCGACATCTCCCGCATCATTCGATTCGACTACGGCGATGCTGTCTATGCACGCATGGGGAAGGAGGCCTTCGATCTGTGGAAGACGCCCGAGTACCGTGAAGCGTTCCATCAAACGCCGTGTATATGGCTAGCGCAGGAATCAAGCGAGGATCAGATCATCCAGCCTGCGGCGCATGACTATTCGATCAAGACTAGGAAGGTCCTAACGGAGATGGGGGCACCCTGGACGCACATTCCCACGCCCGAGGCTGCGAGAAAGAGATTCCCGGTATTAACAGGGAAGCTGGCCGTGCCGGGGTTCGATGCTTTCGTGAATGAGGCGGCCGGGTGGGCGGATGCCGGTTTGGCGATTGCCAGGTTAGCGGCTCGCTGTGCGTCTGCCGGCGTGGGCTTCATCACGGGGACAAATGGGCAAGTTGAGGAGTTCGAGACGGCGACTGACGGCACGATGACGGCGGTGCGCACAGCAAACGGCGCTCGAGTGACTGGCGACAAGTTCATCGTGGCCACCGGCGCCTGGACCGCTAGTCTGGTGCCCGCCTGGAACTCCATGATCGCAGCTGCCCAAATAGTCGGGTATATGCGCCTAACGCCCGAGGAGATGATTGAGTTGAAAGATATGCCTATCTACTTCAACTTCTCGACTGGCTTCTTCTGTTTTCCGCCGCACCAGCCAACGGGTTATCTCAAGGTGGCCTGCCATTCATACGGCTACACCAACTCCTCCGAGCAGGGCGTCTCGGCGCCGCCGAAGCTGCCGCCGTCGTCACGCGCCAACTTCATCCCCGAAGACGGTGTCGAGAGACTTACTGCTGGAATGCGGGATATGATGCCGCGGTTTGCCTCGCGAGGCTTCGAGAAAGTCGGCCTGTGCTGGTACAATGATACCCCGACGGGAGATTTCATTCTAGATTATCATCCCAAGCACAAGAACTTGTTTATAGCCACCGGCGGTAGCGGACAGTAAGTTGTATTCAACTTCCTCGAAAACGATCCTCAAGGCTAACGAGGGGTATATTAGCGCATTCAAGTTTCTACCCAACGTCGGAAAGTACGTCGTCGGCTGTTTCGAACGAAGCCTTTCCGACGACTTGTTGGACAAGTTCAAGTTCCCGTTGGAGTTCAAGAATCGTCGGGATGCATTCAAGGGGGATGGGAGCCGGGGAGGTCCGGGAAGGAGAGAACTTCTCTCGCACGAGCAGGTCAACTTCGGGTCGGCGCTCAAGATCGCTACGCCGATCGCCAAGCAAAGCAAGCTCTAAATAGTAGATCACCAACGAAGGTAGAGGTGGTATATGCATCATGTACGCGGCCACGATGTTTTATATATCAAGTAAGAATATCCCAAGAATTCATTCAAGACGTCAATAGTGTCAATTGCACTTGATTCACGCAATGGATCGTCAATCATTCCGCATAGCACATGAGGTTGCAATCATCGGGCGAGTCTGGGCCTGGTCATAGATGCTCGGGCATATGACCACTCGATACCATCCACTCTGGAAGGTCAGGAATTGCGTTCCCAAACTCGTCGCTGTTACTTCTTCCCGCGAACGACCACCCGGCCGGGTCCTCAGCCATTAAGGCTAATACGCGCCCATCGAGAAGCGACATTTCCGGGACGGAGAGGTCCGGTCGCGTCGACTCATTTTCATCTCTATTCTGACGGTTCTCTGCTACCCCTGGAGCTTCTGAGGAAGGGAAATCCTCTGGTAGGCGCGCTATGGCGTGTCGATTTGGCGACGGAACTAGGTCGCTGTGTTGGGCTAGTCCCCCAGAGCATGAGAACGAGCTGATGTCCAGAATATCCCACATAAGTGCTTCGTCTTCCGTCGACATTTTAGGGATGTTAGAGGGAGTCGGCATACTCGGGAGCGCCCCGGAATATCCATCCTGGTTATAGTAAAGAGATCCGAAGTTACGTCGTCGATGCGCCAGTTCGCTTACTCGACCAACCTATCGCTAGATTAGCAGTTGCTGTGAAAATGGCCAAAATTCATACATACCAAGACTCTGATAATCTCCCAGTTCACAGAAACCTTTGTCATAAAATCAATCAGGATCTGGAATTCCTTGTTCACCAGTCGGGCAACGTCCGGGTTGCTGCTAACGGTATACTCGAGCTGAATAGTGGCGGCGATAGCAGCGAGATATGCTAGAAAGGGATCATAAGGTCGGGAGTCGGCATTAGACATTTCCCTAATCAACCGAGCAATCCACCTCGAGTGAAGAAGGGAGCTTTCGAATGACTTCTGTAGGAACGTTGAAGATAGATTACCGGTGATGTGTCGCAATTTGATCATAATCACGAAAGGATGATGCAGAAGACATTGGATGGAATGAAGGAGAAACTGCACGCACAGCCATGTGGGCAAATAGGCCCCATTCCGCGATTCTTTGCCGGCCCGTAACTCGGACTCAACGTTTAGGTAACGGTGGGCATTGGGAAACTGGGTCTCAAATTGCATCCACTCAGATTCAAGAACGGCAAAGGCCGAGCCGGATTGCCACGGAGCAAGTGCCTTTTCGTCGGGAGGCTCAAAAACATACTCGGTGGCCTTACCCCAGAGTGCGAACAGTCGGATCAGACAGGAGGTAATGCTGTTGTCCACCGTTTCGCCTTCCTTGATTAGTTCATTCTGCGAGGTGGAACCAGGACTTGACTCTTCCGGGTCGGGCGAAGGGAAAGGAAGGCTATATTGCTTATCCGCCAAGCATAGTGAATAGTTGCGAGACGCATTATAGGTGCGGTCGAGCATAAAGTAGGCCCACGTTATGCGTCGCCGCTCTTCCAGGTGGGAACTATCCAGAGACGAGGAAAAGAGATCCTTGTTCAGTCCCGCAGACTGGAGGGTTCGAATTCCCAATGCACACGACATGTACGCTCGATGAGCTCGTCCGTCGGCGAAGTCCACCTGCGCCATCAAAAAAGTGCCCTGCAGAAATGAAATCCCCATTTGGGTATCTCTATAGCGATTTGACAAACTATCCCAGGCTTTGTCGACCCATTGCTCGACTGGGGGTACAGTGCTGCCGAAAGTCTCACGAGGATGGAGAGAAAGACGAGATGTTAAGGCAACTAGCGGGAATGCAATTTCTGCGGGTAATGACGAAGCCCTCGCTAACAACCAATCTTTCGAAAAGACACAGAAGGGCTGATCATGAAAGTACGCAAGATATACGTCGACTTGGGATTTGACATATTCGGCGAGCGAAAAGGTGCTTGAAGACGTTACTGGCACAACTCCCGAAATCAGTCATGAATAGACATACCTGCACACCCCCCGGTCCTCATTTAGGCCAGCAAATGGAGTGGTAAGCCCGCCCGCACTAAGCCGGCCAGAGGGAAGATGTGAATCGATAGAGGGCAAGCTACTGCCCCTGGACAGGCTCTCTCTGGGGACAAGCGTTCTGAGTAAACCAAGCACGTAGCAAAATCTTGAGATGGCACCTACTGCAGAATGCCCGCCATCTCGTCCAACCTCCTCTCAATGCGCTGCAGGCGCTGGGAACCGGCATCCTCAGCCTGACTCTCCTCGCCCGGCTCGTTCAAGCGACGTGCCGAAGCAGGTCCTGATCCCGGAGTCGCCTGCGAACCGTAAGAGCAGCGCTGTCCCAACCGTTGACATAACGAACAGATGGGCTTTTCGCCCGGGCAGCGCGCTTTCTTACGACTGGTGCATGCAGAGGTGAGGGTCAAGAGGTCAGCATTCAGATTCTATCCCAATCCAGTGATGTGCGCATTTATCCAGATCCTCCATCTCCATGCAAAGCACCTACCGACAAGGACCGCAGGCCTGGCGAGCACGTCTTACAGAGACTTTGTGAATGGCGTAGTTGTCGCCCGGCGAGGGCATTCTATTGGCTTGGCAATGCTGTATCCCCACAAGACGAATGATATCAGACGATGAGACGCGGGAGGGAAGAAGAAAAGGAGGAAGATAGAGAGGGACATGTAGAGAGCGATTCTATCCGAATGTCCGTCCGCCTTTCCTGATCGGGAGGCCTCGGACGCCCCCTCGGTGCCGTTCACGTGATCTGCGCAAACAAAGCAAACGGCACCGAATCTGCATTTCCTTCCAACTCCTGCAATCATGAGCGAGGACCCCGAGATCATTGTTTGGACCGAGCTCGACGTTCCTCAGGATGAAGAGCTCGACCCGGCCCTATGGACCAGCTATTTTGAGCCCATGATTCAGGCACCGGGCTACGAGGATTCGGCATGGGCAAGAGTCAAACAACGGCCGAATACAATTCTGCTGGTTACCTGTAAGTCGATGATCCATCTAACGACATCCATCAATCCGCTCGCTCATCACTACCCATAGTATGGCAGTCTACCTCTGCACTGAGAGAATTCACCGCCTCCCCCTCGGCCCAGCTCTACCGCGAGAGTCTCGCGGCGAGAGCAATCGTCCCTAAGGCCTACCATGAGGTGGTGATCTATGGTATTTTGAATTGGTTTGGCGCACTTTCTCGGTCGTACGTCCAATTATTCTGGGTGTATTTCCCTGCTCCTGTCACGGACGACCAGCGGGACCGTGTTTCCAAATTGCCGGGAATCTGCCCACCAGCGATGGGCCCTGGAGTGCCCCGGAGTCAATTACCGCAGACGCGTCTCCCCCAGCAGTTGTGGGCCACCCCGACCGATTGGCGACACGGTCAGGAAGTACAGCTGATGCTCTGGCCGCATTTCTGGCAGAATGAAGAGAAAGCTGGGTTTCGGCACACTTCCACGTCAATTGTCGTGGACCACCGCATTGTGGGCACTAGAACTAGAATGGAGGAATTCAGCGCCAGGTTAGAAGCCGTGGCTCCGGTAGAATGGAAAGAGGAATTTTGTCAGTTTAGGCCATTATCTGATATCTGACTATATGTGACAAGGTCAACTACTAAGACATTGTCTTGCTTGTATATATAAACCATGATTAATGTATCGTCCAGCGTGACTTCGATGTATTTTGATTCTTATGAGTGGATACAGGAAGTGTATACAAAACCCAAGTCTTCACCCCATCATCGGCGGCGACGGGCTAGGAGAAATCAACGGCAAGAGATGCACTTCGTATCGGACATGGCATTGTCCACGGGCACCGGATCGGGTTTAGCGGCGTGGGTGCATCCCTTGCATAGTGTGTCAGTATCACTCATTTTGACTCAGTCCTTTTGAATATTGCCGCGAGTTGAAAGCATAAGTAGCCGCAGCATCCTTGTCGGATGCCTGGACTTCTGAAGGCAACCATATCTTTGATAAAATGATGTATGGCTATATCGTGTTCACGGCTATTCTAGCCACTATTCTCGGCCTTTCACCTCGTTGGCTGCGAGCACCGGATTTGCCCACAATCAATGTCTACCCAGGCGACTTTATGAAGAAAAAGGCGCGGGAGGAATTTCTATCAGATGCGCAAGCCTTACTTGCTGAGGGGGCTCGAAAGGTTGGCGCCTATCTCAGCAAACAGGAACTAGTAGCTGATTGCTCATACCTAGTTCAATGGCCCTTTCCGCATCATTACTTCCCCTGGGTCTCGTGTCATTCTACCTAAATCTTGGACCCCATTCGTCAAGAGCTGCAAGAAGCTGGATCATCTCGCGCTTGTTCGTGCGGTGAGTCTCGAGTATATAGAAAAAACAACATAGAGCCTGATTGGACCCCAACCAGTGAAGGATGACGACCATGCAATCTTTACTGACGAAAATATCAGGAATATTTCGGAAATATTCCTGGCTTAGAAGGGCTTAGTGCATTCCTTGACCCCAACCATATTTTGATCGATGTCATCAAGATGAAACTAAATCAGAATCATCGTGAGTTACCTTCCCATCATAGCTCATAGCTCAAGGAGGTCTAGCTTATATTTCAGAATGCCAGGTCATGCATGATCATAGCGCGGATGTCATGGAGGAAACATGGACTAAGCAGACCGGTAAGTAACCTTCAACACAAAGCTGGATCCTTGTTGAATTTATTCAGAATGGCATCTCGTGGACTTCAGCCCGGATATACTCAAGTTTACAGCCCGCGTGGCATCTTCCATCTTCGTCGGCCATGAACTCGCCCGTGATCAGGACTGGCAGACCCTCATAACAACTTACACAGTGACCTTCTTCAATAGTGTTCGCGCTCTCCGCAATTGGCCAAAAAGTCTTCACCCGGTTATTCACTGGATGCTACCGGACTGTCAAAAGGCGCGCGGCCAGGTTCGTCTAGCCCGTCGCATGCTTGCCCCCGTTCTAGAAGAGCGAACCGCCATGAAGAAGTCTGCAGAGACCGAGGGGCATAAACTGAAGTTCGATGATACAATAGAATGGACTGAAGAGGTTGCAAAGGGCCGACCCTATGATCCGGTAGCGGTTCAGCTTGGCCTGGCTATGGGCGCTCTGCATACCACAACCCAGCTGATGCAGCAAGCCATCTTGGATATCTGTGCACATCAGGACCTGATCAAGCCACTCAGAGAAGAAATAGCATATGCAGTTCAAGAGAGCGGATGGACCACTGCTGGGTTGTTCAAGATGAAGCTATTAGATAGTGTGATTAAAGAAACTCAGCGCCTCAAGCCAGGCTTGCTAGGTTGGTTACCCCTATGATCCCAAGTCATTCTTGCTTGGTCTAATAAATAAACTAGCAAATCTTGAACGCACGACCACGGACAAAGTCACCCTTCCCAACGGGATCACCCTACCCCCAGGCACCAACGTCGGGGTAGAATGCAACATGTGGTCTGACGCTGAGACATATTCGTCTCCCGAGAAATTCGACGGATATCGATTTCTGCGAATGCGCGAGGCCGGAGACAACACGGCTGTTTTGTCGGCAACAAATCCCGAACATGTCGCGTTCGGTATTGGTCGATCCATATGCCCGGGAAGGTTCATGGCGGCGAGCGAGATCAAAATCGTGATATCAAGATTGCTTCTGGATTATGATATTAGGTTCGCGGAGGGGTACAAGCCTTGCGTTATACATCATGGGTTTGAGATGCTGAGCGATCCGTTGGCAAAGGTTGAGGTTAGAAAGAGAACTCTCTAAGGATTGATGTATACGCACTAGACTGCGGTTGGGTGTCTATCTTCGTTTCGCCGTCTTAGAACGTCCTTAAATTCAGGATTCGTACATTAGATGGGATCACATCCCGGATGTCGTAGTGTCCCGCCAACTGCTCTGACAGCACAAAATCCAAATCAAGCTTCTTTAGGCTCACCAATTGCGGCAGAAGAGCCTTCAGTGCTGTCGCCGCGTCGTCCGCCATGACCCCATCATGATCAACATGCAGTACTTCCAGCGTCGAAGCATGGGCGGCAATTGCACGCAGCATGGCACCCGTGACAAATTCCGATTTGAGCTCCCCAGCAAAATGCATCAAGTGCACCTCTTTCAAGGGGTTCAACTTCTCCACTACCTCCGGCGTGACCGCAAGCTTCCTTGTCAAACCCTCACTCTCCATCCCGTTATCGAGATCATTCGAGGACGGTGGTCGCCGAAGCACCAACGCTTCTAATTTCGGCAAACCCAATAGAATCCGCAGCGTCTCGTCCGGTCCAGTCGCCGCATACCCCGTAAACTCCAGTCGCCTCAAGTTGGCCGCATGAGACAGAAATTCAAGGGTCACCGGTCCCGCCTGGAATTCCAAATGCCGCAAGTCAGGCAGCAGCCTAGCAACCATCTCCAAGACCAGTCCCTGCTCAACGATCAGGGGGTCTTGGTCGTCGACGTCGTAATTTCCAGATAACGTGAGGCTTATCTTCCGGATCCCGGGAAGTAGCGTCAACGTCTCCGCAAAACGTCTAACGGGCTCCCCCGGCCCTCGAGATACAGCGTGCTTGAGCTTCTGCATTACACTCGCTTTCCCGCTCGTCAAGGACTCCAATTTCCCGACTCGAGATAAGTACGTCGCCTCCCAGCTCCCCGGCGCGATTTCCGTCCCGGGAATTAAGTGACGATGCCAGTCGCGAAACGGGGTTAGAGAGCTTTCGAGGCAGTTCACGTCCACCACGCGGATTAAATGGCGGAGATGAGCCGGACCTCGAGATGCCCAGGACGCTAGCTTAGGCAGGGAGTCGAAGAAACGGACAAAATGAAGCAGGATCGTCAACGCTTCCTCGCGAATTTGACGGCATACGTGAAGCAGAGGCTGGCGGCCTACCGTCGGGTAGAAGATCAAGTCGTAGATGGCGTAGCGGAGCTCTACGGGGATCGTAAGCAACGTGGCTTTTGACACGGGTTGCGCCATTATTGTTGCTGGAATAGACGCTGGGAAAAGAAGCTGTGAGTATCTTCTGAGTTCACTGGAAGGGGACTTTGGGGAATTTGACAGAAAGCGGGAAAGAAACCATAGATGGAGAAATGAAGAAGAAAACGTGGTGAGACGGGGGAGTTTACTTGACTAGTTACGAAGTGAGTTAGTTAGTTAACTAGTCAAAGATAACTAGTTATACACTGATCACGTAAGCACTACAGTATGAATGGGATGATCGAGGTATAAAAAGGAAAATGGGGCCAGCGGTAAGAAGTAGATGAGACGAGAATCCCGACCAGTCTGAGAATTTGTTGAGCAAGCAAGAGTTGAGAAGTGAAGGGCAACCAGGAGAAAATCAGGGGTGAAGGTCGCAAACAGGGCAGACAGGGCAGACAGGGCAAACAGGGCAAACCGGGCCAACCGGACAAACACCGTCGAGACTCAATTCGATAATCACTTCCTGCAAATGAACCTGGAGGAGGAACCACTCTGCCCATGCAGTGCGAAACCTGCTCATTACAGGTAGTCAGGTACAGAGATTGTTTCGATCGGTCAAGATGAGGATGACGATAAAACCGCCCGCACAACGGAGTCACGATCCTCCGGATTAGGCAACCACCAACTCCGCATGACCTCATCGATCCCCGACCGGAGATCGGCCAATTCAACTCAACTTCCACCCTACTGCCACGCCATGGACTTGTCCCACGACGAAGCGGTGGCCACCGTTTCCCGTCAAGTCCAGGAATTCCACCGTCGCCAGCAACCCTTTCGCATCTATCATGGCTCCACCAACAGCACGCGCGATTCGCCCTACGGGCGCGACAACATCGTCGACACTGCCCACCTCACCCACGTTATCCAGGTTGATCCGACCGCCCAAACGGTCCTGGCCGAACCCAACGTGCCCATGGACCAGCTCGTGCGGGCCACGCTAGTCCACAACCTCGTCCCGTTGGTCGTGATGGAGTTCCCTGGCATCACGGCAGGCGGCGGCTTCTCCGGGACTTCGGGCGAGAGCAGCTCTTTCCGCCATGGTTTCTTTGACGCCACCGTCAATTGGATTGAGATCGTCCTTCCCGACGGCGAGGTGCGCAGGGCATCCCAGAGCGACGACCCCGAGCTCTTCTGGGGTGCCGCTTCAGCCTTTGGCACCTTGGGCATCGTCACGCTGGTCGAGATCCAGTGTCGCCCAGCCAAGCCTTTCGTGGAGCTCGCCTATCACTCCGCCTCCGGCATGGACCAGGCAATGCAGACCTTCCGACGTGCCACGGCTGACCCAACGGTTGAATATCTCGACGGCATCGTCTTCGCCAAAAACCACGTCGTCGTCTGTGCCGGACGACTCGTAGATTCTCCGCCCGAAGGTCGTCCCGTCCAACGGTTTACCCGCGCGCAAGATCCCTGGTTCTATATCCATGCGCAGCGACGCAGCCCTGCTCCGTCGTCTGGGTCCGACACTCCCCCGTCGGCCATTCACTATATCCCCCTGGAAGACTACCTCTTCCGGTATGACCGTGGTGCCTTTTGGACGGGCCGCTTCGCCTATCAATATTTCATCACCCCCTTCAATCGCATCACCCGCTATGTCCTGGACTTCTTCATGCACACGCGCGTCATGTACCATGCCCTGCATCAGAGCGGTTTGTCCAGCTACTTTATCATCCAAGACGTGGCCGTGCCGTACCACGCCACTAGTGAGTTCATCGACTGGCTGGATCACAAGGACTCGTTCGGCTCGTACCCCATCTGGCTGTGTCCACTGCGACATTCGGAGGGAGTCATGTCGCGCACGCAGGACGCGTCTCACGCAAACACGGAGACAAAGCCCAACCCAGACCCGGATGACGGGTACATCATGAACTTCGGCCTGTGGGCTCCGTCGCCATTCCACAACGATCGACAGGCATTCATCGCACAGAACCGTCGGCTAGAGGGTAAGGTGCGGCAGCTGGGTGGCAAGAAGTGGCTGTATGCGCACGCGTACTACACCGAGGACGAGTTCTGGTCGATCTACGATAAGAAGAGCTATGATTTGCTGCGGGCGAAGTATCGCGCGTCGTATCTGCCGGATCTGTACCAGAAGGTACGGGTGAATCTGGTGCCTGGTAGCGAGAGCGCGTCGTGGGAGAGCTGGATCAGGGGCCTGTTCTGGAGTGTGTGGCCAGTGTCGGGGCTGTACGGAGTTTACAAGGCCTGGCGAGGAGGCGAATATTTGATTCGAAAGTAACCCAGCCGACTGGCAGGTGTCGGCGACTTGGAGTTCACCGAGTATGCGTATGTGCACTGAGTAGACTAGGTAGTAGAAGAGTGGAGAAGCACAAACGTCAGAGAGCAAAGAAAGTCCCCCCCGCTTGGACGGGCCCAGATCCTCGGTTATCTGGACTTGATCCGCATTATCATCCTCCCACGGTACGGAGTATAAGCATTCAGCCCGGCACTCTCGTTGTACCTTTCCTTCTCATTTTCTCACGTACCCGTTCAGCATGGAATTTCATATCAACCCCAACAACCTCCCCTCCTTAGCCGGTCAAACCATTCTCATCACCGGTATTCTCATTCGCCTCCCACATTATAACCCCAACCCAGACTAAACCCCCTAAACTAGGAACCAACTCAGGCATCGGTCTTGCGACCACTCAATTCCTTCTCTCTCGCGGCGCAAATATCATCGCCGGCGATATAGCTGCCTCTCCGCCGGCGTCCTTAGCCGGCCCTGGCTCCCATAATACATCCAACGCTCCCTCCGGCTCTCATTCCGATATACCAAACCTTCAACCAGGCACGCTCTTCTATTTACCCACTAACGTCACCGAATGGGCCAGCATCCGTGCCCTCTTCGAACAGGGATATCAGCATTTCGGGCGCATCGATCATGTCTTCGCGAATGCGGGCATTCGCCCGCAGAGTAATTTTCTCGAGGAGACTCTCGATGAGGACGGTCTCTTGGCGCCGCCTAATTTACGAACGGTGGATGTCAACCTGGTCGGGGTTGTGTTCACGCTGAGACTGGGGGTATATTATCTGAAGAGGCCGGGTCGGCCCCAACCTCAGTCAGCGCCTGGGGAGGAGAGGTCGAATGGCGAGAAGGATATGGAAAGTAGGATGTCAATGCAGAGCCAGGACGCCCTGACACAAGGAAAGAGCATCGTGCTCTCCGCCTCGGGTGCCTCTCTGCGCAATTTCTGGGCCGCGGACTACGCCACTGCCAAACATGGAGTCCTGGGCCTGATTCGAGGGCTAATGGAGGACACGATCTCTCTCGGCGGGGTGCGTGTAAATGCTGTGGCGCCATCTTGGACGGATACAGGGATGGTGCCGAGGGCGTTGCTGGAGAGTGTCGGGGCCAGGGTGCAGGATGCGGAGGTTGTGGCGAGGGCGGTGGCCGGGTTATGTGGTGACAACGACAGGCACGGCGAGTTGGTTTATGTCTGGGATGGCAGGTTTTTTGAAATAAATTCGTCCAAGGGCGGCATGTTGGATGCGATCGAGGAGATGTTGCCGGAGATGGTGTCGGAGGGGGAGGCGATGAGGCGACTAAGAGTAACAAGCGGAGCGAGAGAAGTGGTAGGGTAAATTTATCCCACTTGTCCAAGTATTGGACTGATCCTAATCACCTTGAACGTCCGAGCAGCATTTCCTCGCTTGACAGAGAGTCCCTTGTGGAGAGGCGTAGGCCTTGGAATGAGTGTCAATGAGTAAGTACATCGTATGGTGTAGGGACTAAGGAGTACGGAGTAAGGGCCACATACATGGGGTTCCCCGCATTGTTTGCCCTGTTGGCCCTGTTTGTCTCGTGTGCAGGACTCCAATTGCATTGCCGAAAGGGGTAAAGGTTTCCGGTGAGGGGACCGGAATCCCCTCACGGCCCGTCGTCTCTCGTCATAAACAACCCCGCCATCTATCTTTTCTCTCTTTTCCTTCCCTCTCGCTCCCCTCCCCTTCTCTCATTCATTCAACAACCCATCCTCGACCTCTGCCAGCCGCCATGTCCGTTACCACCAAGGCTACGATCGCCTCTTTCGGCGGAAAACTCCTCAAACTCAGCCATGCCGCCTCTTCCACAAAATGTGACATGAACTTCAACCTCTACCTGCCCCCTCAGGCCTACCAAAACCCTTCGCAAAAGGTTCCCGTGTTGATCTATCTCTCCGGTTTAACATGCACGGCCGACAATTGCTCCGAGAAGGGCTTCTTCCAACACGGCGCTAGCAAAAAGGGCATTGCCGTGTTGTACCCGGACACGAGTCCTCGTACGTTGGGCTCAACTGCCATGAGAACAAACCTCCCCAGCCTTACAGACAATGACTAACGACATATCTCTCTAGGTGGGCTGGATCTCCAAGGCGAAAATGACTCTTGGGACTTTGGAACGGGCGCCGGTTTCTACGTCGACGCTACTAAGGCCCCCTACAACGCCGGATACAACATGTACACCTACGTGACAGAGGAACTGCCCAAGACCGTGTTTGCCGCTTTTCCTCAGCTGGACTCGAGTCGTGTCAGTATCACAGGCCACAGTATGGGTGGACACGGGGCTTTGACTTTGGTATGTTGTTTATCACCTTCGGGCCGGAATTCGAGGAAGGACAGAGGATTGATCTAACTGGTTGCAGTTCCTTCGTAACCCCGGGAAATACAAGTCTGTCTCCGCCTTCGCTCCCATTTCCAACCCCATTAACTGCCCCTGGGGCCAGAAGGCGTTCGGCGGATACTTTGGAGATGACCAACAGGAGAAGTGGAAGGAGCACGATGCTTCCGAATTGGTGAAGAACTGGAAGGGCCCCTTGGATGTGCTGATTGACGTGGTATGGGCAACCTCGATCCGCCTCGGAAATAATAAGACAAAGAGGACTGATGCAAGCAGGGTACCGGCGACAACTTCTACAAGCAAGGCCAGCTGCTCCCCGAGAACCTCGAGAAGGCCGCCAAAGAGGCCGGTGTGGAGGGGGTCAAAGTGCGCTACCAGCCCGACTACGACCACAGCTACTACACCATGGCCTCGTTCTCGGATGACCATATTGAGCATGCTGCCAAATACTTGTTTGCATAGTGGGTTCTGTCCTTTCCTCTATGTCAAATTCCAGAATGTATACCAATGTCGATGTCAATACCAATATATAAAAGATTTTCTGTCCCCAAAATGCACGACGTTACTTTCTAATTCTTTGAAGCGACCGCCAGGTGAAGTCTTTGATATAGCCTCATGGAGTATGAAGTCACATGTAGATAGATTGCGAATAAAACGCGAATAAAACGCCGTTTATGTGATTCCACTGTCAGCAGGGTTTGCTCGGTTTGTTCCCCGGCTCATTAACTCACCCGATTATTATTATAATTGTTATTCCTGACAGGATGCACTTATCTGGAAAGGGGATGGGCCACTGCTGTCACACCCACGCGCCGATCCTTTCGCTTGCATCCAGGATTGAACCGGGGGCTGAGCCTTGGGCAGGCAGCAGGATTTGTCGCCGAGGCTGCAGGATGGCAGGTCGTACACGTATGTACGAGCATCGACACCTGCATCCAATAGGAACCTCGCGTTGACAGCTGTGGCGTTGTACGCCCTCCGTAGGTAGGAGGTAGGAGGTATATAAAGGATGCTCAAACATTGACCTTAGTTTAGGCCACCGCTCCTGCCCGTCTTCCGTCTATATAAATTGGCAGTAGCTTTTGGGCATTCCGGCTTATCGCTCTTCGAATCTTTCTGATTCGGTTTTCCTCATTGTTTTCTTTTGCCACCCCATTCGACATGCTTTGCCAACAGTGCCAGCGTATGTTCCAAGGCCCCGAGTGGGCCACCCATCATGCGGATGTTGCATCTCTCAGCGAAGCTGCTGCAAGTGGCTGTTCGATCTGCCATCCATTCATGCATCAGCTTGTCCAGAAATATGGCGACCCCAAGAACGTCTTTATCAACCCCATGAGTTACCGCATCTACCAAGACGAAAGACAGGCACAGATAGTACTTGACTTGGATTTCTCGAGGGATGGAAACGACGTCATGGAGTGCCAGTCTTTGGTGGCCATCCCAAGTGAGACCGTCACCTTCAACCCGACCATTCGCGAGAGACGCTCATCTCTTCCGCTGCAACTCGCCGTGACCGCGGCCAAAGGTTGGTTGACAGACTGCCAAGAGGGTCATGGCCAACGGTGTCGAAAGAATACCAACCCTTCCTACTACCCGGATTATTTGCTTGAGATTGATGGGTCGACGGTGCGACTGATTTCTCCCGCCGACAAGGAACTCTCGGATCCCTACGTAGCAGTGAGCTACTGTCGAGGCTCGAATCCTGGCTTTCTTCAACTGTCTGCTTCCACCATGACGCAGCTCCAGAATGGGATCTCGCTTACCGAGCTTCCAGTTGCTTTTAGGGAGGCGGCCGAACTCGTTCAAAGCCTATTCATTCGCTATCTCTGGTTCGACGCCTTGTGCATAAGCCCGGATTCTAAAAGCAGCGAAGATCAGGTACAACAGACTTATACCAATTGCCTTTTCAACCTTGCTCTTGCGAGACCAGAATCGCCCAATGAGAGCTGCCTTGGGGCATGTCCACCGCACGCAAAGCTCCCATTCCAAGTGGATACTACGGGCCTAATCGGAGAAGACAGAAATGCCAAAACAACAGCCACCGTGGTCCCATGGGACTACTTCGAAAGCTCCCTCTACCACCAGCCACTCGCTTATCGAGCCGACAGCGTGCAGGAGCGGTTCTGGTCTCCGCGCGTCCTCAGCTTCGGTCTGGGAGAGTTGTTCTGGAGCTGCACCCAGCTTTCGAATGCCAGCGAGTCCCTTCCGCGAGGCCCTGCGCATCTCGCCGAAGAGTTTGAATTAATGCAGAAGGCAGTCCCGGATACTTCTGATCCAGAAAGACTTGGAGAGTTTTGGTGGAAGACCCTGGAGGAATATACTGATGGCGAGCTGGATTGTCCGGAAGCAGGTCGCTTAGCTGGCGTTTCGACTATCGCCAGTCAATTGGCCCTCTACATGGACGACCTGTATGTTCACGGCCATTTCGCGAAAATGCTCCCATGGAGTCTTAATTGGCGCGTGGAAGTCCCACCGTTGGAGGATAGGCGAGGTGTTCGAAGAGCACGTAAGATAGACGCGGCGAAGCACATAACTCCGTCCTGGAGCTGGGCTTCAATGGATGGCACATTATACTTCTTTCGTCTGATGGAGTGCACCACTTTGGCGGAGATTGCCAACCCATCAAGCTTGATCGAGACAGGTTTCTCCAAACTTGCTATCACAACATTCTGTATGGAGGTGGATTGGACAGACGGGATTCCTGTCATTCAGCATGAGTTCTGGAGAACAGATGGCGAACGATTTCACTGGCTCCGGGTCGATCTCGACGATGAGCGTTTGACGCCCAAGCCAGGCGCTCGGCATCTACTCGCAGCCTTGATCGAGGACGATTGGCTGGGGAAATGGGAGGGATTACTTGTGGAGGAAGTGAGCGTGGGTGGCGCATGTTCTTACAAGAGAATCGGTCATTACATTCTTGATCGAAAGCAAGGGGATGAGGAGCGAGGGCGGTGGAAGGAGGACTTCAGATTGCTGTCTGGAGAGCGACAGGAGATAGTGCTGGTATAATAAGTTCATCGAGTGAGGACCCAGTTAAGCATGCCCTCTGTCTACGTATGCACTGGATGATCCATCGTTTGTGCAAGCCAAACACGCTAGGCCCCGAAGGCGCTGACCCGGCAGGCTCACCGGCACCACTGGGCAAGAATAAGATTGTATCTATCCTATTTTAAGTCGCGAAGAAGCAAGTCTCAGGCATTTATGTTTATGAAGCTCATTAGTAAAATGTAGAGAGCCTCCTAGGTAATGCTCTAGCGTCGCCCTAGGCTAAACAGAGGATGCTACTAGACTATATGTTGCTAATCTAATACCGCTTTTCTACTCCGTAAGCTGAGGACAGAAGAGACATACAACAAGGTAATGCTACACTGAATGTCCCAACGGTGTTTTATACTTATTGTTGTTTTTCTACCTCGCACACACTACTTAGTTCATACCATAGATGTGCCCCTCAGGAGTTTCGTTTGAAGTCACCACAAAACTATACATTTTGAGATACCCATGTTGATAGAGCCAGCAAGAATAATCATCCTGAAGCTTTGGAATAAGGCTCACTACCTTCAATCCTGCTTTAATCTTTCCTCTCGGACGCACGAAGTCTGCATTGAATTATCCCTTGGAGCAGGATATATCAAAAAGATACAAAAGTATATATACAGTGAACTCGGCCTTCTATATTTCAGAGACCACTCAATCTTCTGAACTGGGGGGAGCTTTATCATTAACAGGCTGTACTACCCAACCTATACTTTCATTCTTCTGTTGGTTCTCCCTCGCTTATTCAATAACCTACTTCAACCCAGCAGGAGAGGATCGACGGCATTCCTCCGCACCAGGCTCGCGTAACGAATTCCTACTCTCGTCATTCTGATATTAGTAGAAAGTAGCAAAAAGGGCACTAACAAAGTCGGAATTGATCATCATGCGAAGTCGTCGGCTGTCAGTCCGTCTTCGTGCGGTCCGCAAACCGCCGCTGGAATATCGACTGTTCCATCTTCCGACACGCCAAATCCCAATCAAACGTCCACTTCTTGTAGTACGGTTGGTAGCCTAGGAGCCCGCCGATCCATCGACCAACCACGACGCCCAGTGTCATAGACAACGTCCGGCCGAAGGGCACCCACCATGGGAAAGACATGTAAGAGCCGCCGGCGTCGAACATCTATACCAGGACCGGGGAGTATGATTAGCCCAGCCTTCTCGATTATAAATTGCCAGGGAACGGTGCAAGCAAGAGATAACACATACCGACAAGACCTGAATCATATCGACGCCTTTCCCCGCCACTACCGTCTCATCCTGATACCCATACCAGTTTTCGAAGAAAATCGTATCCAATCTAAACGGCTCCGGTGTTTCCTCGCCCGCCAGCAGAAACTTGATGTTACCCTCGTAGCCGGTAGGCGGATAACAGCGGTGATTCACCCAGGGCCGGATAAGAAACTCCCCACTCGTCGGCCTTAGTGTGTATTCCTGGTTGTCGTCCTCCACGCATAGCACACCCTCTAATACCTCGATGTATTCTTCCTGTATAGGGTGGAAGTGCTTCGGTGGTTTCTGGTCTTTAAGGGCATCGGGCCATTGCGAGGGACTGAAGGTAACTTCGAAGGCGAAGGCCCGTTGTGGGTGGGGAATGATCCGGGTTGTAACGGCGCCGTTGAATCTAGGTCGTGGTAGTTAGTACGAGCCTAATGACTATAGTTCGAGACATGCAGTATCGAGAGATCGACGCGGCATACCCCCCTGGAACAGGGGTGTCGATAGGCAGGATGTAAGCAAGGCACCTACGCAAGAACCACTCTGCCGGGTTCCAGGCCCAACGCCTTGGCCGTGCGGGCAGTCGTCACGGTAGCCATCTTATGTTGATCGGTCCATTTGCCGGCGAGATTGGCCGCAAGTCAGACAGTATGGAGAACGGAGGAGATCAGAAGTTAACGAAGGCAGGACTCCCGGGCTCGGATCTTGTCTTAACAAATTCCTCATTTCCCTCCCGCCAAACCGAGAGCGAAGGTTCGGCCAGCGAGTATTTAATTCGTTCGCCCCACAATTCTGACATTTTCAATGAGTCCAACTCCGTCTCCTGCTCCGTCCCCGACTTGGATCGTTGGGCTCGTACAGTCGTACTGCCGCCGTTGACTGGCAATGCGGGTGTTGGGTGTTGGTAGTGTTGTTTCATAAATTGGCCTTTTCTGCTTTGCACTCTTCGAGCTCTGAGGAGAATACGAAGGGGAGCTGAAACCCCATTCGCTTTGCTTTTGTGTCCGGATCTCTCCTCGGTACTTTCCGTGTCTCCGTCGTGACCAACAGGGCACAGCAGGCAGTGGCGAGGGTGTTTGGCATGTTTGCATCCCTGGCTCCATTTGTCCCGCAGGCCCCACTTGCTGCAGACTCTTTTGAGCCCGCTTCCTTGCGGTGCGAAAGACAAACGAGCGTTTGCCTCGGTGCAATCTCTTGCATGTCTCACTGCCTCAGGCACACTCTGAGCGCTCGCATGGCTTGGCAGGCAGATAAAGTGACTTAAACAGTGCCCCATACCGGGGATGGCGACGGCGTACAATGATATTTACCAAGCAATTCTATATCCTAGAACCTTCGTACTGGTTTGATTAGAGCACCTCGAATGACCGTTTTAGCTATTCATATGGAATCAGTCCTAGACGAACGTCTGAACCGGCTCAACCCATTCCTGTTGCTTGTGTGGGACCTATCGTTTGATCACGAGTGTAGCTTGATCAAGGCCTCCTGTGGGCATGCTGCATGTCAGTGCTATTAGTGCATGCTGCAGATCAGTAGACTCAAGTACTACTAGTAATGCATGAACAGAAGGAATGCGACGTGAACTGGGGGCCGAGGGGCCTCTTCTTTTCGGTGGGGCTCATGCAGGGCGGGTCGGACCGGCCTCGTGGATGATCCCGGACTTGCCCAATCAGAATATCTTCGGTGGGCAGCAAGTCCCTACACAGTACTCTAGAGGTACAGTGTATGAACAATAATGACCGAGTTGGTTTTGCCGACCGCGTGGCGACATGGACTAGGACATGAAAAGAGACACACAAAACGAAGGAAACAGTTGCGAAAGGCAAGTCAGAGAGAAATGACAGGACGCCCGCCAACCCTGCTGCGGCCACCAACATGGACTCGACTCTACTAAGCTCCTTCAGTGGCTCAAGGGTCTAGAATCGTACGCTGCCTATCCTGACAAGGTCATCCCCGCGATAGATTGGACGTCGGTCAAGGTAACATGGCACGAAGGGTGGGCAGTGCGGTACGACATAACGGACGCAGCTCATCAGGCAGTCGGAACGCATCTTCAAACCCAAAGCCATCCGGTCAGTCTGGTTCCATTAATGGCGGAGCGGCCATCGTCTTTGCCATGACGGATGCAGCGGAGCATCCTTTCGAACCCGTGCCTAGCCATCGCCCAGAGCACCAGCTTCCGGGATAGGACGTTGAGGTTTTGGCTAGAGAAACAGATGATCGAAGGTATAGAGGGATGTAGCGCGATGGGTGTTTTCGAGAAACCGCCGGACACAAGCTTAATTGCCTACGACTCTAGAATCCGGCCAAGAAAGTCGTACTATGGCTGTTGAGGTCAAGGATGAAGCAGTAGATCCGATGTATGTACATGGTGTTTGCACTGTTTGCACTTGGATACACGGGATAGCATTGTTCCGACCCGCGTATAACAGCCCTCCGATTGCGGGCTCCGACGAACGGACGTTTCTTCGGCGGACTTCTTCCTCCTCAAAAACATTCGCCATGGCTGCTGCTCGCACGCTTCGCATAGGTTAATTGGCCCTGTCCATTAGTGTGTGAGCACTCATTGACTCTCTTGCCTTGCTTTAGGTCTCATTCCCGGTGATGGTATCGGACGGGAGGTTATTCCGGTATGACTCAACTGCTCACTGACCTAGAGAATGTAATTCCTCAATGCTAATTGTGACATAATTGACCATAGGCCGGTAGAAGGATCCTGGAATCTCTTCCTTCTTCCCTCAACCTGAAGTTCAGCTTCGTCGACTTGGATGCGGGTTATGACACCTTCAGGACCACCGGAACTGCGCTGCCCGATAAGACCGTGGATACTCTGAAAAAGGAGTGTGATGGAGCTCTGTTTGGTGCTGTCAGGTACGTTCAACGTCCCTCTGTTTGTTTTCTGTGTCAAAACATGCATCAACATCAACTAATCTGCTTTCTTCTTACCCATGGATAGCTCCCCGAGCACCAAGGTCGCCGGCTACTCGTCTCCGATTGTCGCTCTCCGCAAGAAACTAGACCTCTATGCCAACGTCCGACCGGTCAAGTCAACCACCGGTGGCAGCCACGGTAACCCCATCGACCTGGTTATCGTGCGTGAGAATACCGAGGATCTGTATGTGAAGGAGGAGCAGAGCAAGGATACCCCCAATGGCAAGGTAGCCGAGGCGATTAAACGAATCTCCGAGAGTGCGTCATCGCGCATTTCTACTATCGCCGGCGAGATCGCCCTGCGCCGTCAGAAGATCCGGGACGTGGCGTCCGCGCCCGCCCTTCGTACCAACCCTATGGTGACCATCACCCACAAGTCCAACGTGCTGTCGCAGACGGACGGTCTGTTCCGTGAGACGGCCCGTAAGGCCCTGGCCGCCCAGCGCTTCTCCTCCGTTGAGGTGGAAGAGCAGATCGTCGACTCTATGGTTTACAAGCTCTTCCGCCAACCCGAGTACTACGATGTGATTGTTGCTCCCAACCTCTACGGTGATATCCTGTCTGACGGCGCCGCCGCTCTAGTCGGCAGTCTGGGCCTGGTCCCCAGCGCCAATGTCGGTGACGGCTTCGCTATCGGAGAGCCCTGCCATGGCAGTGCCCCTGACATCGAGGGCAAAGGTATTGCCAACCCTATCGCCACGTTGCGCAGTGTGGCGCTGATGCTGGAATTCTTGGGTGAGGAGAGCGCTGCGGCCAAGATCTACACGGCGGTCGATGGCAACCTGGACGAGGGCAAGTACCTTTCCCCTGACATGGGCGGTAAGGCCAGCACTCAGGAGGTGCTGAATGACGTGCTGAAGAGACTGTAAGGAGACGGAAGTCCGATATAGAGAGTAGATAAAAATGTATCAAGTATCAATGCACACCAAGTCCTAATTTATGATTATGATCCGACCACACTAAACATCAATATCCAATTTATATGCATAGGGGGGAAAAACAAACCAAGCATTTGGCTCTGAATTGATTAAGATCTTCCTCGACAACCATCATAACAACCTTCTCAACTAGCCAAATTCATAGGCCTAGAAGCATATTGGGTAATTTGGCACCTTACCCCCGGAGAGGGTGGGAGCTTCCAGTATACAATAATTCCTTGTTCGCGGATTGAAATAGCCATGGACATATGGCCAGTGGTTTCATCGCGTGTGCAATCATGCTACGGAGTTCTCCATTGCACATGAGGGATGGAAGCGTAGATAAACTGGCTCATGTTGACGTCTTGATCTTATTCTTGATGGCCATGTCCCCTCCTTGCCAGGAGTCACGGATTGATATCACAATGTTCAGTCGCCGTCCCGATATAGACAGTAAGGGAGAGCTTTCAAAGCCCCCCGTTTCCGAGCCTCCCATTCCTCAGCAATGGGTGCTTGTTGCCGTACTCTCTCACAATAAACAATATTACATTGCGAAGAAGACCAGGAGATTACGGAGTACCAGAATATGACGCGGTTGTGGGCACGCCAGATGCATAATAGGCCAGATGCATAATACGCTGGTTGCATAACACGCTGGTTGGACACCACCAAGGTGGTCTCTCCAGGCAGGTTCAGGTTAAGAACATACAGGAGGACGTTCGCGACTGGCAGCAAAATGAGCTGCATCGGATCGGTCGATTTTCGGCAATTCTGGAGAAGACCGTGGCCTTTGGGAGGGAAAAGGAAGGGCGGATATTTGAGGTCTTTCATCGCCCGGGTTGGGGACTGGAGGTGAAGGGCATCACTGACGCCATTCCGCTATTGCCGGAGAAGATGGCGATGCAATGGACAAGGAATCCGAACGTGCTGCCTCGGTCAGATGAAGAATATGTGATCGATTTGAGCGATAGTGATGAGGATCTGTGTAAAAGGTGAGCTGACGCGGCCTCCTTCTGTTCTTCCTCCATGTCTGGCCAAGTTTGCCGATCAATTGTAGCTTCTCTATAGTTCGTTCGGGAACCCGAAGAATCTGTGCCTGATGATAGGATTGCAACTTTGCTATCCGCCTACGTCAAGAAGGCTTTTGCGACTTTCCAACAATACAACTCCCTCGACTCCTGCCGAGCATGATTTGACTATCACAGAGAAATTGATCCCCTTCATAACTCGACCCCGAAACACCAATATGAGAAACAATGAAATGTGGAGAAGTAACCAAGAGGTTCAAATTGTATGTACGGAGTTAAAGATATCCAAACGTCGTGGCTCCCAGCATGATCGGGCAACCGAAATCAATCGTAAAAAATAGGAAAGAGAGCGTCAAGTCCGAGAACAACCTATAAAAAAGCCAGGCACTACAGCCGTCCACGCAGAACCAAAAGATTACCAGCCAAACGGTTCTCCGTGCGTACCAGAGCCTGCCCAACCGCTCCCAGGGCTCGGCTCGCGTCCGCCCCGACTTCTTCCTGAGTCGAGCCGAATCCCGCATCAAGGTCCACTCGATTATTGCGCCGTCCAACCACCGTCATATTGCCAGCCCTGTGTGGTGACTGGCTCATCTCTTCTTTGATCGTTGCCACTGCTAGTTGTACCGCTTCCGGTTGCCCCTTGGCAGGCGAGATGCGCTTGAAGACCACCCGGGATATCAACTCCTCGGACAAAGAGTCGCGCATGGCTGCGAAGAAACTGGAGTCCGATTCGACTTCCTGTACTCTCGCCGAGGTACGGGCCGCGGACTTGCCCCTCCCCGCTTCGCCCAGACTGTCGCTATCACCAGGGCCAGATTGTGGAGGCAGCGCTACGTCGATGTGGATTATAGTCGCCGTCACCTGGTCGTTCTGGGCCAGTTGAAGAACGAAACGCAGAGCAAAGCGGTCGTCATCGCCACCAAAGAAAGGCAGCACAATATGGTGAGAGCGTGCCGCGGCAGGGGCCCTACTCCATAACGAGCCGCGAGCACTGAGGGCGCCGAGAGACTGCTTGGGCAAAAGGGGCCGGCGTGGTGCAGGCGCGTAAGAACTGCGTTCGACGAGAACCCCAACGCTACAGGAGGTTTGGTCCAGCACGTTAGAGACAAAATCTGTGTATGGGCCGTTGGCAAATCGGCTAGCCTCGTCGATGCCTAGCCCATTTTGATGTTCGCTGATAGTGCCAGTCTCACTCCATGGGAGTAGAAGAAGATCGCTGGACTCCTGGCGAGCCATACCCACGACCGTGTCAGCGAAAGAATATTCGGGAACCACGGATACCCCGGCCATAATTGAGAGATCGTGCCATTGACCGAATGCTCGAAACGTGTTGACCACCGGATCCGACAGGCTATACTCGTCGATCTCCGACACCTTCATAACACTTGAGTCTCGATCGGTGAGTTCCATCAAGCGTACTCCATGCACCTGCAAGACATGCGACTCCTCAATTTCCGTTGCCGCAGACTCCTCTGCAGCAGCTTCCGGGGAAGCGGTCATCGTTCGCCTTTTGTCCGGGTGGATCTGGGGTACCAGAGGTTGAGAAACGGTGCTAGGTCCGAGAAGGGCAGCCAAAGTGCAGATACTAGATAAACCGTCAAGTCGTAAATACACAAGAAGCTTCCGAACGGCATTCGACCGGAGGTCATCTTTAGCAATTGCCACACTGTCGACGCGACCATCAGGCTGAATAGGGTTGCCATCCCAATCAATCTCTCCGCGGCGCCAACGGTCCACTTTATCTTGGTACCACTTCGGGTAGAGTAAAGTAGTCACCGGGGTAGTCACAAATGTTGTAACCAATGCCATGACCACGAACATAGTAAAAGTCCGAGTGCTGAGGATATTTGCTTGCAGACCGATATTCTGCGCTGCTATTAGCATTAGGTCTAGTGTTCCAAGTCACAAGCAACATACCAAGACAATCAGCTCGACCAAGCCCTTACAGCTCATCAAGACACCGATGGAAAAGCTCTCACGCCATAATAGTCCACACATCCTAGATGCGCCCGCGCCACCGATGATCTTGGCGATCAGAGCGATCGCAATAATCCCGATAACATAGGCCCAAGTCAGACCGGTATCAAGCAAGCCTAGGTTGGTCTGCAAGCCAGACAGGGTAAAGTACAGCGGCAGAAACAGAGCAGCCACCAGGTCTTCGATTTTCTCGGTCAATTTTATGGCAAACCCGCCTTCGTGAGGACAAAGTAAACCAATCAGAAATCCGCCAAAAATGGCATGGACTCCAATAACCTGCGTAAAAAACGACGAGGCGAGAGCGATGAGGAGCGTGATAGCGACGACGGACTGACTGGGCCCCTTTTGCAAAGCTCCAGTGTGATTGAGAAACCGCAAGAACAGAGGCCGGAACACGAATGCCAGAAATAGCACATACCCAACACAGACCAGAAGTACCCAGAGCGCGGTTAGCCCCGTGCCGGCATTGACTAGTGCAACGCAAAGAGCCAGGAGAACCCAGCCGACAACATCGTTGCCAACACCGGCGGATAGGACGATTACGCCGACATTGGTCCCGAGTAATTTCAACTCCGTAAGAATACGGCACAGCACGGGGAAGGCCTAGTCGCGATTAGGTACGGAGCGTCATGTGCACATGATTCGGGCATACCGTGATAGCCATTGCAATTCCGATGAATAGCAGGTAAGTACCGAAGTTGATAGGAACCGTACCGGGTTCATCGCGAAAGGAGTTATATAGGCCATAGGAAATGGCGGAGCCCAGTCCAAAGGGCAGAATCATCCCCGCGGCGGACACACTGGCCGCCACGCGCCAATTGCTGACCAGAAATCGCAAATCCGTCTCCAGGCCTACCAAGAAGAGAAACAGGATCAGGCCCAGATTGGCGACCAGGTTCAAGTTTGGAATAGACTGCGACGGGAAGATGGCCTCCGTGAAGCCTGGAATGCGGCCAAATACGGACGGACCCAGCAACACACCGGCAATGACCTCGGCGATGACTCGAGGCTGACGGATTTTGGAGAGAGGCCAGTGCAGCAGGCGACAGAAGATAATGATAATAGAGGCCTAGTAACCATTAAATTTATGGCTCGGTCACAGTGAGTCATTTCCTTGCCTGGATAATAAAAACCACAATAGGGTTCTTGGGATCATAGTGAGATGGATTCCCGCCCTCGAGAATACCGCCTTGTGGAGTGGCGCGGTTGTCGGTGGAGTTAGAGGCCATGACGGAGCGATGGCACGCAGCCGGAATGGGCTCCTACAGGCTAAGGGAGGGACAGGATATGATCAAATGGCTAGAGCGACTCTTAAGGATGACAAGTTGCAAGGATGCGAGAGAAGAGAAGAGGAGAGAGAGAGGAGAAGAGGCAGGCGAAAGCAGACAAAGAAGTTGATTGCCTGAAACGGATGGCAGACCTGGAGCCCCACGCGCCCACGTGGCCGGGGAAATGATGACTCAGCGGCGAGTCACGGGTCTCCGCACAACCACGGCACTAACCTCGATCGGGTTGCTTGCTGGCTTCCCCTCTTCTTCTCCTCTCCGGGCAGTCTCCACTCTCTCGTTCTTCCTCTCTTTCTCTCCCTCTTTCCACCTCTCTCACATCATGTCCAACCCCTACAATCGCCGTTCGATACCCGACTACTTCATTTCCTCCCCTCTCACGGCCCTCCTTTATCCTTTCCACCAATGTCTGCTACGACTCCGCGGACCTCCTCGACTACCTCCTCCCGACGCCCATCCCATCCGCGTCGTCTGCATCTCCGATACCCACAGCCTTGAATGGACCGATGTCCCCGATGGTGACCTTCTTATACACGCCGGCGATCTCACAAATGACGGCAGCGTCCGCGAGATTCAAGCCGCCGTCGACTGGCTACGCGCCCTGCCTCACCCTCACAAGGTCGTCGTCTGCGGCAACCACGACAGCTACTTTGACGTGCGCTCCCGTCTCCCCGAGGACCGCGATGCCTCTTCCTTCTCGGCCGTCTCCTCATCTACCGCTTCTCTCCGTTCCCTCGATGAATTCGACTCCCCGACTCGCATCGAATGGGGTGATGTTCATTACCTCCAACATTCCTCCGTCACCCTCTCTTTCCCTCCTCCTTCCTCTTCGACTACCTCTGCCACATCGTCTCTCGCCACGGCAACGACCACAACTCCCTCTCGGGCCCGCTCCCTAACCCTCTACGGCGCCCCCCAAGTCCCCGCCCTGATGTCCCTCGGCTCTGAACACGCCTTCACCTACCCCCCGCACTACGACGCCTGGTCCGGCACCGTCCCGCTAGCAACAGACATCCTAATCACCCACACCCCGCCGCAATCCCACCTCGACATGTCCCCCGTCTACTCGACCGGCTGTCCATATCTCCTCGCCGAGGCCTGGCGCGTACGCCCCGCACTGCACGTCTTCGGGCACATCCACCACTCATACGGCCGGGAGCCCGTGTTTTGGGACGAAGCCCAGCGCGCCTGGGAGCGGTTGTGTCTCGTGCGGCGGCGTCGGGCACGCTATTCACGCTTCAGCGCGCTGTTCGGCTTCTTGAGGGACCTGTTTGATGTGTCCGCGTGGGTTGATACCGCGCGTGTGCTCGGCTATGGTGTTTTAGGCGTCGTGTGGGCGAAGGTCTGGGGTGGTGAGGAGATGGGGTGCGGGTGGTTGGTTAATGCAGCCTGCATGTATGGTAATTCGGGGAGGCTGGGGAATAGGCCACAGGTGGTGGAGCTGTGAAGTTTTACAACCTAGTTCGATCTAGCTGTTTCTAAAGAGGGATTCGGGGCTGTATATACATGCAAGGATAAAGGGAGGGAAGGCATGACTGTTGAAGATCCGACGGGACGGGGGCATATACCATGAGTTGCCTTTTCTTTGTTATCTTATTTCTTGCTCTTTCTGCTTGTATTTGGCGAAACATCTTTCTGTTATGTTATATGTGCGTGGGTGTTTGGCGGTGTTAACAAAACCATGGTCCTGCATATGATTCCGAATTTGAATACGAAAAGGGAGAGAAATATGATTTTCTAAGTTCTAGTCTTAGGCTAATGTCTATACTGAAGAGATCAAACTCGGTTTGCTTTCTTTCCATACTTCTTCTAGACTCATTGTGAATACGTGCGCGAGTTTTTTTTCTTCGTAATATACAGCTGCGTTTCCCAACGTGTGGAAGATGTGTGAGGGTGAATAAATAGATAGATGGGTATATACAATCCAGAGAGGACGGACGGAAAATGGGACATGGTAAGTACCTAGTAGTCGTAGGATAAGGTGGTCAGGTGCGTAAGTCGTGTGGGCAAATGTGAACAAGTGCCAAGAGGGCAAGAAGCCGAGGTGAACTGGTCACCAAGCCTACAACTTGGCTTTTTCGCTGAAACGAGGCGCTTGCAGAGGATCGTACGCCCGCAATGTCAGCGTATCTGACGGCACGGGCGCACTGTGACCGGCGACGAGGCCGCGCACGTCCAGCATACTGGGGTTGAGATCGGCGATAGTCCGGGCGCCAATCAGCCGCATGTTCATTTCCATCTCGTCCTTGAGAAGCTGGATGGCGCGGTCCACGCCATCCTGGCCGTACGCCGACATGGCGTACAGGAATGGGCGACCGATACCGACACCCTTGGCGCCGAGGCAGAGTGCCTTCAGAATATCAGTGGCGCGACGGACGCCGCCGTCAATGAAGATCTCGATCTTGTCCTCCCAGCCGCGCTCGCGCAGGACGGGCATGACCTCGGCGAGGACCTCGATGGCGGAGCGCGCGAAGTCGAGTTGGCGACCGCCATGGTTGGAGAGGACGACGCCATGCACGCCCATCTCGACAGCGCGGAGAACGTCCTCAACGCACTGCACGCCTTTTAGCACGATTGGCATCTTGGTGATGGACTGGAACCAGGGGATGTCCTTCCAAGAGAGGGAGGGGTCGATGAACGAGGAGATGGCGCGTGCGGCACCCTGGGACCGGTCGACGGAGTCGCCGCCGGACGCCTGCACACTGGATCCGACATCCGAGAATTTCGACCGCATGTCCTTTTCGCGACGGCCCAGCTGGGGCGCATCCACGGTAATAAAAAGACCCTTGCAGCCGCGCGCCTCAGCATGCTCGACAATTCCCTTGGTGATGCTGCGGTCCTTGTTGACGTACAGCTGCAACCATTGCACTTGGTCACCTTGCTTGGCGTCCACGATCTCGTCGAACGAGCAGGATGCCAGAGTAGGGATCATTTGGACAACCTTATGGTTGTGGGCGGCTCGCGTCAGTACCACCTCGCCCTCGGGGTTGCCAAGCTTGCCCAAGGCAGTGGCAGTGACGTAGAAGGGAATGGATGATTTAGAGCCGAGCATTGTAGTCGAGAAGTCGACGTTCTCGACGTCCACGAGGATTCGGGGTCGAAACCAAATCTTGTGGAAAGCGGAGTGATTTTCGCGCATAGTCTGGGGAAGGAGTCCACGTTAGCATATGCCAATGTCTGGAACGTTTCTGACGAAGGAACAAATCCCACGTACAATCTCATCGTCTGCGCCACTGGAATAATAGGCCCAGGCCGTCTTCTTCATCACGCTGCGGGCGACCGACTCGAAATCCATCAGGTTGTAGCATGCTGCGAGCGGAGGCATGAGTTTGACCCGTTCTTGACGTTCTACCTCCTCCTCCGGATCAGCCGTTTTCTCCTCCTGCTCGACGGTCTTCATGTCGACTTCACCCAGGTGTTTTGAGTGATCGAGGTACTTGTCCAGCGTGTCCGGGGGATGAATCGGGTCGAATTCCTCGGTCGCATCTTTGCCGGCATACTTGAGAATGATCTTTTGGCCGCCGGGGTGTTCTAAAACAGCTGTTAGCGGCAATCGCCGGTGAGAGTGGAAGCTACCGCCGATTCAAGACATACCTGGGAGGAATTCAGTCACATCGTAGGCCTTCCCATGAACAATCACCCAGCACGAGTCGCGGGAGTTGTGCTGGGCAATATCAGCACCGGTGAGCTTGCCTTTACTCATGGCTGGGGGCAAAAGGCAAGGGAGGAGGATCAATGAAGGAGAAAACGTAGGCAGGAAAGACTAACGGATGGGAAGTTCCAACGAGGTCCCGACGTTATTTAAAAGGAGGTCGGAAGAAAGGAAAAGGCAGAGTGGCGCTAGATGCCGAGTTCAGACTGGGAGAGCAGAGAGACCTCGGGGTAATAGACAGCGAGCGAATTGGGGCCGGCCGAGCAGAAATCGGGCGACACTCGTTGGCTGCGGATTGCGGGGGAGTCGGGTCATCTTGGCTCTCTCGGCCGACTGGTCGGGACTGGATGGTGGATCACTGGATTCATCTGCATTCCCCAGAGGTGCGAGTTGCAGTTGGCACAAGGACGGTGGAAGTCGGAGGATCGTGTGTCCGGTCAGGTGACATTATCACGTGAGTTGGTCACCTGACTGCCCCGGCACGCGTTCGTCCTCTCCTCCTCCATCCTCCATCCTCCATCACTTGCGTGTCCGCAGGCGACGGAGCCACATTCTATTTTGGTGATCATGGCGCACCCAAACCATGTCATCAAACAACGTCAATCCCGTCCGTTCAATGCGCTCCACAGCATCCACAATGGCGACACAACAGCCGCCAAGACATGGACCACGTAGCCCCGATGAACCATTCGTCCAGACGAGACATTTATTCTACGACTCGGTACACGGCAGCCTGGTCGCTGGCCATATAATGGAGGACGGTGGTTCTTCCTTTGCCAAATGGTTCCTCACAAGAGGAGAAACCGCGAAGGAATTGCGGCGATGAGGTGGCTGGTGTGAGGGTGATATACCAACGACGTGCCTATTCAGACCGCTTTTTCCATCTTCAGACATCTATTCATAGTCTAGTTGACTCACAATCTAGCCTAATTCGACTAAATCAATGCATACCGGCGGAGCAGTTCGCTGGTTAGAGTGGAACTAGCTCTAAGGATTAACCAAGAAAGAAAAGACGGCGCATCACTCGCTCGCCCATTAGCTTGCATCCATCTTCACATCTTCGAGCACACTCGTCGCGGCAGATTAGAGCAGGATAGCTCGTGGCGGATAGACTACCTGGAGGAGACCCAACTTTACGATCTATCTTAGCCGCTCGGTCAATCCCGACATGATGCCATTCATCCCGTTCCTCCTCGTACTAGCTGGCCTGACGATCTTCTTCTCGCGACGAAAATACAAGGCCATCGAGCAGAGCTACGAGGATTCCCCTCGCGTTGTGGTGAAAGGGCACACATATTCTGACAGTGTCGAGGAGATTCAGTTACAGCCGCTGCCCGTGACCAGGCCAAGTAAGGTTGAGGATGTACGATGTGCGTGCGTCATCGGAGCGGGATATGTAGGTGAGTCTTTGTTTTTCCTCCTCTTTATGACCGTCTTCATGCTGGGCAACGAACGCATAGGATGATTGAACTGATTCATCAAGCACAGGCACGTTGACGGGTCTCGTACTGGCGTCGCAGAACCCGCATGTCCAGTTCTACATCGTCGACGGTGACGAACGGCTCATCTCCGCGTGGAACTCAGATCGGGTTCCCATCTCCGAGCCAGGTGTGGAAGAGCTCCTATTTGAAGATGCAGAAATCGTATCGCCGGAGGCACGGGCGTCGCTAGAGCCGGAATCAGAGTTTGGCGAGTTCGTATCGCAGCTTCCAAGGGCTCGGAAGTTGCATAATGTAACTTTTTCAACGAATTTGCATGCGGGCATTACGCCGTCTGATATGGTTTTTCTGTGTCTCGAAACGAGGGTTGGAACTGATGTATGCTTTATTCCCTTCCCTTCTCACCGAACTCCCCCTCGGAATAGTACAGATACTGATCGAAACTAGATCGAGGACACGACAGTAGACCTCACACATTTGGAATCCGCTCTCCTTGCAATCGCGCAAGTCTCCACCGGTCATAAAATCATCGTGCAGAAGACTACCGCACCATGCGGCATCGTCCCCCGAATCAAGAAAGTGGTACGTCACAGTAGTAACTTCCATTACTTCTCATTTTTCTAACGGAAGCCCCAGTTAAAAGAAACCGCCTCCCCCTCTGCCACCTTTGATGTCCTCTCTAACCCCGACTTCGTGGTCCCCGGCTCCGCGCTCCGCGACCTCCTATACCCGCCGCGAATTGTAATAGGACACATCTACTCGTCAGACATGTCACCGGAAGCCATTACGGCCTTGAAACGACTCTACACACCTTTCATTCCGGAGGATCGGATCCTAACCATGGATGCATGGTCTTCTGAACTAGCCAAAATTGCAGCGAACGCATTCCTAGCACAGCAGATTAGCAGTCTCAATTCGCTGAGCGTGCTGTGCGAATCGACCAACGCGGATATGGGCCACGTTACGAGGGTGCTCGGACTGAGTCAGCGAGCAGGATTCGGGCTAGGAGTGTTGCAGGCGGATGTGATGTGCTTGGTGTACCTGGCGAGAGAGCTAGGGGTTCCCGAGGTGGCGGAGTACTGGGGTTCCGTGGTGCGGATGAATGGGTTTCGGAGGGAATGGGTGGTTCGGAGGCTCACGAGAAGAATTGGGGAAGGGGAAGAGAAATGTGTTGCGGTTTTGGGAGTCGGATCGAAGGGGAACTTGGAAGATATGAATGCAGGAATGGGGCTGGTGCGAGAGTTGACGGCGACACGGGTGAGAGTCAATGTTTTCGATCCCCATCTTGAAGCAAGGCGGATAGAACATGGACTAGGCAGTGCTGGAGCAAGGCGAGAGTTGGTAGCAGTGGCGGACTCGGTGGAGACAGCATGTTTGGGATGCCATGCTGTAGTGGTTCATACGGACTGGAAGGAGTTCAGCCATGAGAGTGTGCGCTGGCAGGGCATTGCACATCAGATGCAACAACCCAAAGTCTTTCTGGACCTGCGAGGAGCGTTCGACCGGTTCCAGATGCAACAGTGGGGGTTTAACATGCTGCAGCTCGGGGTCAGGGAGATGCATTAGTTAGCGGGAGAAATATATGTAGTCATCTGTGTACTTAGACCCCCCGAAATCCCTGGAGCAACTCCGGATAATATGGCGAACCACCGCGCTATCAATGCTGAATGATTGATAAATGCTCTGCTGATACACTCTAGACAACCAGCAAGGACACTTCTTCAAAGAATATCCTCCGATGTTGCCTCTACAATGCCCTGACGACGGAATGTGTATACTCTAGGCATTATCATGTCCTTTCATCGAATGTATTTCTGCGCTGTGTACTACACCCTATGCACACCCTATGTACTTGACCCCCACTGCAGGGCCCTGGAGTGGGCTATGGCCGTCCCACTTATTTCCCCATGAGCAAGACATACTTCTTCCTTGGAGTGCGAGTGGATCCTCTTGGATTGACCGGGCGATCCACGGCACTAGCGGTCCGATTCATAATACGATTGTCGCCCGCACCAGCCCGGACCGCAAGTATCCGCTGAAGGAGCTGGTCCCTTCTGCATGGGAGCGTATCGGTGCCAAGTATATTTCATATGCCAACGCTGGTAGCCCCTTGGGGCGCGCCGACTTTGGGGAGAATTGGCGTGACGGACAGCGTCAACTTGCCAGTAACGCATACGGTCTCAGGGCGTCTCTGTTATGACCGACACGCTGGTGGCGAAGGTGATCCTCCAAGAACAAGGCGGCCAGCAGATCACGACCGGGGTGAAAGTGGCAACCGGCAAGGAATATCATGCCTCCAAAGAAGTGATTAAGGTGCTCATGCTCTCTGGAATTGGACCGGCAGAAGAGCTGCCGAAGCACAACATTCCACAGTTGGTTAACGCGCCAGGTCGCAATTTCCATGACCACTTCTGCTACCCCCAATGGTGGAAACTGCGTCATCCCGAGCAGGGCCTCTCGATGGGAACGCCGCTTTGGCAGAGCCCAGCATATGGCATGGGAGTACCCTACGATTGGAATGTGGCTTTGCAAACCCCGTCGGACAAGTTGACGAGAACGTCCGACGGGGAGGAATCACGTTCTTCCATCCAGGAGGATCGGCAGCTATGGGTCAAGTGGTCGACATTCAACTGCGGGTTCAGGGCGTCAAGGGCCTGCGAGTCACAGATGCCAGCGTACTGCCCGTGCCCATCACCGGGCATTACCAGGCCATCCTGTATGCGCTGGCCGAGAAAGCGGCGGACCTGATTTCAGTCTAGAGTGTGTTGTATTCGACTACTCAGAGGTACAGAAACCCCACGCATACCAAGCTTCTTGAGGCTTTACAAGCAACCCAGATTCTATTAAAACGCGTGTAGTCTATCTAGTGAAACGATCAGCTATACAGGCGCTTCGCCGAATGAGGCAGAAGAAATCAGTCTCTTCGGTGCTGATCCTCTCTTCCCCACACTTCGTCCACATTAGTCTTTCCTCTAGTTTCTGGTACCCACCCGTAGATGAATCCTCCCAGGACCAAGGCCATCGCGGCAAAGATCCAATAGATCTTACCGCGACCTCCCAATGCATCATTCAGCATCGGGAAAAATTGGGCCACGATAAAGGTTGCGATCCAATTAGCTGCTAGGGCCCAGCTTTGCGCAGCCCCGACGGCTTCTGGCCCAACCAGCTCGGAAGCCAGGATAAATGGAACCGGACCCAGGCCGACGGCAAAGCTAGCAACAAACAGCAGAACAGCAATCACTGATAAGGCTTTCAGGTGGAAATAGATACCCGAGGCGAGCAGTACAGAGTTACATCCCATCCCACTGATACTCAGCAGAAGGCAAGTTCGCCGCCCGATCTTATCGGGCAGCGGCGAACAGACAAGGGTGATTATCAAGTTGATCGCCGAAACAATTACCGTCAGCAAGGCTGCAGTGGTGGGAAGAATAGTTTGCAATAATGACACGCTGTACATGATAATACTGTTGACGCCTGTAAGCTGCTGGGTTACCATGACCCCGACAACGGCAATAATGGCAGGACGGTATCGAGGGTCCGTCACGGCAGTCAGGATAGTGACCGGGGGTTGCTTTGGAGGGATGTTGGCAGACGGAGGCACCAGCAGTGATTGCTCCTCTCCAGATCCAGAGTCACCTGCCGAAGATCGCCATCCTTCAATCTCTTCAACAATGTCCGCATCTTTGCCGCGTATTCTCTGCAGAACCTGTCTGGCTCTATCCACCCTTTGATGCTCTGCCAGCCAGGTGGGACTCTCTGGCACCAAAAACAGTCCAAGAAGCTGACAACACCCGATGAAGCCTGCAACCGCGAGGATAATCCTCCATTTGCCTCCCTCGCTGAGGAAATACCCCAGGGACTGAGTCGAGAGGATGCCAACATTGGTCATGATCTGGGTAAATGCACCGAAGAATCCTTTTGCGTTTGGGGGAGCGATCTCCGACACGTAGATCGGTCCAACAACTATGGCGGCACCTGATCCCACGCCAGATAGCAATCTTCCAAATGCCAGGACGGAGATAGTCGGGGCCAGCGTCTCCGCGATAGGGCCGAGTATGAAGAAAATTGTCGTCGCTCGTAGCGCCAACAGGCGACCATGCTTCGTTGAGACGGGCCCTGCTAGCAAGGCTCCTAGAAACCCACCTAGAGTGTAAATAGAAGATACAAGACCGAATTGGGACGGGTTCATCGGGATACATTGTGGTAGGCCGTGCGTCATGGGCTTCGCGGAGGAATGGATGCTCTTTCGCTCGCAGGTGACTACAGTTTGGGGGGCATTAAGCTCGGCCTGTCATGAATGTAGTACACTCGTCAGAAGAGGTCGGGACCAAACGGGAGCGTGACGTTCGGGCGGAAATACCAAGTGATACCCGAACTGAAGCGGTCCTAACGTGGCGATAAACACCAGGTAGATCAGGTACGGGGTCACCGCGGAACGGGATGAATTGTGGGGGACCATGGTGTGGCGGATAGTTGATTATAGTCCGAAGTATCTTGATTCCTCTCAAGGGGGGGGGCCTTGGGGATGACGTTGGCGCCGGAAGAAAGAAACGCCGCGAGGTACGGCGGACGATAGCGGCCAGGATGGAGGTGTAGAACAGACAAGAATGATCGAAGAAATTACCTGTTCTTTCTTTCATTCTTCTTTCTTGTCTTGCTATTCTCTCATCTGAGCCATCTGCTACTCCATGGACGACTTCCAAGTTGCCCAGGTTGCCCAGACATCCAGGCATCCAGGCACCGAGGCATCCAGGCACCACCCGCAGGCACCAATCACGGTGCGCAGGCCGATCAGCCGTCTGGGATAAGCGTCCTGGTTCCCTCGGAGTGAACGAGAGTAACAGGGTGCCTCCCTCCCTACCGTACCTAGGACGTGCACTCTGTACCCCGCCTAGTCGGCCGTGCTATAAGCAGGGACATACATAACGTTGTAATCCTCCGCGGGCGTCTGCATCCCGCCACCTGTCCACATCCATACATATACATGTTCATATATATATTCATATATATATATCAATAAGATTCTATTGGTGTCCCTCGCCATGTCGCTCTCTCTTTGCATGATCGAAGGTTCCACCGGCACGCAGGACCCTCTCTTTCAACGCCTGAATGAGTATCTGCTGTCCGACGGATCAGTTTCCGCAGCCACCACGGCGCAACGCATCAACGACGAGAGATCGTCCCTGGCAATAACCGACCCCGGCGCATTCTGCCAAGACACGTGGTTTGTTTTCCAGCAGTTGATCGAACAGATTCCTCAGGATCATCCGTATCAAGATCGATTGGTCGACGTGATCGAGGCGTTGACGAAGTTGCCTTCTACGGAGGTTAAGATCTGGGGGGTACGTATTTGGTCTATCTCTCAACGTCACTGCGATGAGCCACTACTAATGTGTCGCAAACAGGAGACTTCCCGTATGTGGGCGGATCTCCCTCTCTTGGGACCTCACATGCGTGATCATTGGAATCGTACACTACACGCCCCTCCCGACGCTCTTCCTCCCATCCCTCAAGTAAAACAAGTGCTAATGCCAACCTAGCCCCGGAATACAACGAAAAGAAAGCCGATTCTTGGCCCGAAAAGGCACGGAAATGGGTGAGCCTGAACGCCTTCGCCGCTCGACTGTTGAACCTCGAGTCTGTAACTTGGGACAATTTCGGACTCTGGACGATGCGCGATATTTTGGAGAACGAGATTTCAGGACCAGAGCTCGAGAACGGTATTGAGACAGTGGCGGTCTGGATCAAGTACGCCGGAAAGCTCATCTATGAGACGTCCAAGGCGAGCGAACAACCAGAGGTAAGAATGTTTCAGCCGGGACCGTTGTATTCCGGCCCGAGCAAGTACTGCCCCGAAAGATGGGTATTCTGGAAGGACCGGCTCGGGATTATTGGAGTGCAGGGAGGCGAGACAGCGAGTAGGGCCCAGGAGACGAAGAGAATCATGGAGGAGTTTGAGGGTTGACGGATGCTTGTTTTTATACGTAGCGTCTTTCCTGTGAGAAGTCCATAGGTCTTCTGAATTTACTATTATCTTATATTGACCCAAGTACAAAGATTGAAAGCTTGATCCTCAACACCGGCTTTTTGGTATTTGTACTTTCTTTTTTTTTTTCTTAATCTCTCATTAATCATACCAAATGGCATTCATTCCGAATCCCTTCTCCGGAATATCCACGCGGGCCACGCGCGCCAGCCTCTCGTCGCGGAATCGATACATCTCCACGAACCCAAGCTGGTCGTCGCACAGCGCCAGCCACTCGTCGCTAAAATCGCAAGGGCTGACGGCGTTCGAGTGCCCGCCGCTAGTTGAGGTGGGGTTGATAAAAAGCTGCCGTTCGATGTTGCCGTTCGGACCGAGCTTGAAGGCCGTGATGTATCCCGTAACGTCGAAATGGTTGCTGCGGGTCGTGGCGAAAAGGTATTCTCCGCTGCGGGTCGTGAAGGTGACGTCGCCGCGGTACTTATTACGAGGGGGGAGGCCTTGTCGATCATCGTTAGTCCCGTCAATCCGATCAGCTGGAGAGACATGGAACAGTGGACTCACCTGCGGGCAGCAAGGGGTACGTAATATGTGTAAACACAGGGACATGGGTTCGCTCATCGATCACATATACCGCCAAACGGTTTCCCGCCTCCATCAGCGCATAGAGATACTTTCCGCTCGGGTGCATCTCAACCCAGCGCGGGTGGTCGTCCGGCGAAGGTGCCTCCAGACAATCGACCAGCGTCAGTTGCCCCGCCGTGTCCTTCTTGTGTGTCCAGATCTTGTTGGCTTGAAGATCGGCCGAGTAGAGATACGTTTCGGTCGGATCGAATACCATCCCGTGAATGCCCGTGTTAGGTTCGTATTCGTAGTTCTGTACGTTTTGCGCTAGTCGCCCGTCGGACTCGACCGAGAAGACGTTTCCGTAGCCTGCGTATTTGTAGAACGGGTTGCCGTAGACGTTGTATGGTGGTTTATGGGCGGCTAGAACGAAGATGGCGCGCGTGTTGGTATCGGCGCTGGGGGCGAGCTCTGCGTGAAGATGGCGACTGAATTAGACAGGTTGATTCAACGAGACGCAGCAGCATAAGACGCGTACCGTGGCCAGCGACAGGGTGTGAGACCTGATGGACGATATCGGTAGGACTGTTTACCGCAAAACTGTTCCATTTCTTCATAGCGGCGCCGTAGATAGCTTTTTTATCGTGCTGCGGGGTGCGATCTTAAGCAATTCATCCAGAATATCTAGGTCCAGCAAGCCTACCGAGAATGTCATCCACGAGATAGGTTCAGCCTCTGGAATGTCGGTCTTCTGAACCAGTTCCAGCGTGAGGGCCTCATCGTCAAATGCGACGGTGTAGATACGGCCTGGCGGGGTCCAGGTACCGACCATCAGATGGTGCTTCATGTTGGGAGGAATGGAGCGAGAGAAGGCGCGTTTGGCGGACAGAGACAGAGCACTTGGGGAGAGAAGAGTGCGGGAGAAGCTGGAAGAAAGAAGCATAGTTTTGGGTTCCCCGGAGAGAGAGAGGGAAAACCGGGGAACCCACCGTAGGAGCCGGAGGAGAAGATGGAATCATGGAAGAAGGGAAGAACCAACAGCCGAAGTCAATCCCGTTCTCGGAATGCGGGGGTCGGCTTCCGCTCCGGCAGTCGACACGCGCCTGAGGCACCAGCCCCGGGGTATCCACCAGCGGACATGCTTATTGCCGCGCGGATAGGACTTTACCCGCAATATTGATATACGGACCTGCGGACATAATTACAAAGTATACAGTAGTTTTTATCGGTAGGTCTGAGCCGAATATTAAACCTTTCTGTATACAAGCAGCGATAGGGTCGTTTCCCTTCAGATTAACGCCAAGTCACCGCATTTGCATACCGCATGGGAGACTGCTATGATCATGGTATACTAAATCATCACCCATCCACCCATACAAACACTGCTTCGCCCAGGGGATTTGCAACCACAAGGAAACACCTTGATTAGCCACAGCCGTAAACTGCATCATTAGCTGATCTAGCGGTCCCACCAAGCTTAATTCAGCCGTTGGACTGTTGCATGATTGAACCCCTTGCCCAGACCTGGTCCAAGCACTTAAGACAAGCCGAATCTCCGTATAGGCACTCCGCATTGCTTTAGAGAGTGATTAACGGCTCTGTATCTGCACCTATGCAACACGATCCCAACTATGACACAGGTAGATTACTTTGTTGAGAATATGATATATCTGGGTGAGATGTAAGTCAGATGATGGAGCAAAGAAACAAAGTAGAAGTAGCCCAAAGTTACAAATAAATACTACACAAACAATTAAACCGCAGAGGCGAGCAATGACGGCGAACCAACAAAAAACCGATTGTAAATTGTCTACCTGTCGGAGCTCGCTAGTCTTGATGTTAATGTAAATGGCGTGAGAATCGACTAATACATTACAATCAGACCGAATCGCACTAGACGGACAACACATCCTACACCCCGGCATAGTTATCGTGCTCTGCAAATTTAGATCAGCATACGTAGCCCAGGCCCCTCCTGCGACGCCAAGACGATGTGTTGTATGGCATAATTCCCTGTGTGCTATTGCCGGCCAATGTGATCCGCTCCGGAGAGGTGTTGCTTGTTCCTAAATTACTTGTGCGTGTTGTATTGCCTTATCCTTTTTGTTAGCACTTGAGCGCATCTTAGTTTCGGTTTCCGTTTGGTGTCGTTAGTAAAGGTCCTGGTTGCGACGATCAATGTGATCTTCATTAATCATGGTTTGAAGATTGCTGAGTTAGATTGAATGTTTAGTACAGGATAGTTGTGAGACAGTGACAGGCAGACCAGCTCTAATTCTCGTGCATGACCAGATGGGCGCTAGATTATTCTGCCAAGGTGTCGACGAGTATCGTGTGGTACGTACTCTCTCCCCAAATACGGCCGAGCCTCTCTTGTGTATGCGTTATGTGATTTCGAAAATTTTCAGTCCTCGTACTTCTAGTTCTGGCAGTGTGAGCGCATGGCACCTTTTCAGAGAAAGGGCGCATTGCGTGTGGCGTTATATCCGACACTCTGGAGACGGTGCATACTAGCGGTTATGGGTTCTTTTGGGATAGTCCCCAATGTATGTCCCTCAAAGCCCTCGCGGCGGCGCTTTCTCTGCGGCCCAGGAGGGGTCTGCAAGTTTGATTATTAGATAGAAAAGCGCCTACCGGAAAGATCCCAACCACTACGTTCAGTATCTTTCAAGTAGACTGCAACTACGCACTAATCCTGACATTTGATCCCAATTCGCCGTGATACTGGCTCGGCGCGCAACGATTCGGGAGCCGCCGAATGACGAGTTTGGACATTCTCGACGATCGAGACAAGGCATTTAAATCCGATACCCAGACACTCAGAGGCACCGTCATTCCGAGCAGATGCTGCGAGCTCTTCCATTTGTGTGGATAACAACCATGGACACGGATTCACCTTTACCAGCTCCTGAGCTTTCTTGGATGTCACATTCTCAGCTGGCCTGCTTGACCGCAGCCCTAGTGGTAATTCCTCCAACAACCATTAAGAAAGATTTGCCCTCATAATCTGTTTAGGGGATTGTATACTGGCTAGGTATCGTGGCTTTCAACCTTTTCTTTCACCCATTGAGGTCCTTTCCCGGCCCCTTCTGGGCCCGAGCATCTTTTGTAAGGAGCTTCTGCCTAACCGTCTACACCAGAAGAGACATCAAGCTAACAGGACACCGAATCCAAGGCGTGGCGTATCTGGCACTCGGTGGGCGGTCGCTTTCACCGAGCCATCGATGACCAGCACAAACGCTACGGTGAGACCTATCCAGAAGCCGTGTTAGCTCGCACTCACCGGTATTGCCACAGGTGACATCGTTCGAATATCCCCGAACGAGCTATCTTGTGCCTCGGTTGAGTCATGGAAGGCGATATACGGCGCGGTAAAGCCGCCGATGGTAAAGAGCGAGTTCTACGAGATCTATGGGTCTGGGTTCCGTTCGCTCTGTATAGGAAGCGAACGGAACCCGCAACGGCACAGTCGAATGAAGAAGTCTCTTGCCGCGGCGTTCTCCACGAGGGCCCTGGCAGAGCAGGAGAGTATCATCAGTAGTTGTGTGGACCGCTTTCTTGATCGGCTCAGAGAAGATGGCCACTCCTCGACTGGACTGAACATGACTAAATGGTTTGAGATGCTCGCGTTCGATCTGCTGGGCGAAATGGCCTTTGGGGAATCATTCCACTGTGTCGAAACCGGCAAATCGCACTTCTGGTCCGATATGATTGAAGAGCACCTGTACTTTATCACCATCCTCGATAACCTACGCCGATATCCGGTCTTCGCTGCAATAGGGAAGCTGATCCTGCCGGGACTCACGGTGGGTGTTCGCAACAGACACACCAACTACAGTCGCAACAAGGTCATCCGTCGTTTGGAAGCAAAATCCCCTCGCGCCGATTTCATGTCGCATTTGATCAAAAAGGTGGAGGACGGGGAAATGGAACTGGAGGAACTGAGCGCCCACGCCTCCACTCTTGTGTATGATCCAAGCAGGAAAGGAATCGATCAAGGCTGGAAAACTGACGAGACGCAGTATTGCCGGTGGCGAAACAGTAGCCACATTCCTGGCTGCCACCACCTATCATCTCCTATCCAACACATCTGTCTATCACAAACTGCGTTCTGAGATCCGTAATCGCTATCGCTTCGCGTCCGACATCAACGCTACCAGTGCCCTACAGCTACCATATCTGCAAGCGGTCATCTCCGAAGGATTGCGAATCTATCCCCCGGGCTCGCAAGGCTTTCCTCGTAACACCCCCGCCGAAGGGGTTGTGGTCGATGGAATGCATATCCCAGGAAATGTAGGTATTTCGGATGACTGAACACCCTCCGGCAAAAGCCAATTCCAGGAATGACTCTAATGCGAAGGAAGGTCGAGGTTTATACATCCGCCTGGACTGTCACGCACGACACGCGCTACTTTCACAGCCCGTTTGAATTCAATCCAGACCGGTGGCTGGACCAGGACTGCACCGATATTAAAGAGGCGAGCCAGCCGTTTTCGCTGGGCCCAAGGGGCTGTTTGGGTCGGAAGTTGGTGTTTTCCCTTTCCTTTTCTCCATCCCTCTGTAGCTTAGCTACAGCTAAAATCCTCACTAACCATCGAGCAGCTTTGCCATGATGGAGATCTCGCTAATACTTGCGAAAATGCATTTCGTCTTTGACGCCGAACTAGTCAACCGTGCTCAAGGCTGGGAGAGCGAAAGTCGCCTGCACGTGATGTGGTGGAAGCCCTCACTAGCGGTGCGGTTCTATCCCGCAGAGGTTGCAAAGACCGGGGGCTCTGTATAGGAGTCACGCCAGGGTGATGAGAGCGAACGCGAAAGGGCCGTGGATTTGAAGCCGGCGCGAGCTACAAGTCTGATTTGACATAAATCCCGCCTATATACATGGTGCTGTTTATCCATTCCACTCTTCATGTGCTTCGTATCCATCAGCTTGACTCTACCGTCAGCCGGGCTTTCATGGCAACGTACATCGCATGCAGCTGACCTCGGTGATGTCTCAGCGTCTTGAGATGCCCGGTCCACTGCTGTACCTGTGCGCGGTCCCATAACTTCGACAGCACTCGGCGCAGTTGCTGCAGGGTCGTTAGGTGAAGGAGAGTAAGTAGTGCCGATGTTTCGGCCGTGACATCTAAACTAGACATGCCGCAGTATAGCGTCACTATGGCATCTGTACCATCACCGGGGTCGTTGTAGCAGGTGCTTTCTCCAGAAGCAAACGCATGTGTGACAGGGCACGCACCGCGGCTTTCCTTTTGAACAAAGGTAGAAGACGCGAGGAGTCCGGAGACCAAGGCGTTGGGGAAGGAAGCTTCCAGGATCAGGTGGAGATTGGTGAGCAGGCGCTCAAAGAGCAGCACAAGGAGTGTCATCAGCCTCTGCGCTCCCCTGCACGAATTGCAGATGGTTAGCGACTCCAGCTTTTGAATCCCGGACCGCAAAGTCGCCAAATTCTGGAACGTGGATCCGTTGTCTCCGAGAGACGCGGGCCCCGGTGTGTAGTCCTGCACGTAGACCTCGTCCAACATCTCCAGGGCTTGTTGGATACATTGACAGGGGTTTAAGTCGGAGCACGGCCCGTCCGCTAAACTGTCCGGGAAGGATCTCCACAGCGGCTCAAGGGTCTGGAGTCCGTGCTGGCTGGGACTGTTGTTCCTGCTGGGTGCCTGGTCTGCGCTGTCTGGGTTGCTTGGATTGCCACCGGGAGAATAGCTGGGTGGAAACGGGGGGAGAAAATCCCGTATCACCGGATCCCGCGTCTCATACGCCGAGAAGGGCTCTAAGCAGGCGTCTTGATCTACGTCTGCAAAGTGGTCTAAGCGTGCCATTGGGCGCGCAGCGACATCATCCGAGTGCTCCGAAGGAGAAGACGTGGATAGATTGGGCTCGGAGCGGAAATCCATCGACGGACCCCGGCGTTGACCCCTGAGATTAATCTTCTGGCTCTTCCGAACGGTGCCATTCCGTGTTGACCGGCTCACTGAAACGCATTGGACGTTCGATGCTCTGCATCGAGCACATCCCTCGGGACTGAAACCCGAGCATTTCAACTGGGTTGGGTAAGCCGAAACCGTCTCCGGCAGAAAGAAAGAAAGAAAGAAAGCCATACCTTTTTACTGCGACACAACTGGCAGACGAGATGCGGGGGACGATGGTATGGCGGTGGCTCTGTCGAAGCTTCGGTGGCCACCATACTTTGGCTGTCTAAATCACGCAGCGTTGCAAACATGTTCGATTGCCCTGGGCTACACATACCCAATATTCCCCTCCCAGCCCCGCGAAGACAAGCGGACCGCTATATACGTTGCCACCGCCATGTCGCGGGCATTCCATTCCTACTGCAGGCCTAAGGCCTAGACGACCATTCGCAATGGCTCACTCAAGCAACAGCAAGCCCCATGTGTCGACAAGGGGGCGGGATTGATGAAGAGGAGCGGGGACCAGGATGATCTGGCAGGAAAAACGGAATCCGAGGACTGAGATTGGAGGGATAATCGTGCTAGACATGCCAAGGGCACTCGGCCCCCAAAACGGTCCATAAAAGTTGGAACGCGAGATGAGCCATTCAACCGTCTGTCATGCATGATGCCGCAAGGGGCCAAACGGGGGAATGTTGATACAAGCGATTTCGCTCCGGATGAGGCTCGCTCTGAACAGCCTGGACTCGACTCTAAGGCCACCCGACTGGAGGGACGGTGGGGTCTAAATGGACATGCGGCCTACGCAGGGCGAAGGGGAGTTGTCCACCGACTCGGCGGAAAAGGATATCAATCGGCCGCTTCCATTTCGGGTCCGGGCCGAGCAACATGAAGGCATTCGAATTGGCGTATATCAGACGTTGTTTTCAACGGTTGGATGGCGCTCAGAAGTCTCAGTCCTTCCTGCTGCGGTGAATTATTGATCGTTTCCGAGATACTTGATCTGGCCTGGCATGTCTCCCATATTTGTGCTGTGCGTGGTGGCGTTGGGGCTGGTGCTATGGGCCACCCGGTTCCACAAACAACGCTATATACCCGGGGTGCCTATCGTCGGAGGCCCAGGAAAGATTAGAGAGAACCGGAAATTGTTCGTCACAGAGGGCATGGCTATACTGCGGCGAGGCTACGAAGAGGTTTGCCGGCACAATGTGCGCCCTCGGCCGGATGGGGGCTAAGCTGACGCCTCAGCACAGAACAAAGATCGCCTGTTTTATGTCCCGACGCCAATTGGCGAGCGGCTGATCCTCCCAAGCCGCTATCTCGAGGAGCTGAAGGCGGCCGATATGCGCCAGGTGGATTTTCAAGCCACCTTTCTGGAGGTAACCCACGGCGGCCAAACAACGAACCTACCAACCCCGTTGACATGCGGTGCAGATGTTCGAAGGCTCATATACTACTCTGGGGACACACTCGCGATTGTTACCTCAGGTTGTGCGGGCGCAGCTCAACCAGCATCTCGGTGAGGAAATCAAACCCCTGCGACAAACGACAGACACAGCTAATCCACCGTTGACACCAGCCAATGTCCTCCCCCAGATCCAAGCTGAGATTCGGGAGTCGCTGACTGAAGTGCTCCCTCCGTGCGAAGGTGAGATCGAGTGCGTGGCTTACGTGCAGATATAGAGTTGTCGTGCGAGCTGACTCCAATCGACTTTGAATCCGTAGACTGGACGGAGATTAACGTCACGGACGTCATGGCCGTCATCATTGCCCGTGTGTCCAGTCGAATGTTTGGCGGAACAAGGCTTAGCCGCAACGAAGGATGGATCCAGGCCTCTCTCCGTTTCGCACATGATGGCTTTCAGGCGGCCACTAAACTTAAGAAATGGCCCGGTCTTTTGAAGCCAATCGGCCAGTACTTTGTCCCGGAGATCACCTCTATCAGGAATACCTACCGCGTGGCGGAGAATGCCATCGTACCACTTCTTGAGGAGCGAGACAGGGGATGTCAAAAGAAAGATGCCCATGACCTAGTGGGTTGGATGTACGCTCAGGCGGAAGGCGCGGAGAAGAGCAAGAAGTTCATCGCCGGCACTCTACTAAAGGTGAGTTTCGCAGCCTATCACACCAGCGCCGCGGCTCCTACTCAGTTATTATTCGACCTGGCCGCCCGCCCAGAGTATATTCCTGCCTTGAGGGAGGAATTTTACGCGGCAGACCGGGATGCGGTGGGCAACGTTTCCGTCAAGGGGTTTGCAAGTATGATGAAGATGGATAGCATCATGAAAGAAAGCCAGCGCTTCAACCCGCTACTCCTTCGTAAGTGATCCACCCAGTGTTGTACTCCTGTGCATATGGCAGGCTGACCAGCCCACCCATGAAGTCACCTTCGAACGGATTATAAAGCAGGACTTTCGTCTCTCAGACGGCACGGTCATCCCAGCAAACACGTGGGTCGGCAGCCCTGCTCAGGCCATCGCCATGGACGCAGACCTATACCCAAACCCAGACACATTCGATGGCTTCCGCTTCGCCAAGTCGACGACAACGGGAGCCCACGAGGCCGGCCGCAGGATGCCCGCAATCGTCAAGGGGAAGCCTCACTACACGTCTGCTCACCCGGGGTCGATGGCGTTCGGGTACGGCCAGCACGCCTGTCCCGGCCGCTTCTTTGCTATGATGGAGATCAAAGCCATCACCGGGGAAATCCTGAAACGGTATGAGCTGAAGCTCCCGGGGGGAGCACGTCCGGCGAGCGTCACGTTCGAGACACAACATCTACCGAATCCCGACGGGAGAGTGCTGTTTAGAGCCAGAAGGGAATCGCAAGTTATTTAGATCTATTGTCGTAGTTTCATTTTACTATCAATACTATATCCCGCATGACCTTTCAAAGCCGGATATATTGGGTATCATCAGGGCAATGGTAAAGTAAGTATACCCCGGAGGAATGATGGCAGGTACTCCACCGCTAAAAGTATATTCATATTTTGAAGCTCTGAATATATCTGTATCTTTTGGGTCTTTCCTTTCGCCCGTTAACCAGGGTGAACGTGTATTAGCTGTAGTATGACTCAGGCCAGAGGCTCATCGGATATGTTCAGTCTTACATCGTCGATTGGCTTCTGCTACGATAACTTAGTAATCAGGCTAACTGCTTTATCTATAATGACTAGAATATCATTAGGTCTTATATCCACACCACGTAGTCTCCGGTTCTCGCTTCTCGTTTGATATCTTGTGCTAGAACACTAGTAACGGTATGATACAACCCCTCCGCAGGGTTTACCAGCTTTGAGACACATACCGGTCGAGAGGCAACTTTGTTTATAGACACGATTCTAGGGGATATTGTATGTATATACAACATGCTGACAGCTTCGGCTTTGCTGTGTCAAGCTTCTAGGCCCAGGAAAAGGCGTGGCGCCAATCGATCCCCGGTCCTTTTCCACTGTTGGGAGAGCGCCTCAAGCACCTCATTCCCTCCATTGCTGTATGTAGGATAAGGCCTTCCGGGTAGGAATCACACGATCAAATATTCAAAAATACACACATGTTGCACCTCACCAGCACCCATGGTGGATGCAGGGAGTTAGTTCTGAGTAATGGTCTCTCCCAACCACCGGACCATCGCCTGGAACTGCTCCCCAGGCGGATATTTCCAGTCAAAGTCGGTGATCGGTTCCACGTGAAATTCACCAGGCACCCGGCTAAGGGTGACGTCAGGATGCTCCTCCTGATAGGTATGAATGTCAGACATTGGCTGGTACTTATACTCGAGGGTCTCACCATTATTCTCTGGGCCATCTCCACAATTGAGTCCAGCAGCACCTCGTTCTCCCCTGCAGCGATAAAGATCTTCTCGACGGGGAGCTGACGCCACCAGCCTGGCTCAGCAAATGTGGGATGAATATATGGATCGGGATCGGCGCCGTCGATAAAAGCTTGAGACCACTGCATCAAGGGCTTAGGGGAGAGTACGTCTTTGTGCTTGTTACGCCGGAAGCTCTCAGAGTCGGTGCGGAAGTCGATCCAAGGAGATAGCAATAATGCACCGGCAATATTTTCACCTAACTGCAGTGCTGGAACAGACGGATGGGGATGCGCCAGGTGCGAGAGCAGCGAGAGCACGAGGTGCGCTCCGGAAGAGTCCCCCTGGATGACGAGGTTGGAGGGTCGTTTGTCGAGTGACTGGACAGCATAGCGAAGGACCTCGACTGCCTGCTGCAGCTGCCGGGGATACGGAGCGGCAGGGGCAAGATCATAGAGCAGAACGAGCACGCCGATCTCCTGCCCGTCATTCTTGAGATGTTCTGCGATGGCTTCGAGCAGGCTGAAGTGTCCGGAGAGGGCGGGAATGCAGTACCCACCTCCGGGGAAGTAGAGAATCGTCCTCTCAGCATGACGATTCCCCAGCCAGACGGCGACAGTTCCATCAGCCAAGGTGATCACTTCCGGCAGCCTGTCATGTTGGCGCACATGGGCCTCGTAGCTCTGCCGGGCGGACTGAGGGGGAAGGATAGCCCTAGGGGAGATTAGCTGGGAGATGTTAATTCCCGGCTGTGAAAGGATGGGCTGGCACTTACTGGGTCTGTTGAATTGTCAGTCCCTCAAAAAGCGTACGAGCAAAGGTGATGGCGACATGCTTGAAGCCCGTAACCTCTCCATCCTCTGGAGCTCGGAATTGAGTAGCAAGGCCACCCCATACTCCTGCGGCCACTTCCCACTGCAGGTGAGCATGTCATCGAAGGTGACGTGGGATGGGGGGATTGCATACCTGCCTTGCCAACTGTGGCGCCAATGCGTATTTGTTCCATGTGGGATGATCCAACCGGCCGTAGCTGGGAATGTCAGCAGCCACGAGGGCGATATCTAGTTATACACCTTAGAAGCAGGGATTACGAGGCCGTTCAGACATCTCCGGCCGTTCGGCGGAGGAAACCCTGGGTAGATCCTAGCCCCCGTGAGTTATAAGGAAGATTGATCCCTAGACGATGCCGGCCCCGTATGACCAACTTAATGTATTCTGTGCATAGTACGGAGTACTCCGTTCGTGCTTACGGCCTTTCTCACCCCCCCCCCCCCCCCCCCCCCCCCCCCCCCTCCCTCCCATGCATGCAGGCTGATCGGCTCGACAACGTGCCATTTTCTCCGTCTTATCCTGGACAAATGGTCGCAGCCACCCCGCCCCCAACTTCCCCCCTACAGTCGCTAGTGAGCAGGAAAACACACCAGAAGATCTCGCGAGGTATTTATCGGGTTCCATCTTCCGTCCGAGATCATGGCGTGCGGTCACTCGACAACCTACCGTTCTCGTCACCATGGAAAACAAAGGCCCCGGGATGATAGCAGCCTCAATCGTGCTTACCACGGTGGCCTTTCTCCTCTTCTGTCTGCGGACCTACGCACAGCACCTTACATCAAGCCAGATCCACCTCGATGAGATATTTCTAGCAATAGGACTGGTGAGTGCGCGGCACACGCCGGGCTTTTGAGGCCCTGTTAACTCCCCGTCAGATCCTTACCATCGGACTCTGCATTGAGACATGTCTCTGTAAGTGCTCTGGATCCCAGGTAGTACCCTCGAGGGCCATCTCTAATGCTGGAGGGGCGGGCTCTAGGCTTTTACTGGGGAGCAGGTCGCCACCTTGCTGACATTCTCGCAACGGACCCGGATCCCCTGGTCAATCAACGCAAATATTGGATCGTGAGTTGACCGTGGTCTTCAGAGGAGGGCTGCCTCGCTGATAATCCATGCCCTATCGCAGTCTGGTTATGTCTCCGTTGTCAACTGGGCAGTTGCGGTCTTCGTCATCAAGCTCTCCCTCCTCAGCATGTACACCCGAATCTTCAACACGAAGAGCACTCCCAATCGCTGGTTTCGGTACGCCGTGTATGGGGTCATCGCCTACGTCATTTCCAGCTCCATTGCCATTATCTTCTCTTACATCTTTATCTGCACGCCTATCTCGTTTTGGTGGGAACAGGTCAATGCCGTGGTGGGCAAGCCGGTGCCCCCAGGGAGCTGCCCGAACATGATCCCTCGGGGGGTTGCGTGTGCGGCATTGAACGTGGTGTCAGACTGGTTGATCCTCTCTCTCGGTGCGCTGGGACTCTGGGATCTGCAGATGAACCGCAAACGCAAGCTGGTTGTTTTTGGCATCCTTGGCCTTGGCTCGACGTAAGTGCCGACCCAGACCAAAACAACCCAACGAGAATATAACAGGCTAACCTGAGACCTATAGGTGTTGCATTGTGAGCATCATACGCTTGCCCATGCTTCTATCGTCATCGATGAGCAACGACCCTACCTGTAATACATCCCATCATAAAATTCTATCTCTCTTTCGCCTTTCCCTTTCTCGCGCTAACGAGGCCCTTTTGTTTCTCAGGGTCGAACTCCAATCCGCTGCTCTTCGGAATGATGGGTAAGTCTACGCTCCTTAGTTTTTTCGGTGTTCGTTCTCTCGATACTAACAGCTTCCTACTAAAGAGGCCAGCGTCGGGGTCATCAGCGCATGCCTCCCGGGCATTGCGCCCTTAGTGAAACACTGGCACCACATGGCGACGACCCAAGGCAGCGGCGTCTTCTCGAGCGGGCGAGCGGGCTCGCAAAAGCGGCCCATCCATCAGGCTCACGAGTACATGTGCATGGAGGACTATCGATCCCCCTCGTCGCACTCGCACCGTGATACCTCGCCGCTGACGCCGGCGCGAAAAACCCAACCAGCCGCCTCGAGGAGATAACGCGGAATCCTAGGGGATCGCGTACGATCTGACAATCTGGACATATCTGACTGGAAGGAACGACCAGAAATCCGTAACCTTTTTAGGAGCCACCGTAGTTGGCCGCGGGGGAGTTCGCTAGTGTATTCTATCTTATATGCCATGGTTCTGTAACGCCAGGTGAATCAAAGATAACATAGAGTACCGAGCTTCTCACCTGATCACAAAGAATCAACTTCCCTTGGGGGCCCTGATTAGTGACTGTTTTTTTGCTCAGAGCAACTAGATAATCCCAGACCGTATGGGTTCCGCCGAGTCGTCGGAGCTGTCAGATTCTACGCATCCACGACGTGGGGCAACGACATGGACGGCCTCTTTCTCTTACAGTAGCCTCCTCGAAAACAGCAGGGGTCCCCTCTCTCGGCGATGCCCTGAAATGGCAAGAGTCGACGCTGCCTAGAATTGGCCCCAAGGAACGTGCATGCATACCTTAAGCTAGCGTCGGTCATGCCAAGAATACTGCGACTAGTTATTACCGGGGATTGTTCCCACTTCCAGGGTTGAATTTATGACTATCGCGCCTGCAGAAACTGCTCCGGACCCACAGGATAGTGAGGGTTACTGGGTTGAACTTGAGACTCAGGAAGGAGAATTTCAGTCTGCAATTGAGACATAGATGGACGCTACTATTCCTACTAGTACTCCGGAGTAGATCGAAATGTCAACGGTGGTAGCGAGGGGTCGATTCACTCCACCGCTCGTTGCCACTCATTTGGTCTTCTAGCCCGCGCAGGTACATCTGGAGACTATGACTGCTGCCGGCACTGGCCTCTTGCACCAGCTGCCGGTGCACCAATTCCCACTCGCGGCACATCGTCCACAGCACTCGCTGAGCCGCTGTGGGCCCCAAGGTCGCCTCGTTGGACAGGACCTGCACCGCCGAGCAGAGAGCCGCCCCTTCCTGGTGCAACGTCTGTGCCGCCAGCTGCTCCTTGCTCCAGCTGTAGATGTCGTTTACGATGGCAATGTGCTTGGCACAGTTGCGCTCGACAGGGGCAGCTCGGCGCAGTTCGGCGTCCGTGAGATGGAGCTCCATGGTGAAGCGCAGGAGGGCCGACAGGAGGCTTTGAGGGTCAGGCAATTAGTCCACGGAGCCAGCCCGGCGAAGAATGCATGATCGATGAATGGCTTACCCCTGCCCAACATCCCGTTCGCGATAGTCTAAGTATTTCCCCAATTCGCACATTCCGAGGCGCGATTTGTCCGTCTGGGCGCGCATGAATGTAAAGACAGGTTCGAGCAGGTCATCCGCCAGCACCTTGTCGCAGTCTCGCATGTCTTCCCAGAGATCATGGGTTATGGCTTGAACGGGGACGGTGCGGTCCGGGGAAAGATCTCCGCGGGAAATGGCGATGAGTCGCTCGTTATATGCGGACCCCTCTTCCAGCGAGGTTTCTTCGAGGAGGTCTGGTGGCCACGGCTCGCCGGTTAGCGAGTAGGCCTACGGTGGAACAAGGAGGGGACATACCGTCAATCAGGAAAAGCAGAGTCAGTAGGCGACATGCAAATGAGATCCGGCCGTGCAACGCCCCCGGGAAGTATAAGCACGTCACTCGCGAAAAGCCAGCGGCGCGGAACTTGGCTCGTTCAGCCTGATTACGAAAGGGCCACCGTTGCAGGAAATATGCGTCGACTTCGGCAGAGACCGCGTTGACGTTGAGATGGATGTCGGGGGTAAATAGGGACGCAGGTGGTCGCTCTTGGGTCAACACCGGCATCAGCTGCCGGTCCCTCTCGATAGGCGAGAGCTCTGCAGACTTGGGAGTCGCAGAGGCCTTAGACAAGGCTGTCCAGATAGTGGCCAACATGGTTCTCAGTATCTCAATCACCCGGCCTTGACTCTGGACCTGCTCTGAACCGGAAGGGATTTGGTTTCTCTAGCCGTACTTATCTACACTTTGGTCTGGCATGCTCGCCGTGGCTCAAATCAAGACCGGCCCGAGGCACGTCGATTGCTCTAATCTATTTCTCACTCGGTCTCTCTACACCTTCTCGTGCACCGGTCGGAAATCCGTAGCCACCTGTTGCATCCGGGTCAACCGTGCGTTCTCTTCCCCAAACCACTGCGGACGAAGGTCCGAAATAGCCTGCTCCAGCTCGGTATAGCAATCTCCCAACGTCAGAATAGTCCGCCCGTTCCACCGACCTGGACTCAGGTCGTCGACGGCGCTCTTCGGATCCTTCCCGTACAGCTCGACCGCGCGGGTCTGCTGGGCACTGGCGGCATACGCGATCGCCAGAGCGACGAATTCGGGCGAACTCGTGGGAAGTCCGGCGGCAATAATGGGAGCCGCCAGGTTAGCCGGAAGAAGGCCTGTAATGGTGGCGGCTGGGGCGACTGCATTGATGGTAATGCCGTCAAGTGGAAGCGAGGCTCGTAGAGCACGCATGAGCCCGATCAACTAAATCGAGTTCCTAATGTTAGAAATGGTATCATTCCTCGCCGAGAATCTAGAGGGAACTGACCGCGAGCTTAGAGGCGCTATAGACTGGCAATGAATATTCCGGGGAATATGCTGTCGCGCTGGAGGTGATGACGATACTGCCGGCCGTCTGGCTGCGCCGCATCATGCTGAGCGCGATCTTGATTACATTCAAAGTGCCACGTAGATTCACATCCAGGACCCCGTAACGCGGCTCAACCAGCTCTCCAAGCTCGTCAAAGCTATCGTGAAAGTAATCGGCTTCCTCCGAGACGCCCGCGTTGGCCACCAGGATGTCTATTCGACCGATACTCCTGAACGCTGCCAGCACGGATGACCATTGCGTGATGTCACACGCGCAATAGCTGATATTCCTCTTCACGGCTAGTTCTTCCTGGGGAGGGTTCCGATCTAGAATGTAGACACGGGCCCCGTGAGACTCGAAAATTCCGGCGGCAGCCCAGCCGATGCCCGAACTGCCCCCTAGTATCGATGAGCCATTGGTCTTGGTTGGGTTGGCAAGAACGTACCGGTAATCACGACGGTCTTGCCCGAACAATCGGGGATGTCAGCGTCGGTTATCGTGAGTGATGACATATTGACCATGGTTGCTGAAACAAGTAGGGGCCATCAAGGGTAACGATGCGGTTATTATGCAGGCTGGCCTCGGGGATGGACCAATGTGGTCCGGGCCGAGCATTCGACTCTCTGCCAGGGTTATAACATGACCCCGTGTCGATGGTCGCGCTGCTCGCCTTGATCTGACCGCATGAAAATGGCTTGGTTCATCGTCCCCGTCGCTCTGTTGCTGCTGCCTGCTGTCATTGCGGTGTATCGCCTGGTGCTACACCCTTTGGCCCATGTGCCCGGTCCGAAGCTGGCGGCAATAACCAACGCGTATGAGTTGTATTTTGATGTCGTGCGAGGCGGGCAATACACATTCGAGATTCAGCGATTGCATCAGATATATGGTCAGTTATATTGCCCACGGGGATTGAAGGGCCGCCTTTTATACGGCTGATAACCGATGCTAGGCCCCATCGTTCGCATCAGCCCCAACGAGCTTCATGTAAATGAGGCGGCTTTTATCGATGAGTTATATGCGGGTCCAGGCAAGATTCGGGATAAATATGACCACGCAACAGGGCAGTTTGGGTGAGCGGGCCTTGTCATTAGTCCTAAACGGCAGAGGTGCTAATCTTCTGGATAGGATTCCGGACGTAAGATTTCCTTTCATTTCAATGGGTGCAGCGAGCTGAAGCTGCAGCCTGGATTCTTGTTCAGAGTGTTTTTGGTGCCATTCACCATAATCTTCATCGCATGCGCCGAGCAGCCTTGAATCCCTTCTTCTCCAAAGCATCGGTAACCAAGCTTGAGCCCGTCATCTATGCGGCCGTCGACAAGCTCTGTTGGCGGCTGGCGCGCGAACTGGCTCAGTCCGGGTCGACCGTCGACCTGACTATGGTCTTTAGTTGCATGACTACCGACATTGTTACCAAGTATGCGTTTGCCGAGTCCTCGCGCTTCCTCGATTCGCCCACCTGGCAGCCCAATTTTCATCAGGCTATTCTATCAGGAACACGCATGGGTGCTCTCGCTCGGCATGTCCCTCTACTGTTTCCTGTCCTTCGCGCATTACCCGTGTATGTTCAAAGCTACCAATTCCCATGGAGCCAGGGCGAACGCTAATACAAACGTCACTGGCACATTTCAGGAGACTCATGTCCAAACTATCCCCAGATACTGGTGTTTTCCTTCAATGGCAGGAGGTTGTTCTGCCCGGTTCGACAAACAATATACCGTCTATTACTGACAGGAGACCACCATTTAGGACATGAAACGGAAAGTGTCGGAAATCTGGCAGGAGCAGAGCCAGCAGACGGACAAACCTCAAACGCAGCCGCATGCCACTATCTTTCATGAACTTTTCCACGCCGATCTGCCTGAGTCCGAGAAACATCCGGATAGAATGTGGCAAGAGGGCCAGATTGTGATCGGCGCCGGGACGGAGACCACGGCCTGGAGTAATTCGATCCGTATTTCGATTGAAAGCTCTCGTAGCTGAAGTTCTACATCTAGCCCTTACCGCAACTATTTTCTTCATTCTCAACGATACAAACGTCTTGTCTGCACTCCGGTCCGAGCTAGACCTGGCCATTGTGAACCCGGATGACCCTATCCCCTGTCGGGCCCTGGAGAGCCTACCGTATTTGATAAGTTAATTCCTTCTTCACTTTCGGCCGCCATCCAGCGACTGATTCTGTCTGGCATCCTGCACAATGCGGTCATTTACGAAGGCCTCCGCCTATCTCATGGGGTCGCCACCCGCCTACAGCGCATCAATCCAACCTCCCCGATGCTGATGCGCAGCCGGCGAGCATCCTCAACAGAGCCCAATGGCATGTCCGAGATTGAGGTAGAAATTCCGGCCGGAACCCCCGTCGGCATGACCGCCATGTTGGTCCACCTGAACCCGGACCTTTTTCCGGAACCTCACGAGTTTCGGCCATCTCGTTGGCTTGATGACCACGGACGGCGCGATAAGAGTTTGGAAAGATACCTTCTTTCCTTTTCTCGGGGAAGTCGGCAATGCATTGGCATCAAGTATATCCTTCCATCCCTTCCTGTTTATCGGTGCAGAAACATGAGCTGCCGAAGAGGACACATGCTGATGATCTTACCTGTCCCTCTCAGTTTGGCCTTTGCGGAGCTCTACATGGGTATCGCCATCTTGATCCGTCGTCTAGGTCATAGACTCCAGCTGTACGAGACCGATCGCTCGGACGTCGATATGGCAGAGGACTGTTTTGTCCCGGTCCCGCGGCGCGATTCGAAGGGTGTGCGAGTGAAGCTGACGGACGACTCTGAGCGTTAAAGACTAGTCATGACGATCTGCTTGGTTAGAATCTTAAAAGTAGATGTTAGCAAGAATAGACTGAGGCGAAGTCAAGGTGGAAAGTTGAGTCCTGTCACGAGACCCATCGTCAGGTCACGGGACCTTCCTTACCTACTCCGAGGGCTGTCCGAGCTGCTTCTTTCTTCTTTCTTCTCCATGTGATACAACCAAGATCAGCCTTCTCCACAAGTGAAGACCTGCAGAACGTGGGCTTTGTAGCATCGGATTGCCGATGAATCTTTCATGTGATTGCTTCTTATCGATGTCCGGCGGAAACAGAGCCATCCCCGGCGGAAAAGGTACGAGAGAATGAGATGCATGGCGATTCGTCAATCTACAGGCACCACCGGACCCTTTCCTCTCTGGAAATCCATGGCTGCGTGATGATGCCCGGCGGGAAACACGTTATCGCAGACCACCAAAGCACGAACGGCCATAAGAGATTGCGATCGCCAACTTCATCTCAAACCAACGCAGCATTTCCTTGATACCCCCACGATCTATTATGGCTTCCGATCTCACCCTGTTTTGGTCCAAGGCCGACCGCTATCTGATGTCCACCGGCGTGCCTTTCTCGCCCGTTGTGATCTCCAAGGCCCAGGGCACTAGACTCTTCACTACCGATAATCGCCAAATCCTGGATTTCACCTCGGGCCAAATGAGCTCTCTCCTAGGCCATTCACATCCCGAAATTGTCGAAGTGGTTCGAAAATATGTGGGCGAGTTGGACCACCTCATCAGCAACATGATCACTCAACCCGTCGTCGATTTGGCCGAACGGTTGGCTCATCTTCTGCCGGCGCCGCTAGAAAAGTCTTTCTTTCTGAACACGGGTTCGGAGTCGACCGAGGCCGCAATCAAGATGGCCAAGCTATACACCGGAAAATTCGAGATCGTCGCCTTGTCTGCGAGCTACCATGGCTTAACGCAAGGCGCTGGCTCGGCGACCTACTCCGCCGGTCGCAAGAATGGCGGTCCCACGATGCCAGGTCAGCTCGCCTTTCCAGCTCCTTACGCCTATCGCTCCATCTTCCGCAAGTCGGATGGTTCGTACGATTGGGAGACAGAGTTGGACTTTGGCTGGTCGATGATTGATCGCCAGAGCGTTGGCTCGCTGGCCGCCCTCATCATGGAGCCAATACTATCCACCGGTGGCATCCTCGATCTGCCGAAGGGGTACCTCAAGCGCATGAGTGAAGAGTGTAAGAAGCGAGGAATGCTGCTCATTCTCGACGAAGCCCAGACTGGTGTGGGCCGTACCGGTCAAATGTTTGCCTTCGAGCACGACGACGTCGTGCCCGACATTTTGGCGCTGTCGAAGACCCTCGGCTGTGGTCTGCCGCTGGCCTCGGTCAGCACGACGGCGGAGATTGAACGTGGCTGCAAGGAAGGCAATTTCTTGTGGTTGACAACCCATCTGAACGATCCTCTCACGGCTGCCGTCGGAAACAAGGTGCTCGAAGTGGTAGAACGGGACAACCTCTGCCAATGGGCAGCCGAACGGGGGGAGCAGCTTCGCGCAGGGTTGCTGAAACTTCAGTCAAAATACTGGTGCATTGGCGATGTCCGCGGCCGCGGCCTTCTCCAGGGAGTCGAGATCATCGCCGACGCAGAGACCAGGGCCCCCGGGTCGGATTTGGGACAAGAGGTCTCGGACCGCGCTATGGTTCGCGGCCTCTCCTGCAACGTTGTTAATCTACCAGGCATGGGAGGCGTGTTCAGATTAGCGCCTCCCGTCACAGTACGACCGGACGAGATTGAGGAAGGGTTGGAGATACTAGACGAGGCTTTCGGGTATGTGCTTAAAACCCGGGAATTGAAGAACTGATAGGGAGGTTGCACGTCCGATGGAAATGGCTAGGGATAGAGGAAGCATATGCCTGGATATTCTATCAACACTCAGAATAAAATATGGTCTCTGTTTTTCTTCTCACTGGTTCCACCCTCACCCGATGTCTGCCTCGCTCGATTGAATAAAGCCAACGTTTCCTACGAGGGAAACATGTACACCCAGATGTCCTTCCACCCTCCTCCATCCGGCCAGCTGAAGCGCGTCGAGTGAAGTTGCCATCGCATCTATAGTTGATTTTTGCGAGTCCATGGAAAGTACTCATGGTTTATATATCCAACTACTAATGTTCCTGTCAGTTTGAGTTGTTGGAAGTAGTGAAATCTCATGATAGCGTTTGTTTCGACATTTTAGTGGTTGAAACAGGACAAAGGTTACAGAGAAAAGAAGGATAGTATTGATAAGAAAATGAATAATACAATTTCAAATAAAAATAAGGACGAGGTGAACTTACATTCTGCTATCTGCAGTCTTGCATGATCAACCGAAAGCACCAAGAGGAGAAGACGCATCCTTTCAGTCTTCAAACCAAATGTAGCTAAGAACTTCCCATGGAAAATAAGTACCTGGAAGGCAGTCAACAAGCTGAGGGTGGGAAACAATCACGTAGGGCACGGGTATCCGAGGTTGCACGCCTAAAAGGCTGCTGACTCCTCATCATCGAAGATGTAACTCATGATGAGACCTGCAACGGCACCGGCCTTGCTCAGATACACGCCCACGGTTTTAATCTCTTCAAGATGACTGAAGTCAGCCACGTCGACATCGACCGAGGAAATTATGTTGCCGACCTCTTGATTATAGCGTGTAGTTGCACCATTGTACTTGCGTAGCTCGATGTTGAGGCTATCGCAGTCATATCTGTCGACGTCAAATGCTATGGTTTCTTGCAGAGCCGGGGCTTTGAAGCGTAGGAGGATAGGAGTAGAGGGATGATCGTCGGGGCCAAGTTCAGCAATATGCTTCTTGAACTCACCGGTGCGCACTCTTTCAGGCAACGCGGTTGTGTCGTTAGAAGAGGACGGGTTATCATCATCATCTAAATCGTCTCCTTGTCCTTCTTCGCTGGCAAGGGGGCTAGTAGAAGAGTTTCTCTGCTCTTCTGCATTGATTCTTTCCCCGTCTGCAGTCCCTGGTTCGCTCTGGAACTCGCGCGGTTCCCCTTCTTCTGCATGCTCCGTCATCAAGGCGTCTAGGGAGCCTTCGTCATCAGCGAAAATTTCTGCACCAACTTCGCCGCTTATTATTGCTTCAAGGTTATCCCTAGTAGCGGCTATAGCGTGGTCAATTGTGGTTTGAGCAAAAGAGACAGCGTAGCCGGGCTCATTCGCTGAGCCCTGGTCCCCTGCATTGACAGTAAGATCAATATCTTCGCCAGTGAAAGCATGGGCGACTCCAGCCGAAGGACTCCAATATATTAAAGCCGCCTGAACCTCGTCGATCGGAATCTCATGTCGTGGATCTGCCATGCCGGATAGCCCAAGAATGGCTACAATTCTCTGCTGGGACTTCTTGTTCTATGAGAGATTGCTCGTATGCGGATACTTGTGGTCACCTGGCCGCCTTTCTATCGCTCGCCTTGAGAGTGGCTCTTGTCAGAGGTGTAGGTGGATGGGTAGAGATTTCCGCAGCGAGATGCTGGGAGTAAGGTCCAAGGAACTGGTAATCCCACGAGAGACTTTATTTATAGCGAACAAACTAGAGGTGTGTGAATGAGTTCAATGACAAAGGAAGAGCAAGGAGCCATGGTAAGTACCACACCGCTCCACGGAATAATTCATGATGAGTGAATCTATAGCCGGATAGTAAAGTCAAACGCGCATTGTTTTACCGAGCACCATGCTTTGGGGGTTCTAAGCCGCTCATTGTGTCACCCCTATTCTCTTTGTGTGTTGCGCCATCCAAGCACAAAGAGAGTTGACGAAGAGTTTGTTTGAGACATTTGCATTAACAGGATAGCTCCCGTAAATCAAACGACATCTACGCTTCTCCCTTCACAGACAGAACAACCTTTCACTTAGGATCGTCACAAAGCACACGAAAGTTAGCTAAATAGTTAGTCAAGCGTCAGCTAGCAGATCGTACCTGCCAATCCGGCTAGGAGTCATCGATCACGCGCTCATCGGCAGTAAGCATCGCCGCGATATCGTCGCATCCCTCATGTAAAGCAATATCCAAAGCCGTCGAACCATCGGCATCCACACGGTTCGGATCGAGATCTTTATTCTCCAGTAGCGCTTGCACAACCCGTGGTCGAACGAATCTGCATGCTACATGGAGCGCTGTGTCCTGGTTTGCGTCCCGTTCATTCACGTCTACTCCGGAAGCAAGAATATGCTGGATCATTCTGACGGAGCCGCTCTCCACTAGCCGAGTCAGCAGGGTGTGTGGCATAGGAGTCCCAGAAAATCCGAGTCCATTGCGATCACAAGCCAGAAGGATATCCACAATCTGGAAATGGTCACGCAGCGCAGCACAGAAGATAGCGGGCGGGAGATCTCCGTTGCAGGTATAGGATTGGCCAAGGGAACGGTCGACCAGGACCTGAACGACGTCTTTGTGACCAAACCATGCGGCGTATTGCAGGGCCATATGGTTGTGTATTGTTTTGTCGGTCTCTATCGATGTGTATGGAAGGTCTTCCACGAGCGCGTTGACCACGTCCACATGACCCTCTCTAGCGGCAATTTCGAGCGCAGTGTTATCGTCGTCATCGGTGAGGCTGGCGTCGACGTCTGTTCCTAGGAGTTCGGTCACGACCTTGGCGTGTCCGTGACGGGCCGCGTAGTGGAGAGGCGTCTTCGAGTTAGGGCCCACGATTTCCGAGCTTTGCAGTGAAGTAGCTAGAGTGGGTATGATGTGGGCGTGTCCGGCCGCGGCCGCGGCTCCGAGGGGGCTCCCGAATGGACCGTATCCAACAGATATGGCGTTGGCAAGCAGCGTTAGACCAGAGTATAGAAGGTGTTCAACGACTGTAGTAGAGCCACGGTATGCAGCCAGCTGCAAGGGATCGCCGTAGGCTCCTTCGAAATACTGCAGATTCATTTCTCTCTCGATGAGGATTTCAGTCAGTTTGCCGTCGTCATTGAACGCCGCGGCATACATCAGACTGCCCAGGTATTCGTGGCGCAGGTCGATGTTGCGACCACTGGCCAGAAGCCCCTCAACAGTTCTCGAGCGCCCAAGCCAGGCGGCTAAGATCATGGTTTCGTCGTCATCCCAAACGTCTGTCCAGTCCAACGGATGTCTCATGTGCTTGATTACCCATTCACGACCGCAGTAGAACGTAAGGGCATCGCACAAACAATCTAAGAATCTGTGAGTACCACATGGCTTGTCGTTGAACTTCGACAGTGTGAAGTTTGCATGCTTTGCGATCCTCTTCACTAGGGCAAACAGAGCCTGGTCATCGAGTATTTTTCGATATAATAGCTTGGAGATCAGGGCATCGCTTATATCTTGGCTCAGACGCTTGAAATGTGACAAGTTGACCAGGATCAGGTCGTCAAAAAATCCTATACACAGGATCAGGCACCAAGGTGTAATCACACAGGTGGCACAGAATAACACTTACGGGAGACGAGGCGCATTTTGATCACGGTTTTGAGACTGAGGTACTGCAGAATGGTGGTGAGGACCTCCACACTCTGGCTTTCTAACCCCATGCTGGCAGCTTGACTGTCAACCCAGAGAAGGAAGAATCGATATGGAAAGGAGTGAGCAAATTCTGCTGGATGCGAATGGGACAAGGTAACACTACCAAAACATTGAGGTCATTGGCTCGTGATAACATTCGACCACTGATCAGCGCCCGGTCTGAGGATCACAGCCTGGGCCTTGTGTTACATATGAAGTGTGGAAACACGATCATATAGAAGGTCCAGAGCAAAAGCCTTAAGATTAGTGGAAAGGAACGCAACGAGACAAGTGGCCTTGGAGAGGCGATAGGTCACGACTAGAATGCGAGAGAGGAACAGAAGGCGCGAAACTACTTGACACAACAAGCACTATAAGTAATAAGTATGAAGTAACTAACTAAACCCCGGCTTAAGTCCGGCGGTGACCCGATCGCCGTCGACCTTTTCTCTTTCACGTGTCACTTACCACTCAACAAGAACAACATCATCGCCGTCACCATCATCACCACCACCGCCCACGCCCCTTGCCATCCACTTCCACCGATCAATACGACCCTAAAATGGCCGGTCCCCGAAATCGAAAAGAACGACGAGCCGCGGCCGCAGCGGCTTCTGCGAACGACACCTTCGACCCGACCTCGATCCCCATGGCCCACCCTCCGCGAGAATCGTCGAGAAAACCGAGCAAAACACTGGTGGAGCTGATCGCCGAGCGACAGCAGGATTTGATCTCTCAAGGAATGATGATGCCGGGTGGGACACGCGAGCAGGACGCGGGACCGGGCACGCGATTCGTGACGATCGATCCGCAAACAGGCAAAATTGAGAATTTCAATGGGTCGGATGCCAACGGTCCCAACTCGACGTCGCGCGTGCAAGAGGTTGAAGATGACGAGGAAGTAGAGGACATGAAAGAGGAGGAAGCAGGGAAAGGAGAAGAAACCCACTCGCCCGACGACGCGCCGCCCATTCCACCCTTCATCGATACGCTTCTCCTTTCGATCCCCCTGACCACGCTACACTTGACATTGTCATACCTCGCCGCCCACCAATACGCGGAGAGCATCAATATGGAACATCTTCTCAAGGATTCGGGATACGTAGCGTTCCCCATCCTTACATTCTTGGTCCATCTGGCCCACGGGCATATTGTGTCGTTCGCTGTTCGCGGGGACCCCCGAGCCAGTGAATCGATATCGCTTCTTCCCTGGAGCCCAGAGAAACTGTCCATCTCGTTCCTGCGACGTCTGCTCTTCCCGCCGTCATGGCGCACTTTGATATTCTTGCCGATCGCCGTGGCGCTGGGAACGAAACTAGTGACCATCACGAACGAGGACCCCTACTACGCCGTAATGAAGCGGGCGCCAGCCATCGGGACAATCTGGGTTTGGAGTATTCTGGAGATTCCGCTGGGAGCAGCACTCCTGGGCGCGCTGGTCCCGATGACCTGGGCGGTTTGGTGGAAGGGGTACGGCATACTTTGAGCTGAGACTGGATGGAAGGACCTGGACCCGGAACAGCAATATAATCGATCAATGATAAGAGCACCTGCCAGCGCCCTCTCAACGCCGTACACTCCTTCTCCGCACTATTTAGATCTCTTCCGACAACTAAAATAGTAAATTTCCTTACGATCTGGCGCCCAGTGTCATCTGCAAATCAATAGTCGGAGTGTTGGGATGGAAGCGAGGCCAACACATTCTTCGATAGTCCAGGCAGGGGCAAGGGATACTTGTGACTCCAGGACGCTGGATGGCAGGCAGCAGCTCGGCTGGATTGCCACCGGTGGCTGGCCACTACGTTGCTAGAGCGTCTCAGCCTCTCAGGTCCGTCTCCCAAGAGGCAAACTAGTCTCCAGATGGAAAATCTGAGACGACTTTCTGGCTCGGTGGCTTGTGCGACCGAGGGAGTCGACTGGAAATGCTCTTCTACACGTGCGACGAAGATTCTCCCGTGTTTCGTCGACCAAAGGGAGAGGAATAATGGGCAATGCAAGCCAGGGGCTAAAGACTACAGACGCCAGAAACCTCGGTAATTTGAACTCCCAAGCCCGCCGGATTGGAATTGCCAAGGCCCTTGCAGGATCATTACGCTTGGAAGGAATCAACGCATTGTTCGGCGAAGACAGTTCATGTTCATCATTCCAAAGTCTGGAGACTCAAGGCGCCTCGTGCGAGCGAGGCGGGAAATTCTCGACGGGTCGATCTTGAGTAACAACCAAAAGGAATTTTTCTTCCTCGTGTTTATTTTTGTTCTGGACTTTGGCTAATGAAATAGTCAAGGCGTCAACCTGTTACATTCCCAGGTGAGTGGAGCCTTTCATTTCTCGCCCAGTCGCCGTTCGCGCTCGGCCTTTAATTAGCGACAGAACGGAGTAACTTGTGTTCGTAATCTCCTGGTTACAACTTACCGTGGACAAAGTCCACAACTTGAGAAGTGCGAGAAAACTCGGAGCACCTTGCAGTTCTCCTTGTCATGCTGTCATGGCCGGCCATCAGACATCCTGACAGCTCCACGGGTGAGGATCTCGAGCGCGACCCAATCCGCTCACCCATGGGCGACCGTCTCTTTTCCCTTTCCTGGATTGGCAGGTGGTAATCGATCGACCGGTTCTGACTCGTGGCGACGGCCTCACTGCCGGTTTGGCTCGCTTGAGCCGTGGGCCCGGTGGAGCAGCCTGCTCGTCATCTTCCAGCTTCCAACGCTAGAGAAGTGTAATGGTCACCGGCGCTTCGCATGGCTCGCAGGAAAAAGAATCCCATCCCGTCTGGCTATCGTCTCTCCGCGTCAATAGTCCAGAATCCTTTCACTTTCTAGTACTGTGCAGAGTACTCCTAGTCTCTACTCCCGTACTTTTGGCTTTTTTCCCTCGCCATGGGTGGTTGAGACTTAGCGTTGCCACCCCGTCCAAGCTGCCACGGTCGTCCTCGGGCGACGCTTTCCCATCCTTTAGGGTTTGACCATGGACTGAATCTATTATGGAATTGATTCCCATATTTGGTGTTCCACTTTCTGCGTGCCCGTTTCCCACTCCCACAAATGTCAACGACCCCAAAGGGAGAGCTGAACCTAAGCGAGGCTCCTCTGCCGTCTTTCCTGTCACCTGGCGAGCCTCCGTGTTTTGTCGATCTCCCCTCGCAGATGGGTCAAAGTCTCGTAGACCGAAGAGGATGGATGGCCACTGGGACAGCCTGACGAGCCGGAACCTCCGCACTAAATTAGTCGAACCTGGTTTCCGGGAGACTAGAGGAGAGATGGCCGGAGAAAGACTCTTCATATCGTGGCCCAGATATTCAGAATTGACGGAGTAGGATATTAATCTCGCGATTTTCTAAAATAAATCTTGAGCCCTGCCGTCCTGCTTTCCCCACACTTTCTCTCCCTTGCTCCCCCCTTCCTTCCTTCCTTCCTTCCCTCCCTTCCTTTTATCTTCCCTGTGATTCCAGTCTCGGAATCATGCCCCGACGCCTTCAGCATGACCAATGCGGACGATGACCGCAGTCTCGAGGTCCAGGCGGTCGCCGCCGTCTTCATGTCGGTGGCCTGCGTCGCCGTCATGATGCGCTGCTATGTGCGCGGATGGGTTGTGAAGGGCTTCGGATGGGATGACGGGACTATGGTTATTGCCGTGGTATGTCTTCCCTGACCGCGGGAATGGTGTTGTAGGACCATCAGACTGACCAGTCGCAGGTATTCCAAGTTATGTTCTCGGCCTGCATGATCGGAGGCACGATATACGGCACGGGGCGGCGATTTGCCGATCTAACGGCCCATGAACGAGTCACGGCCATGAAGGTATTTGCGCACCACCTCATGCTTCCATGTCAAATGATTACGACATGAATACGTGTTCCTCGAATCTTCTCTAACAACTGCCCTAAAGTACTGGTGGCTCTGCGAAATCGCTTACTGCTTTGCCTCTATCTTCTGCAAGATCTCAGTCTGCATCTTCCTGATGCGCATCACCGTCAAGCAGATCCACATATGGGCCCTGTACACCGTCATGGTTTTGACCGTACTAGCCGGTCTGGTCTTCATGTTCCTCATGTTGCTGCAATGCAAGCCACTCGCCTACTTCTGGACCCGCACGGCTTTCGATCCGGATATTAACGGCCACTGCATCAATATCGACATCATCATCGCCATGACCTACGTGTACAGTGCGTTTGCGGCGCTGTGCGATTTTACGGTGGGCATCCTGCCGATCTTCTTGGTGAGGAAGTTGCACATGAAGAAGCAGACCAAGATTGCGGTGGTGGGTATTTTGAGTATGGCGTGCATGTACGTTCCTGATTTGGCTGGGTGACACTTCGTTGGGCGAGTGTCGGTATGTGCATGCTAACGGCGGGTATAGTGCGTCGTCCGCGGTGATTATTCGCATTCCCTACGTCAAAACATTCGCCGATCCGGATTTTCTCTGTTCGTTTCTCCCTTCCACTTAATCTCCATTTTCCCTCTTCCTAACAACACACCCCCCAGACGCAACCGTCGAAATCGCTATCTGGTCGAATATTGAAACCGGCCTAGGTATAACAGCCGGCAGCCTAGCGACTTTGCGCCCACTCCTACGACATTGGCTTGGCTCGCGCTCCGACCCGGACTACTCAACGCCTTTCCCGGGACGCTCGGCATCCCGGAGGGCAGCCGGGGGCGCCAGTCGCGAGCGTCCATTCCCTCTCGGCTCCCTAGACAACGACGTGCAGAGTCGGCTCCGGCCTGATAAACTGGCCGTCACGGTGACGACGATCCAGAGCCAGAGCCAGCATGACGCGGACCAGTCGTGGCGCGGCGGTCCGAGTAGTCCGAACAGTAGTGAAGAGCGGCTAACTGTTGCCCAGCCGTCGCCGGTCTTGGTGCACGATGGCGGCGAGATGGGATTGAGCATTCACCAAACGTTTGAGGTGACGCAAACGTCGTCCGGGGGTGCTGCCGGTGCTTCTGGGGGTTCGGGTCCATCCGGTGGGGAGGAGAGGGTGGGTGTTAGAGAGCATGTTTGATTGTTTCTTCGTTGGCGGATCTGTAATATACTCATCTGCTGCATATGTATTCATAAGGTAATGCTTATCTGCAATTCTAATATGTTCTAGAGCATGGAAGGTTCAGGACCGGTAGAGCAGAGAGTGTGAAGAAAGGTTTATATACTTCGGGTAAGCAAACATGGACTGGAAGTCAACAATATTCCTCGCTCCCACACAGTCTCATGCGAACAACAAGCCAAGGCCGTCTAATTGTTTATCGCCAACGAAAGCCGAACTAGTACTCGAATTTCTGTCCCACGATCTCTTCACTCAACTGCCACAGCTTCTCGACGGCCTCGGCATCCGTAGCATGGGGATCCGGCGTGTCAATCTGGCTATTCTGCAAGAAAGCGGGCGACTTATCAGGCAACTCAGGGTCAAGCGTTGCGATCAGCGCTGTGGCCGCGATCTGCGACAGAGTCTTGAACCGGGGCTCTTCGAACACGAACTCGTTGCCCGTGTTGCGCTTGATAATCGGGTCGATCAGCGCATAATCATCAGGACCCAGGTGCGTACCCAGCTCGGTCTCCAGGTTGTATCCCGGATGAAGAGCCGTCGAGGTGATACCGCGGTGTTTGATGCGGTTGGTGAAGCCGATCGTGAACAAGATATTGGCGGTTTTGGACTGCGCGTAACCCGTCCATCCGTCATACGTCTTGCCGTCAGAGAAGTTCCAGTCGTCAAAGTGAAAGTGGGAGATGCGGTAGCCTGAGCTAGAGACGTTGACGACCCGGGAGGGTGCGGCTGCCTCCAGAGCCGGGACGAGCAGGTTGGTGAGCAGGAAGTGGCCGATATGGTTGGTCGCCAGCTGGATTTCGATGCCTTGCTTGCTGGTGGTGTATTCTTTGACGACCATCACACCGGCGCAGTTGATCAGGACATCGATCTTAGGCGCGACGGCGAGGATTTCTTTGGCGGCGGACCTGACGGAGTCCTGGTCCGATAAGTCGATGTGGATAAAAGTCGTCTTGATCGAGCTGTCGATGGCCCTTATTGCCTCGAGAACAGGCGTGATTTTGCGCTCAGTGCGGGATGCGATGACGATATGCGCAGGAGAGCCTTTTGCTAGGTAGGTGACGATTTGCTCACCGATGCTCGGTCTACCAGCACCGGTGATCACAAAGGTTCGGCCTTGGATTTGGGGACCAAAGGCCTCGATGACCTCTTCGCTGGTTGTCAGACCGTTGAAAGCTGGCATGATGATCTATTTGGGTTTGGGTGGGAAGAAGGGGAAGAGATGTCGGGATGCTTTGCGGTTTGTTGTGAGAAAAAAGAAAGAGGGTCTACAAGGACCTCAAGCAGATATATATAGCCAAGGTTGACAAGAATGATGACAAGCAGCACGCAAAAGGCGAGTTGAGAACGCGCGGGGAGATTGAGTCTTCTCGATTCATTACTATTAGTGAGCCTTACGAACGATTTTGTTAGTTAGTAGTTGTCGACCGGCGAAAGTCGCCGGTCTCCACTCTTCCCGGTGCCAAGCCATGCACGCGTCGGAGCTGAGACCGAGCCTTGGGGGAGGGGGAAGGAAGAAAGAGTACGTACGAAAAGAAGAAGTAAAAAAAGAAAGGAAGAGAGAGAAGAACAAAAAGCTCGCCCAGGAGTGTCCGACGAGGTTTAACCGCTGCGCCATAACCCTGGGCCAGACTAGTTCCTCCATGACAATGATCCATATGCTACTCCAGCAGTGATCTATCCTCGTCAGAAATACCAAGTCTCAACAGGCGAGAAAAATAATCAACCAAAATAATCGAGAAGAAAGACTAAGATGAAAAGAGCCTACAGTCTAAACCACCTTTTCACTCTGTTTACTTATCTGCAGCACCTGAAACGCCTCATCCAACCCCCCAAGATCCACAATTCCTCGACCAAAATCCTCCAGCCTCGCCTCCGCTCGACCCCCTTCCGATGAGCCTTGATCATGATTGAATATCATGCTTTCCACGACAAAGGCCGCCGTCTTGGCATTCCAAAGGCCCTCTCGCTGCGGGACCCCGGAGTCCTGCAGCAGCGAAAGAGCCAGCTGCCGCGTCTTCCGATTCCGCGCTTTCATGCAAATATAATATAGCGAAGCGATCAACTGCGTGGATAGCATGAACCCCGATCCGGACAGCGGGTTCTCTCTCTCCATCCTGGCTATGTCAAGGATGGCCGAAATCTGCGTTAGTGCAGCCTCGAGACGATTGTCGATGGCGCCGCCTATATCTCGCGATGATGGCGGGAGGGTGTTGTCTTCTACGAGAATGCCGTGAAACAGCTCGGCTTGAATCTGTAGGAGGAGAATATGCTGTCGACGCCTTTGGTATGTGGGTTCAGGGCTGGAGGGAGGGCCTTGATTGTGTTGCTCGATTCGAGCAAGTAGCTCTGCCACTGCGAATTGGAATCTCTGAATTGACGATACAATGGCCAGTCTTTCGCTCTTGACAGGTAAGGGGAGTTGATCCCATGAGCAGCGCTTCAAATCCAGGTAGTTTATGATGTGGTGCATGGTGATATTCTGCAGGCGGGTCAGAACGTTCTCTGCGTGAGAGGAATCGACAAAGACTTCGGGAACGAGGCTGGTTGGACACGACGCCATGCTCCCCGATGGAAGTAGCCGAAGCCCGGGACTCCGATCGCTGTCGAAGATACTAGCCTGGACATCGAGTCGGGTGAAAATCGCAAGCAACTGGTCGGACATGCCGTCTAACGAAGCATACATAGCGGGATTTTCGACGAGAGTGCCTTGAAGTAGTCTCAATCCCTGATTTAGATGCCAGGTAGCTTGCTTCGTGTCGCCGAGTAAACACTCAAATGTGTAGAATATCAGGCCGCAAATGAGGGCCACCTCGACGGAGGCGCTGGGGGAACGAAGATGGGCGTTCAACTGACGATGGCATTTGGATATGATCTCAATGCTTTTAGGCCGGGACTGAAGGGGCACGAGGGATAGATTCGAGGCACTGTACATGTGATCTAGGTACAGCGAGCTCAGGGCAACGAGGGCGCTACGGACGACCGGCTGATGATGGCACCGCTGCAGGATCAGCTGCGTCCACAGCGTGGGATCCGAGAATCCTGCCAGTCGTTCGGCTGCTTCTGAACAGTAGAAATGTAGGAGCTGACGATCCAGCTGGCTACCGGGGACTTTAAAGGGGATGCTGTACGCCGTGATAATGCCGGCCGGACCAGGCCGCGCCGTGGCTTGTACCGGATACCCGCCGCAAGTTCGGCCGGTGCGCACGCACCGCAGGCATTCAGGGGCGGTCTCGTCGCATTTGATCCGGCGAGCTCTGCTTGGTTAGAGAGGGGGATGCTAGGAAGAGTTCTGAGAGGGGAAGGACTCACTTGCAGGTGCTGCAGCCCGACCGGACCTTCGGGGTGCTGCGACGGGGCTTCTTCGTAGTTAGCATGGCGGGCTGCGACAGCGAGAATACGAGACGGCCTAACGTGGGAGTATGGCGGAATTGAGATTGGTTTCGACGTACACCGTGTAGGCAACGTCCTTTCGGTGGTTCGGGGGGCCAAAAGGTACGACCTTGGCGTCTTTTCTCCTTGTGGTTATTAGCGCCTTGTCAGAAGCCAATCCTCCGCTGTCATGGGCCGTTCATAATCCGTGGTCTAAAGCTTGAGTGATGCGAACACAAACAGTCCTAAGGTCCGGCATTAAGGAGACTTCCACCGGTTTAGGTATACGATCACCGACGATATTTATTCTCGAATCAATCTCGGATCAGATAAGAGCGATGAGCCGCACCGTCACCGCTTTCCACATAAGACATGTACATACATCCAGGTATGTATGTACAAGTATATATACAAGGTGCCATAGTGTACAGTATATGTACAACAAAGTAAATGTACCCAGGCACACATAGTCCCGGGAACTCCTGCTGTTTGCGGTTCTCGGGGCCTGCGGACCGGCTGATTGGTTGGAATCGCCGAGAGCCGCCGGGCGCGGGGCAACGACTCCAATGAGGGCGCGCGATAAGCTGCGAGCTGGCGATGATTTAAGAGCTTCGCCGCCCTTCTATTCTTCCCGGGCTTTTATGTTCTCTGTTCTATCTTAAACTGTTTCGATTGACTCGATTGACTCGAATTCTCATTCGAACTGAATCGAATTGACTCCAATTGACTTGACCCCGCGGCAATCACCCCTCCTGCGAGAGCTGTTTCTCGCTCATCACTTCGGGATCCTTATCGCTCTCTCCTTACCCTCCTAGATATCCCCTCGATACACCACGCACAATGGCTACTCTCGTCCGTTCGAGCCTCCGATTGCGCCCTGCGACGCGTCTTCCCACCGTTCGCACCATTAGCACCTCCCCCTCGCTGCGCGCTGCGACGAAGCCGTACTTCGCCGACGAGCCCGCCGCTCCCAAGCTGGCCACGGCCATCCCCGGTCCCAACAATCAGAAGGCGACTGCCGAGCTGAATGAGGTCTTCGACGTGCGCAGTCTGAATATGCTGGCCGATTACTCCAAGTCGACCGGTAACTAGTGAGTGAATCCAGAGGAAGCTGCATGGCTGCCGGGGAATCTATCGGGGGATATACGTCATAGGCTAACGACAGAATATAGCATTGCCGACTTGGACGGAAATGTACTGCTGGATGTGTAAGTGGCGACGAGTGCCCCCCCTTTGTTGCATTGTCAACTCGGAATTGCGATCGTGCTGACCTGACCTTCCCTCGCAGCTATGCCCAGATTGCCTCTATCCCGGTTGGTTACAACAATCCTCACCTCACCGAGGTCGCCAAGTCGCCCGAGATGATCACTTCCTTGATCAACCGACCCGCCCTGGGTAATTTCCCTTCAGCGGACTGGTCCCATATTCTCAAAACCGGTATTCTCAAGGTGGCCCCTAAGGGTCTGGACCAGGTGTTCACCGCAATGGCCGGCTCCGATGCCAACGAGACGGCCTACAAGGCGGCCTTCATGTACTACCGCCAGCTGCAGCGTGGCGGCCCCTCGACCGAGTTCACCGAGGAGGAGCTGCAGAGCACCATGCAGAACCAGTCACCGGGTTCGCCCCAGCTGTCCATCCTGTCCTTCAAGTCCGCCTTCCACGGCCGTCTTTTTGGCAGTCTCTCCACCACCCGCAGCAAGCCCATCCACAAGCTGGACATCCCCGCCTTCGACTGGCCTCAGGCCACCTTCCCCTCCCTGAAGTACCCCCTGGAGGAGCACGCTCAGGAGAATGCCCAGGAGGAGCAGCGCTGCCTGCAGGAGGTGGAGCGACTGATCAAGGAGTTCCATAACCCTGTCGCTGCCGTCGTGGTTGAGCCCATCCAGTCGGAGGGTGGCGACAACCACGCTTCCCCGTCCTTCTTCCGCGGCCTCCGCGAGATTACCAAGCGCAACAATGTCCTGTTCATCGTTGATGAGGTCCAGACTGGTGTCGGTGCCACCGGCAAGTTTTGGGCTCACGACCACTGGAACCTCGAGACTCCCCCGGATATGGTGACCTTCTCCAAGAAGGCCCAGACTGCCGGTTACTATTACGGTAACCCGGCCCTGCGCCCCAACAAGCCGTACCGCCAGTTCAACACCTGGATGGGCGATCCCTCCCGCGCCCTGATCTTCCGTGGCATCATTGAGGAGATCGAGCGTCTGGGTCTGGTGGAGAACACTGCCGCCACTGGCAACTACTTGTTTTCCGGATTGCAGCGTTTGAGCCAGAAGTACCCCGAGCATCTGCAAAATCTCCGTGGCAAGGGCCAGGGAACCTTCATCGCCTGGGACACGCCCAAGCGGGATGAGTTCCTCGCCAAGGCCAAGGGCGTGGGTGTCAATATCGGTGGCAGTGGACAGAGTGCCGTTCGCCTGAGGCCCATGCTGATCTTCCAGCAGCACCATGGTAAGTTTTTAGATTCTTTTCGTCCCCTGTTCTGCCTGATTACAAGAAATGCTAACCAAGTGTTCCAGCCGATATCCTCCTGGAGAGCGTTGAGAAGATCATTAAGCAGCTGTAATTAGTTTGCTCTTCATATTTCTTCCTTTTTCTATTTTGTTATCTTCCTTACGCGAATGTTGGTCAAATCTGTGGCGTTTCTAAATTTTTTTATCATGGGCTAGGCGGACAATCAGGCATCAGTCAATCAATCAATTTTCTACCAATCGTTCAAGCGCGATTATCAGATCCGAGTTTGAAATTCAGTCTCTACATCGATAGCCGCCATCCTTGTCTCTACTCCTGCCTCGCTTGATCTAATAAAATAGAGGATCCTCGGTTCCTAGAACGTGGGCAGCGGGTGGGCAGTCAGCCCCGGATGTTTGGGTTTCCTTGCTTCGAATTAACATCATCTAACCCATGTTTGCAAGAGGGTAAGAAGCTCTTGAGGGGTCGTCACTTTGGGTTTCCCTTTCTTCCTCGCTCTCCTCTCACTCCCTGAATGATTGATTGGTACCCTTCTTGATGACCGTATTTTCATACAGGGTTTGCTTCTCAAATTAGAGCACGGGAGCACACCTATTTACCCCTTGTCAAACCTCACAGTACAGCAAAAACGACTAGAAAAAGCCACCGCAGACCGCAGACTCGTAAAGGGCTTGGTAAAACTCTGTCGGCCGATGGAAGCGCTATCTTCGGTATAGGCATATCCCATGAGCCTTTCCGATGAAATGACGAAGGCAGTGGCTTCTAGACGCCTCTACGACGACGAGATTGCCAGCGACATTGAGATTCTAAACACTATCAATTTTGAACATATTTACGCTCCCGTCATCCACCTCGGGTTAATCGAAGGCCTCACTTTCCTCGAGGGAGGATGGAGCAGCTTCTTCTTCTTGCATGACGTCAAGTACGAAAACCTCTGGACGTTTCACAGGATGGGAATTCAATTGTTAAAAACCACCCAAATTCTTTTCTGGTGTCCATTGCATCCGACATAACACAATCAGTGTCAATTGGTAATTTGATTCTCTAGATTTTACCTAGCTACTCAACGTCACAACGGTGACACCAAATCCGACATCTGCCTAAAGGTTCAGCTCGATAAACTTCTCTCCGTATTCGTCCCTACGTCGTCTCCGTCAGTTGTAATCTAGACCACGATGGGGGTCAGGCTCTAGCAGTTGAGGTTGACGGCTAAAGGGACACAGTCAGTATGATTCCACAAAGTCCAAGACGGATAGATAGACTGACCGTTGGCGAACAGGGCGTAAGTGTCGGCGTTCAGCAGAGCGCGACTGGCACTGAGAGCCGTGGAGGCAGAGTATCCGTAGGCGTAGTCATCAGTACCGGGGCTGTAGACACCCGGGGCGTGAGTGAACTCGTGCAGGGTGGTGGTGGCCTGGTCCTGGGCGTGGCAAGTACCGGTCAAGGCAGTGAGGTAGGTGTAGTAGATGTCGCAGTTAGCGACGATGTTGGAGGAAGGCAGAGTCCAGGCAAGGACGTTGGAGCTGCAGTAACCGTAGGGGTCGGTGCAGTAGTAGGTGGTCGAGCCGGACGAGGTCGAGCCGGCCTCGCTGGCGACGGCGCGGAAGCGAGCCGCCACGGTGCTGCGGGTTGTGCTGGAGGTGGTCTTGAAATATTCATTGAATCGAGTGGAAGAGCCCGAGGAGGCGGCCGAGGCGGCAGCGTTAGCCAGCGAGACGGTGTTGCGCAGGGCAGTCTGCAGGGCAGTGGAGCGAGTGCCAGAGCACGAGGCAATCCTGGTGCGCTTGTCGAGGACCGGGATAGCGTTGGGCACCAGAGCGGCCTCGGCGGCGTCAACGTCGATGGTGATCTCGTTGGAAGTGAATGGGATGTAGCCATCCACGGAGCTGTCCTTGGTGGAGAGCACGAAACCAGTACTGCTCAGGGTCAGGGAGCCACCCTCACTGAGGTCGCTAGTCTCGGCGATATCGAATTCATCCTCAAAGGTGGCACCGGCAGCCAGAGTGGTCAGAGCATCGTCCGACAGGTCCTGGTACTTGACGCGCTGCTTGATACCTTGGAAGTCAACCGCAGTGGCTGCGACAAGTCAGCATGGTGCCCTAACATTAGGTGTGTATATGGGAATCTCGTTTATTCAGCCCTAAGGACGGGCCGACGGCTCACCATTGCGGAAGAGGGCAACCTTCTGGACGGGAGCTGCGTCCTTGAAGAAGTTGAGATGCACGAAGGTGATCTCCTCCTTGCCAACGTTCTTGACGACAGCCTTGATACGGGTATTTCCAACCTGGCTGAGCGTCACGTCGAGCCCGGCGTTGTCGCGGACCTCGAGGGGAGCAGCCAGAAGGGCGGGCACCAGGGCCAACAGGGTAGAGACGGTGAAACGCATCGTGGCGAGGTGACTGGATTGGGAAGAACAAGGAAAACCTGTGGAGGACGATTGAGAAGGATGATGGGGAGGACCGAGGATGAGGTTGCAGAGCAAGAATGAGACGGTTGAAGGGAGTTTCCTGGTTTATATAGAGGTCACCGGGAAGTTCCTTTACGCGTGGAGCTGCTCATGCTCTCGCCCACAGGTCGAATAATGGCTAGCATCCTGTTGTGTCCGTGACGATTCGGTCTTCACATCTAGATCGTGGTCGTTCGGTCGATGCTGAACGCTTGGCCCGGCGGAATCCCGCTGTAGCAGGATATGGAAGAGTCCATGATCATGGCATTGCTTGGTGAAGTCAAGGTCAAGCAGAGCCACTACGAGCGCCACCAGGGCTTTCATCCGGCGGTCTTCCGTCTGCAAGAATATAGTCGGTCCTTATCGCCGGCAGGTAAGCAGCAGCAGACTGCAGGCCAAGGCACCGCCACATGCGCCGTTAATCTAAAAGCAATTAACCCCCAGCGCTAAGCTTGATATCACTTGCAGAATGCAACCCAAGACCGCCACCGCTGAAAGTCCCCAGGCATAATGCCGTCTGATTGATCATCGGAGAATGCCGGCCTTCTCGTCGACCTCATATCAACCCCCCGTTCTCTCTCGTCCCTCCGTCTGCTATCTATCTCAAGCAGCAGAAGGTCAAGGACCTAAACCAATGATCACCACTTCATGTGTCTTCTCCAGCTATCTTCTCTTGGACTAGCAGCTACAATGGCTTCGTCCACCCCTCCCACTCTGGACGTGGTCTTGTCCCCCCTCGTCCTCCCCTTCTCGCAACCCACCATCCCCATCCAGGTCGCTATTCACAACGCGGCCTCGACTCCGGTGACTATCGTGAATTGGAACACCCCCCTGGACCCCCGCGCCGGCGTGCTCGGGGTTTTCCAAGTGCGCGACACAACCACCGACGACATCGTGCCCATGGACGAACTCAAGATATCCCGTCAATTACCACCGTCCGCCGACGACCTGGTGGAGATCCCTGCCGGGCGCTCCGTTGAGGCAGTGGTCAGACTGCCTAGTGGCACCCTAGTCGCCGGGCATGAATACGCCATTCGGGCAAAGGGCATTTGGCACGCCGTGTGGGAGACTCCGCGCGAGGAGGTGCAGGGGCTGAGACTGGAGAAGTTCGAGAACGCGAAGAGGGGGGACTTCCTTTCCAACGAGGTATCTGTGAGGGAGGTTGACAGATAATGGCCCAGGTGGACGGTGGACTGTTGAGGATTTGGGCGACCTCTTTTCCTTTGCTTCCTTTTTGCTTTCGCAGCCATACCATCCCCAACTGTCCACTAGGTATGATATCGACTGCTCATATCATATAAACGCCTTCCACCCCTTCTCTCGCTCGTGAAACAATAAAGCCAGCCTCTGTCAAGGCCCTCCTGTTCCCGCCATGATCTGACCCGTAGCAAAGCCACAATAGGAGGTGGCATCCCCCCCTTTTAACGGGCCCAAAAGCCACCACAATGAACGGTCTGCACATCCAAATAGTACCCATCCACTACTACGGCAGATCCCTTCTGCAGCGAGGTCTTAAACCATCCACAATACCATCACTGATCTCCGTTGCGATCGTCGGATCAGCAATGGCTTCCATCGATCAACAGGGACTCTTCCCGATCGGGAAATTCTCTCATTCTCGCGCTGTGGGACATATCAGAATTGTCAACCGATTGCGGACAGGCTGAACTTGAGAGGAGTCGAGGGTCCGTTTGTCGAATGGCATATATAGACCGTGGGAGACTTGTCTCTCGCGATGCTTTTCATCTCGTCTGCCACAGAAACAAACCAACTGCATTCATTCATTACGACGATAACCACGCAACCAACCGACCAAATTCATCCTAGCCGGACTACACAAGATGAAGATTGCCGCTCTTTTCTCTCTCTTTGCCCTCGCCACTGCCTTGCCTGTGGCTATCCAGCAGCGCGGAATTATGCGCGCCGCCGTCGAGTTGATCGGCCATCTGGAGGGCTTTCGCGGCAACTTTTACTGGATCCAGGGCCACAAAACAGTCGGTGAGTATCCGAGTCGCTGGTTTCGTGGTGTGTTTCTGCAGTGTGCTGACCCTATGGATGCAACTACAGGATACGGCCACGACTGCGTCGCCAAAAAGGACTGCCACACGATCAACGTTCCTCTCAGCGAGCCCCAGGCTGCCGACCTCCTAAGCAAGGATCTCTCCGAGTTCGAAAGCTGCGTGTGTGCTATGGAGAACGCCAAGGAGCTGAATGCGAACCAGTACGGCGCCCTGGTGAGCTTCGCCTACAACACGGGCTGCGCCGGCTTTCAGTCTGCGTGGCAAGGGGCCATGTCGCAGAAGGATTTCAACGGAATCTGCCACAGCTTGCCAACTACCAACACTCTGGGCGGGCTGCTGAACACCCGTCGTCAGAAAGAGGGCCATTTTTGCATGCAGCCGACTGAGAAACCATCTGGCTGTTGAATCGACTGTTTCCGGGTGTGTGGTGTACATGAGGTTTTCAGGGAGGCTCGTTCAAGGGGCCGTGTATTCTATAGAGATCATGTTAGTTTCTTCGTGTATCATTAGATATCTGGAGCATACCTTATAATCATAACTGCCGATCAATGGCACATGAATGTTGCTGCCTGAAACTTCAGGGTTACTACCTGTGGAGCCTGACGTCACGCCTCAGGCAGTCAGGCAGTCAGGCACCCCTGGTCCATTATTGACTCCATTCACCTCTCTACTCCGTACAGAGGATATACCCTCCCTCCATCCCTCCGTCCAGCGTGCCCCCCGGGCAAGGAAAATGTCCTCCCGTCAATTCACATCTCACGAGTCCACGCCACTCCTCAGCCACGACCCAAACGGCCACCCCTCCACCCTCGCCCGTATCCGCGACCACCTACGCGCCGAAATCTCCACGCAATGGTCCGACCTACTCCTCATCTTTTGCTACCTCATCACGGGACTTCTCGACAGCTCCGCCGTCTTCATTTGGGGCTCCTTTGTGAGCATGCAGACCGGAAACACGGTGTATCTGGGGCTGGGGCTCGCGGGTCTTGACACGGGCGACCGGTGGATGAAATCTGCCATATCGATCTCGTCGTTCTGTGCGGGTAGCTTCTGCTTCGGTCAATTCCATCAACGGTTCTGCGCGCGCCGACGATGGGTCCTGGCGCTGTCGTTCGTCGTGCAGATGTTCTGCGTGGCCATCGCAGCGAGCATCGTCAGCGTGCGTCGGCCGAGCAAAGAGGACGGGATAGTATGGGCGACGGCGGTGCCGTTGGCGCTGGTGGCGTTTCAGAGCAGCGGGCAGGCCCTGACAAGTCGCGTGCTGAAGATGAATGGTCTAACAAGCGTGGTGTTGACCAGTGTCTATTGCGATCTGTTCTCGGCGCCGGGCGTGCTTGGTTTGTCGGAGGTGGAGGGACGCAGGCGAGTAGGAGCGATTGGGGGGTTAATCCTGGGAACGGTGATCGGGGGATGGTGGGCGAAGAGTGAGATCGGGCTGGAAGGCGCGCTGTGGACGACAGTTGTTTGTAAAGGGATGATTGCCGCTGCTTGGCTGCGATGGAGAGCTGAGCAAGTGTAGACTATAGAGGAGATATTTTGTATACATGATAATCTATCGAGCAGCAAGCGGACGGCTCGAAGGACTTTCTACGCGCCATGCAAAGATATAGAAAGCTTTCATGTGATCGAGACAGGCGCTTGAAGGTCGGTGGCGGAGTCGGAAGGGATTTTGGCGCCTTTTCAGTGTGTGCATTTAGCAATCTTCGTGGTGTAGCGCTCCAGCATTAGTACTGTACAAACCCGTATATTCCTACTTGCCTCTTCTTGCTGCGCGAAAACCCGCCGAATCCGGGTCTCGGCCATTCTCGCGCCATGCGACGATAGTTCACTAGGTACCTAAATCGGTCGATTCCCTACCTCGAGGATTTCCCGCGGGCTGATCAAGATGTTGGATCGATAGAACTCGACGTGCTGGGTGTCGTGTTTGGGTATCTTCTTCCCAAGCGAGATCTAGTTTCTTACTCATACTATTCGGGTGATTGGGGTCATTGAAGTGTGGAGAAAAGAAGTAGTATGCTGTGTAATATTCTTCCGAGCTATCTGGATAGCAGGATGAGGGCTGTCCCTTCAAAGTAACTTGCTCCCGACCATCTCGCTATACCGAGGAACCGTTGGATGTCGTCAGGGTATGTTAAAGAGGTAGCTGTGCAATCCACTTTGCCGGAAGTGTGAGTCCTACCTCTTCCCAGGCAGCGTTGTGGGTGCTGTGATGGAGCCCAGACAACGATTCTTACGACTGCTGTGGCCCATCTGTATTGAGATGGGATTATCATTGAGCTGTAGCATAGAGGGTGAGCCGGGTAGTTTATCCTTCAACTCAGAGCCTTCCTTACCGATACTATACTCCGGCCGCTGTCCGAGCATCCCTTGGGGTTGTCGACATGTGACAGTTCGAACATTGCGATCGCTTGTCGAGGGCTCTTTTCCATGAATTTCGTGTTACGCGCGGAGGCAGTCAGCATCGTCCAGAGAAACGAAGGCTACTCTTCCTCGACCCCAAACTCCGCATTCAAAAACCGCACAAACGCGTCTCCGATTTGCCCGGAAACTATCCCCCCCGCCATTGCCGTATTCGCCGCGTGTCCTCCCGCGATATATGCTCGGTTCAGCGAGATCCACTGCCTCCGCAGCCTTTGCAATCGCGGCAGAGCCAGAATCCCACCTGCGCCGGCTAACTCATCCGTGGTTCCCGAAATCGCCACATGCGCCGGGATGAACACCGGGGTTGACGCCTCCGCCACCGGGATACTAATCCCCTTTGACTCGTCGCTCTGTGCTAACGCCGTTTCTGCGGACGGCGTCGAGAGTGTGAAGTTTCGGATCGCCGATACGATCGCCGATGTCCGTTTCTCCATGTCATATAGGGCTGACGAGTCCGTCGACACGGGCAGCACGGTCGCCTGGTGCGGTCGTACTTTTACGCGCGGCCGTCCGAGCCCGCCTGCCCGCGTAGCTGTCGTCGCAAGTGACCCCGCTACGCTGGCGCCGGAGGAAATGTGCGTCGCTGCGAATGAGGACGTGAGGCTGGATGCTTCGTGGTCGGGCGTTTCGGAAACAGATGGGTGTGGAATGCCAGTTAGCGCGCTCCAGATGTCCGCGATCGGGGGCTCAGCGTCCCCCCACGGCACGGTAAAGAGGGGTTTATCCCAGCGACTGTGCGTGCTGGGTTCTTCGTATCGGAAGATGAGGTTATTGAGGAGTTCCGCGGGGTAGGGCTCTGTTAAGTTGGCGGTTGGGGTTTCTGGGGTTGCGGTTGCATCTGCGACTCTCGCTGTCCCCGCGGACACATCCTGGGTGGCTTCGTTTGTGCCCGTCTGAATCTGGTGCTCCTGGCGAAGTATGCGTGCGTCGTTGTTCGCGACGCATTGGTCAACGGGTGTACCGACATGCACCTATAGCGAGATCCAGTCAGCCGCTGTCTCCGATGAAACCAAAGACACCGACCCAACGAGAAAGGGACAGAGGGGAGGAAGAACGATAAGCATACCACACAACATGTAGTCCCTAGCGCCTTGGCCTCGCACCATAATTGATACCGATACCCCTTGATATAATTCATGCCATCCAGAATTACGAAACTGTCCTTGCCAAGCAGTCGTTTCGCCCGGGTGTACGCGACGCCACGGGCCTCTTTCTCGGTGCGCGCATGATCGTAGACGGTTCGTGGATGGGATGCATCGTGCGTGGAGACGACGTTGATCTTGTATCGCGGCTTGGAGGCGGGGATGGTGCCAGATTCGAAGAGGGTGGATTGGGTGGATTCGAGCCCGGAGGCGATTTGATGGGCGCGGTAGGTGAGGCCCGAACAGGGGAAGCCGGTTAGGATTATGAGCTGATTGATATTGCGATCAGTCAGGGATAAGGCATGAGAAGGGGCGAGAGCTTACCGGCATGGTGCGAAGCGGTGTTGAGGTCGAAGGAGTTGCTTGCGATGGGGAAATTTTTCGGGGCGGAGTGCGGGGCACATGTGACTTGGAGTTGGGGGGAAGAACGATGGATCAACTCTGCCCGTACTCTTTCCGTTGGGTATACTTAGGCAATGTTGTCTGTATATATAATTATATATATATATCTATATATATTCGTTCACGTCATCACTATAAAATGTCTACTCGGATCCCACAACGCCAACCAATCTATCAATCAACTTTTCCCTTTCATTTCAATTCATCCTCAGCCCATCTGATCTCGTATCCGAAGACAGTCCTGCGAAGTTTCTCATCCTGTCCCAGTTAGCAACACACTTCCGACGCAGGGAATCGAATCAAACTCACCCCAGGATCATTCTCAAACAGCACATTATCCATCAGCTTTTCAAAGATCTTGGTCACCTTGAATCCACTCCGCTCCGCCAGGGGGAAGAACGTCTCCGTCCTGGGTAATAGCCACGGCTCGTACGGCGTGAAGATCACCAATGCGACCGCCTCTCTCGACTTCTTCAGCGTCATTTGCATCGTCTTGATCAGGTTGCCGTGTTCGCGATAACTATATACCACGTCCGCCATAATGAGGAGGTCGAATCTCGTCTCCCCGGCCGGAAGGTATGCCTGCAACGGCTCGACCGAGGCCCCCCACTTGTAACCGTCGACGTGCAGGGCCGAGCCCGAGGGGATTAGGGGTGCGGAAGAAGAAGCGTTAAAGCGCATGTTCTCGACAAGGTCGGGGTCCGGATAATCGGTCATGATGGTCGTGCGGGCGCCTTTGATGGCGCTGACGATGCTGGGCACGCCGGCTGCGGCGCCGATCTCGAGGACATCCTTTCCGGCGATGAGTTGCTGGGCTCGTTCTTCGATGTAAGAGGCACTGGTTCGACCGGCATTCCACAGAAGATCGCCCTGAATTCGTCAGTATGATCGATTCTGGGAGGCCAACCCACAAGATTCACGGAGCCACCACATACGTAGAGAGGATGGCTCCCCACCAGCCTCACGCGCACCGTCTGGCCCGACAGCATCGGGTGCTCGGCGAAAGTGGGCTCCTTCTCAGGCTCGTAGAAGCCCTCGGGGTCATCGAACATCCCCCCGGCATCGTAATTGTCGTCCGCGTCCGCCATTGTCGATTCTCTGGTCCACGGGGCAGATCGGCGCGGATCACAGAGGCAGCGGACGGAGGGACGAGGGGTTTTCGCCGACGGGATGGCCTCAGGCCGCTGATGGCCCACTACGCATTTGCACTCGCTGCACTGTTTGCACTGTTTGCACTCTCCCGGTAGTTACCTACCAGAGCCGAGCCCTGCAACGGACCGACCCCGTCCCATCGCGGGGACCATCCGACGGGCGACGGATGCGATGCGACAGCCCGCATGGGGAGGTATATAACAAGCATATCCTTCGAATGCCCCCCTCTCTTTCGCTTTCTTCTCCCTTATTTCCCCCCTTCCCATTACACCATGGAGAACTCCTCTACCCCGCCAAAGTATTATGTCTCTGCCCCCTCAGCACAGAAATTCATCCACTCTATCCTTACCAGCAACGGCGTGCCTGCCGACAATGCCGCCATCATCGCCGACTGCCTAATCCAAGCCGATCTTCGCGGCGTCGACACCCACGGTAGTAATCGCATCCCGTCGTACATGGAGCGCATTCGTCAGGGGGTACTAGATCCCGGTGCCCAACCCACCCTGGTGCAGGTCACGCCGGTCGTGGCGCAGGTCGACGCACACAACGGGTTCGGCTTCGTGGCCGCGCAGAAAGGTATGGCGCGCGCGATCGACATGGCACGGGAATTCGGCATCGGGTTCGTTTCCGTCAAGCACTCGAATCATTTCGGCATGTCCGCCTGGGTTGTGCAGCAGGCGCTCGATGCCGGTATGATGAGTCTAGTGTTTACCAACTCATCGCCCGCGCTACCTGTGTGGGGAGGCCAGGAAAAGCTGATGGGCGTCTCGCCAATCGCGTGCGGTGCGCCGGCGGGTAAAGAAAGGCCGTTTATCCTGGACATGGCGCCGTCGGTGGCCGCTAGGGGGAAGATCTATAAGGCTGCGAGACGCGGGGAGAAAATTCCCGGAGACTGGGCGCTCGATGGAGAAGGGAGACCCACCGACGATCCAAACCGTGCGCTGGAGGGCGTCATGTTGCCGATGGGCGGACCCAAGGGGTCGGCGCTGTCGGTCATGATGGATGTGTTCTCGGGCGTCTTGTCGGGCTCTGCTTTCGCCGGCCATGTCACGAACCCATACGACCCTTCGAGGCCGGCCGATGTGGGACACTTTTTGGTGGCCATCAAGCCGGATTTGTTTATGGGACTGGAGGAGTTCAAGGAGCGTATGGATTACCTGTATCAGCGGGTCGTGGGGTCAGAGAAGATGGCGGGTGTGGACAGGATTTACTACCCCGGGGAGATTGAGCAGATTATGCACGAGGAGAGGGCGAAGACAGGAATTCCGTATGTTCAGGCTGAGTTAAATGCATTGAATAAAGAAGCAGATGAGGTGGGTGTAGATCATATGGTGGTGTCGGAGGTAAGGTAATTTGGGATCCATAGCATTTAGTACTTAATAGCAGCTAGCAGCCGCCTTAAATATGTCCCTAGCCACCACCTGGCAGGATCGGTCGTCTGCATCATGAGCTCAAGCGGCAGGTCCCTGGCATCTGACCAGGAAACGCATTTATAGCAATTTTCAATCCCCCCCTCCCCACGGAATGGATTCATCTAATTCATCTTCGGCACCAAGCTCGCCACTTTCCAGGCACCTCCCGTGGTCATATTGGTGGTTCGATTGGTCGAGATCCCAACTCTCCACATCCCCAGTGCCGCAAACTCGCCATGCATGCAGTGGTATGTGCCTACCCGATGAACTCGCTGGACTCCAACTTTCTCGTCTAAGAACATATCCCCCTCGGCCTGTTTCACAAACGGCTGGATTATGTACACCGTCCGATCAGGGCTCAGTGCTGGGTTCTTCATGTTGGCGAGAATCGTCTCCCATTCAGAAGTGCTCAGCTCTTGGCCCGTAATTATTCCTTCTCCACGACCTGACCGAATGGGCTTCAGAATGAACTCTTCCTTGCATACCTTTCCTTGATGGTAGGAGTCAATGAGTTGCTCTAGTTCCTTCGATCCAGGGATGATGGTGAAGACAACTCGTTTCCGGAGTATGTCAGCCTGTCTTTTGGTCAAGACATGATGTTTGGCAACTAGATCGTCTAGCTCCTGGTGTAGGATTCCTAGCATTCGCTTGTCGTGGGTCAGTAGTATAGACCGGATGTCATTGTTGCTATGGAACGCCAACTGCCGCTGTATCTCGGGGGAGAGTGAGGCAAACTCGTCGAAACAAAGCCGGAGCGCTACTTGATGAATATTTTCCATGTTATCATCTTGAGTGTCGGCAGACACGGTGGGCTCTCGCACACACTGGAGTTTATATCCAGTGAGCGAAGTATTGTCAGCCACAAGTTGTAGATCATCGGGTGTCAGTAGCCGTGGCTTCATGTCGCCTAGATCTCTCATCAAGGCCTCGACCAACGCGTTGTTCTCTCCGTTGTGGACAAATCGAACAGGCCACGCTCGATGAAAAAGGGCTTTCAGACAGGCAATCATATGTTCCGGGTCTCCTGCCACATCAAGATCAAGAGGCTTGATATCCATACTGTCTAGGGCCTTATACACCCGCGCGTTCAAGTCGAAGCCGTTGGACGGGAACCGAGAATTAATTTCGCAGACTTTGAACTCGTCCCCTTCGTTAGCCGGAAGTAGGAAGTCGGGTCGCCAATTCCCTTGATGGCCTTCATATGCGGGGAACAGTTTGTCTTCGGAGAGTTTATGTATCCACTATTGCGCGATTGTAATTGATATTAGCATCGACTAATAACCATAAACAAAGTAAAGATTGTACCCTTAGGATATCCTCCTCATGCCTTTCCAGTGGCATCCGCAACGGCAAATCCGCCTCCTTATCGATAACCCATCTTTGCACGATGTTCGTTAAGGCAGCCGACAGCGCGACATGAAACTCCTTTAATGATTCCATGAAGCCAGTGGGAACCACTACCGGGTGCGGACACATAGATCTCAAAAAGTATGGAAGTTCATGTTCCCCTTGCAGATAGCGGAGGAAGGCCGAGCTGAAGGCATCCTCACTGCGCTTCCTATCTTCGTAAGACGCACTGGTTACTGGCCAGAGGATGCCGGCTTTCCTCGACGCCTCCAGACAGATCTGGGGCATGCGGAGGAGCGGATCATTATTCCTCATGGTGGAAGTCAGTTGATAAACGAGCGTAAAGAGTGGATAAGATTGATCTCGACTTGCGACTTGAGGGGGAGGACCTACTGCCGTCCGTTATATTATATCGCAACGTGCCTCCTCACTTGATGACGGATAGTATTTGCAGTAGGTGTCTCGGATGCATTCGGTTATTCTCATGTTGGGTGGGCCAGCCGATTCTGTCCGAGGCGGTGGACGAAAGGGATGAATGACACCCTGACCAGTTCTTGACCTTCTGCTTCGGGAGGCATCCAGCATTCCAGTGACCGTAGTATGTGGATCCAACGCTCCGCCCGGATGGAGTAGTCAACACACGTAGGTCAGAGAATGAAACGCGACAGCAGTATCGGGTATCCATGAGCAGTCGAAACCGGAACAGAACTAGGGCGGACCCATCTATCCACCATCATTTATGTGTACACTTCATCAGCCATGGATCATCCATCCAGACTAATCCGTATCAGAACCGTCACAACCAAATAAATGAGCCCACCAAACCAAACGAGCCCGTGGAAGAAACCGACGCAAAACCGTTTTATATAGAAAACTCCCTTCTAACTGAACCCGAAGACCTACGAATCGATATATGCGCTACTTCATGCTCTAAACGCAAACAGTCCAGGTCGATAATTAACAGCCGCCGCGATCACTCTTCACCTCGATCCGCGTCTGAATCCTAATGTCTCCATCATCCACTACTAGATTGCGCACAGAGTCGTCATCGAACCCGCTCCCGCGCGGCGACACGACCGTGCTCGTCATCGCGTTCATCGACTTTAATTGTATCGCCTGGCCCGGGGGGTTGTTTTGACCGCCGGAGAGAGTCGAGTACGGGCGGTTGCTGTGGCCTTTCTTGAAACTGAGGCCCGTCACGAAGCGCGTGTCCTGACGCGTGGTTCCGCGGTCTGAGGAGTGCACGATACGGTCCCGGAGCCAACGCGGCAGTCTTGCGAAAAGCGGGCGCAGACCGATCAGACAGGCGGCACAGAAGTACATGCCGCATTCGACGGCGGTCCAGGAGAAGGGTTCCGTGGCCCCTGGCGTTGTTAGTTGTTGTTAGAATCGGGACCGGGGAGGAGTTGGGAACATGGAGGAAGGCAGACTTACAGGGGGGATCTGTTTCGATAATGTGGGAGTCACGGAAGAAGATGCCAGTTCGCATGCCGGAGGCGAAGAGACCACTGTATCGGGGCCCTCGTTAGTATATAATGCGCTATGAAGGTTTAGGGTAGAGAGATGACAAGGAAAACGTACATGCTCCCCGTCAAGAACACCACCGCAATACCAGCCTTCTTCCCCGTGGAGGCCTTCAGGTTCCAAACCGTCGGAATGGGCAGTACGAGTATTATCAGGTCGCCGACTACGTTGGATATGTTTGTCAACTCGTACCATAGCATCTGGTTGAAGCATCTCCCGCCCGGAATTGACTTGTCCCAGGTATACGCGAGCGGGAAACATTCGAGCTGCGCAGCGATTATGGTGGCGACCATGCAACCAAGCAGAAGAACAATGACGATCCAGCAGATGGCGCGGTAGAGCCTGCCGGTAAAGATGCGCAGATATAGGGCCACGACGGAAATCCGGGACATGGCGTTGGAGGGCACGTAGAACCAATAAAGGGTGTAGAGGAGTTTTAAGAAGATGACCATCTTGTTGGGATCCTCGGCCACGACGGAGGCGGCGTGTCGACCAAGGCCGGCGTGTATCACGTCCACTGGCTTTCAGGTTAGGCTTTATTGAAGGGGTCACTGTGGTTGAGTGATGTAGAAAGACGGAGAGAGGGAACGCTTACGGTATAGACAGATGGACAACCCCACCACACACATATACGAAGGTACCAACAAGAACTCGTCCCAGCCTCTAGAGGCTTTAGTGAGGCTGCGTGCGTACAGTCGCATAGCTAAAAGAATAGTGCTTAGCACCAGAATGAAGCTGGTGGCTGCAATCACCTCATTGCCTCGGTTGGCTTCCATATACCCCGGAGGGTACTGCGGAACGTCTGCGGACGAGTCCGACATGAAGACGAGAACAACCCCGGAGAAAGAAACCGATGAGAATGGCGGAAGATAGGGAAGATGACGGCGACGACGACGACAAGACACCGTGGGGTTGAAACCGAGACTAGAAGCCCGGGTTCATTTTTATCAGTCAGGTTGACGGCCGGCCCCAGGGCCAAGATGACCTTCAGTCCGAGTCTCCCAAGTATCGGCTCATGGCTGCACAAGCTAGACCGGAATAATGCTGGAGAAACAACCCCAAACGTCTGCAGAAAAGAAAGAAGGAGGGGGCTGAATCGACGTTCGGGCGGGATCAGCAACCGAAATCTCCTCAAGAAGAAGTGTAAGCCGGTGGTTCTGCATGTCAGATTTCCGGCCCGACAGGGATGTTAGACGCTAAGCAGGTAGGGGATCTTCTTTGTGGACGGGAATTTGGCAATGGGGCCACATTCTGGCTGCCTCGTAATCACACTCATATTCATATATCGTAGCTACATGGATTGGTGGCCATGATTCAACAGAGCTGCCACCGTCATCGCGATGGCACAGGTGTATGACGGACGACCACCATCCTGGCGGGCTGTCCTGTTACTCGCAGACCGGCCACAAGCTACCTAGAGTGCACATTGCTCGGCATTCTCGGTAGCGACAAGTGATTGATTTTGGTCACAGAGCGCCGGGATAGGCATTGGAACCGGCTGAACGATCTCAAGATCAGGAGGTGGGATAAGAGACAGAATATCTGGAAGCAGTCCAAGGCCTCGAGGCACGAACAGAGACCCGTAACAAAATCAAGTAAGAGCATCAACCCTTCAGCCAAACGGCTCAAACCGTAGAAATTTCTAGAAACCAGTCTAGATAGTCTAAACACGGGAACAGGAGTATCCAGGCTGCTTAAATGCTCGCAAATGCCTCTAGACAAAAAGTCATAGGCAACGTCAAAATAACACGAACGAACCAATAAATATACAGAATACCGAACAACCAATCCAGCATTGCGCTTCCTATCTAGTCATCAAAGAACTTCTTCATAAAATTGTGAGCGACTTCGACTCCGGCGAAAGTAGCAGCATTGGCAGGCACGGCTCGGGCCAAAGCCGGTCCGAATCCAGGGAAGAAGGCCTTGAAGCCGCCGCTGGCATACACGGAGCGAATAGTGCCGCCGATCGTGGGCCGTCCGGGGGCGCTCTGCAGACGCGACTTGATCGTGTCGACGGGGAAGACAGGAATCCACATGGCAATGCCCGCCGCACCGCCGGCAGTTAAGACAGCCGGCATCGACAGCTCCCCAGTAACGTTGCCACTCTCGTCCTTAGGCGTCAGGGACCGTTTGATATACTCATATGCGGCGAAGTAGGCCGCGGATCCAGGTCCGTCACGAGCCAGAGTCATTGCGCTGCCGCGGAACACGCTGCGAATACCGCCCTCCTTGTATAACTGTCGCACCACGTCGAGACCGCCGGAGTACTTGGGTTTCTGGCCGGGCGGCGGCGGATTCTGGCCTTGGATTTGCAGTAGGACCTTGACTCGCTCGAAGGGGGCCGTAATCAAGGTCATGGGGATAGCCGAGAAGAATCCGGCGGCGGATATCTGACGGATAGTGTACTGAGGGGTGTTGTTCTCCACGCGCACAGTGGAGAAGTTGCTAACGAGCGTCTTGCCAAGATCGTAACCCTGTGGGAGTTAGATTTTCTTACAGGACTGAACCTATAGATCACATACCCAAAAGCTGACAGCAACTAAATGTCTGTTAGTCTTCAACTTTCATCCTCCTGGCCATGGACCAAGATTGAGAGAGGAAACTTACACATAGGAGTAACGCCCACCAACGGAGCTGAAACGCCAGCATACAAACCCTTGCAATTTAGTTAACTAAACCATTTTAACAAAGGCGAAAATGCAAGCCTACACGAGCCAGCCCCTCACGGGCAACCGTCTTCTTCACGACATCCATCGCGCCCTTATAAACGCCCTTCTCGGCCGTCTGCAGTCGCACCTTAACCAGGTCAAACGGATGCCCAACCACAACGGCGCAGACACCGCCAGCTGCGCCGGCGGCTAGAGAGCGGATTTGCGCAACGGTCTGGTTGACAGACTGCGTCTCGGCGACCTTGACATCATCACGAATAGTGTCGGGGGTAGAAGCAGAAGCGGATGACATGATGGCGGGGAGTCAGGAAGAATACCAAGGCGCGGGAGGTAGTCAGTAGACAAGAGAAAGAGAACGAGAGAGGTAGAAAGAGGTAGAGAGAGAGAGAGAGAGGGAAAGAGAGGGGAGAGATCAAATGCACGAGAGCTCCCGCGACGATGGGCCGGGGACCTCGGCTCGGCGCGGATCAACATGTTTGTCCGCGAACGGAGGAAGGGAGTGAATCCGGGGTAACAAATGCAAACCACGCAAACAACCGGCAGCCCGGAACCACTTCGGTCAAGTATACAGTACCCAGGTAGAATGAACAGCGGTTATGGCGCCGCATGGGGATGAGATAGGCGCACCCCTTGGTTTGTCGCATTGTTCTGTGATGCATTAGGCTGCCTATACTAAGGATGGGCCCCCTTTCACCCAACAAAAGATGACAACCTGCCGGAAGGGATCTCGTTTTCGTGGACTGGAACGTTCAAATCGCACTACTCCGGAGTATGCGCTGGTCCAGGGGTCTTGCACTGAACAGGTCTTTCGATTAATGATTTGCATAATGACGAGTAGTACTGGCTTAGCAACGAAGCTCGAGGGTCTATCCGCGGAAGAGTCGTGCTTCATTGTATATACTCGCATTGAAATTTACAAACGGTCTTAACAATCACGCGGCATTCCGCGTTCAGAGAATGATTTGCTTGCTTGCTGGGATTGAATCATAGACTAGACGCAGCGATGTCATGGTTGATCATCGTAATAAGATATTCTATAGCGACCTTGATGCAGTGCCTCTTCTTTAGTACAAAGGGGTTATTATTGAAATTGAGCTCTATAGGGGCCCTGCAGGTTCTTAGCATCGTAAGCTTGCTAGTCGCTACGCCGCTGCGCCTCTAAAGCCCTCTCCTATAAATAGTGAGGAAGATCTGAATGGGGTGTGGTGGTTCGACCGCGTTGTCGTTCGTGGCTGATACCAAGTTGAATTGAAATTTCTGAATTGAGGGTCTACCGAACCACGAGGTGATTCAGTGCGCCCCGGATATCAGATCGCTCTCTCGAGAAAAATGCCAAGGAGGACCTTGATAGACGCTCTCCTCCAACAGAGCCATGCCCGTTGAAAGTTCCTTCGGTGGAACGATTCCCACCCCTAACATTCCAATGTCAACGGGCCATCCCGACAGCAGCAGCCGATGTTACATTGTCCTCCATGCGAGGGAATATCTCCGAAGACGTGCCTACTCCATCGACCACACGATGCCCAACACAGTATCAACGATCTTCTGCCCATCACACGAGGCACCAACAATTGCCATTAAACCCGAATGTCCAGGAAGACGACAGAAAGTGCCAAGACCTCCTCTCTGCCAAGGCTTGGTACGAGGACCTTGCGAGCAATAAGCTATGGAGTATAATCACGCTGACGTCCAATGCCCGTAGAGTCTCACGATCTTGGTTCCTCTGGTCGCTCTTGGCAGGTGTCCATGATACACGGTCTTATCCTTGGCAACGGACACCTTGGTAGTTAGTCTCGATGTAGGGCCTGTTTGGAAATTTCTGCGTGCGCGGAAGTGTCAGCAGCTTTCGCCCATAAACGAAGCGAGATCTCACGCATGCTAAACAATGTAGACAAATCCATTTATTACTGTGGATTGAAGCGAAGCTAAACCAAGCTGATCTCGGTGTTCTCCGGTCATAGAGTGGCCGTTACCCAGTAGGATCCATTATCTGTGAGAAACCCGGTGGACGGACCGCCGACAGGCAAACGGATATCAACTTCTTCCGGACTTCTAGACAGGGTCTCATTTATTCACCTCAGCCCTTTGAACACCTTGGGAGAAAGGAATAAGAAGAGACCAAGACATAAATACCAACCCAGGTTGTCGAGCTCTTCTCATCGACCTCGCACTGTTCCTTTCTTTCATCTCCCAACTCTCCCCTACCCCACGACCCTAGGAACAAAGCCCATCATGTTCCGAAGCCTCCTTCCCATACTCCTCGTCGTCGGCGCCGTGTATGCGCAAACGGCGTCCTATAGCGGCTGCCATAGCCACGGAAGCATCGAGTACTGCTTTGGTCCTGATGGCGAGGAGACTGCCATGTCGACGCAGGCTACGGCCACCGCGACGTCCGTGACTGCCAGTACGACCGCATCTGCGGACTCATCTGCTATCACGGGGTGCCACAACCACGGAAATGATGTGTATTGCATCGAAAGCGACGGGTCCGAGGTCCAAGTGTCTTTGGAGTCGACTCCGACGGGTGAACTGCCGGCACAGTACACGGGGTGTCACTCCCACGGGGGGGATCGGTACGTTGCGCTATACTTTATCATTGAGAGGGGTAGTAGCTGACAAACTGTGTAGATTCTGTATGGATCCCGACGGCAATGATGTCCAGATCCTTGCGGAAGGCGAGTCCACGTCGGACAGTGATAGCGGGGACAGCGAGTCTGGGGAGTCTGCGGGTCAGAACTGTCATTTCCATGCTGGTGTTGAGTATGTTTGCCTTCGTTTTCCTCTCTTTCCCCCCGCTCTTATCGATCATAACTCATAAATCTCGTAGACACTGTGTCGGAGCTGGCGAGTCTGAACACTCTAGCGAGCCGTCCTGCGGCGTGCAGACCCGTGACTACGATATGCCCTTGCGAATCGGCACGCTGTTCGTTATTCTCGTCACCAGCGCCCTGGGTGTCTTCCTGCCCATGCTGCTGGTAAAGCTACCCTCGCAGAAGATCAACGTGATGTTTTCGACTGTGATCAAGCAGTTTGGAACGGGTGTGATTCTATCGACGGCGTTTGTCCATGTTCGTCCTCCCTCTCTCCCCCCCTCAATGTACCAGAGTAAGGTAAAGCTAACACCGCACTGAACAGCTCTACACCCACGCCAATCTCATGTTCACCAACAACTGCCTCGGCGAGCTCGAGTACGAGGGAACCACCTCGGCGATCGTCATGGCAGGAATCCTCCTCTCCTTCCTCACCGAATACATTGGACACCGGATCCTCCTCGCCCGACACGGCAGACACGGCGCCACTGCAGCACACACACCAGACAGCGAAACCATAACTGAGAACGGACACAAAACCGACGCCGTTCAACAACCTGGGGCCCACACGCTCGCGCATCTCGGCCACAGCCACGGCCCGCACGACCCAACCCAACCGAACACTAAACTCTCGGTGCTGGTCATGGAAGCCGGCGTCATCTTCCACAGCATCCTGATCGGGCTCACGCTCGTCGTGGCCGGTGACTCCTTCTACAAGACACTACTGGTGGTGATCGTCTTCCACCAGTTCTTCGAGGGCCTGGCGCTAGGCGCGCGCATCGCCGTTTTGCCCGGCAAGGTCTTCCCAAGCAAAACAATCATGGCGACAGTGTTTGCGCTAATCACGCCCATCGGGATGGCGATTGGCATGGGGGTGATTCATTCGTTTAACGGGAATGAGCGGAGCACGTTGTTGGCGCTGGGGACTTTGGATGCGCTGTCGGCGGGGATTTTGGTCTGGGTAGGACTGGTGGATATGTGGGCGAGAGATTGGGTGATCGAGGGTGGGGAGTTGTTGAATGCCCCCGTGGGCCAGGTGCTTACTGGTGGGGTTTCTTTGATCGCGGGCATGGTGTTGATGTCCTTGTTGGGGAAGTGGGCTTGATGCTCTTGATTGTCTGAGCTCCAAAGTCTGAATTGTGGATGGACTTGATTTATGTCACCTATGGATTAATGCGGGATCGCTATTCTGTAAGGCACAAAACCGTTGAACGTAGATATGTATTAACCAAGAATAAACTGTATGGATTCTAGCTAAGTCCCTATTGAAGATACTAGCTATAGATCAGAGGATTCTGCCAAAAACCGGCTAACGCCATTCGGATGCTCTTCGCTCGCAGACCATTTTCGTGTCAGGATTGATTTACCTATAAGTACCGCATTACAAGGCCGACGATTTGCATAGACAGGATAGCAACCGACATGCGCGTCGTTTAGATCCACTGTAGACATTGTCATTCCCTCCGGATCTTGGTCTTGGGTTGAATCCAAGACAGGCACGGAAATGCTCCTAAAAGTTGGCCATCTGGTCTTCGATCTTTTCAATTGCACATAGGTCATGATGTGCAAAAAGGAACCGAATATTAATATGACCTCTATCCGAAGATCGAGGAATGTATGTAGCTCTTTTGTGATGGGGGTCTTCGGGTTGAATCGTCAGCATCAAAGGGGCTCAAGTGGGCCAAGATTCCTAGATTCTTCTCCGGTATCATTTCTTGTGTATCTGTCCTGTTTGAGATTTTATCGAAAGTATAAGTGAGAATATATTTCAACGAACACCAATTGGGAGTAACCTAACGACAGATGCTAGTAAGGGTGTGATCATGGATATGCGAGCACATCGCGAAGATTTAACATTAAATGGGGTTTGTGCAATCCAATACATCCATGAACCACGTGTTTCAGTTGAGAAGGGTTGATTCCTAATTGGTTGGAACGTATATACAAGAGCCAAAAAGAGTAGAAAAGGCCGTGTTATAAATTGATAGTGAATACACCATCCACAAATTGCTGGTTGTCCCTGCAGGGGGTGTTGGGATCCGAGTTCTTGAACACCGCACCGTCCACTACCTGCGAGGTAGTATTTCCCAAGGAGTCTCTCCGGTAAGTGACCTGAGCAGTTCCGAAAGCCTTCAGGCGCTCCCGTCGAACGCGCTTGGACTCCGCATCCTCCGCACAGATCCTGGGGTAGGCCAGAAACTGTCGGTCGACGTCGGTGGGACACCATTCGGATGGCAGAAGTCCATCTATCACACGACCGTCTTCGTCAAATAGAGGGTGATTTACGCTTTCAAAAGAATCCCCGCTATCACGGGTCTCGGGATGGAGGCAGGATGCAATCATGTTTGTGGCAGAATCGATGATTTCAGAGCGAGGAGCGTCCTGGCTGTCCACAGATACACTGAACAAGAGATGAGAGTGCAGCTGAAGGATAGAGTCCTCGGTGCGAATGTCTTCGTCACGAATCACTTTGGTGTTTTTCCCCTGTGTCATGCGCTCCCAGGCCTCGATATATTCATCTTTCAGCTTTTGGAATAGACCTGGGCCAGTGTAGACTGACACGTATCTGATATACTCAGGCATCTTGCTGGAAGCTTCGTGCGCAGAGTTCAAGGAATAGTTGTTCGTAGAAGTATGTTTCCATTCACAAATGAAACGTAAGAATGTTGTAGTTGATGGAACGGTTGGTGGACAGAGAATAGCTCTACCCATTTATACCGTTTCCAGTTATTTGACTGCTGCCCAGCATGCAGGGTCTTGCCTATAAATCCGCTTTGACTGGCAACAAGTAGATTGAACATCTAGTATCTAACGCGAGCATCCGGAGTGATCTTGTCTTCTTTGTCTCTGTTCTCCATGGCAAATCTAGAATTCTCGACGAAATAACGATGGCTTTACTTGGCATCGTTGGGATTGCTCTGTTCCAGCCCTGCTGTGCTGAAGCGGCTTTTGCGCCTGTACAAATCTAGCGGAAGAGCTAACAAAAACAGATTCGTAGCATAAAGGCCCACAGATAGATCACCGGGTACTGCCGTCATAGGACACTCAGTCTCGAGAAATAATGGCTTTGTTGTGTTTTGCCTAAGACCGTCATTTTTTGATCCGTCAACATAATGGGGTCAGTCACAGAGTCTTGCCGTGCAAGAGCACGCTGTATGCGAGAATTGCCTGCCTGAAAAGTATTTATGTCAGCGCTTCATCCTATGAGTGCGCTATCCTCCGTTGGGGTTTAGGCTATAATCATCTGCGAGCCTGGGAGGCAAGTATCGGGAGGAATTACACGATCTTGAGACAGGGGGCGAGGGAAGAAAAGGGTAACCGACAACATAGTAGATGACAGCTCACAATGAGGACTGGACCGGCTGATGTACCGGAAAATCCCGACCAAATTACTTACTGGGAGTTTTTTTCATACATGGTATTCTCGATAGATTTACGAGCCAAAACAATTTGTTTGCTGGAACCAGTGCGGCTCTTCCTTTCCCCTGGAGGCCCAATAACCAAATCCCTGCGATTGAACTTCCGGTATTTCGTCCAACCTCTGAAAGTGAGAGCCAATTCTCGGAAGAAGCCAATCGAAATTCTTTAGCAAACGCTCAAGTGTTGCTAGCTCCTTCGGGGCTAAGGGGTCTGATTTGGGGGTATAATCGTAGATGGAGATGCTCAATCCCTGCAGATCACCAAACATCCCCGATCCTAGGACCGACGTGATTTGGTCGAAAGCGGGCCAACCTTCGATGCGATCTCGGGCCGTCCCGACCAGGCGGTCGTCGAACAGCTCGAGGGTCAAATCCAGTAGAAGGCCGGTCACTCGAGACAAGCGAGGCCGCGGGAACCAACTGAGGGAAAAAGCGCAATAACACGGTGCTCTCGACGTGAAAGATGTTCGAATATAGCAGGTCGATGGTTTCCACGTAGGCTTGTTGGCAGGCGAGCAGCCATCCCATGGCGCCCACGCGGCAAATAGTCGGCACGCCCGACATCGTGCAACAGATTCCCCGGCCAGAGCGACAGGAGTCGTAAGGGTTCCGATGACAGACCGAACCCCACCACCGCCATTCCTGCGGCTCCGACGTTTTGGGATCGTCAGTCATTTTCGCCACGAAATCGATGCCGGCGTGGAATTTGGGATTGGTACCACGGCAGTCGGGTCCGGAATATCGGAAATCCATGTGGTACGTGCGACTGCCAAAGGCATGGGCATAGATCTTGCGCCGAATCTCGGGCGGAAGTCGCGTGAAAAAGGAGCTTGGAGAGGAATGGGAGACGGCTGTCGATAGAGGCTGCGCTGGGAGATGTTTACTCTTCGGAGGAGAATGCTGGCCGCTGATTCCACTGTTGGCGAGTATTTCTCCTCTCCACTCGCCGACGAAGCCAGTCTCGGATGCGACTCATAGAGTCAGACAGGGAGTCAGGCAGACGAAGACGTTCTTGCGGGGATGATGCTGCGAAGAACAGGAGAATGCGAGGAGGCAAGGAAATGGGCATCCTTTCTGGCTCGTTGGTCGCCAATAATGGCAGAACGCGGCCCATCCAACAACCAGGATTAGGTAAGAATCGTAAATCACTGAGAATTTGACCAATGGATCCTGATGCAGGAGTTAGTAGCTATTATGCTTCCTCGTAAGAGGCTTTCACTTAGAGGCTGACAATGCTACGATGTGTGCCATGTGCAGCCCAGGAAGAAAGCTTGATTTTGTGCGAGTATATGGTGAATAAAAACAATGACTATCCCAAACACCGAACCCCCCCAGAGCAAAAGCCAAGGTTGCGAGTTGTATTTACTAGCAAAATATACAGAAAGCAGTCAAGCGGCGGGCCATCCCCCGCCAGATATACAGATCATGATACTCACGATTTCACCAGCCAGCCGACGGCACCAGTGACCGCGGCAATCATGATGACAGTCAGGATCCAAGCTCCGGCCCGGTCGGCCGTTTCAATGGGCGCGGGCTCCGAAGGATCGGAGTCGCCACTGGTCGGAATCTGGGTTTCTTTGGCGTCGGGGTTGTCGTCGATGGTCTTCGGTTGCTGCGTCTTGGAGACCATCAAACTCGCCGTGATACCGCCCAGCGCGGCCATCTGAACCTCCAGCCCTTGCACACCGTCCCACGTCGTCTTGCCCCAAGTCACGCCGCAGAGATTGTCCGATTTGCCCGAGCACTGCTTGCCGATGGCCTCGGCGGAACCATGTAGTTTGGGAATAATCTTCTCGGCTGTGGACGGGACCAAGATGGCGGTGAAAGCCATCCACATGGAAAGATAACCCTTGAAACAGAGCTGGTTGCGATCGCAAGACAAGATGGGCTCGCATGCTACCTCGGACATAACGTTGCCACCGAATTTCTTCGGAAAGAACTTTTGCATGGACGAATCCAGTAAACCGTTCACTCGCTCCAACCATTTGTCGTTGCCATTGGTCTGCATCGCGGGTCAACTTGCAGTCGGATGGTGGATAGGGACGGGATGGAAACTCACGTAGTTGTACATAAACGCAGCGCCTGCCAGATAAGTGCCGTAATTATAGGTCCACTGATCGTTACCAGCATCCTTACAGTTGGCCTCGTTGGACGTAGAGTCGGCGACGTACCACCTCTTGGTCTGCAGCAGCGGCGTGGTGGCCGACCAGTCCCAGATCTTTTCGGCCCAGTCGGCGTAGGTGTCGTTCTTGGTGAAGCGCGCCAGACGTGCGGCCAACTCGAACAGACCGCCGTTAGAGATCGCGTTCTTCATGGTGTAGCCGGCCTGATATGGCCAGATCTGCCAGCGAAGGCCGCCATCGCAGGTGCCCGTATCCCAGCGGTCGACCTGCATGTTGAAGACCACACGGGCCAGCGAGGTCCATGAGGGCTTCCCGTCGATCTCGGGAAAGCCGGTCTCAGACGCCGTGATAGCGGCCAGACCCCAGAACATCTGATCGTCATTTCCCTGCATTCCGCAAAGTTAGCAGGGTCCAGGTTGCAAGCATAAGGTGACGGGGTAACGGGGATAGGGAGGGAGGGGGGGCATGCATACCAGCCACTGGCTGACGTTGTGAGAAAAGAAGTCGTAGTTCTCTCCAGACTGGAACATTAGATCGTGGGAGACGATCTTGTTCTGGGAGTCATCGCCGGAGACTTGCCAGTACTGAATCAGAGTCATAAACATACTGCCGGCGACATACCAGGTGTCGGTCAGTTTGCCGGGAATTCCCTCGGTCTGGTTCTGCTCGTAGAACTTCATCATGGGAGCGACAATAGCCTTGCCCGCCTTCTTCAACGAGTCTGGCGCGGCGACACATTAGCACAGATGTAAATCTACTGGGGAGTTGCGACCTACCATCGCTGGTGGCCACGACGCTGAGGTCGGATAGGGCCGGCTGGGCCTGGAGCAGCAACAGGGCTGCCCCGCATAGTTGACGGGCGGACAGAAAGCGCATTGTCCGGGGAACTCTAGGCTACGGGAGGGGAACAAGTCGGTCAGATATGGAGGAAGGAAGGAAGTCTCTCTCCGCAGACCGACCGGCTTCGAGAAGAGAAAATGCGGCGGCGCCAAATCATCAATTTTAAGGGGGCGCGTCGGCCTCAGCGCCAAGGCTGACAATGCCTGCCTTGGCGCTCAACCGGCAAATCGTCGATCGTGCCGCCCAAGCCGCCAAGCCGCACTAGCCGCCGGCCGGACTAACCCGCTCGATGCGGGCAATTGTTCCGTGGCCGCCCCCGGGTGTGGGAGGATTGGGGGATCGGCAGGGGGGGGGTCGAAGGGACTACGAGTACGATGTACGGTGTACGGTCTACGCGGGAGTTATGAGGAATTGGTACTTCATCATTCTGTGAGAACGTACGGTGTACGGTGTATGTGCTTACGGAGTACTCCGTAGTGCTGACCCCGTGGAACGGTCGCTAAAAATAGAAGGACCCCTTTTTTCGACAGGTCATGTGATCGGGGGCCAAGGCAGCCGCTTTTCCGGCGGTTGGTGCCTCAGGTCAGCCAGGTGCTCCTAGAGGTACTCCTTAAACCATGACACGGCCTGTCCGAATGCCTGCGCCTTCGCATATCTCTGACGACTTTGGCTCAGGTCGCAACGCACCGCAAATCCGTGCTCGACGTGCGAGAATGTGTTGATTTGATACGGTACCTCTAATCGGTCCAAAATCTCTTCGCTCTCATAGCGTTTGGCAGGAGTAAAAACGAAATCCCGGACTGCATGGCTAGGTCAGAAATGACGGTCACGGACTCGAAGATATATGATCATCTCACCAGCGGCAGCAATGCTGAGGGGCCCTTCAATATCCTGGAGTTCCTCGGGCTCTACCATAGTAGGATGAGCGATAAACCCGACGTCTAGCTGGCCTGGTTTGAGATAGCGACACACGTATTTGCCACCAAAGCAGTAACCAACGCCCCCGACGCGCCGGCACCCAAACCTACCACGCATCTCCCGAATCACTGCGTCGATGATGGGCTCGGTCTGCGGCGGCAGATGGTTCTGAACCCAGTCCATGATCTTGAAACCTGCGGGGCGATTAAGCGGTACCGAGTCACCTGTGAAAAGGTCCGGCACCACCACGAAATAGCCCTGGGCGGCGAACTGGTCCGCAATCAGCTGGACATTGATCAACCGGTGGCCAATAACGTCTGTCAGGATCAAGATCGCATCCTGAGTAGACCGGTCGGGAGGATAAGCAAAGTAGGTTGAGACTAGAGCTCTGGTCAGTCAGGCCATCTCGAACCTGCTACCGCGGGCGTGATTCAGTTACTTGTTCCAATGTCTCTGTTCTCTCCCTTGGCATCGCCCTCGTGCAGGGAACCGACTGTGCAGCAATGGGACAGAGCGTTGGATGTCATCCTGGGACTAGAATAGTAGTGATGGCGGACGGGAGGAATAATACAGATTGTGAGTAGAAAGGCAAGCTGGATGAGAGAGACTGTTACACATTAAATGCCCAACATCCTTATATCCACGTTGAGGCGAAAGCTGTTACCGGCATGCCGGACTTAGAGAGCCGCATGTCGGAGAATTATCCCCGGTATATCCGCCCAGGCGCGAGTCCAAAATGCTTAGCATGCGGCCATTCAGGGCTTAAACCCGACTATCGAAGCCTAGCGTCTCTGATAAAGAGATAGCAGATACTAACTCGCTGGTGTTGTGGTGTTGGGGCTCCCAGCGTTAGAAACACCTTGCCTGCAACGGTCATTCTTATCGAGGGAACAAATCAAATTGGTTGGCGTGGACTCTTGACGGTGGAGATCACGTTGAAAGCACGAGAATGTCGTGATCGGACCGGCTGGGATTATCAATATTTGTCATCGCAGCCCCTCGTCTGCAGCTTCGTCTGCGTTTATCACCAACCATAAGGCTCCCCTCTCGGTTCTCACATTGATACCATCCTTCATATATCTGCCTGCATCTGTCTTGATCTTCCCGCGACGAGAAACATAGAATGACGCAACCCAAAACTCTCCATTTGACTGCATTCATGCGGCCGGTGAGCTTGCACAGCGGCGCCTGGCGTTATCCCGGTGCCTTGCCCGACGCTAATTTCAACCTCGCGCATCTCAAATCCTTCATTCGAAAGCTGGAAGACGCCAAATTTGATGCCTTCTTCATGGCCGATCATCTGGCCGTCCTAAACATGCCGATCGAGGCCCTGAGACGCAGTCATACCGTCACCTCCTTTGAGCCGTTCACTCTGCTCTCGGCGTTGTCGGTGGTGACCGACAGGATCGGACTGGCAGCGACCGCTTCGACTACGTACGACGAGCCCTTCCACATTGCCCGGCGCTTTGCCTCCCTTGACCATCTCAGTAACGGCCGGGCCGCCTGGAATATCGTGACCACCGGCAACCCCGAGTCGGCCAAGAACTTCGGGCTGGACGAACACGTCGAGCACGCAGATCGCTACAAGCGGGCGCGAGAATTCTACGATGTGGTGACTGGACTGTGGGATAGCTTCGCTGACGATGCGTTCATCCGGGACCAGGCGACCGGTATATACTTTGACCCCGAGAAACTGCACGTCTTGAACCATAAGGGGGACGAGCTCAAGGTTCGCGGGCCTTTGAACATTGCCCGACCCGTTCAAGGCTGGCCAGTGATTGTGCAGGCCGGACAATCCGAGCCCGGACGACAGCTGGCTGCCGAAACGGCCGAGGCGGTGTTTTGCTCCCCTCGCGATTTGGACGCAGCCCAGGCATTGTACGCCGACATCAAGGGGCGTGCCCAAGCGGCCGGTCGTGATCCCAACCATCTGAAGATCTTGCCCGCGGCCTTTGTAGTAGTAGGGGACACGGTTGAAGAGGCCAAGGCCAAGCGACTTGAGGTCGACAGCTTGGTGCACTACGATAGCACCGTTGCGTCCCTGTCGGTGGCCCTGGGAACCGATGCGTCGGTCTTCGACCCAGACGGGCCTTTACCGTCCGACCTGCCCGAGACAAATGCCAGCAAAACAAGCCGCGCGGCCGTGCTACAGCTGGCGCGAGAGGAAGGACTGACCGTTCGACAACTCGCCCAGCGATACGGCGGTTACTCCGGACTGGCCTTTGTTGGCACCCCCAAGACCATCGCCGATGAGTGGGAGACCTGGTTAGCTACCGAGGCTGCTGACGGGTTTACCGTCACATTTCCCTTCTTGCCGCAAGGTCTCGACGATGTCACCCAGCGACTGATTCCCGAGTTGCAACGCCGTGGCCTCTTCCGTCGCGACTACGAAGGCACGACGTTGCGCGAGCATCTCGGACTTCCGCGTCCAACGAACCGGTATTTCGAGTAGCGTAATGAAGTTATGGCGGTGTGACGATGTTGGAAGTGCGAGAGGTGGGGCCTGATCTGCTGTACATACGATGTGGACCCCTATGAAATATCTAAACATCCTTGGGTATCATCTAGATCTGACGGCGGTCGTGTAAAGGTCTAATAAGGAGGGAAAAGAGAGGGGAAGTCATACCCCGCTCACATGATTGAGGCTCCCTTGCGTGCTTCTCGTCTTCCTCGTCTTCCTCTTCTCTTCCTGCCTTCCAGTCTTCCATCTACCTACCCTCTGCATTCACGCGTTTTAGCATGGCAAGTCTTCCAGACATTCCCGAACTTGGCCTCGTTTTCCCAGCTTCGCCTATCGCAAACGCGGCGTTTGACTATGTCAAGAAACATTGCGACCAGGCGGTCTACAACCACCAGGTTCGCGCTGCTTATTGGGCCCTCGTCATGGTCCGGAAACTCCCGCAGTTCGTCACCAAGCCGCCAAACATGAATATCGTGGTGGTCGCATGCATCTTCCACGACATGGGGCTCGCCAATTCCCCCGAGTTGCTGTCGGCCGACAAGCGCTTCGAAGTTGACGGGGCCAATATAGCGCGTAATTTCATCGAAAACTACATGCAAACCCATGGGCACGCCTCCGATGTCGATGAATGCTGGGGAGAAGCTAGCGTCCAACGAGTCTGGGACGCCATCGCCTTGCATGCCACCTCCTCCATCGCCTTGCATGCAGCACCGGAAGTAGCACTCACCCAAATGGGTGTGGCAGCCGATTTTAGGGGACCGAATTACCCCAACGGTCCCGGACAGCAGAACCTCATCAGCGAGGATGAGTATCATGCCGTGATGCGAGTGTTTCCGCGAGCGGGGTTCACCAGCGAGTGTTTCAAAAGGATTTTGTGTGGCGTATGCCATCGCAAGCCTGCAACAACATATGACAACTGGGCGGGGGCGTTTGGGCTTCAGTTCGGGACGGACGAGACTGAGCAGAGCAAGGAAACGTACAAGCGGAACTGGCAACAGAAGCAGCTGGTAAATGCCCTGTTGCCAAGCATGCAATTTCTCGAGTCCCTCGATGCAACACACAACTCCTGAGGGAAATCGCTGTACTCGGTAGATCAATGGGGGCTGAATGATTCATCATGTTGTGTCAAAGAATCCCTGAGTATACTAGCCGATCAATAGCAGCCTACATATTACCGACCCAAACTGGAACCGCCCTGGGCGTATGCGCGTTCTAGAGCCCCGAAAGGGGAAGAATCGTGGCGAGCATAGGTGTTCCAGGTAGCACAAGAAACAGCACAGTCCGCAGGTTTCCCCTTACGTGCGGACGGGTGGACCTTGATGCGCCTTAAGGGGATGCGATGCGTACTCCGTACGGAGTATGTGTGGTGTATGTACTCCGGAGTACTCCGTCAGTTGCACTCCAAGGATACTAGGTGATTGGGATCGTCTACCAGACCCGCGATTGTCCACTCTACCAGGAAGAATGGCGAATGCTGATTATGAAATCATGGAAATTTCCCCAGTCAAGCTCCACCGACGTTCCCAACCCGTGCTCTGTGAAGTCACTGAAGTGTGAGCCATTGAGCCGAGAATTAATAGGAACCAGAAAGGTTCCTGGTCTGGGTTACGTCGGCCAAGATCCAAATTATGATCATCATTGCCGAAGGTGTGCTTAGACTACAGCTTCGCTCCACGATGCGACGATCATCGGCAGGCGCTTCCGGCCGCCCGCAATGCCCGGGGTCCATCTGCACGAACAAGTGTAGCCCTGTCAGAAAGTGGTAGAAAGCATACACCCCAAGGATCAAACGGAGGAACAATATTGAGAAATAATCAGTGGTTAAGAAGTTCTAGTTTTACTGTACATCCTGCCCCCACGGTAGATGCAAGCACCGCACGATACGTGCCGGGGGATACCTATGGTAACTGAGGAGCAAAATAAACTCCTCCTGTACCCCTATTCAGTTTTCGACCAGAAGATCATTGCACCTATCCCAATAACCACTATTGATCAAACACGTAAGTCCGTCTCGGCATGGTGGACCGCTGGACAGGAAGCATTCTGGATCTCCGTCCAGACTGGCTACTCGGGCACCCCAAGAGGAAGATAAATACCTCGCAATGGAACGCTTGAATCCAGGGCAATTTAAATTCTGAACAGACATCCATTCATTTTCTCCATTCCGTCTACCTTTCGTTCGCTTCTACCACAACAATGAAGATTTCCTTCCTTACTACCTTCACCCTCATTGGCGCTGCCCTTGCCATGCCCGCGGCGGATGCTAAACAAAAGACGGTAAATTCGGTCGACCATTCTATTGATTGAGCAGTAAGAGCTGACTACTTGACCAAGATTCCGGTCGGCCAGCCCTGTACAAAAGACGGAAACATGGGTATCTGCGCAAAGGGAGGGTTCTGCTTGGTATGTAAACCCTGTGCGGCCAGCTCGCGGAGACGAAAGACTAACGGATCAAAAAACAGCAAAAGGAAAACGCAAAGCAGGGCGTTTGCAAGCCGGGAAACTGAATGAACCGTCATGACCCTTGAGAGGGCTGCTGGAAAGCCACCTGCGAGGTGCTAAAGCGCCCTAAAAAATCACAAGGATCGTACACCTACACCATATACATTAATTCTATTTCTTGGTAATGGAATCCACTGCAAACTCGAACTTGAGACTTTTGCATTGTAGCATGGCATGCCAGTCCTATCCAGCGACTATTATTGGACCTGTAACTAGTTCCAATATCCTTGAATCCCAATCTTAACACAGGGTCTCTTGTCTCACTGAATTCCAATAGACATCGTTCATTCAAATGTTCATGGCATTCACATGTCAGATTGCGACTTCGGGGTAGCATTGATACCTCTCGTCTCTTCGATCCCATCCTACTCCTTGATGCACGGTCAACAGATTTGTCGGATCCACCCTTTCTTTGATCTGGAGCAGATGGTGGTAGTTTTCTTCCCCCCAAAATGCCCCGATCGGATCTGGCTCGAATGGGTCGGCTTCGTTCTGATAAGCCCCGGAGGCCGGGGTGAAGTCCCGCAAGGCTCCCAGGGCGTCATGGGTAGACTGCCAAGTCTGGTTGACAAGTCTAGGCTGCGTGACAAGGCCATCATAGGGACGCAGGTGGATGACGTGCCACAGGGTGTCACGCCAGGCAGGCGTGACCGACGAAGCCCCGGGGCCTCCAGGCTGATCTGATCGCGGCAGGCGCTTTGAGTATAAGGTGGGTGCCGTGACGCTGATGAATAAGGGCGATATAGATAGCAAGGTGTTCTCCTGGCTGCTGGTCAGAATGTCATTTAAAATCGACGAGAGCTGCCGCTGATTGTCATCGCCAACAAACGACTCTCGCCGCACAAGGCGGGACGACATGGCCAGCGAGCCGCTGGGTTGTCCAAGCTTTGCGACGGCTGCAAACCCCTTGAGAATGCCGAAAAAAGTGTCAACTGTGGTGACATTTGCCTGCGTGATTGTGCCACTCTGTCGGGCAAAGTCGAGCACCGGCTTCATGGACGCCTCGGCGTCGGAATGATTGAGCATGGAGGTTGCCAAGACCAGATTCGAAATATGGCTTCCCAGGACCCCCGGTGAGATGTATCCTCCCCAGCCTTCGGACGCCCATTTATCGGCGTTGGCCACCAGGATTGAGAGAAATGTCTTTGCGCTGGCAGCATCGAGGCTGGCCAAGGACACCTGGGCCAGCTGCATTGGCTTTTCTTCGTGCACTAGGGTGCTCATTTCCATCACCACACCAAAAGTACCTCCTCCGCCTCCCCTAAGGGCAAAGAAGATGTCTTGGTTCTGACATCGGTTAGCCGTGACGTAGGTGCCATTGGGCAGGACAACCTTGAGCTGTTGAGCGTTGTCCACGCCGAGGCCTGACATCATCAATCAGCCTATCTTGCCACTAAGATTTGAATAGGTCTTGAACCATACCAAGCTCATTAGACAGCATACTATGTCCTCCACCGGTGATCCACCCCCCAGCCGCGCCAACGCTACTAGATGTGCCACCTAGACCTCGCCATGACCCTGATATTGGGTCCCTCCTACCGACTCGCGACCCGGACCTGGACGGTTCCGGGTCCAAGCTTTACGACCCGGACCAACCCTCAGGGTCATAAAATTTCGTCAGGGTCACCCTGACTACGACCCTGACTACTCTGAATTGCATAATTCTTTTACGCCTTTCCTGATTAGGATGGATAAATTCGCTGACATATCATTATATATTACTGTTTCTTATACCTGTTCTGTATGTCTAATTACGATTCTATTGATTTTGATCCACCCCCTATGTAATCTTTTGAAATAGGTCTTTTAAATAAGTCTACTAACATGGTAATATTAAGCATGCCCTCTTTTGGGCCTAAGATAAATGTTGTAGTGTGTTATATGGAAAGTTGATAAAATTAGTATGTAAGAATGCGGAAATATATTTTGAATATATAATATAGTTGCACCATATCCCGCAGAACTTGAGCATTACCTATATTTGCCCCCCAAAATATCTGAAAAGAGCTATATTAGACGAAATTATTATCATTATAATCATTATTATACTGTTTACATTTTATCTATATAGCAATTTACTCTTTTACCCAGCTAGTATTAAGACTACTGTGGTATGATTCCTACGGGATGAGATTCAGGAAAAAGAATTCCCTTCTAACTGTCCGCCTAACTACTCTATGGGTCACCTTGGCTACCCTGAGGGTCATCCTGACTATCCTGAGGGTCACCCTGACTACCCTGAGGGTCACCCTGACTACCCTGAGGATCATCCAATTAGCTTGAGGATTTGAATAAAAAGCGGGCCTTAGATATGATCTATCAAGTAAACAATCAGACAATCTGGAATCAGTATATACCTCTATCCCTAAGTCTCTTCTCCCAACCCTGAGGGAAAATCTCAGTAAGTCCTTTTTTATACACAGCTTCAATAGACTTCATCAGAGCCCACAAATGGGCCTAACTCTTGGGCCCATGGCCCAACCCACTGTGGGCTGATGGCCCAGATTTCAGGCCCAAGCCCAACCATCAGGCCCACGATGGGCCCCCAATGGGCCCCCGCAAAAGCCCAATTTTGCATAAAATCTTGGTCTTGACGTTCATAAAGCTGCTAAATAATCAAGATAAAATACTGTTTTTTACATCTGTTCCAGTTTGTCGACTGAACTTCTTTGTAACCTTGTCTAAAGTAGTAGGAAATTCTAGGAAATCCTCTTCGAATTAAAGAAAGTAAAGCTTATTTTAAGCTATTTACTTATAAAAATGTTATATTCCGATTGTTATGGTGGTGTACGGGTGGTTCGTAGATGAAATTAATGTAAACTTGTCTAGATATATATTTCAAATATAAAAGAATGTGTGTATCTTCTTGACAAGAGAAAAAATAAAAAAGAAATTACTTCTGCTTACTCTGATTTGTTCATTCTTTACACGAAATGAAAGCTCATTTTCTCTATTTTAGAATTCTAATCATAAACGACAGTATAAAGAAATGAATTTGAAAGAATTTAGCTCTTTGTATCAGTATTCTATCTATATATCTGACCGGATGAAAATATTTTGAGGGTATCTAAAACCAAGTTGGGCTGGGAATGGGCTATCAGTGGGCTCTTGCGGGCTGTTCGTGGGCTTTCGTGGGCTTTCGTGGGCTTTCATGGGCTTTCATGGGCTTTCGTGGGCTCTTTGTGGGGTTTCCTGGGCTATTCATGGGCCCTAATGGGCTTTGTTGGGCTTTGTTGGGCCTCGTTGGGCCAAATACACTTCACTTGTGATATGTAGGCTTGTTTGTGTGACTTACTATCAATAGCTAAGTAAATCAAATTATTAGAAATCCTTCTTCTAATCATGTATCTATCTCCTTTACCCTTCTTTTTTTCTTTATTTATATGTTGTATACTTACTTTATCATGTCTCAAAGCCAGCAATCTGACTTTGCATCATCTTTTTATGATACAAAAATAAATAATCTAACGTTTCTAACTTCTTCAAATCACGCAATTACTCCATCTGGCAGCCAGCATCCATTTGATGCCTTTGATCCTTCAGCTTCTTCATTTATTCGACCAACTATTCCTCTTATAATTCTATTCTCTCTTGAACGCGTCGGGCCTGATCAAAAAAAGGCATATGTGCTTTACAACAAAATGACTCATAATGAATGGGTAGACTGATAATTACAAACTGATTATGAATCTAAAAGCAAGATACATTGAGACTCAAATCATCTTTCAGATATTTGGAAGCAATATGATTAGGTTGCCTCTAATATAGACGGCGCCCCAAAGGTTATGTATAAACGCTACAGTCAAATCCTTGAACATTCTTACTCTACAAAAAAAGACATTAAAAGAAAGGAAGGGCGTCATGGCTTATCAACAATGACAAGACACCTAAAAACCGCTGCGTGTCAACGGTTTGAAAACAGACAGAAAAATGAAATCATAAAATTTCTACAAAAAAGAATATATCTAATATTCTATTACTATACTTTTTTAACTAATAATTAATTATTCTACTAAAAATCTGCTCCGATTGACGTTCCTTTCTCACAACCAACCTAAAAAAAAAAGATTTCCTCATTTCTTACAATCAATCGACTTCCCTTTTATCTAATCGAACATTCAACATTTATAAACTTGATTAAGATGACCCACAATGCATCCAATATGTCATAAATCCCATCTACAATAACGATCCGTCGTCGGCTAGAAATGCTAGTCAAAGATCGGCAACAAAAGGTTTTTAGGATGCTTTCTTCAGATTCAAAGATATCAATTGCGCTTGATAATTGGACATCTCCATTTTCCTAGACATTTCTAGCTATAATTGACTACTTTATTGATGTTGATTGGATATATTGAGAAGTACTTCTTGGCTTTAAACCTTTTCATGAAGCATATACTGGTTTGAACATAAACAGTGTTATTCTTGAAACATTAAATAATCATCAGATTCAAAATTAGATCTTTGAATTAACCAATGATAATACATCAAATAACAAAACACTGATTGATTCCCTCCAGCAGACTTTATCTAATGATATTAATATTATCTAAACTTCTTGTCTTGCTCATGTTATCCAACTTAGCCTAAACCAGCTTCTTGACCGTCTCAAAGCAGTTTCACAAAACAATACTACAAAAACAAAGTGAACTGATCGACTGTCATTTTCAATCAAAACAAATACACAACATCAGAAGCATGAAGTCTCTTATACCTTGAACAAGGTTCGCTCTCTAACAATTTATATCCACGGAAGTCCTTCACATCGAGAGACATTCAATAATCTTTAAACAAACGGTCTCAAGCTTTCATCAATCCAAAATGTAAAAACTCGATAGAATTCAATCTTTCTCATGCTTCGTCGCGCGAAACGACTTCGCGATATCTTTATACAATTTTGTGCAGACTATGACTGCGAAAAGATGATACCAAATAATGAAAAGTGGCGCCAAATCAACTATCTTCTTTATATTATTAAACCGTTCTTTTTTTATACAACAGAGCTATCAAAGACTCGAGAGATTACAATATATCTTGTCTTCAAGATCTATAATGCGTTCTTTGAACATCTTGAAAAACTAATGAAGCAGCTCCGACAAAAATGTGTTTCATAGAAAAAACAGATGCTTGATTCTCTTAAAACTGATCAATCAAAGCTTGATAAATATTACTCATAGACAGATAAAGTTAAACCACATATCTATGCGATTAGCACAATGCTTGTCCCTAATAACAAATTCCAATTCTTTTTATCTGATAACTGGAATAAATAATGACATGAACTTTACCAGATATCTTTCCAAGAAACTCTGATTCTTTATCAAGAATGTCTCTCTACTATTCAAGGCTCTACTATTCCCCTTACCACAGCTAGACCAAACTCAAGATTTAAAAAAATGTTGAATGAGCATAAACCACAATCAAAGCCAATGAAAAATGAAATGACTCAATATCTTGATAGTGATATATTAAATACATTATTTTTCTTAACCATATACTAATATCCTTAAAAATACTATTGACATGGAGTCCCTTCAATTCTGGAAAGACAATGAATATCAATTTCCAACTATTGCAGCCCTTGCACGGAATATTCTCTCTATTTCAGCAACAGATGCTGGTGTTAAACGACTTTTCAATACTGCTTGAGATATCTGTCATTACCGCCGCGGTCGAATGAAATCTGAAACAATTAAAGAGATTATGATGTTTTTTTGTACATCAAGATTTGATTTCAAAGAACAAGAGGCAAAATTTCTCAGGGAATTCTTCTCTATCTACGAAATAGAAACAGCAAAAGAAAAGAAGAATAAGAATTTAAAGAAGGTTGAGATAGGACTGATTAATGACACTGAGAAGCAAAAAGATGAAAAAGTAATAGTGATACAGAGCCATACAGAGTCTAAATTACCAAAGAATATCACACAAACACGAGCTTCAGAAAGATTCAGAAAGAAGAAGAATAAGAAGGATGATGAGTTTGAGTATCATTAATATATTGAATTACTGCTTTTTAAATAATATCTTAATAATTAATCTCTGCACGCTGACCGCTTCAGCAAGTAAGAATATAAGATATAACCAGGCGAAGTAGACATTACAACGAGTCAATGATCGCTTTTCGAGAAATAATGTAAGAGAAATACCCAATATTACAGCTAAAAAATGCATAAATTATGCAGTCATGAGATCGGAGCATGTTTGCACTGTTTAGCCTAGTTTGGGGGCCCATTTGGGCCCCATCTAATGGCCGTGGGCCCCTGGGCTCAGCCCATACCCCATTATGGGCCCTAAAACCTGGCCCAAAGCCCAGCCCACTTGTGGGCTGGGTTGGGTTGGGCTTGGGCTTTAGTGGGCTCTGATGAAGTCTAAGCTTCAATATGTCTCAGTCATCTGATATATTCCTCTCCTCTGGATATAATGCGCCACCATCAGATTTCCTTGAATATGTTGCTAATTCTACACCTCAGTTTTTTTCCCCTGTCCCATCGGGAAGCCAACAGACCTTTCACGAGTCTTTAAAAGCCTCTGAACGTCTTACATGCGTTTGTTTCGATCGGATTAGAACATATATTCTATATTTCTTAGAAATGAGTGATGAATTTGTGACCTGATGGCTTCAGACCGACTTTGGAAGAAAGAAACGGATGACTTGGGATGGAAAACGTGCAAAGTGTTGGGAATATTTCGATCAGATCGTCTTGGATAGGAATGGGAAGTCAGAGGTCATGTGTCAGCAATGTCAGAAGATTCTTGATCATTCTGATTAGGCTCATAGTGGAATGATTTCAATGAACAAGTATTATAATGAAGTGATTTGTCAGAAAATCGCCTTAACTAAAAAGCAGAAGCCAAATATCAAGCTTACATTAAAGCATTCTGTATGTTTAGGACCCTATTATCGCTTTTATTATACTAATTCTTCCACATCTAGGCTCAGAATGCGCCTATACGAAGATTCGATACACATATTTGACAGTAGAAACTTGCAAAACTTCTTACTGTGTCATATCTTCTATTTCTTTTTCTTGAACATTCTAAATTCCGTGATCTTATTTTTTATACTCGGCTTGCGTTATCAATGTTAGATATCTCATCCGCTAAGACTATGCGCCGGCAGATTCGCGAGCTAATCTATGAAAATCAAAAGACTATTTTTCAAACATTTTTTTCTGATGCTAAGTTATCACTTGTCTTTGATTGCTGGACATTTCCATTCAAACAGACATTTATAACTATCACTGGATATTTCATTAACAAAGACTGGAAATACCGTGAGATATTATTTAGATTTGAACCCTTATATAAAACTCATTCTGATACAAATCTAAATGAAATGGTTTTCGACTTGCTACAAGAACATCAGATCACCGATTGAATGCTTTCAGTGATTATCGACAATGCTTCAAATAACAAGATTCTAATAGAGAATGTCTATGAAGCAATTGAAGATCTACAATTCTTGAGCAATGTTGCTGTTATTTAGGTATTATGTATTGCACATGTGATCCAGCTTAGCCTAAAAAGTCTCTTTGGGAAGATAAAGGCTATCCCAAAGAACGATAGGGTTGAGCAGGCATGGTTTGATGACCGGGTAGAAGCTTTCCGGGCGACGCAGCAGGACAGAGAGATTGTGCATACTTTAGGCAAGGTAAAGCGTTATAAACTTATTTAGTTTATAATACTAATTAGTACCTTAGGTCTGAAATCTTGCGATTTATATTAATGCAAGTCTTCAGCGCCGGGAGTCATTTTACAACTTACAGATAAAAGAGTCAAAGCTAGTTTCAATCCAGGATGTTGCTATTCAATAGAATTCTATTTTTTTAATGCTCACACGCGCGAAAAAGCTCCAGCAGGCCTTTGATGCTTTCTATTTCCAATACGATCAAGGGCACTTTGTCTTAAATCAGGAGCAGTGGCGGCAGATCGATTATCTTCTTTGTATTCTTGAGCCTTTTTACCGATTCATAACGCTTTTATACAAAACAAAGAATGTCACTATCCATCGGGTTTTCAAAGTCTATAATAAGCTGTTTGATCACTTTGAAAAGTCGATTAAGCAGCTTCGACGGAAGAGAGTTACTTGAAAGCAGGTGATGTTTATATTCCTCGAAGCAGCAAAGTTCAAGCTTTCAACTTATTATAGAGACATTAATCGGATTGATGATCATATTTACGCAATTGATACAATCCTTTCTCCACAAGATAAATTCAAGTTCTTCTTGACGTCCGACTGGGATCCAGACCTAGAATCCGGGATTGACTATCAAGCAACTTATCGTCAGAGCCTTGAATCCTTTCTCGAGAAGTATTCTAAGAGTTTTGCCAAAGATTATTAAAGATTAGATGCTCCAATGGCGAGTTTTACATCAGACGAATTTGATTTAGCTTATGCGTTAGATGAATCGCAGCAGTCTCAAATTACACAATTAATACAATCAGACGAACTTACAAGATATCTTGACAACAATAAATATTTCTTAAGCTCTATTAAAAAGAATAATTACTAATCTTTTTCTTAGATATAATTCCCAATGCCCAGCCTCTGATCTAATGAAGAGATCATCAAAATAAGTTTTCTACGATGGCGAGACTTGCTCGCGATGTGCTTTCTATCCCAGCCAATGGTGCAGGAATAGAGCGGCTTTTTAATTTTATACAAGATATCTGTCATTATCATCGAGGATCTTTTCAGTCTCAAACAATTTCAGATCTTATAATATATATGTGTATATCACAGTTTGAGATTCATGAAAAGCAGCAAGTGATATTCTTTAAATATCTTTCGACTCAAGAAATACAGGCTGCAAAGAAAGAGAGAATATAGCAACAATTCATTGTTGATTCAATTAGCGACAATGAAGAGAATGAAGAGTCTACAATACAGCTTCAAGCTATCTCGCAGGCTGTTTAAGGTCTGTCTATAAATGTATTCGGTAAAAGACGCCTAAACAATATAGCTAACGATATGAGAGACGATGAGAAGAAAGACAATGATCAAGAGTTTGAGGAAATATTGTTGTCAGAGACACAGCATCGAGTGTCAGGTAGAGTCTGTAAGTGTTCAAGATTGCTAAATAAATATGAAACGTTTAACATGTAATTAAATAATTATGGCATGTTTTTGGTTGATTCATTAATTTTGATTTATTTTGATTTAATTCATTCTACATTACTAAATTAAGAAACTACTCCTCTGAATGCTGTAAGGGAGATATTCAAAAATACAGCTAAAATCTACATAACTTATGCTCCGCGTGACTTGCTCAAGTTTGCCATGTTTGACAACCCTGAGGGTAGGTTCACGACCCTCAGGGTAGGTTCGCGACTTTTATGACCCTACCCTGACCCCACTTCAGGATCTAACCTTACGACCCTAAAACCTGCGTGGTCCGGGTCGCGGTCCGGGTCATCAGGGTCACCCGCGGGTCGTGGCGAGGTCTAGTGCCACCAACCACGCGGTAGTTATGTGCATGTGCAAACTCGTAAATCCCCTGAAACTGTTGGCCTGCACCGAATGAAATCGTGTCCCCCACGGGCGACGAGCAGCCCTCCGGAGTGAAGCTCTTCTGCAGTGTAATTGGAGGCTGGTGAAGATGTGTCCTGTGGGGTCCGATCCCTTCAGTATCGCGCGGCCCGGAACAAGGGACGGAACTCACCACAAGGCAAAGGAATCCGGTGCTGAGCTGCGACCTTTGAAATCATGCCCAGTGTTCTTGATCACGAGCTTCAGGTTTTGCTCTTTGGCAAAGGCCAACCCCTTCTGTACATCCTCGACCGTGTGTACTTCCAGATATTTGGAAGGCACGCTGCCCTGGGAGCATTGCCGGGTCACCGGAGTTACCAGGTCGGGATTCAGTAGCGATCCGAATGCACAAAACTGGCCTGTCGCTTGACAGGAGCCCCAGTTCACCTAGTGGATCGTCAGCAACTTCCAGTCATAGATCACTCTCTCAGCATGGGCTAACGTTTTGGTAACCGCCAAAATGATCCGAGACAAAGTCACTATCTGACCGATGCGACTGCAACACGGAACACCGCTGGTGGTTTGGGAACTGGGCATGACCGTTGAAATTGGTGTAGCACGGGGCTAGCATTGGTTGTCCATCGCGCAGCCTACCGGAAACACTGCTGTTGAACGCCTTCCAGGTGGAATCGTCGATTGAACTCAGCGAGGCCATGCATGCGATGGGAATTATTCCCCATGCAGCGATCAGAGCAAAAGTGGCATGCCGGTACATTTTCCTTATGACTGATAATCCCGTTAGCGAGTGCCTGTTCGATCAAGACTCTTAGGCCTAAGGGGGAGACGATTATTTATCCTAAAAGTGTCATTATCCACCCTGTTCTTGCGACTCTGCGGTATCAGATACTGCCCCAACAAGATTCCTCGGCCCAGCGTAGAGGCATTTCGGCATTCTGCATTCTGGGCAGCACAATACCACCTCAACCACTGCCTGAAACATGGCTCGCATGGTTTGTGTTGCAGGATAAAACCTGATTTTGGGGGGTCCGAGGATCTGCCGGTACAGCACTGTGTCATCGCAAGAATGCAACTCATTTTTGGGATGTTCGGCATTGACAGGAATTGCCGACCTTGCATCAGCCTCGGTATGTTGGCTTATATTTCATTCAGCTGCATCATGCGCCATCCTTCAAACATGTATATTGCAAAACCGAGCGGATAAAATTTTCTTTCTTTCTTTCTTTCTTTCTCTTTTTACAAATATCAGGCAGGTCGACAAGGATCGGGTGAGTGATACGTGGCTAAAAGAAGTGGGTACGAAGATTCTCGTCTCTTAATCTAGATAACATCCTCCGCCTGCAATGTATACAAGAACAGTAAAAAACGTCATGACCGCTCTTTGACCTCACAGATGGTAGTGCTTGGGAGTGCGGACTTCTACCCCCAATCTCTGCCAGAATCCCTCCACGTTCATATCCTCTTGACCGCTGGGCATCATTAGCATAAGCATTTTACGTCCGCAGCAGGGTTCCCGTGACTCACTCATCCTTTTTGAAAATCGTCGGTTCAGTCTGTCCTTCGGCCTCGTTTGGGTTTCGAAAAATGACATTGTATTTCTGCCAGTGTCAGCGATCGGACAATAGGACAAACAAAAAATGGGAGGCCCACCATGCCCAGGGTTAGGTGAATTGCTGCCGGCATTCGCGGGAATGTTTCTTCCGGGCTGCGACCCTCGATCATCGCCTGGATGTTCTGCGCGACGACCGCTGCCTGTGCCGAACCGGGACGGGCCGCCTTGCGCAGCCCTGTGTCTGCAATATCGCCGACGGCGAAGAGGTTGGAGTATTGGGGATCTTGGAATTGCATCGTCGGCCGAATCCGAATGAAACCGTTGCCAGGATTTATCATAGGCTCAGGAACTGACGGGACAAGATCCTTGACCAGGTGGTTGTTGGGCGTTTGACCGGTAGCCAGGATGACAAACTCGGTGGAAATTCTCGATCCGTCGGTGAGCTCGACATTGAATGGATGTCCATCGTTTTGGAAGCCGCCCTCTGGTACTATGACCCGCGAGCCCGTCACAAGTCTATATGTAATCAGCTATTTTTGCCTTTCAGATGCGTGGGTTTTGGAAAACTAACCGGACACCCTGATCGTCAAATCGCTCTTTGACGAGAGCGTGCAGCTGTTCATGGAAGCCTGGCATTAACTGTCCACGTGAATGTACCACAGTGACCTCTTTCTCCGGAAATCGTTCCTTCAGATCCGTCGCCATCTGCACCCCGACAGCCCCGCCGCCCACAATGAGGATGGACCGGGACCGTTGAACATCGGCCTGGTGCTTCTGCAAGTATGACACGGATGACAGCTTGTCGTCGTGCTTCATACCGGCCGGTTGCGCAAGGCGGGTTCCCGTCGCCACAACAAGATATTCAAAGGAGATAGAGCATGATCCCTGCCATGCGCGATCGAGGAGGACCCGTTGGGGCTGAACAGAAAGTGCACGGGCCTGGATCACGGCATGCTGACTCGAACGAGCAAAGAGGCCAGTATATGGAATAAAAGCTTTATGCTCTTGGCCAGGAATGACAGCAAAACGGGGCTGGGCTAGTGATTAGCGCGAAGAAAAGGCATAGTGGTGGCCATGTCTTACGAAGGTGAAGAGATGGTGAAAATGGCTGTGGGGCTCGATCAACAGGACCTGTCGAGTGAATGAGCAACCCGTTAATGACCTTGCAGAGGCGCATGTTCACTAGATAGATGAGAAGTCATCCTTACCCGATGTGTCTCCGGAACCACGCGGGCCAACTCTTGGGCGGTAGTCTGACAAAGTGAGTAATCTACACCATAAGATGACGGAAATGATAGAAGGTTAATGACATCACCGGACACTTACCTTGCCCACGTATGAGCCTCCCACCACAATGATATTGCGTAGTGTACTGGCCATGACGACAGTGGAAACTTTGATCACGAGTCAAAGTAGGGGTACAGATGAACATAAAGGTGTCGATGAAAGACTCGAGCGTGGGAGTTTCTTAAGTAGTTGATCTGATAAGACCGCCAGGCGGAAAATGATTTAGGCCCGGGTCTTTGATTGGCCAAGACGGCAGTAGCACCCCTTATCTGATCCGAGGCCCGGCACGGCGGAAGCCATCAAATCAAGGCACCCCAACAGCAGCGCAAAAGTGTCCCGGGAAGTCCTCGAAGAAGGTCATGGTCACCGTTCTTTGTAAGCGCTTCTTGAGTCGGAATATGCTGACCATATGGCGACCTACTAGCTTCATCGGTGCCATACTATACTAATCTGGTTTTTCCACATGGCATACCAAATGGCAACTCTGGTCACGGCTGCCACCTTTTCTGCGTCTGCTTATAAGGACTAAAAACACATCCCTGGACGCAACGAATGCTTTGTCGTTAGCCTTACGATCGATCAGCAGTGTAGCCTCATCTATGATTTGCCTGGCACTCTTTTATCGGCGGGACTATACCTTCCGACATGCGAATTCGCTATTGATCCATCACCTAAGTGCGACAATTGTCAGCATAATGGATAGGACTGCAAAGTCCCTTTCCCTTCGAAGACATGGTATGCGATCGGTGCGAAAGTGTGTCAGTCTCTTAGAAGAGTCGAAGCATATATGGCCAGTCTGTTGTATTAAGAGCCTTGCTGTTATTGAATCGCTCGCCAATCCTCCTGGTACAGCAACTTCTATTCAGTATTCATTATGCGCATCTTCCCGCTTTCCCTTTCCCTGCCTTTGAGCTCCTGGCTCATAACATCATCTGCTCATGTCTCTGCACACACCGAGAGCATCTCCGCCACTGATCTTCTGGACACTCATTTTGGCATTCCGGGCCTGAATGCAAGCCTTGACTATGTGATCATTGGCGGTGGCACTGCTGGACTCATCATGGCTCGTTGACTGGCCGAGAAGTCGGCGACTGTTGCTGTCATCGAAGCGGGAGATTTTCCACAGTTTAGTGATAGAAACTACTCGCAGGTGCCGGCGTACGCCTCGAAGTTTACGGGCAATGATCCGACGCAGAAGAACCCGTATTTGGATTAGTATATATATACTACGCCACAGTCGGCACGTCCTCCCCCTTCCCTGCCCCTCATCTCAGGATACAGAGGCCAGACAGCGCGGGCTAACACACGCATAGCAGCTGAATGGACGAAGGGCGCTGTTCGACTCCGGGAAGATGATCAGCGGCACTAGTGGAAAGAATTTCTTGTGGCAGCTCCGGTAAGTGGAGATTATCTAGGCGCCGGCCCCCAAAACCGATATGGACTGACCGACCGGGGTGATGTAGATCTGCGCTGATTGCTGATAATGGATTATGTAGAGGAACGTATGGCTGTTTTGAGAAATGGGCACGGGAAGTCGCTGACGATACATACTGGTTTGACGCCATGCTGCCATTCTTTCAACGCTACGCGCAGTTCTACCCTCCGGATCAATCTTCGCGACCGGAGAATGCCACGGATAACCACTCCGATTGGAGCCCCAGTGGGGGCCCCTTGCATGTGGGGTTTCTGGCCTGGGTCAACCCTATCTCTTCATGGTTGGGGCGTGATTTCACTGAGTTAGGAATGAAGCAGCTTCCGTCTTTGTTAAGTGGATCGCTGATGGATTAGTCGTGGCTCTCGCAGACACTAAACCCTAAGACGCAGATCAGAAGCTCTGCCATAGCCTTTCTAGAGGATGCGCTTATAATCAGACCGAATCTCATCTTATACAAGTCGACCCTGGCCAAGAAAATCACATCCCAGGATGGAACGACGACGAGAGTGACCGTGGAAAGTGGAGGGATAACTTACCATATTCGGGCCAAGAAAGATGTTGTGCTCTCGGCCGGCGTGGTATGTACTTCGAGGAAATCTGTTTCTCAGTGAGGTGATCTAACTCGGGGCGAAATCCGGGTCCTATAGATGCGATCTCCGCAGTTATTGATGATTTCGGGCATCGGGCCACAAGAAACTCTACGCACACATGGGATTGAGGTGATTGCAAACAGGCCGGGAGTGGGCCAAAACATGATGGTATGCATCTTCTTGCAGAGGGCAAATGGACCCCTGGTTGCTGATGTGGGCTGTAGGATAACGTGTTGGTTGGACCGACATATCAAGTCGGACTAACCAGCCATAACAGTCTTGCGGACCCCGAGTATTTAGCTGCCGCCATCGATGAATACAACACGAATCGAACGGGATTGTTGACCAATGTTGGCAGGAATGTGGCCGATAAAAACAGCGCTTCTGACAGAGAGCCAACGAACTAATCAGGCCTGCGCTTCAACCAGCGTTCGAAAAGATCCCGGCCCATATGATAAGTCCATCCACCCAGGAGGCCCTCAACCAGTCCTTCCCCGGGAACTGGCCCCATATAGAGTGCCTTGTGCTTGACCAGTTCTTTGCCAACGGGGCAGACAGTAGCAACGGGGTCGCCAATAAGGGACAGTATGTTGCTGCATCAGTTGGCCTCGTTGCCACCTTTTCACGCAGCAATGTTAGTAGCTCCTCCGCCGATACAGCCGTGAACCCAGTGATTAGCCCTAAGTGGCTGGAAGATGCTCGGAACCAGAATATTGCCCTAGCAGCGTTTCGCCGGAGCAGAGAACTCTTTCAGACACAAGCCATGAAACCGGTGACCATTTCCGAGGCCTTCCCTGGCGTTAACTACACCTCTAGGACGGATCTACTACACATTATCCGGGCAAGCATCAGCTCTGCGTACAACGCAGCGGGCACCAGTCAAATAGGGCGAAAATAAGATCTAGATACTGTGGTCGACAGCCGCTGCAGAGTAATTGGGGTCAAGGCACTGCGCGTTGTGGACGCGTCAGCTTTTCCTTTTCTGCCCCCAGGTCAGCCGTCAGCCACGGTTTGTGAGTAGAGATGTCATTTATCGCGCTGATTCTGTTCACCTGCTAACATGGAATTCCGCTTTCTCTAGATGCACTGGCCGAGAAAATTGCGGAAGATATGGTCTGACAGCTTAGATTGATGGACAAGTATTGATAGTAGTTAGCGATTAGCAATCTATATCCTTAGTGCTTACGGTATCCACCTCGGCGATGACTCGGAGTATTAGAGTGGCATCAGTGCATCACGGAAGGATGTAACCGTAATACTCCTTTCGATCGACCTTTGGAGGTTCTAGAGTCTAGGCAAATAAATAAATTGCCCCTTCCAAAGGGGCTAAAGTAGTGTGCATATGGCCGGTTTTTCCGAAATTCCACGGCGTCAGGCACCGTCATTTACGCAGCCCATGGTCCGTATCCTCATTACTGAGTACGCTAAAATAGGTCGTATCTCTATGGGTCCTTTATGTTTCTCACTGTATCCATAACCAATCGCAATCAGATCTTGCATCTATGGAAAGTGGCGCAGGTTACAGAAAGGTCGCAACATGCAGACTAAAGGGTATATGTACATGGGTTGGTTCCTGATCCTTGCCTGCCTTCCAGTTCATCTTTCCCATTAGCGTCTTACCCCTTAGTTCATTGTTGGCTACCTAAATTGCCACTACCTTGTCGGCCACAGCCGCAATCCTTTTCACCAACATCTTCGGCTGGCTCAGCATTGGCGAATGCCCCGCAGTGCATCGTTCGATATGCGCCTTGGCTGTCCCTGCGAACATCTCCTGGTACTCGGACTTGGCTGCCTGGTCGTTTTCGGTAATAAGATAGCTGGAGGGTATGTATTCGTAAGCCGCACGAGTCAGGGGGGTGGACTGCACAAGGTACGACTGTGGAATCAACCGGGACTCCCACAGCTTGGCGTCCTGTTGGGGAAGGTCATTGTAGAGAATTTCCGCCCCGTTCTTAATCGTAAACCGGCCGTCGGACTGGTCAATAGCTCGTTAGCACCAAGCTACGGGCAGGGTTTGGATGTTACTCACCGTGATATTATTATTCGGCGACTCACCAAAGGTGCCGAGGACTGACTGCCCCACGCCCAGAATGAAGGCCGCGAAGTAGAACAAGTGGACCACACCGCCCTTCCGACCCTGAGCCTGCCGGGTTGCGTGGGAGAGGCTCTCCGGAATGGCGTCGCTGCCGACAAGGCCCCCATATGAATGCATGGCTACCACCACGCGCTTTCCCTGCTGCACCAGTTCGTCAATGGCCTGAGTAACGACCAGCGCATCATCTTTCAGGGTGCGAGTGGGGAAATCAGCGTCATCTACGTTAGAACAGCTTGGTAGGACGGGATGAACAACGGGGTATCCTGCGTCTTGGAGACCCGTTCGAAGGGATTCATAGACCAATGGCGTCTGGAAAGAGCCTTGGACAATCACAATAGTGGGAGGTTCGGACAACATGGTTCCAAAGGGAAAGGTGAGCAGAGGAAAGGGGGAAAGGGAAGATGATTGTGTTGGAAAACAGACAAGGAGGGGAAATTCGTCGCTTGAAATAGGCCAAGCCAACCCCGTGACTCTGCCATACTTAGTACTCTGCATGTAAGCAATATGCTACCATACGTACCCTGCCCATGATGTTGGAAAACGGCCCCCATTTTCCGCGAGCAAGGCAGTCTTTAACCTGAGAGGTGGAAGGGAAGTATGCTGGCAGGAAACGGGCATGTTGAAAACCTATTCGGTTCCTGTTCCTCCGGCCGATAGAGAGGACAACCCAACAAAGCTACCAAATGAACAGTTCCATCTGTCATCAATACCATGGGCATCGCCAACTCAATCATCAGCAGGGCCTTTCGAAAGGATCCCCGCAAGTGTCTTCTTTGCTCTCTACGGGGTCGCGCTTTCACCATCCCGGATCTGCAGGCCACCTTTGCTCATTGGCCCCAAAGGATCAATCCCGAGGTCGACCGTCTTGCAGATGCCGTTGGTGAAAGGCTAGATCTGTATGTTATCAATTTTTCTTTCTCACCGGATCAGACCCATCTCATGAGTGCTCCTATTCCAGGTACTTCCCACGGGGAAAAATTGGGCTCAAGATGCAGGAAGCAGGGGTGTTTGCGTGGGATGACGGTAACGATGCCCCCATATCCTTGATCGAGTCGTGAGACCCGAAATGAAGAAAAGCTAAGATGACTGACCTCCAGAGACCGACTCAACCGAGATCTCGGATATGGTACATCATAACGATCGTGCTGCTGTCTTTCGTCAACAGACAAAGCAACTCATCCATTCATCGCTCTCCGACGATTGGGAAGAAAAGGAGCTACAGTTGCCAGGGGGCAACAGTCCCCTCATCGCTAACTTCAGCACAGTTAGCCGAGCGATCGCTGAATCATCCAGTCCTGGTAAGGAAACCTGCCTAAGGCCCTTGCACCCTCGAGAAATAGCTCATCTCTTTCGCAGACTAGAAAGGAAGATTCTTTGACGAATTGGATCTTTTCGTGGATATGACCGATTTAGAACAACGCGTACAGTCCAGAAATAAGCTGCCTACTGTGTGGAGGAGTATCTACACCGTAGAATTGGATCGAGTGCAGTTGGTGTTTGTTTGGCGATCACTGAGTAGGTGCTACAGCTTTTGTGGTGGAAAGTCACGTTAATCAGGCCCAAGGTACGCATACGGCATGGAGATCCCGACATCAGTCATGAACGAAGAGTCTATCCGCAGGCTTTAGTATTCAACAAACGTTATTATATCCACGTGAGCGCTCTATCCACATTTTGGCTACTGACACACTGACAGCCTCATTAGCACAAACGATATCATATCCGTAAAGAAAGAGATTGTATGTTGCGTACTTCCAGTCTCTACACGATCTACAGCTAATCTAAACAACCAGGCTCATGATCAAGTTGACTCATTGATTCCGCTTCTGTACTCACGGCACGGATCGCTCCAAAAAGCCATTGACGTGGCTGCCAGCATGGTTACGTTTTCAGTTGTCGAGTTCGATCAAGTATCGGGGCAAGTCTTGAAGCAGCATCTTGACGACAAGGATCTCGGTATCAGTCTAAAACAATTTATCGAAGGGTGTCATTATGCCTGTACAGCGAACTTGAATTGGGGGTAAGCTCATTCCTGTCCTTTCTCTCTTTTAATTATACACAGACATGAGAACTTACTGATCGTGCCAAGTCTTCGCTGGGCACGATATAAATTGTCCTCTGACACGCTTAAGGGTAGTCTCCTCATTAAACTCGATTAGCGCTGTACACATGAGGCACATCCCCCGATTCCTCTGGTTGATTTATGATTGAGCTTTACGTAGAATAAATGAGATGCGTATTCAAATTGGCCACATCCAAGACTGTAAAATAGACCTGAATATCGGCTCATCATCCACACATTATCTCCACGGATTCGATTGAAGGTCTTGATTTTCTAACTATGCGATACAGCGGGGTTGGCCCGGGAATATGAAATTAGAAGCCTATTATGCTAACAAGGGCCGTGAATTGTAATAGGCTGAGGCCCTGTAGGTAGGGCTGAGCCTTGCTTATTAGGAGGATAAAGGGATCTATCTGACTAACTACCTACTAAATGTGCGTTACACCTTCGGACGTGGAATGAGATATTTAGAGGTCTTACCGTCCCCACAGAAACGAATCACCTTCGTGTTGTTATAAGAGAACTTGTAGTTGTATTATAATAAATCTTTATGCGTGAATTACAGGGCGAGCGATCTGTCAAGGATGTGTTTCAGGAGCTCAGGCTCCAGCAGGGGCCGGACTTGCCATTCTCTATTACCTGGCTAGCGGGTATATGCAACCTACTCTCAGTTCGATGTACAGCCCCAGGAAACCTACCACTAAGCACTTCTGCCCCTGTCACTACAGGTATCGACCTATGTGTACCTTGCCAGTATCCTAATGTGAGAAAGTTGGGCCAGGAATATGTACCATGCTGTAACTCCCACGGGCGAAACATCACCTACCAACATGTCTGAGCCTTGTTGGTATTTACCAGCATGTCTGAGCCTTGTTGGATTTACGTAAATCTGAAGCTGATAATAGAGATAGGGGAGTGAGACCGATTAGGATCTGTATATATATACCTCGTAGATTACCCCGTTGAAATCTATCCAGTCTACCCATCATTCCTTTATTCATTATCAGAAGTCAATCCTTAGTATATCACTCTCTTTTGAATTTTCCAACCACTCTTTTCTTGCTTTCATTTTGTTGTAATGAAAATATGACGCTTCTGGATGAGGCACGTGGCGCTCGGGCTGCTTTGCCTCCTCCTCCTGTCTGCATTCCAAACAGCATCTGCTCTGCCGAGGAAGAGCAAAGAGATTAGCAGTCATCGCTCTGGCAGCGGTAAAGGGAGCCACGGAATAGGAGGTCTACATTCTAGTCATGATGACAAGAAGAACAACGACAAACCCGACGATAAGAAACACGGACTCGGCGGACTCTTTGGCCATGATGACAAGAAGAACAACGACAAACCCGACGATAAGAAACATGGGCTCGGCGGACTCTTTGGCCATGATGACCAGAAGAAAAACGATAAAATGGACTCTACTCTGGGCCCCAAAAAGCCAAAGGGTCACTGCAAGCCAAAGGGCAAGGGTGATAAGGGAGGCAAGAGTAGTAAGGGAGAGAAGGGACAGCATCCTCCCAGAAACCTGAACGATAATGCGATAGAGGAAGACTACGCCGATGAAGAAAATAATCTCTACGCCAGAGACGATGCCGATGAACTTAGCTGCAGTGACGGGATACCCAGCATCGCTAGAATTAAGGAAGAGATCAGAGACAAGATAGTGAGGGACTCCTGCCTTTTCTACGCCGGACCTGGGGGCTACACAGCTAAAGCGGCACAATGGCGGAATAAACCGGAAAATCGTCGATACCGAATTCTCAGCATGAATTGGAGAGATCCCAAATGGCCCGATCAGTTCAAGGGCGCAGATCGCGAAGTCGTAGACAAGCGCGTCTCGCAGGCAATGGCGGAGTTATGCACTGGCGATGTGGTAGTTATGCTACCTAGCAATACTAAGGGCACTCACTGGAAGGAGGGTACTGTGTGGGATAAATACGAGTGGCCAAACTTCAGCTCGGCCGTTACCAAAGTGACTCGGGTTAACCCAGATAATGACGACGAAGAGGTTATCTGGGGGAATTAGAAACTAAAGGGATGGGTTCTTCCTATCTTGGATCGGGGTCTGAGGTGAACGGCTACGGCTGATGGCTGCGGCATACAGTGTTTCTGGAACAGCCTGGAAATGTATTATATGATTTAATACCAGCTCCTAGCATCTAGACAGGGAATTGATTGGTTTCTGAGATATTTGTATTGCCTAGTAAACTTATATGGAGCTTGTAACATATAGTAGTACTTATAAGAAGCCCCCCGCCCGGGACAGCCCAAACGTATAAATATTCTTGAGAACGCCAACTCTTTTTCCCCTTCCTCTCCTCCCCTCTTTATATATCCTAACCTCGCATAAAGTCAGACCAATCTATCACGATGAAAGAGGATCTTGTTAGCGTTGCCCAAACCGACCAGCTGGACAAGCTTCGTCATCTCTTGGACCTCGAGATAGCGCAGAACCCCCAGTTCCTAACTAGCCCTACCCATCCCTTCACCCCAGCCATAGATGCCGCGTGCTACGCAGCGGCGCGCAGTAATAACCCTGCAGCGCTGGATATCCTCCTGGATAGCGGCTGTTCAGTGATGCCAGGTGAGTACATTTTCGGCACCTGCACACATTAATAAAGAAAAAAAGCGTACTTAGCTTCTCTAAACCCCAATATAGATACAATCCTAGAAGCTCTACACCGAAGGCACACAGCTATCATAGATTGCCTCCTTGCTCATAACTGGAATATCAACTGGGGTCTCGGGCACAGTGGCGACGCTCTGATGTAAGCCCGGCTGGGGTTAAATCTCTCGTTTTTTCTTTACTTCATAGGAATGTTCCTCTAACGGGCTTTATTTACCAGTGTGGCGGCACGGGAGGGCGATGTCGAGCTAGTCCAATTCCTGCTGTCTCGCGGTGCCGATCCTAACTCGCCGAACTTCGCAAACCCATTTAATAACGCGATTGAAACGGCGGCTATTTCTGGTTCGATCCCGGTGGCTGATGCGCTCTTGAATGCCGGGGCGGTGTTGAAGGGGCGTTCCGCACTGACGAAGGCGGCGGGCTGGGGACATGTTGCGATGGTAGCGTTCCTGCTGGAACGGGGCGCGGCGATTGATGAGATCCCCGTCAACCCGTATATTGTGGAGGAGCCGTGGGAACGAGATGAGAAGAATGCGCTGTGCGAGGCAGCCTGGCGGGGACAGGCTGCGGTGGTGGAATTCGTGCTGGAAAAAGGGGCGGATCCTAGTATCAGAGACACAAAAGGCAGATCGGCGTTGGAGCTCGCGAAAGCTGGAGGACATGAGTCCTGCGTGAAGCTGCTGGATCACTAGCCTCTCTCGGCATCTAAGCAACGGTACGACCGGCCATTGAATTATCCTTTCCGTCTATATAGGTTAGATAGCTCGGGCCAATATGATACTTAGTTACTTACGACCCTATGAGGACATGCATTGCGTGCAATTTAGAAGATTTAGCTCCCCAGTTTGGCGGTGCCTTTCAGATAGTTATACAAGGCAGAAGAATGTCCGGCAGGAGGAAGAGAATACTAGTTTTATTAATATGAGAAAATTATATGATTCTTGCAAGCTCTGCCTTGGAGAGCCCCTAAATAATACTATATAACTATGTCTATCTTTATACAACTTCTCTTTAGCTGTATTGCACTCTAATATAACTATATTCGTATATTAAACTATTATCTCTCCTTATCGCTCCCGGCCATACAGCTGGGCATCTTGCGCCCCTTGCAAGAGCTATCTCAGACTGCACTCCTGAGCCCAGGACCTGTCAGAATGACACCTTTGTTTACTAGTTTCATAAATCTATCTTTATTCAGGGGTATTCAGCCCACAAAATGGTTTCCCTTAGGCATAGAGAATAACTGCCGGTCAGAATCGCTATTTTAATATCTATCCAAAAAACAGCAATGGGGCATCCTTTCATGATGCGCTAGCTAATTTAATTGGAGATATACGTGCAGCAGAAGAATCTATTGGAGAACTGTACATTATTAACGTAAATAAGGATGTATTAGTGGTTCTTAGACACAATGCGTTAATAACTAAGCATGCGGACCTCTTTTCCGAAAACAATCAATCTGTAGAATGACAAGACAGAAAAGAGTTATTACAATCTCCGGGAGAAACAGGTGCGCAGGGGGTTATTTAAGGACTGCTATACCGAGTCAGAATTTTGCAAACTGCTGTATATTTGAATAGGGTTAATTAATCGGTAAATGATTAAACCGTGGTGGTGGTGCCGAGCGGATACTAAACTTGGCCGAATGGCGTCTCCCTCCCTGGGATCCCGAAATAATATGTTAGTAGCAAATTAACGTTTAGCTATCTAAAAGCCCAAGGGCTCTGGTAGAGCTGTTGTTATAGTATTTCAGAGATGAATAAACACTGCTCTGTGAATAGTACGGAATTTATATAGTATAACCTGATATAACGATGAATACCTCGAATATGTAAGTAACTGCCAAGAGGGGATTAATATTATGTGGAACAGGGCGTACGATAATTATTTATTTAGAACTTAAGATTATAAACTAGGGTTTCGCTAAGAAAGGAGTTCATTTTTTTTATATATATTATTTTCTTCTTATATACCTTTTTCTTACAAACGGGGAAGATTCCACGCCCTTATTTATAGGAGGAACTCTTTAGGGATCAGAAGCTAAAACAGCTAGGTAGCATAGCCTTTATCCAGTTAGTGCTTCCCTATAGTCTCTATCCTAATTGCCAGGCGATACAATAAAATATTAACCTGAAAATTAGTCAATTCATGTATTATATACTGGAAGCCCAGGCGAGTCTGCAGATCCACACTCTATTTGCCGTCACAGATCATAACGGGTATTGCGCACCCCTCAGATGCTGATGGCAGTACAACACGGAACTTCCCCCCTTTCCAACACCAGTTCTAGAGTCTGTGCCTTGCAAAATCAACCACCAACACAGGCGATAACATGCGATCAACGGATGACGCCAATACACGTATATCCCTAAACCAAACTGGCTTGATAGTCAGTGCAGCTAAGACCATCGCCCACGCACTAGCTGGCCATTTTTGCCGCACCAGTCTAACCCCCAAGAAGAAGCTAGACCTTGATGCGCCGTTGCATGATTTTATTAGTGTTATGAGGGATTTGTTGGCAGAAGAGCAGTTGGCATAGGAGGTAGCCTGGGGAATATACATGAAGGGGGTTATGCGTAAAGCAGCCGCTGTTATCGCACGAGGCGGTGGGGAGGAGCAGAACGACTATCACCACGTGACGGGGACCGCGAAAAACTTCACCTTCAGCACGTCGCGTCCAGAGCTTTCGCGGAGGATCCCAGGAGCCCAACCTCCATCTGTGCGAAGATACAAATAAATATGATGCAGTTCAACCGCCTCTTTCAACAAGGAGCGTCGTAAACCTATGATGTCATCAGAATTGAGTCCTCTCAATTGGCCTTTTCTCTGCAGCGCAGGAGGATGCAACGATGCAACCCAAGTCCTCGCCGACTATGGCATCCTGAACCGGTAGCCTGTTCGGTTGGCGGTTTCCAGCTTCTTGCCGAGCTCGATCCACTTAACCCCGACGCCAATGATGAGCATTCTAGAAGGTGGAGTTGGGCGCAGGCACAGAAACGCACATTATTATTGATGACGCCGACCCACCACTCCTGAATCTTTGCACCGATGCGGAAGGGATTGGCGGGGAGGAAGGGGGGAGGCACTGATTCATTCGCAGACGATCGAAGAGGTTAAAGTTGATTCTCTACTCCTACCCCCGGACTAATCACTCATTCAAGTCAGCCCAGTCTTTCTGGATCAGGTTGCCAAGTTCATCCCTCGTCTCGATCAATGGCCGGTCTCCCGGACACTGCAGGCACTGCGCATTGGACAGTCTCGGTGGAGATGAGCAGCAATACTCCGCAATGGTGGTTTGTCGTCGTCACCTTTCCCTTCTCAACGCCGTTTATCGCTCGGATCCACGGTGGTGGCTTGGCGGGTCTGGAGAACAAGTTCTGCAGGCCGAATCACCGCGTCGAGATCTCCCCTGCCACGCTCCATGCGTCTCCGCCCGAATGGATTATCGCCATGAAACCGCGTGGATTGCTGATCTTGGCATCTCTTGGAACACTCCTGAGTCCTGACTAGCTGAGCTGGAGAGGGGGCAGAGGGGATACGAAAACGTTGAGGGGTTTCTGGTCAAATAAATGTGCCCCGTCATCTCTTTCTTCGTCGCCTCTTGAAAGTTCCACATCACCTACTCGGTCTCGCCATGTCCCAATGTCCTGTTGGACTTGGACTTCCCAATGCCTCCGTCGCCGGTCAAGGCCGTCCTGTTTTCAGGTTACCACGGTCGGGGCTCTGATCAGTCTGGTCTATTTGTTCTACGTCTTCGTGGTTCCTCATCTGTATCGCTTGCGACTCCGAGCCGATCTGACCACGTATGATCTGGGGTTGTACGGTTTTGGTCCATCCAGAAGCTATGCATCTGTCGACTACGAATCCCCCGTCGTCGAGATCTCCGAGTGGGGATCAGGATGCGACCCGCGCTACATATTGATTGCTCCCCGTGGCGATAGTGTCGCGAATCCGGGTCCCATGATCCTCGACTCGCAGGGAGAATTGGTCTGGGCAAAATGGAACTGGGGCACTACGCAGGACTTCAAAATCCAACGATACAAAGGCGAGGATTTTCTCACCTACTGGGAGGGCGGTCAAATCGCTGGCCGGGGATATGGAACGTGGTACATGGTTGGTAGCCACTCGCCTCTGTGGAAGACAAGCCTAGCTGACCGTCTAGCTCGACAATACCTACACACAGAGATACGTGCTGAACCCGGTCGGTAACTACGGCGGCGATCTGCACGAGTTTACGATCAGTCGGGATGGAACCGCTCTGGTGTCGGTATATGACCCTACGCCCCTTGACTTAACCGCCGTTGGGGGGCCCGAATTAGGCTGGATTTTCGATGCGGTTTTCCAAGAGCTAGACATTGAGACCGGCGAGCTGCTCTTCGAATGGCGCGCATCTAAGCACATTCCGATCAATAGCACCTACGAGCCCCTCGGCGCTGAGGGAAGAGAGCGCGCCCAGGCCTTCGATTTCTTTCACATCAACAGCGTCGACAAAACGGACGACGGGGATTATATCATCTCCGGGCGCCACACTCATACGGTCACCTGCATTGATCGAAATACCGGGGCCATCTTGTGGACTCTCGGTGGAAAGGCCAACGACTTCACTGATTTGTCCGACGGCGACGCGACCGGATTCTCCTGGCAACACGATGCGCGTTGGCACGCCAATGGCACCGTCACTCTCTTCGATAACGCAGCCCATTCAGGCACCGATCCCGTCAGCGAGAGTCGCGGCATGGTTATCCAGCTGGACATTGCCAAACGTACAGCGGCCTTGCTCGGAGCGTACTACCACCCCCAGCAGCTGCTTTCTACGTCACAGGGAAATGTGCAGATTCTCGATGACACGGGCCGGATTCTGGTGGGCTGGGGCCACAGCGCCGCGTTCACGGAATACACTGCCGATGGAGACATGCTCTGCAATGTGCATTTCGCCGCGTCGGCCTTTTTCAACTTCGGACGCGTGGTCTCCTACCGTGACTTCAGGGGGTCTTGGGTGGGCCATCCGCATACCACGCCAGACGCCGAGGTCATCGGTGACCATGTCTATGCCAGCTGGAACGGGGCCACCGAGGTTGTCGCCTGGAGGATGGAAGTCTGGGACTCGGAGGACTACGACGAGGCCAGTTTTGCGGTTGTCGCGCAATTCGAGAAGACAGGCTTCGAGACGGAGATCGAAGTTCCTGAAGACCTCACTCGGCCCTTGTTCCGACTCGCGGCCCTCGATCGCGACGGGAAAATGCTCGGCGTCACCGACGTCGTTCAGGTCGAACGGGCCACAGACGCGGCTAATCTTCTCAGCATGCACAACTGGATCGTAGGGATTGCATTCTCCACCGTCGTGGTCGGTCTACTTGCCGGGATGTATCGATGTTGGGGTTGCTGTCGGCGAAGATCTCGGTCAGGTCGGTATCATCTAGTTCCGTTGAATGAGATGACCGATCGATCGCCGGTATAGCCGGCCTACGAGCTCTATGCCATTCAAGCTTCGCGGGGTGTAGTAATCTAGGTTACGTTCCTACGCTCTTGTATATAACTTACCAGCAACTGTACATAAAATCGAACTTGATCTGAAGATGCTTCTTCCTCTTCTTCCTCCTCTTCTACTTTCTTCTCTTCCTCTTTCCACCCCTTTTCTCCCCTCCCACTACTAATTAAACGACATAAAAGGAGGGGAGAAAATCATTCAAAATTGAGTCTACTTGTTTGATCAAGCAAGCTAACTGCGAACAAGACTGCAAAGGGGAAGATCGCCCGAAGGCACGACCGGGTGACTTATTCGGCGCCCATCAAACATCACCCTGACTCTCCATCCAGAGGGGTTCACCTTCCTCCCGGGTGTTGTCTTGCCTGACCCCTGTCACACTGGAATGTTGGCGCAATGTAACAATCACCCACGATAAGCGTCCCTGTACACAAACAAATAGCTCGCCATCCCGGAAGTAGCCAGCACGCCAAACGCATGACCAATAGTAGGTGTTCAATCGCGGTCAAGCGACATCGCCATGGTCTCCATCCGCTTCGCAGGTGTCCCACTTGCGACCCCCGAAGATAAGTATCCCGACGAGGATGGAGTGTCAGTAGCGGGTCCGGCATCGGGGAAGTTTTCATCGTAGCCATCCTCGTCGGGATACTGATCTTCGCTGAAGGCGAGTGTCACGGGAACAGGTGAGATTGCCGCGTCAATGGACTGGGTATTGCGGCCAGTGGCAGGGGCAGCCTGCTGAGCATGACCAGTGGTAAGGGCGGCCTGACGATCTTGCGTCTGGTCGTTGTTGTGCTTTCTCTTTTTCAACCAGGGGGCAGCATGCAACAGGCTTCACATGATATTAGCAAACCGGAGTCTTTCATGCACATCCCGCGTCTTACCTCGAGATGTCTTGCCGCAATTGCCGCCGCCTCGGCAATGTCATTATAGTTTTTATTCAGAGGGCGGTTGTATGGCATGTGGCCACGACCTCTGCAATGAAAGCAAGTACGGTTGTTCTATTATCCCAGGATACATTGATTAGTATACGTTCTGTGAGCCTCTACTTACACGGGCCATATTTACGAGATGCCGGGACAGACTTGTTGGACGGATAGATGTGAGGAGACTTTCTAGCCGACACGGTGTTGATGATGATCCGGAAGGTCTGGTCTGGAATGAGCTTGTAGGACAGTGATACAGACAGGACTGGGAACGGTCGCTGTGGTGGAGCCGAAGCTGAAGGAAGGAAGGAGGTAGGAAGAGGAAGAGGAAGAGGAAGAGGAAGAGGAAGAGGAAGGAAAAGAGGAGGGACCTTCGAGGCAAGACCATATTCACTGTTGATAGTAGAAGCAGATTAGGTAGATGTCTTCAATTGCCACACCCGACCCTACCGTTATTTGTCCATAGATTCACTTATAAATGTCGCAAGATGAATGATACAGGTGTACGGATGAGATTGATATGCATCATGTGATGGTAGTCCTTGGTCGTCGCGAGCCAGTTGTAGATTGAAGATATATGGTACATCCCGCAAACCTCCAGATCAAGGTCCACCCGATACAGTAACCGGGAACAAGAAATGGTGCTGATCCAGCTATGATATTGCCCTGGCATACGGCGTTGCCCAACACAACATGTTGATTGCCGAAACGGCGATTATGGCCTTGTCTCTGATCTGGATGTTCGTGATCAGAGACATTAAGCTAACAAGGCCTATACCAAGGGTGGTTTTGGTTTGGACTCTACGCTGTATCGGCGAATGTCGATAGTATAGAAAAAGAGGTTCAAACTGATGGGCCGAGGAAACGACAACTATCAGGGACGAATTTCCTGTTTCAGTATGATAGCAGGCAGATGGAGGTACACTAAGCTTGTGTAATGAGGCGGTAAGGGTTAATTTTTGTGAAGGTCTAAGTTTGGGGGAAAGGTTGAATGTCATAGGCTTCTTGCAATATGTTTGAACTGGACATGAGATATCTAAAGAAGGGGTCTATGAAACAAGAATATACAAGGGCGCCGAATTAGAATTTGGTCGATCAGCGATCGTTGGTACAATTACTACCCTAGATGACACCGTCCAAGGCCACTTCACTTCCTTTTCTGTAACGTAATCAACGGGCGAGCCGCGGATACGACCGAGCCGCGGATTTCCACCAGAACCCCCATCCTCTCCATTCAACGCGTCAAAATTCAACCATCATAGCCGAAAATGCCTCTTTCTAAAGAATCTCGAATTCAGATGGCTATGCAGGCCTATCAAAAAGGTCAAATTAAATCAATATCGCGTGCTGCAAACGTCTTTTCAATCCCTGAAAGTACCCTACGCGATCGGCTTCACGGAATAAAACCACGATCAGAAACACGCGCTAATAGTCATAAGCTATCTATTCTTGAAGAGCAATCCCTTTTACGAAAGCTCTTAGAGGCAGATAAACGAGGATTTCCCATTCGACCTGAGTTTCTGCGTGAAATGGCACAGATCTTACTTCGTGAACGACTCCAAAATTCAGCTGCAACTATAGGAGTTAACTGGGCTTATTCTTTTACGAAACGCTATCCTGAGATACATACAAGATATACAAGACAAATAACATATCAGCGCACAAAACAGGAAGATCCTAAGGTCATAATACCTTGGTTTCAGACTGTACAAGCAGCTATTCAAGAACACGGTATTCATGAGGACGATATCTGGAACTTCGATGAGACTGGCTTTGCTATAAAACTATGCTCTACTTCTAAAGTGATTACTGCAGTAGAGCGCAGTGAAAGACCGCGCAGAGTCATTCAGGGTAACCGTGAATGGGTCACAATCATTGAAACTGTCAGTTCAAAAGGGTTGCATATACCACCAGTCATTATACTGAAGGCAGGCAATCAGCAAGCTGCCTGGTTCCAAGAACCTAAGCTTAATAAAGACTGGTGGATTGCAACTAGTGAGAATGGCTGGACAACACATGAAATAGGCCTTCGCTGGTTAAAAGAGGTGTTTGAACCGTCCTCTAGGCGCTCTATGACTGGTGCTAAACGATTGCTTATTCTAGATGGCCATAGTAGCCATCTAACTGCTGAATTTGATGATTTCTGCGATCAGAATGCAATCATCTGTCTCTGCATGCCTGCACATGCCTCTCATCTACTACAGCCACTTGATGTTGGTGTTTTTGACCCGCTTAAACGCGCATACGGAAAGCTACTTGAATGCCAAATGATTGCCGGCAATAACCACATTGATAAAGAAGACTTTCTTTCTCTATATCCAGATGCCCGCGCTAAAATATTTACTTTAGCGAATATCTGCGGTGGTTTTGCAGGGGCAAGTCTTAAGCCATTTGATCAAGAGCGTGTTATTTCTAAGCTTACTTTTCAACCACGTACACCTACGCCACAATTAACTGAAGGCTCAATTTCCTCTGCTTTCCAAACACCACGGAATACTCGCCAGTTAGATCGGAAATTACGCAGTCTACAGAAGAGTCTTAATTCGAAAGGAAAGCTTTCCAACAGTCCAATTGCTCATATTCAACACCTTGAAAAAGCTGCGCAAATGGCTATGCATACCAACCTTCTTTTGCAACAAGAAATCAAGACTTTACGAGCTCAAAATGAGCGAAAATACAAGAAGAAGACAAGAAAGCGTGCTCTACTAGGCAATGATGTCCTTCTATCTGTACAGGAAGGCCAAAATCGCGTTGAGCAGCTTGATACGCAACTTAATGAGCAACCCGAGCAATCTACACCTGTGCTTCGCCAACGCGCTCCACCACGCTGCAGTGGATGTGGGACAGTTGGACATACAATACGAAGCTGCCCTAGTAAATAGCTATTCATTTTATATTTCATATAGTCTAATTTAATGACGTTGGTGGTTGAATAGCTTCAAATAGTGGTGGCCGCGGTGAAAATCCGCGGCTCGGTCGTATCCGCGGCTCGCCCGTTGATTACGTTATTACCATCGAGGTTGAAACCCAGGGATATTATTCACCCACTCAAGGGGTGCATTTCAATGTCGTGGAATCTTGTCATGATTTGGTTTTCCCAAATCTCGAAAACCTCCTTAGTTGGGGAGCCATCTAGCCCTCTCGACCGAGTATGTCTTCAGGGGATCCATTAGGGATGATCGTCAAGGCAACTTTCCCACCCCACTTGCCAGTCCCGGTTGGTGCGGAGATTACGGCGAAGCGAAGCGCGCGATTTTCTAGGAAGAGGAACGGGCAGAAGAGTATTGCAAATGATACGAATCTCCAATCATTGCACTGGTCCTAGGCCAATATAAGAATCTGCACACTGGAGGCCAGTGCGTCGGATCGAAGGTCTCGATCTGCGAAAGTGGAGTCGGTCGTTTTCACAGGCATGTCGATCACATCGGCTCTATAGGGCAAACATATTATTACAGCGGGGTAGGTTACATTGCATATCGAGACGCTGGAAACGCTCCCCAATAGGCTTGATGATAGACGATTAATCAGGAATTGGAGACATCAATGAGGGCTGAGATGCAGGCTTGTGGGTGTGCTATAAACCACCTGGGAGTGAGTATTTGTGAAACGAATGACGTACCCCGGACCTTGAACAGCTTTGTCAATCGATTTACTTGGGGGAGCATTTCTCACATGCGGCCCCGACTTAGTGAAGCCATCCTTATAAACGGAGCGAATACCTCGGGTCGTAGGTAGAGAAATCAAGCCCTCCATAATCTAATGTAACCCATCAGCTGCTGCTGTCATGTTGCAAATTATCTTCAATTCTTTGGCGCAATTAGCTCAAGGGCGCGCCGTTTCGGACTTATCGTGGACCCCGAAGGCTCTTTCCTTTGCCCTTACCATTCTATCATTCCACCTCCTTGGGCTAGCCGTATACCGAGGTGAGGGACAGCTGCTTATAGGTGTGGTTCTGTCGAGCTGACAATTGCAGTTTATTTCAGCCCTCTTGCTAAGTTTCCCGGACCGATTCTGGCGAGTACGCCTGTGCATTGATAGCGTCTGGCTTACCTTTCTCTAACGCCATTAGGTTTGACAACATGGTATATGGCCTATTACGATCTGCTCTACGACGGTTACTTTTTCAAAAAGGTCCAGGATCTTCATCGCCGCTACGGTACGCAGATATCCTGTTGTCCATAACCATCACTTACATTCTAGTTCTAGGACCCATCGTTCGCATTACACCCAACGAAGTACACATCAGCGACCCCGAGTTTATAAAAGTTCTTTTTACTGGAAATCTCAAAAAGCGAGATAAGAGCAAATGGCTTGGTCGAATGCTCGGCCGTATGTCGATCCTCATCGTCAGCGCTTCTTGTACTGATAGCTGATGCGCGTTCCAGTCCCCGGATCTGTTGCCTCCACAACCTCCCACGAGCTGCATCGCCAGCGCCGTGCCGCGATGCAGCGATTCTTCTCCAGATCTAGCCTCCGACGCCTGGAACCAGCTATTCAACGAACGTTGAAGAATCTGTTGGATCGCCTGCAGGCGTCCGGGCGGCAGAATGATATCCTGAGCATGAACGTCCTTTGCAAGGCGGCTACCTGTGACATCATCACCGAGTATGCCTTTGGCCAGTCAACGGAGTATTTACATCGAGACGATTTGAATGTTGGCTTTTTCAGATCGCTCGATGCCAACTTCCAGACTGCGTGGTACATGGCCTATCTTCCGTGGGTGGGCCCGTTGCTGCAGCGCGTACCGCCGTCTATGATGGGGCTTGTGTATCCCGGACTGAAATCATTGCGGTTAATGCACGAGGTAAGGGCGCATGGCTTTTCATTTTGGCATGCTGCTTACCAATACCAGCAATGGGCGACGCGTATAGAAGAGATTCGCCGAGAGGTCGACTCCCACAGTGATCCGGACGCCAGTGTCTTTCATGGTATACTCACGAGCAACCTTCCAGCGCATGAGAAATCCGTGGCGAGACTGCGACAAGAAGCGCAGGTCCTTGTCCAGGCAGGACAAGATACGACGGGTAAGTAACCCTTCCCAAGCTTGAATAGGTATTTAAGATCTATACCGAATGACATGACCATCAATAGCAAACTCCGTAGCATTCATCACATACGTGTTGCTGCAAAATGCAGATATTTGCCGCAGGCTCAAGGCGGAGTTAGAAGACGCACTTCCGGAGCCCGACCAAGTCCCTTCTGTCGCGGTGGTCGAAAGTCTGCCGTACTTGAAAGCCATAATTCAAGAGACCCTTCGGCTGTATCCCTCTGCCATTGTACGCCAGAGTCGCGTGGCGCCAGATGCAGATCTTGTCTATGCCAACCAGAAGACGGGCGAAAGATGGGTCATCCCGGCAGGTGTTCCCATAATGATGACGCCAATGCCCGTTCATCTGAACCCGGATCATTTCCCCGAACCAACGCGGTTTAATCCTGATAGATGGCTAGACAGCCCGCATTTGGACCAATATCTGTTGACGTTTTCGAAAGGGACAAGGGCTTGTATCGGGTATGATTTGACCCCCTACACTACCAGATTCATTCTCTAAGATTTGCACAGCATCGACCTTGCATATACTGAGCTATTCATGCTGGTCGCGGGCATATTTCGCAAATACGATAGGTACGACGGATCTAAAATTCAGAAAGCCCCGACGCTGGAGCTATACGACACAGTAGCTGAGCGAGATGTTGAGCCAAATCGAGACTTCATAATTTCCTTCCCTCAGAAGATGAGTAAAGGAGTCAGAGTCAAGATAAGGCAGTAAGCTTTGCCAGAGCTCTGCTGAAAGGTCGTTGAAATGCCAATAATTCGTGCAAAATCCTGGCCTATCTCAAACCATTAATACTGATCCTGCTGAGCGGTCCAGGATTCGGAGCGAGTTCACCGCGTTTAAGGACTGGGATTCTTTGAAGGTTGAACACCTGCGATGGCCTAGCGTTCGTTCCTGCGGACGGAGATTTTTCGTGCTTCGTGTGATCAAGTCAATTTGATTCGTCAAGACTGCTGTGCAAATAAGGATGTCAGCCGGAGTCTTTTTTCCTTTACTTTTTTGACTTGACACAAATGGCGAAGAAAAAGGGAGAGGCAAAGTTTCTGTCTTACTTGAACTTGCACTTGATTGCATCGTGCGCTGAGTACCCGGTTACTAGTATATTATTGTACAGAGTACTCCGTAGTGAATTGGAGAGCGCCTCGTTGACTAATGTTAATTAATGTAGATTTAAAATTAGAAAGACCTTGTGAATCCGATGATTCCCTTCATACCTACCGGCTACTCTCCGCGAATAAAGCCATACGACCCAGCCACACTGGAGCTCAAAGCCTCGACTCTTCAGGGGCACTCATTGATGCAATTTCTTTCATCTTACGGCAATGATCCTAGCAAGATTCTAGCAAATATTGAAGTGAGACAGGAAGGGCTTGGCGGCACTGCGACTACTACAGCAAAGCCCGAGCGCCAGGACCAAATGCCTTCCAAGGTTCTGATCCTGAGGATTGACTATGCAAAGTTTCCAGTCCTGAATTGGAGGATCTCAGAATTATTTCATCTTTCGGAGGAGTCATTCGGCTACCGAGGGAGGATGGCAGGAAATCTGCTGCCGGCCAGGTGGAGACTTGTATGTGGAGCCCGAAACAAGTCGAATTCAACCGACCAATCGTGATCCAATAGTTCGCACTCATAATATGGGTTTTACCCTCTAACGGAGTACTTAGAAAGGTTCAATGTCCGATCGAACGAGTTTGCCATGCTTTTTGCCCCCTGGCAAACGTCTGGCCTGTGTGGGTGCTCGTCAAGATACCGAGGTGTGGAGCATTTCCAATGGAACATGGCCCTCCAGTTCTACTCTGCTGCAACGGTTAAACGGGGTCAACGTTCGGTGCATGCCCATGGCTTCGGTTCCTGGTTGAATTGGGTAAGGTTGTCTCAGGTGTAAACAGGGCTTTATTTCCCGAGACTCCACCATAATCCCAGGATCCTCTATATAATGGTCTTACCAACAGATCCTTCCTATTCGTGATCATCCAACCACTTTCCTTTTTCCTCTCTTTTTCTCATTAGTCGTTCTTTTCCAATCTTTACATTCCTTCCATTATGAAGTACACAACTCTTTTCGCCGCTGCCGCGGCTATTCTAGCTAACAGCGTCAACGCTGGTGTCGTTGGTGCTGCCCAGGGTTTCGCCAAGGGCGTTACTGGTGGTGGCAACGCTGCCGAAGTCTATCCTAAGACCAACGACGAGCTGGTCTCGTACTTGGGTGATAGCGTGCCCCGTGTCATTGTCCTTGACAGAACGTACGTGATTGATTCCCACCGAGAGGTCTCGGGATATAGGATCTACATGACTGACACCACGGTCTTGATACAGTTTCGATTTCACCGGAACCGAGGGCACCGAGACTACCAGCGGTTGCTCTCCCTGGGGAACCAACTCCAAGTGCCAGATTGCCATCAACTTGCACGGCTGGTGTGATAACTACGAGCCCAATGCTCCCAAGGTCTCTTCCATCACCTAGTACGCCCATCGACCTCCGTTCGTCTGAGATTTCTCACATCCTGACTTCATTCCGTAGTGACAAGGCCGGTATCCTCGGTATCACTGTCAACTCCAACAAGTCTCTTGTCGGAAAGGGCTCTGCTGGAGCCATCAAGGGTAAAGGTATCCGCATGGTCAGCGGCGCCAAGAACATTATCATCCAGAACATTGCCATCACCGATCTCAACCCCCAATACGTTTGGGGTGGTGACGCCATCACTCTCAACGATGCCGACCTGGTCTGGATTGATCATGTCACTACTGCCCGCGTTGGTCGCCAGCACATTGTTCTCGGTACCAAGGCTGATAACCGCGTGACGATCTCCTACTCCCTGATCGACGGCCGCTCCAACTGGTCTGCTACCTGCAACGGACACCACTACTGGGGTCTGTACCTCGACGGCTCCAACGATATGGTGACTCTTATGGGCAACTACTTCTACAACCTTAGCGGCCGTATGCCTAAGGTTCAGGGCAACACTCTCCTCCACGCTGTACGCATACCTTCACCCCCCATCAGTTTTACCCAACTATCGGCAGAAGCGCTAACAAATCATTGCCAGGTCAACAACCTTTTCCACAACATTGATGGCCACGCCTTCGAGATCGGCCAGGGCGGCTATGTCCTCGCCGAGGGTAACGTCTTCCAGAACGTTGGCACCGTCGTTGAGTCTCCCATGCAAGGCGGCCTCTTTAGCTCCCCTGATGCCAACACCAACGCGCAGTGCAAGGCGTACCTAGGCCGCTCCTGCCAGCTCAACGCGTTCGGTGGCTCCGGCTCCATGAGCGGCGCTGATACCAGCATCCTTGGCAAGTTCAAGGGCAAGAACATTGCCTCCGCCCGCGTTCCCAACAACATCGCCTCCTGGACCATGGCCAACGCTGGTGCTGGCCACGTTTAGGGGAGGGCCTGTTGTGTCAGAAAGAGTTCACACATGAGGCTATTGTGTGCAGTCTGCACTTCATCCCCGCGGGGCTAGATCTCGCTTGTGCGCTATAGTATTATCTTATTGTTCTAGTCATACGGTTCAGCTTGCTATTCAACCTATGATATCTTCTATGCATACAATGTATAAGCCATACTCTTGACGTCTCACTAGAGTCATACTTGATAAATTGCGATCATCGGGTGGAGTATGATGTCACGCCCCGGCTCAGCTGAGCACGTGACCTGAATGACCGTCTGATAAGACCCCAGTTGACCTTAGGGGAAGGTTCCTGTATCTAGTCAGACCCCATTAGCATATACAAGAACAGCGTAGGAAATCCAATGAATGGTCTTTGTACGCCAAGAAGGGTCATTGAAGACAAACCCCCCAAACAGAAAACTATATACGGATATCGAGATTCGGACAATTTACAAAGCATATACCCCCATGGAAATGTAGAAAAACAATATGTTAACGTCGAAACATGGTCTCAGGGGTATGGTTGGCCGTGGAGGAATCCGCCACGAAACCGCTCATTAAGTCGGGCCACTGCCCCAATAAAACGTCATCCGACAGAGACGCAGTAGGGGAGATCACGTCATGGGGTGGAGTGATGATACTTTGACCAGGCAGTCCATTTTCGAGGTTAAATGACAAAGGGATGTCTATAGGGACATTGGTCATCAAGGCCTGCCAATGCTCCTCGGTCAGCACCGACTCGGTCAACCCCGGGGTGGCGGAAGGCGTCGTCCAAGGCGGCACCATCGAGCCCAAGTCCGCCGGAGACTGAGTCGGCGGAGTAGGCTGCAGCTGGCGACCGGGAAAGAGACTGCTGCGGAATTGTTCAACGAGCCACTCGACGCGGCGCGCGATCTCCCGGCCGATCTGGGCGGCGTTCCGGGCAACGGCGTATTGTCGACCCATTAGATCCAAGGTATGGATGGCCGTCTGCAGGCACTGGCGCCCTGCTGGGGTGGGTGGACAGACAGGGTTGGCGAGCACGAAGGCTAGAATGCACACCATCGCATCCCACTGATACTGCACCGCGGGCCGCCAGCCGCGGAGAATGTCCGTCTCGGACAGCACCTGGTGCAGCAGATTGGTCAGCATCATGGCGTGGTTGAGGCAGCTGATGCTGTGGCTATCGCAGAGCGGCGTCGCAGGTGATGCCCTCGGTGGGAAGCGCACGAATGAACGGAGTGTAGCGATTTGAAAATGATGATAAATAATCTCCAGCAGCAGTCGCTGACGTTGCAGCCAGAGGGGGGCCGTGGAATCCAGGATCAGAGGTGTTCGATCGGTGGAAAAAGGCTCGCGACCATCCTTTCGCTCGGTTTTGAGGGTCCCGGGGACGTCCTGCAGCCAGTCATAGATGGTGCGTATTTCCCGCCCTACAAAGCCCGCCAGAGACTCGATGATGGCCGGCTCGTCGTAGATGTCTTGCACGGTCGGACTCAGATGTCGGGCGCATTCGGCCTTGAAGGCCGCCTGCAGGCGTTGGGCCACGACCGTGAGCTTAACTTGTTGCACGTGGAAGCTAAGCCAGCTGATGTTCTGGTGCGCGGACGAGGGCAGCGCTGTTCCCGAGAGCGGCCCAGCTTCCGCAGCTCCACCGTGATCGCTTGGAAGGGGGCAGGCGAAGTCGTTCCAGACCAGGAGCGGCGGACGGTCTAGGGTCATGGAGAGAGAGCTGTCTAACTGGTACAGTGACCACCAGATGCGCAGATGCAGTTCCCTTTCCTCGGGCGGCGTGCCATCCAGCGGGCGCAAGTGCAGGCGCAGCGCCTGAGCCGTTCGAATGGCCACTCCTAAAGCGACGAGGGCGGAATTCAGGAGCGATGCGTTGGACAGGTAGATGACGCCGTAAATGTAACTCTGCAACGAGGCGATCGACGGAGCTTCCAGCTCGTTCATCAGTAGCCGTTGGCTTCGCTGGTAGAAGCCGTGGGCCAATGAGGATGTGTTGGTGGCCTGCTCACTGTCCACGCTCTCGTCGTCTGTTACCAGGAACGTGCTACCATATTGCATACAAACCGCCAGCAAACTGTCGACCAAGGCGGATGGCTTCCGGCGACCCTCCAGTTCAGGGATTGCGTCCGACCATAATGACTCGTAGTATGCACGAAAGTCCCCTTCTGATAATACTGGACAGATGCAGTGAAAGGATTGCCAGAGCAACACCAGGAAATATTCCTCCTGAGCCCGCGACAGATCCGCGGGCTCTGAATCCCAGAGAGACTGCTGTCTCGGGACCGACCTGGCATCGTCGATCTGCGACATGAGTGCCGGGAACGGGAAGTCCAGAATGGACAGGCTCAATGATTTGCAGAGATAGCGCGTCATCCGAGTGACCAGGTATGACGACGAAAGTGGGCCATAATATATAGCTCGCCCGGTACGCTCATCCGCAACCGCCACGCCTTCCCACGCGTTGTATATTGTCTTCCCAGTGTTCGCAAAATCGACCGGTCTAGGGGCCGTGGAAGCAGACGAAGAGGCGGATTCCTCAGGCGCGGTCGAGTTGGCATGTTCGGTTGCCTTCTTGAGCTGAGCTTGCAGATCTCTGACGCGATTGCGCAGCCGTTGGATTTCCCTGCATCTGACGCCTCGGTCAGCGAGGAGGACCCGCCATAAAGGGGTAGCTATCGTACCGACTAGCGGTTTGCGCGGGAAAGGCCTCGGACGGATTGCTATTGCTGCACTGACTGCCTCGCTGGCGACAGTTGTCGCAGGGCTGGCGGTCGTCGCATTTGATGCGATTCAGGCGACACGAGTCGCAAGCCCTGGCAACCTGGTTACGCTTGGGTCGAACCGCGGCAGAAGTCTTGGTGGGAGATTCGGTGGGGTTTGGATTGGCAGAGAAGGTGGAGAACATGTTCAAGAGGCACTCATCACCATCAGCGGTCGGTCACGGCCACATCGACGGCTGGAAGTCGGTGCGGAAGAGAAACGGACTGTGAGATTGTGAGGCTGTGAGGCTGTGAGGCCGTGAGGCCGTGAGAAGGGCCGCCGAAGGACTCGGGCATCACGTGACTCACACGGCTGCTTTCTGTGGCTGAACTGGTCTTGGCAAAGAGCTGATTAATACGCCGAGCTTATATGATCATATGAAACGATTGAAGGTCTTGATTATTTTAATCTACTGCAAAAAGAGGCCATATTTATGCAATTTCAGGGGCTTCAGATATGCAATAAAAGAGCTTGATCATACGATTCAAGCTCTATAATCGTACGATCAATATTGATCGATTGCTTAATCGGTTAAGCAAGGTGATGAAGTAATTGCTTAGTCAGTTCCGCGGCCACACTTTCTTATGGCAGTTTGGAGGGCTTGGCAGGGATGACTAAAGCACTGAATTACGTGATCTCCACGGATTCGATTGAAGGTCTTGATTTTCTAACTATGCGATATAGCTCGTATTTATGCAATCCCTGGAGCTTCAAAATGATGATCAATCAACTCAACAGGAAGAAGCAATTATGTTGAATAATTGACTGGTCGATTATTTCGTGAGCAAGGCGATGAAATGCCGGCTTAGTCAACTCCCGCGGCCACACACCCCCTCAGCGCCTTGCGAGACCTATCTGCCTTCTTGGGCCAAAATGAGATCTTTGATGTTGACAAGATTCAACATCTCCATGAATTTGCGATGTTTCTGACCCGGAAAGGCCTTCATGAAACCGTCAGCGATCATCCGATCGATAGAGATCCATTCCACGTGTAGATCGCCTCTCTGAGCTTCCTGGCGAAGCCATGACCGATAAATATCAACGTGACACAATTTAAAACGTTGCTCAACGTCTTCTGAATTGATTAATCGAACGATTTGTTAATTGTCACAGGAAATGATCATTTCATGTTAAGAATCGAATCCCATGATGTTGAAAACTCTGCTTCACCAATAGATGATCTTTACAGCCTCAGATAAAGCGAGAAACTCTACTTCAGTTGTGAAGATTGTAATGACACATTGTTTGCCTGATTTCCATTCAATTGAACCGTTGTATAACTTGACGAGATATCCTGCCGAACTGCGACAGTCAGATCGATCAACAAAAACGACATCTAATCCAATTATTATGACTTCTTTGATGTTTAGATCGACGGCGTATTCAATCGCAAAAAATCGAGTTGCGTAAAGATAAACGATAACTCTATCCGCAACTTGAATGTGATCTGGAGACAGATTCTTCAACACTTCAAATAAACGGCTTATTGCATGTGCAATATCGGGTCGTGTGATTATTGCAAAATATTGAGCGGATCCTATCTTCATGAAATATTCTTTGATCTTCGCTTCTGATGCTTGATCCTCATAAAGCGAAAGATCCAAAATGCTCGATAAAGATATATCTGGCCATCTTATAAGATCATTCAAATGGAACTTCACAGCAATATTCTCTAAATATGCATCTTAACAAAGCCAGAGCTTCCTGTGAGACCTGTCTCGAATAATCCTGACTCCTAAAAACCAGCTCATTTCTTCCATTTCTCGTAGCTCATATTTTTTTGCAAGATCTTCCTTGAATCGTCTGGCAACTTCACGAACGATAAAAATAGATAAATTGATCACAATAATATCGTCCACGTATACCAACACAATCATATATTCATTCTTGTAAAGACATTGCTCTTCGAGAACAGATAAAAAACCAAACTTGAACAAAATAATGACCAAATCGTTCTGCCAAAGACATGGAGATTTGTGCAACCCGTATAACGCTTTCCTGAGCTTCCAAATCTTGCCTTTAGTATGAAAACCATCTGGTGATCTTGTGTAGATGACATTGTCAAGTGTTGCATTTAGAAACGTGTTTATAACATCTTTCTGATCGGTATCAAGATCAAAAGCTGCTACAAATGCCATGACAACGCGAAATGCTCGCGCGGACGCTATTGCAACAAAGTTATTAGCAACTATGTCCCTTTCAAGGTCTCCTCTCACGCAGATACGTCCTTTTGCTTTTGTGAAGTTGCCATCCTCATCAAATTTGTATGTGAAAACCCATTTGAACGAAAAAATCTGCAAATTTCGAACTTCGTTAATCTCGACAAGATCAAAAGCATTCATTGCTTTGAGATTACTTATTTCAATCTGCGCAACATGCAAGAATTCGTTTTTAAACGGGTGCTGTAGTATTTCTGAATAGGAATTCGACAGTGAAAAAAGATTGTTTCGATGCCATTGTTTTCTTTTTTTCTGTGCCAGATCTATAATTATAGAGAAGACCTTTTCGATCCTTGAGACTTCAATAAATGATTCTAATTCAATAATCATATGACTAACGTATTGAAAGTCCCTCTTTGGCTTTGAAACTCTTCTCATACATAAAATATTCTCTTCACGAATTCCATCATTAATAAAATCTCTTCCTCTTCGTCTTCCACCCCCTGATCTCGATGAGCGTTGTGAATCGTAATCTTCCTGTATCTCGAAATCGTTATATTGAATGATTTGCTCAATTGAAAGCTCAGAGCCTCTTTCTGCTAAAATAACGGTCTGTAGCGAATCCTGCAGAATCCGTGAAAATGATTCATCTCGTAAAGGATCGTCTAAAGGCTCTGAAAATCCTCCTGAAATTGTATCGGTGCGGCTCTGGTCTAGAATCAAATTATCATGAAATTCAATGTTCAGATCAGAAATCAATTGAAATGTTAATAAAAATCCGATTTCATCATTTAAAGCATCGATTAAATCCTGCACATTTTCTGATAATCTCGAGATTTCTGCAGACTCTATCTGATCCGTCTCCTGTTCGAAAAAGATCCCTTCGCCTCTCGATAAGTCTAACACCTCTGTAAATGACTCGAATGACGTCTCGCTAATGAGATCTTCAAAAAACGGCTGCGTGAGATCATAAAACTTCGTCTCATCGAACTCTACATCTCTTGCCTCTTCGACACGCTGCCTCTTCGGATTTCATATATGCCAAATGTTTGAAGCACAAATCCTAAAAAAATACCTCTATAGGCGCGAGAAGCCATTTTATTGCTTTTCTTCTGATCCTGCCTCATGTAAATAATACAACCAACTGTTCGAAATCCTGAAAGATCAGACTTTTGTCTTATAATCTTTTCATAAAGAGTTGTCCACTGTAAAGCGACAATTGAAATGCGATTAGCAATATTTGCTGCTACTGAAATAACCCAAAGCCAAAAATCACGAGATAATCTTGCTTCAATCATCAGTTTCCTTGCTTTCATAATCAATATTGACTTAGCGCGTTCTGCCGGACCATTTTATTCTGGTGTGTTGACTATCGAATATTCGTGTACGATCCCTTCAAACGCTTCAAATTACTTGATCGTATTCCCAAGAGTTTGCTCACGATCGCTCTTGAAGAACTTAACAATATGACCGAATAGATTCTTAATTTGACGCATAAAATTGATGACCGCATTAACACAATCGTTTTTCCTTCGATGAGCGATAAAAAAGTGAAATCAAATCATCTCATCATAAAAATAAAAAATCCACTGATTTCTATTCAATGCAGGAGTCATTTAAATGAAATCAAAATGCACACGTTAAAAAAAACTTTCTACCTTCATCATAAAACATCTCGAGATCTGCCGTGAGACATTAAAGAACTTGCAAATTTCACATTTCTCGTCATTATATTGCTTTGCTTTAAAATTGTCAATTTGAACGCCTGTAGCAGCCTCAGATAGATGACATAGTGCATCCCAATGAAGATAAGCCATCCGGCAATGCCATAAATCGCTATTGCCTTTCAAAACGTGAAATCTCGCTGATCTCTGGGTTTCTTGATCGTTAATCATTAGAAAACCATACTAAATACTGCTTGACTTCTCAATAATCCACAAACCAAATGAGTATTCCTCCACATAAAAAACGACTCTTTCTTCCTTCAAAATCGTGTTACAATTCATGTTGAAATCGTATCCTGCTTGCTTAAGCTTTCGAGCACTAAAGATATTCGTATGCAGACCTGGAATGTAAACAACATTAGTAAGAATGATCTCTTTATCGCCTTTCTCGCCTCCGCAATTTAATCGTATTTTCACATTTCCAATGCCTAGGATTTGGATGATTAAATCCCCTGCATGAAGTTGTCCATTTCTTGAATAATCGATATTTTCAAAACGCGAGATCTCATTACAGACATATGTAAAGGATCCGATATCGATAATAAAGCAATTTTTGAGCGAAAAATCATTCGAAGCACTAAACGCGAGCGACATGACATGATGATCTTGATACTTTTCTTCTACTTCCTTCCAGTTCTTCTCAATGATCGATTTGACCCGTTGAGATCGTAGACCTGATCTTGAAGCGAAATCCTTGATGTTCTTTATAATCTTTTCATCGAACTTCCAATCTCTCGGTCGAATGTTAAAATAAAAATACAAACAGTCTCTATATCAATGACTTTCTCCACACAGACAAGATGGAAATTCCTTCTTCCTATGATCCTGCGATTCCTGCGTATTTGATGTTGAATCGCTCTAATCGTTGAGAATGGCATACAGATAACCTGAAGCTGTTAAATCGTCCCTATCGCTATTAGCAAGATAGAATCGAAAGTCGCTTAGCAAATCAATGAATGACGTCTTCCTGATTCTCGCATAATTTTGACTCGCGTATATAACATCCACAGCTTCAATCGACCTTAAGAAATCTCGCTATATATAATGATCCTGACTTTCAGACATATCGAGTCGTTTGATCACCAGATAAGCATATTCGAATTCCTGAATCCATGTGTTAATTTTGCCTCGCCGTGGGGATTTTTTGATGATTGCCTTATATTGCTTTAAAACCTTATCTTCTAATTCCTCCGTTGTTGACTCATATTGCTGCTTTAACGCCTTCAGTATTTTGAAACATTTCTTTCTTTCGACAAACGATTGAACATGTATAGCAATTGACAATCTAATTGCTTCTTCAACCTTCGCGATGTTGTTTCTCGAATCCTTATAGTCCTGAAGATCTAATTGAAACCTCCGATAATTTGATTCAGTGAGATCTTGAGATCTCGTAGACTTCATGGATGCCGAGAAATAATCATCTCCCTTCGGATTGAAATGATTCCATATATCTAACCGTTCAGCATATTCTTCAATGTTGAGGATCCAACTGCGTCAATCATCTCGTCCCTTCAGGATGACTTTAACCTTCGTGGCGCTTTCAGTATCAAATGATGAAGTCATATCGTCAAATTCAGATATATCATCTTGCTCCCTGATGTCCCACCGGGGTTGCCGTACTGTGTTGCTCAAGGCGGATTCTGTATAGCTTCAAAAATGACCAAAGCGGTAATCCCTAGAGCGATTCCGGGCTCATAACTATGACAGTTTGGAGGGCTTGGCAGGGATGACTAAAGCACTGAATTACGTGATCTCCACGGATTCGATTAAAGGTCTTGATTTTCTAACTATGCGATATAGCTCGTATTTATGCAATCCCTGGAGCTTCAAAATGATGATCAATCAACTCAACAGGAAGAAGCAATTATGTTGAATAATTGACTGGTCGATTATTTCGGCTGAGCAAGGCGATGAAATGCCGGCTTAGTCAACTCCCGCGGCCACATTTCTCTCCTATCCCTTTACTTCCTCCAATATCCGTGCCATCATGGTCATTGCTTTGTGTAAAAAAAAAAAAAAAAAAAAAAAAAAAAAAAAAAAAAAAAAACATACTTGTAGTAGTATTAAAAAGTGAATCGTATAACCGTAGTAGAGAGTGGAATCATTTCGAACCGCCCTGTTAAGCATATTATATATCTTTATGTCATGAGGCTAGCGAGTCATAATCTCTTTAACCGCTAGAATTTATAGCTAACTCTCCAATATTCTTTTAAGAAAAGGTTTAAAATTGCACTAAGAGTGAGCTCCTATTGAGAACTAATAACGGAATTGGATTGCCTATAAATGTTACTAGATTATAGTGACGAATTTAGGTATAGACTATGAAATCAATGCTCTGGGAGTTCGAATTTCTTGAGTTGTGGTAATAGTGTCATTGTTGCGCCTAGAACCTTTGACTTATGTCGAAAAGACCTTGACCGAGTCTTCCTACCCAGAGACTGACCACACTGAGCCGAACGAGAAGAAACTAGGTGTAAGGGGAGTAGTGGGTGGTCTACCCTCCCAACTGAGCCAAAAGACTAACATGGAATCCCGTAGGGATTCCACCACCCAACCCGCCATATATAATGCCATACAAACTTGGAGCGAGCTCACCCGCTGGAAGCTCAACAGCGTCCGGTGACACTAGGGAGAAAGGGAGACAAGAACTTCTTCACATTGGCCATACTGCCAAAGCAAGATCGAGCAGTGCTACACAGAGATAGACCACCTCATGGCGAGATGATCATGTCGGAGGAAAAAGTCGGAGTCTTCGTAGACACATACGGGAGAAAGGCGATTGGGAGCTTGGTTCACGGTGATTTTAGACTTGAGAATCACCTTAAGGAGCCTGTCGTAAGCTTCAGAAACGAGTCGCTGGTGGTGTCTGATACCGCACGATTGATGCTGTCGGACGACCGCGTCAGAGACTCGGGTGAGGTTATGAATCCAGCGATAAAGATCCTCGACCATTAGCGAATCGTGCTTGCCAGCCGCCTCCACCATGCCGTTCAACATCTGCGCAAAGTATTTCACTAGGAAGACGGACACTCGACACTCGAAGTCATGAGCGGTGGTGTTGGGTTTTCTTGCTTGTTCATACTGCTTGTCGAGTCTGCGGCGAACGGCGCGGGTCTGGAACTGAAGCCCGTCCTTAACGACCCACCGGAGATCTCTTCCAACGAGCCAGTGATACCTTTCGGGATGCCGCTGACTCTCCACCACGAGATACCGGACTCTGAATATGTTCTTATCGGCGGTGCAGTCAAGTACAATGAACTTGGCACCGAAGGTGATATCGAAATAATCCAATATTTTTTGACTTTTGCCCTTTTTGACGTAGAGGTTGTTACACCCGCTGACGGTGTGTAGCTGCGGAACACTGGGAAGCGACTGCCTGTGTGATCTAGACATGCTTGATGAATTCGCCCGTAGAACGTGATATTAGGAGGAATCCGGTGGAAGGTGGGTCTGATGGGACAGTAGAGGGCGCTGAAATCAATAGTTTGGGTGACGGAGAGTGGACAAGAAGCGTCTTCATAGAGGTTATATAGCATTTCTCGCGCATGCTTTAGGGGGAAGTCCCGAATGGTAGAGGACCTGCACGACCGGATCCAAAATGACACACTCTATTTCTCACGGATGGATCCATGTGGGGAACAGAGATGTGTTCAATGGTGTATATCCACGGGATTCAAACACACAATATTGATTTGAATGGACTCATCACCCGCTCGAAGGTACGGTCGCCCGCAACATATGGATTGGTGTTGGAAAAGAAGGTAGTCCAGCACTGAAGTTCACAGGGCGTGATAAAAACCAAACAGTTGATTTACTGGCTTACCGTGTGAGTTCGCCATGGTTATCGTGTTACCATCGAATCCAATTCCATCATGATCAATTTTCCGCCCGAACAGCAGCAATGGAGGCTATTTCTAGGCTAAAGTCACCCTCCTGGGTACCGAAGAAACTGACAATATCTTAGCAAAGAACATAGTCCCTGTACCTGGAGACGCCTTACCTCCGCATCATGATGCTGATTCGCTTAATAGAACTCCGGTCCAAGGAAGGGGCGTCCTCTTTGTCTTTCCCCCGGTACGTGGGGCGAAAATCTTTCCATTGCATGACGAACGGCCCTTTGTCAGGCGCACAGAAATCACATTCCCAGTTGATAGTGCTTTGCTCTCGGCCATCGGGCCGCTTGGGCAGTACGGTGTCTTTCAGCGTGATGGTGTACTTTATGCCGTCGGACTGCTTGACGTCCAGTTCCAACCCGTCGTTGCCGGTTAGATCCCAGCTTTTGTCGCCTGTAGTACGTTGCGAAGCAAACCCAGCCCCACCTAGCGCATGAATATCGAGATGGCCATGGAAGCGAGCTGCATTGGAGGAAGGGTCACAGTCGAGATAGGAGTGGGAGGCGCCTCCGCGGACGCGATCGTCAGACGCGATCCAGTCCTGCGGGGACCAGGGTCTGCAGATGAGTGAGCTTTGTCATGGGGTATCATTGAGGGCATAATGGCTTACTCATCACCGCCGAAAAGAAACGTCTTTGTGGAGGAAGTCATTGTTGTTATTTTTGGTTGAGGCTTGACAGAGAATTGATAGAAGAGGGGGCGGTGGACGTTTGACCTTCCGTTTATGTCATTCTATCCATTCTGAGTTTAGCGTGAGGACCTGCGTCCCAATCTGGCAATTTGGCCGCAACCAGGACAAACCGAACAAATCAAACAAACTAAGCAAACCAAGATCTACTTCGTACAACTGCATCGTCTTATTTGACTGTATCAACAATTCAAAACGACCCATTCGAACCCAAACTCTGTCAAAACTCTCTGGATGCATCACATGAGGTATCAGACTACTGGGAAATTAACTACAACTTGCCCTGTCCTGCGTTGGACGGCACACTGCTCTGGGCGGAGGTATAGGCTGCCGCCGAGGCGATATTCTTCCCCTGGAAATTGGTCAAGAACCCCGTGTCAGCCTTGCTAAAGCTCCCGGAACTGCCGAACCCGTTCGTCTGGCACACATGACCCAAGTACGTGGAGCAAACCTGGTTGGTATTGCTGTCCGGCGAGGTGAAGAGCTGGCCGCTGTTCGATTGCAGCACTGTTGGAATGTTCTGGAAGACGTTGCCCTCGGCCAGAACTTTGCCTCCGGATCCAATCTCGAAGGCATGGCCGGAGAAGTCGTGCCAGTAGTTGTTCACCTGCAAGATGGTTAGAGGAAGACCGGGCCCACGGGGATCTAGGATTATGCTTACCGCGTGCAAAAGGGTGTTGGATTCGACCTTGGGACTGCGGCCACTCATGTGGTAAATGTAGTTACCCTTCAAGGTGACCATGTCGTTGGAGCCAGTCAGATAAATGCCCCAGTAGTGATACCCGTCGCAGGTGGCCGAATAGTCCGATTGTCCGTTAAAGTATGAGTTCGAGACTGTCACCCGGTTGGATGCACTGGTCCCAAGAACCAGATGCTGACGACCGATGCGTGCAGTCTAACGACCGGCCATGATGAGTTCCCTGGACTTGCAAGATGACAGGCGAGAGGCCTTACCGTAACGTGATCGATCCAAACCATGTCGCAATTGTTGAGTGTGATGGCATCACCACCCCAGACGTATTTCGGGTTCAGATCAGTGATAGCAACGTTTCTATGATGAGATGAGGCTCGTTCAGAACCTGCTAGGTGGGAAAGTCACTATAGAGCTTACTGGATGATGATATTACTTGCGCCGCTGACGATACGCAGCCCTTTACCCTTGATGACACCGCTCGATCCCGAGCCGATCAGACTCTTGTTAGACTTGACGGTGATACCAAGTACACCGGCATTATCACTTCGAAAGATTAATTTGGTGAGATCTAGAGTCAGGCTCCGGGGAAGCCTTGGCCAAGGTTTTAAGCCGACTTACTATGACACCGAAGCGGTTGGAGCATTTGGTTGGTAGTTGGTACACCAATTGTCTTTGTTGATTGCCAGCTGACAAGAAGAGCCAGTTCCCCATGGAGCACATCCAGTGCCCGAAGTGGTGCCTTCGGTTCCCCTGAAATCGAACCTGTACTGAAGTGAGCATGGATGGATTGCGTAAGCCGGGGCCTCGAGTCCTACGTCTTAGTCAACACAATGACCCGGGGTGAGCTATCCCCTAGGTAGGAAACGAGCTCAGCGTTGGTGGTAGGATACACGGCTGTTACGCTGCCTCCGCCAGTGGCACCTTTGGCGAAGCCCTCGGCAGCTCCGGACACGCTCTGGGCATTGACGCCAGAGAATGCCGCCAACGCAGCAAAGAAAAGGTTGAGCTTGGTCATCGCAGTAGACTAGTTGCCTCGCTCTGGAGAATGGAAAAAATTTGACTGTTCCTCTCCAGTATTTTGGGGGGTTGATTTTGGCCGATTTATAGTACCGTCTTCGACTCCTGGATCCATTTCGTGTTTTTCTCAGCCAGAGGGGTAATCTTCACCGGTCGACGGGGTTTTATTAGGGGAGATTACAGATTTGACTGGCATTTGACACATTGGAAACATCATTGGTGGACTGGCGTCCCACAGAGAAAGCCATTGAAACCTGGGGAGCGTTAGCCTGAAGAACTTCAGGGCTGCCAGTACCGAGGACTGGAGGACAAACGTCCCGGTAGTTCCGTGCTCAAGAGCTAGAGAATTAACCCCGGAGAAACTCTACGAGGAAAGCAGACCACGAGGATGAGTTGATTCGGCTGGTTCGGACCGGCATGTGGATGCCGTGCCTGATATGCCGGCTTTGGAGATTTGATTACGCCCTAAATACTAGGGCGGATCAAAGCGTCAAATCATGGCGAGATTTTCAGCTTACGAAGCGGCCTATTCAGTCCGTGACTTAAATGAAGGGGCTTGTTGTGGTGGTATACCCATTTACAAAAACTTCCACCAACCCTGAATCTTCCCACTAGCAGCACTAAAGGCCGGCTCATATTGTTCGAAAGAGGACTTGGCCTCTGGAGGATGGGGTACGGGGTTTCCTCGTCTGCGCTACTCACCATGCCACTTGGATCTTTTGGAACTGTCTCATAACCGACCTACACATCACCCGAAGAAGATTGGAAGGCAATTTAAACGGATGGTGCACATCAATCATCTCGGGAAAAGAACTCGCAAATACATGATTGCATGGACAAATCACAGCGGCTACCAAACCATAATGCATCACTAGGCGGAATGCTTAGTATTCTCTCGAATTTCGATATGAGCCGTGCTTTCCTTTCTCTCAAATTCATCATCTTTCTGCTGATAGCCAGCGGCGGCGACTTCGTTGGCCTTCTCCTTGCCCTCGAACACTGTTTCTGATTAGTCGATGTTCTTTCCGGATAGTTTAGCCAGATAAACTTGGACTTACTGAATGACAGTTCCTCCAAGGTACGCCCCGAAGTCTCCGGAAAGAAGAAGTATATGAAGACAAGCTCAAAACCCAGCCAGCAACAGTACACGATTAGCCATTTCCAGGCAATGCGAGACAGACCGACCGGATTGACATAAGTCGCGAAGAATCCAGCACCACGACCGTAGAACTGGAACCAGGAGAGACCCTGCGAGCGACCAGAGTAAGGGAAGATCTCAACAAGGTATGCTAGACACGCCGGTCAGTTCCTGATAGGTAAGGGAGAGCGAAAGTGGCTTACTGTAAGTCAGGGCATTATAACCCAGATTGTACGCGGGCGAGTATGCGAAGATAAAGAAGATTGTCAAGATTGCTGCGGACTTAGCCTGCGTATTCATGAATCTTTCCATGGAAATTGTCCACGCGATGTATACACAGAGTAAGGCCGAAGCACACGTGAGATACATTGTTCGCCGTTTGAACCGCGGGACTGTCAGCGCCAGCGCCGTACCGCAAACAAGGCCCCAGCAGGCGATCCCGATGTTGATCTTGGACTTGATAACGCTGTCAGTAATATCGACCATGTTCAGCAGGTCACTCAGGTAGTACCTAGTATGACTGTCAGTGAGGAAAGCCTAGGGGCTGGTGGCCACTAGAAGATAAAGACGAAAAAGAGAGAGTGAGAAAGAGAGAGACCCACGAGATCAGAGTGTTTCCAGACCACTGTGTAAATAAACCTAGGAATGCAGAGATAAGCAGACGACGCCGCATACCAGACGTCTTGAACATGTCCCACCAGGTCTGCTTGGCATCCTCCAGTTCCATCTTGATTGTGCGTTCGATCTGGGCAATCTCCGTCCTCACGATCACCGAGTCGCGATCCCCTTCGGCGTGGTATTTGACAAGAATATCAAAGGCTTCCTCTCGTCGATCTTTGCTGATGAGGTAACGAGGGCTTTCAGGGAGAAAACTATTGCCGAGTCAGCACCGCTTCCAGTGCCTCTTTCCAATATTCCAACGGAGTGTGGGAGCATACAGAACTGTGCAGATCTGCACCATAGCTGGTGCAATCTGCAGGAGTGACGGAATCCGCCACGCCCAGTCAGATGGAATAGTGACTGTGCCCAACCCCACGGCGGCAGCGGTGATCTGGCCGATAAAGTAGGACGAGTTAAACAGCGACGTGAGGATGGGTCTCTCCTTGGGATAACCCAGTTCTCCGATCAGCGAGGACCCGGCAACAATGCAGAAGGGGATCCCGAATCCCAACAGAATTCGTGCAACAATGTACATGCCAACTGCTGTCGTTAACAACCGCAACAATGTGAAGGTAGCTGTTTATCTGCCGGATTTCGCGCCATCGCTGGTTGACGAAGGGGCGTCTCCCTGCGTCAAAGTAGGAAACTTACTGCCATTGGAGAAGCCCTGAATCAGGGCACCTACTAGACTGATACCTGAGCCAAACATGATGGTCCATCGTCGTCCCAAGAATTTGTTGACAAACGGGATAAATGGAAGGGAGATGATAGCACCCAGAGAGTATGCCGCCGCCAGAAACCCTTTGATATTCGGCTCGATCTCGTATACTTCCTGTCCATCCTCGAATTCACCAGTAGGGTGGCCGAAGTCTTCCTGCTGTTAGTCCTGCCGGGATAGACATTAGGGAAAAGACGGCATACATTTATTCCACGTGTACACAATCTGCACGGTATTGATAATCTGAGAATCAAATCCGGACGTGATCTCAATCCCCATACAAGCAGGGAACAAAATGAAGTAAAGGTTTCGCAAGTTGGGCTTTTTATACCATGGGGTTCGGTCGGACGCCAGCAGGCTGGCCAGGACGGGCTCGCCGAAGTCCTCCTCGCGCTGCTTCCCCACGACAACCATGATGGGTGGCAATCTAAGATAAGAACCAGTCGTTTGCCTAGAATATAGGATGAAGCAAAAAGTAAAGAGTTGAGACGGGAAGGAGGATGAGAGATCCTACGAAGTTATAAGTTGATAACTCCACCACCCACCCACACCGTTAACCTCCCTGGGTATTACACACCTGATCAAAGATAGGCCCCTACTAGTCGCAGCGTGCCAAGGCACGTCGGATTCGTTTAGAAGCACGCGGATGAAAATGCTTTCCGGGTAAGATCCCCGCTGGTGGAAGGTAAGCCTGGCCTGATGGACGCCCGTCTCCATCCCCTCCCCGACACGCCACCAATGAGGCACATCATTACCATTTTGAGACCGGAGCCAGACCGCCAAAGCCTTCTGGGGAAGATGCAAGCAGACCCTGGATGAGTCCAAGGATTCCCCCGCATTGGCCCTGCAGTGCCTCGGGGCTCGCGGAGTCTCCCCGGCCAGCCAAGCCGCCAGTCCGTTCGGGGGCTAAATGAAATCTGGGGACGCGAAAGCAAATAAAACAGTAGCGTTTGATTGATCGGAATCGATAGAGTCCCCGGACTTCCAGTGAATACGAGTTGAGCGTGTGCACGCGCTTCAAAATGATCGAGAAAGGGCTTCACGGCCCAAGATCGCGGCTTCTACCCGGCTACGACTCCCTGCATCAGCCACTCCAACAAAATGAGCAACTCCTTGATCCCGGCGCCTTCCTCGCTCCAAACCCTTAATCGCTCGACCACCGCTCGAACGCAGTCAGCCCATGACGCGGGAATACTAACATAGTCCATCGATCTGATGCCATTCATTTTGCCTCGAAAAGCAGCGATAAGACACAACGCGTGGTTGAACCGCACACGGCATGCGCCCCATGACCCGGGATGTCGAAAGAAGGGGACTTCAGTTTGAATTCGATACACAGACAGCAGCAGTGCCTCGCTTGCCTTGGGCCCGTAGCTTTGTGCGAGCTCAAGGTCAAGTGGCACATGAATGCAGAGGTACAGATACGCCCGACATAACAGTTCTCGAACCTCCACGTATCGTTCTCTCGCCAACTTGACTAGTTCCGGCTCGTTAAGTGCGGGCATCAAATTCAGCGGCGGGTTGAAGTAAAGAGTATGTGGAAGACACTCGACCCATTGCTGAAGCTGGCTTTCCAGCGTGGAAAGCGCCTCGGCCAGCGGCGTCACGGTCGACATGCTCATATCAGGTGCCAGAACGCGCACTGCATTCCGTGCGCGATTGAGAAGTCTCCTTAAAGAAATTTCAGCTAGATAGTAGTATGAGGAAATCGATTCTGAGTTCATAGCCGAGGGACTGGGGGCCAGTATCTCGCCGGGGCTCCCGTGGGCAAGATCTACCGGAAATGTGGGTAAGGCAAACGGGAAATCGGAAAGGGAAAGGTCGCAGGGTGGTAAATCGGTCAATTCATAACGAACTTCACTGAGGGGCGTGAATCAGTACGCAGCAAATCGACATCAATATCAAAATTACCATTCTGACTTCAGGCAGGTCCAATATAGACGTTGTTCCAAGCCTAAGCTCGTCAGGATTGCATTTCCTCAACTTATTCAGCAGCACTCACTCTGTTCTCGTAAAGACCGTTCCGTCTCGCCTGTCCGATGTCTCAAGTTGTATGTCTGCCACAACATCGATGCCGTGCGAAACATTTTCCACCCCGGGATGGGTTCGATATTGTACTGATACCAGATACTAATATGCGTCAGTTGGCTCACAGAGAGCAGAGAAAGCGCGCGAAGCCCACCCAAACAAACACAAACACTGAACACCCACCAAAGACTCATCCATGTAGGCTGTTGATAACCGTTTGCGCGCCATAGAGACAAAAGCCAGTGACTCCTTCATCCGACACTCTGGGACCGACAGACTGACGTATGTCCCTTGTTGTGCGAAAGACGGTTCATGGCAAGCGATCGTCCGAGTTTCCGCCTCGGGATAGTTCCCCCAGACAGCCGCCAGGGCAAAGACAAGTAGAAGGAGACAGGAAGAGGCAGACCAGTCGATACCATTCTCGAGAACGTTGGCAATGTATGAGTCGAGTTGGCCCGCGTCGACAATTGGGTTCTTGGTCCAGATTTTCGCCATAAAGATTTCCCGCAGCTCAAACATGCGCCCGGTGTCAAACCCTGGTATCCCTAGTTCTACACTGAGCAAGGAATCAGCATGTCGTCTGGGAACTAACTAACCTGGCTGAAATCTGTCCGGCTTCTCGGAGAATGCAGAGGCTGGAAACGTAGTGACGGGCTTTTTCTCCGGGAAGATCGGCCAGGCCAGGATCATATCCGAGCCGGTAATGGGCGTCTTCAGTGCATCATTGCGTGAGATACTTTCCGGATCCTCCTCTTCCGCGGGAGGCAATGTGGAATCACTTCGCGGTTGGGGGATCGGAATATTGTCCCGATTGACGGCCAACGTCTCTGCGAGTAGCCTCTCCTGTCTCTCCACGGCTTCTAGGATGCGCGACCCCCATGTTTCCAGACTAGCAGCAGAACGTTAGTCCAAGTCACGGACGTGGGGGGCGGGGGGGCATTCCTCCTTTTTTTCCAAGAAAGGGGGTTCGAAAAGGAAGGACAAACATGGATAGCGGATCTCTGTCTGGATATTCGCACGGTACGCCCCGCTTGATACATTTGGCACAAACTGGCCGCGCAGAATCGCATCGAGTCTTGCTTAGACGACAGGCGTCGCAGGCCGTAAGCACGCGTGTGTGCTTGCGAGTGTCTGATTGGACCTCTCGCTTGCCACGTCGGACTGCAGAACTGGTTTCCATTATCTGGTTATTGAGGTTTGGATCGAGAGCCGCAGGCAGGGCGATAGTCATGTCCTCTGATCATGTCCTGTGCAATGCAATGTGTGAGAGACCAGCGATGCTGCCTGTTTGGCCTCGTCTCGGCACAAAGAAGGACCAGCCCCTCTCCCCGCTGCCAAGGGAGGATAAATTGGCTATATGGACCAGCTGGCGCCAGTTGCAATTAGCCTATAATGCCTGCTGTCCGGTGGCGCAACGCCGGTGCTTCGTATGAATTGGGTAATTTCCCACCAATCAGCGAGGGCTCTATCGAAATATTCTAACGCCTCTAGAGTCCCGTCCAATATCTAGTAAGCTCGACTGTGAACTGTCCCCGAGCCAAGATCTGCTCGCTAGATGTGCCCACCAACACTTCATAGGTGCCCGCCTCGCTTTCCCACATGCCTTCAATCTCGTCCCAGAAGCTCGTCGCATACGGATCGACCTTGATTTGCACCTTTTTGTGTTCTCCCGGCTGGAGGAATACCTTTTCGAACCCATGTAGCTCCTTGACGGGTCGTGGGGTCGGCGACTCAGAGGCAGCGACGTATAGCTGTAGCACTTGAGCTCCTGCCACTGCGCCCGTGTTCTGAATCTGTACTGTGACCGTTGGAGGATTATCGGGAGAAAATGTATCGGGCTGCACGGTGGCTTCCGGGGAAACAGCGAAGGTCGTATACGAGAGGCCGTGTCTGACAAATTCACAGTCAGCAAGTAAGCAGAAATAGAGAGGAGAGGGAAAGTATCCTACCCGAACGAAAAGAGAACATCCCGTTCTGTCTTTTCGTAGAATCGGTATCCTACGTAGACATCCTCTCCGTACAGCACCCGTCCACCTACACTGGCGTAGTTCAGGTACGCCGGGTTATGCTTCACATCGACAGGCCAAGAGACGGGCAGCTTTGCGCAGGGGTTTACACGACCGAAGATTACGTCTGCGATCCCATGGCCGGTCTCGTTGCCGCCATACCATGCCTGAACGATCCCCTTCGCTTGGTTGACCCAGGGCATAGTGACGGGCATTCCCGATTGATTGACGATCACAGTGCAATCGGCGGCCACGTCCAGGACCCGGCTAATTAACTTATTGATCCCGGGCGGGAGATCCATGTGAGCCCGATCGAAGCCTTCGGATTCCCAATCTTGATTCAACCCGGTGCAGAGGATAGTACAATCCGCGTCCTTGGCCGCCTGTACGGCATTGGCAACCATCTGCTCGGCATCCATACGCAGACAGGCACCTAGGTTAGCGGCGCCACCGCCAAAGTTCACCATGCCGACGGTCTTCATGGTCGTGGTGTTTGCGGAGCCGTACTCGATGCGGATCCGATAGGTCCGGCCGGCGACCAGCGTCAGGGATCCAACTTCTTCGACAGTGCCCTTGCCAAAGAACGCCGTACCACGCGTCTGGCGCGTAGAGTTGTCGATAACAAGTTGGTCTTCGATGTAGAGATTGGCTGTGCCGAAGACGCTCAGCCCAAAGTCCCATGTTCCCGACGCGTCGGGTGTGAAGTCACCAACCAGCGTCGCCCAGAAGAGGGCCCGATTCAGCCCGGGCGTCTTGTAATCCATCAACTGGAAGGCGGTTTTGGCGATCGGTTCCGTTGCGAGGAGCGTCCGTGGCGTGCCGACGGGTTCGTTGTAGAAGTGCAGGACGGCGTTACTTAGAAGGCGGTCGATGACTGGTAGCATCTTGTGCGCGTACGCACCCGTTTCGTAGACAATCGCAGCCCCTGGCAGAGCTTCCTTGACAGCGTTGTAGAGGGAAACGGTGTAATAGGGCTCCAAAGACGCGCTTCCGCCACCGGAGATAGCGGGCGTCTTCACGTGAGACCCAATCAGGGCGATCTTTTTGGTGTCCTTGGGCAAGGGTAGGATGCCATCGTTCTTGAGGAGAACGATGCTGTTGGCGCAGACTGCACGATTTAATGCGCGGTCCTCCGGATGGTCTCGACCCTTTTCCACACGGGAGACCGGGGCTTGACTGGCTTGACGAACGAACTGCAACACTCGACGCGCCCGCACGTCGATGGTTGACTGCTTGATGAGACGCGCCTGCACGGCCGACTCGATGTACTTGCCCCGATATCGCGATACGCCGGGCATTTCGAGATCCAATCCGGCCACCATCGAGTCGATCGTCGTGTAGGTCCCGTACCAATCGCTCATAATCAGCGGGTCCCACTTCCACTCCTCGCGAACGAGGTCCAGCATCTGCTTGTCCTCCACGACATGTTTGCCGTTGATCTTGTTGTAGGAGGTCATCAGCGCTCCGGGCGCGGCGTCGCGAGCCACGATCTGAAACGGTCGCAGATAGATTTCCCTTAGAGCTCGCGGGGTGACCAGCACGTCCACAGCGCGTCTCTCGTGCTCCTGGTCATTACCCACGAAGTGCTTCACGGCTGAGATGACCCCCGTGGCTTCGCAACCGAGGATCATGGCGGCAGCCAGCTTTCCCGAAAGATGGGGGTCCTCCGCGAAGGATTCAAACCCCCGGCCACCTAACGGGGCCCGCTGCATGTTGATCGTCGGACCTAACCAGCAGTGGGCGCCTTTGGCGAGAGATTCCTCGCCGACCAAGCTTCCTGCCCGGTGTAGCAACTCCCGGTCCCAGGTTGCGCCGAGCGCAGATCCGCATGGCAGACAGGCAGCTGGCACGCCGGCAAAGAACTTGGTGCCGCGGATGCCGTTGGGGCCATCGGTGGTGCGAACGGACGGCACATCGAATTCGGGGATGGGGTGGGTGTGCCAGAAGTCGATTCCTAGCTGCTTTCAGAGGACGAACATGCGGCATGTCAGGAGCGAAGGCTTACCGGATAAAAGGGCAATCTTATCCTGCTCGTCGATGTTGTTCAGGACATGGTCTACGTCGAATTGTGGTGGCATACTGCGGGTATAAATTGTTTAGAAGGCACTCAGACGATAAGGTTAGAGAAAACAAAGAAGAAACCCATGGCCAAACAGGTCGGTTAGTCCGGACAGGCGACCGATAAGTAGTTGATTAGAGGTTTAATTTCGCGGAGACTCCCCGTGGGACCCCGCATTCCTTCTGTGCGGAGACAATCGATGATAACCAGCCTATTTGACAAGAAGTAACCGGTATTCCTATTTTCGGTCAACGCATAGGGTTATGTGTGTGCCGTTGCTTCGTCCGCCATGTCGAACACGTCGTGGGTCACTGTACTGGTTTGGTTGATCGGTGGCAGCATGGCACGTCTAGCTAGGGGGCAGGACTTTAGAGATCGCGAGATAGACGCGACTAATACGGAAATTCATGCAGCGGACCCGAAGTCTTCGACCGGAATGTGTCCAACAATTGCTTCAGAAGTGCCATAGTAGACGAAGTTCCTGAAAAAGCCCCTCGTGGGCTCGTCATTGTTCAGCGGCCGCAAGTCAAGTCCCATTCCCGTCACGTCCGACTTATCTTGCTCCACCACGCTACTGAAGATCAGCGGCAAGCTCGGGAGAACGTGGTTCGCAGACACGCCTGTGCCAGGAATTATTCAGGTTGGCGGCTCTTCGTCAAATTAGACCGTGAGTACTACGTTGCTCGCAAGTCGGTGGTGGAATTCCTACCTTGAAATCACGCTGATCGCCATCCTCATACACGCACCCCTCTCTGCGACAAAGGACACGTCCCTCACAGCCGACCCGTTTCCTCCTGACCGACCGGGCAGGAAGCTCCTGCGAGGCCTCACCGTTGTCGAGTCCGCGGAGCATCGCCTATCCCACAAACACTTTAGGGCTTGCCAGCAGCACAACTACCCCGAATGCGAGTAACGACCACGTGGGAAAGAGGCAGGAATTAGAGGGATAGTGGTTGACGATGCCAGGGAAGCAAGGGCTTAGCCGGTCATGGGACCCAAGTGATGACGAGGGCGGTGAGGAGCCGACGAACGGGCTGTGTCTATAAGGGGGAACAACCGGGATATGAAGGGAATCCGTCTGAGAATCCTTCTCTGGGAGTGGGTAGTTGCACGTTTTCCCCGGAGCAACAAGGATGACGAGGGTGACGCTATGGCCAAAGCTGGGAACAGTGGGAATAGTATCATGAACCATGGCAGTCACTACAGACGACTAGTACGAGAAGGGCCATGTGTGGGTGTAGGAAAAGCAGAATCGATTAATCACAACCTTCCTCAATAGGCTCTACTCCATCATCGCGATGACAGCTGTCACTGAGCTAAATCTGGATGACAGCAGGGCCAGTATGAATTTGGCAGCACCCACTTGAAACTCTCTTCGTCGATGAAGACATATTTCCTGGCACCGTGATTGGCAGACCAGCGTCTGCATGGTTCCGTTGCTTCATCGAGTATAAGCTTTGCGAGTCTAATATGCTGACGAAAAGAAGGCTCGCGTCGATCTTCGAATGGCAGCTCAGCTCCTGTCCCTTGTGACATCAGGGCCTAACTCCTTCCAGATCGCCGGTACAGCTGGGATCGAACCAGCTTCGTCTATAAAATCAAGCTGGAATCGCTTCACAGCGGTATACCATGGAGAAAGACCCCTCAACCCCTCTTTTCATTCTAATCCCAATGATCCTTCATCATGAAGTGCAACCAGATCATCTCGAGTTACCTCCACTCCACAATGCCATCCCCCCTACCGGTCGGGACTTCCTCCAAGATGCAAATGACCGTCAACTCGCTCCTATGGAAACAGACGCAGGCTATCCAAGCCCGTCCAAACACTCCGACCGATCCGCAAAAGCCAAGCCCTTGCATCATGGACCTGGTCAAGTGTCCGGAAGAGTTCCTCAAGCACAACTCCATCGAGTCCGGCATGATCTTCGACGGCGCCAAAACGAACGGTCGTCTACCGCGTTACGCCAAATTGATCGACATATCGACTGACCATGACGATGGGAAACATTACAACGTTATGTTTCACGAGAAGTCGAGCAGATATGCCATTCCTGCCGCCTTCCTCTGCGCGAACGCGGACGACCAGAACCCCCGTTCACCCGCATATATCGACATCCCCATCTCGGACCCGACCGAGAAATTCATCTTCACGCCGGAGCTGAACGGCTCGTCGATCATCGTCACCAAGAAGGATGACCTGACGTATCGCGTATTTCACGATAGTCGCATCTGCAGCTCGGTGCTGTACGACAACGTCGTGCTGGCCATCGACTACTGCGAATACGGCGACGAGTATGATAAGGACGCTCGACACCGGAAGGACCTCGCCACGGCGTGTCTGCACTACGAGAGCCCAAAGACAGACGGTGAGCGAGGCCACTGGGCTGTCTACTGCCAGTACCTTCAGGAGGCAGGCAGCTGCCAGCGCTCGTTGAGGTTCAACGGCTGCGAATCGCCTGTGCAGAAAATGAAGTCCTACCAGGCGCCGCAGGTCGCGCGGATACGGGACGAATTTAACCGCTTCGTCAGGGCCGAAGGCGAGGCTGCCCTGAATCAACCGCTCCCGTTTATCCAGGACGGGACATTCGAGGTCATCACGGACACGGATGCCATGTTGACCAACCCAGCCGTGGCTTCGACGGAACGGCTACGACTGTATCTGAAGCCGTACGGGGACATGCTCAAGAGCTCTATTAAGGACGCCAAGGCCAACAAAAGCCTCGCCGGCAACGTTGACGTGAAGATATGTATGTTACATCCCTTCCAAATAAACCATCAATCAACATCACTAACCTGTCGGCTATCTAGTGCTCGAAGACAAAGTCCAACGACTTGAAAAAGACCTGCGACATTACGACTACCTCATCCGCATCAGTGAAAGACTTGACTACACCTATCTCTGGCTGAGACAGAAACGAATCGTCAATCCCCTGGAAGCTCCCCGCGTCTCTCTTCCAATGTTAACAATTTGAGCGACATGATACCATGCCATACCCCTTATCCCTTTACGCATGTTTGGTTCTGCCTGTTAGCGATCATAGGAGACTGCACTCTTTTCTTCCCTCTGAATCGTGCTCCTCTTCACATGTACCTAATTATGGCTCGAGGCAAAATCTGAACCGTCGCAGCCAAAGTTAAATGCCTAATCAAGGATTACCACTCTAGACACAAGTGCTTGGTAATCACACAGGTGAGGTAGCCGGCCGTGATGTCATATCAGATAGAACAGAAACAGACCAGGGCGAAATTGATCATGTGAATCGGATTTGCTGTAACGTGGTGGTGCAGGAAGATTTGGCTTTCCATGGATGAGGGTGCTTCAAGTGTGGATGGTGGCGGACGGCCATACTCGGATTTGACGTAGTCCGTAGTCCGTGGAGAAAGGGGTAGAAGGCGTTTTGTCCGCGGACATCAAGACCGAAACTGTCAACAACCAAGTGACATAACATACTCACTAGAATAGAAAGGCGATGAAGTCAGGGCCCGAGACGGGTAGATGTCGTATTAGCGTACTAGATAGGTGTAGGGTTTAATCCCGGATTTGCGATGGTGGGGGTAATGGATTAGAGGGACTTCAAATACCATAACGCGGGCGAGTGATGGGATGATTGCAGATAACTGGACTGAAAGCACAAGCAATCGATGAGCGCAGGGTGTTCAGATACAGTGACGGCATCTACAGCAGAGGAAGATATTAGTCACATATTAGCTTCAGTGTGCAGGGTAATAACGTAGTCCTATTATTTGCATATATTTTCTGATTAGATGCATTAACTAATATACATGGCTAACTATACAGCGTCTCTATATCGTATATTCTTCATGGTCGACGGGGTTTTTCCTTCTTCTCCTTCTGGGGCACGTCCGACACAGCAAGGGGAACCCGCAGGAACATCTCCATCAGTAATGCGGCTGCAACGCTCACGTTGAGACTGTCGACCCGGGCTGGATCGGACTCGACTCCCAATCCCATACTAAATCGGGACCCGGGAATGCTCACGATAGAATCAGCATGAGATTTTATGTGGCTGCTCAACCCTGCGCCCTCGCTGCCCATCATTATCACGCTGGGTGCTTGTGCGAAGCCCAGTCCGTTATTTGAAGGCGTTTCTCCACCGGCCGACGAGTCTACAAACGTCGACCCAGGGCCGGGGGCGTCTGCAGCGTAAAATCGCCAACCGTTCTCCTTCGATCGTCGAATGAAGTCAACCTCGTTGCTGACTTCCAGAAGGGTCATATTTTCTGCAGCACCTGCAGAAGCCTTGATCGTGACAGGAGACAGTGGTGCCGAATTCGTACCCGCGAAGATGATGGCATCAACTCCGAGGTAGTAGGCCGAGCGGATGATGGCACCAAGATTACCCGGGTCGACAATACCATTTAGGAGTAAAACAATTGGAAATCGTCGTCGCTCTTGCGAATGGTGGATTTCTATCCGATCGTTTATGCCGTTCACCATCGCTTCTTCCCGGGACTGACTTCCCAATTCCACGGAGAAGTGGCTTTCTTCATTAGATTCAACCTTCTTCAAGCTTTTCACAGGCAATTGGGGCAGATGGGATGCTTCAATAATGCAGCCATTGTGAGGGCGACCAGCGCTCATCTTATCAAGAAGTCGGTCCCAATCCCCGAAAGCCAGTTTCACCTTGATACCCTTGGCGAGGGCGATTTTGCGTAAGGCATTCTTGGTGAAGTTCAATTCCTCGCCAGGGCTTAGATATAGGTACAGCGTGTACAACTTGCGCCGGCTGCAGCGCAAGGCAGCCTCAACCGCACCGGTCCCATAAATGAACTCTGATGCGGGGGTAGTATAAGGAATGGAGTCCGGAACTTTTACATGTTCCTTAACACGTTCTGGTGCTGTTTCTGTGGATCGATAAGGCTTTATCTTCTCGTTTTTCTTTGATCGTGGACTTCGTTGTGGCTCGCTATCCGCATCGCAGTTTTTGCGATTGTCAGAAAGCTTCTGAGGGCGTTGGTGTTCGAGAGGTAATGCCCGGAAGTTGCCAGTTCTAATGAACTCGTTCTCGTCGAAATTGTTCATAGACCACTTCTTTTCTTCTTCTCGGCGATATTCAGTCCTCGAAGGCCTAGAGTCTTTCGATTGATTATGTTAGCGGCCATCGTCGCGGTGCGAATCTCGATAATTTGCTGACGTTTATTCTTACAGAAAGAGCCTCTGGCATTTGGTCGGTAGCCATTCTCGCGAGGTGAGCTTTTCACAGTTCTTCGATGGCCATTTTCTCCAGGCGAGTCTTTTGTAAATGTTGGGCGTCCAACCTCACGAAAAGAGCTTCTGGAAGATTGCCGGTAGTTATCATCACGGCCAGAACCTTTCCCCGACCGTCTTTGGTGATCTTCACGAGGCAATTCCTTGACACTTGCGCGGATGCCACGTCCGATGGCCGAGTTCAAGGACGCATGTCTTACAGAGGACAGCAAGTGGACAGTCGCAGATGCTGGCAATCGCGGGTATAACCGACGGGGAGTGTCTAAAGCAGAGGTAAACATTGAACCGAAGGAACAGATTGCGATTACTCGAGTACTCCGTAAGACCAGCTGCGACGAGCGTAAAGAAAAGATGATGAATTTTCCGCCGTCGAGCCCGATAAGATAACACTCCTCGGGATAACGTTGTTCCGACGTAGATTGGCGCGCGACGGCGCGTTTTGATCGGCGGCATCCTGCGGTCCTGACCAGGGATGAGCTCGACACCGCAGCCCACACCACAGGGATCGAAGCGGGTACGCTTTGAATCATCAACGGGAAGTTCATGATGGAGGGATCCTACCCGAAAGTTTCTGGGGACATGCCGGAAGGTTCCTGACATCGCTACTCTCCCGAGTCTATCCTCGACTATACACATTTCCTAATGAATATATATATTCACCTACTGCATATCCTCCCGTTGTAGACTCATACACCCCGGATCCGGTTAATAGAGGCTTATCTTACCCTAACGCACTTGGAAATGGACGTATCTGGTGTTAATTCGGCTGACGCTGATTCGGCAGAGCTGGATGAATTGGAATAGTTTCCCGATGAGCAATATGTCCCCGAGCGGAAAATCATCTATGCAATCGTCTATACCGGCCCCGAGCCATTCAGGCGCTTGTACGACGAGTATGCGGAGGCGCTCAGGCGTCTCAAGCGTGGATGTCCTGGATATCAAGCAAGAATAACTGATGATCAGTCGCACAATTTCTTCCTTTTGTGTTTCCCCCTGGATGTCACGAGTTATGAATATCCTGATACACAGGCAATAGCACTTGTGGAGTTTATTTTGGACCCGGAAAAGCGCAAAGAAGGCCAATTCTCTGATGAATTCCTTGGGGTGCATCCGGTATTTGATGAAGATCGACTTCCTACCACTTTAGCTAGTCCGCTATCCTGGTCTGACGCTCGTTGTGATGAGCAATTCACAGAGTCGTCGTGGGAGTACATTGTTGAAGACAGGAAAAGTTTTATGTGTCGTCGAAGTCGCCGGCTTCGTTACCGCGATATGGTTACTTACCATATGGATGAGAACGGGTTTACCTCCGCGACTCTTTATGATCCCAGAACCGGTGTCACTATCACGAACGAAGACCCTCGTGCTGAATTCGACTATGACCTCGATGCTGCCGTTATCGCGACCTCAAGCCAGTCTGGCCCTGGAGCATAAAGGCCTATGGCACAAGCGACCGAGGAAGCAGATACGGAGGAAAGCAGGATGGAGAAGTCTGAGTATGAGGCAACAAAGACCGAGGCAATAAATGAAGCTCCAAAGGCGGGGACAGAAGGGACCGAAGGCGAAAGGGCAGAGGCATAGAAGGAGTTAACATTTTGAGCCGCGACCTTTGAACTATTCGTTTGCTCAAGTCTTTGTTTTTCCTAGTTTGGCACCCAACCCGAGATTGTTGTTTGTTTCAGTGCACGTAATGGAAAGAATCACATGGGTGAACAAAGCTACAAAGCCACAAAAAAAGGAAAAGGGGAAACATAAAAAGATTGTTAGTCATTGTAAGATAATGAGGCGTCTCGGCGTTGTTGTATTGAAGTTTTATTTAATCCATGAAAGTTGTGAAAGAAGTATAATAGAACGGACTTATGATGTTACAGCCAGTATAATTAGATTCAAGCAAGCATGTACTTGGGTTGGCTTGAGCAACAGCGAGTCATATGTCGAGGACAGTTTCAATGTAAAGGTTGGGTTCTACAAGACTGATCTGATCTGATCAAGCCCCTGTTGATGGCTGATGACACGAAGCACGACTTTCAGCCTTTGTGACGTCTGCAAACCTAATACACCTTTGCTGGAGCGCTTTTCCTATCTCGAGTACTTTGGCGCACATAAGGAAGATGTCTTAGAATAAGGTAACAGAACAAAGATCAAGCACGTTCACGGTTCACTTGGTCTGGTGCATCATTGAACACGCTCTTTGTTCCTTTAAAACGCCTTATTGAAGGAGAATCGGAATCTTTCAGTTCAGTTAAAGTTACTATGATTTCATTGTACGTTATAATCCCTTTGTTATTGTGCAGGGAGAGTCCCTTTAAATTCCCAGTAATCGCGACTTTCCATTAGAGTAGGGAGTTTGTAACGGATAAATCCGCCAGGGAACCGGACATGCAGGGAATTTCCGAAACTGAAATCATTACTAGAGTGACTATATATACAGCATCAGTTCGAGGAGACTTCCATCGAAAGGATCTTATAACCACTTGCATTCTTCTCATACTGACCTTGCTATCATTGCATCCATTTGAAATAATTTAACCTCCCTTTAAGACTTTACAAACGGTTCCTTCTTTTACATCAATACTCTACGATGTGGTATGTTAGTGAGCACAAGATGTTTTACGTCGTTGTCAACATCGGTCCCTGGGTCAACGCCGAGGTCATGGCCCGCTATGAGCTGGCTTACAAGCGCCTTAAAGAAAAGCAAAGGTTCACTGTCTACCGCAACATCCCCGATAATAAGGATGATCCCTTCGTTCTGGTGTTCCAAGTCCTCGTTCCACCTGAGTATGGCGTGGATGGCTACCGTGAGGGAGCTCGAAGGGTAACCAAGGAACTTTTGTTTAATCTTCTATGGCCAAACCACACCGACCCGCTAAAGATGGGTCTTGAGCCTTTTACGCATCCAACGTTCTGTCGCCGCACACGGCTGCCCCGTGAGACAGGGTACCTTGGTCTTCGTCAGACTGAGGCCGAGTCATTGAAGAAGCAGGGACGCGAAGAGGATATGTTCATTATTCAGAGAGAGCGCGTGCCCATGGGTCCGTATACACGTACAAACTCATACGTGGCGAAGGGTTACCTGCCTCAGACCCTGCCCCAGAATTATCCACTGCAGAACCGTCTACCCGAGAAATATCGGCCTCAAAACTATCAACCTCAGAACAATGCACGACAGGACTTTCAACGTCCGAGCTATACACCGCAGAACATCATACCCCGGAGCTATCGACCTCAGCCCTACCAACCTCAGCCCTACCAACCTCAGAACTATCAACCTCAGAACTATCAACCTCAGAACTATCAACCGAAGAACTTTACACCGCAGTACTTTCCACAGCAGAACCTCGCACAGCAGAACTGCCCAGCGCAGAACAACATTCTCCAGAACTTTCCACCCCCGAGCTATCCACCGCAGATAAATCCACCTCAGAAACGGAAGCTTACACCCCAGACACCTTGTCAGGAACCTTCTGGCAAGTTTCCAGGATCTGCCGGTAGGTGTGACGGTCTAAAAAGGAGCTTAATAGAAGACAAGTTTGTTTCTGACTCGTAGTCAAGCAATTATCAACTGGGATCCTCCATCAGGATGTTGAAGCCTTCCTCGAGACTAATGGGAATATCCCCTTGCAGCAGAACATAATTGATAAAAGCTCCTATATCCAAGATATAGTAAGACTATCGTATTAGATAGAAAGCATCTTACACTATCTTATAACTTAAATGCAGCCCGTTCAATGAAATAATTATGTTGGCATTTTAGTAGTGTGTCTAAAAAGAATAATGATATATTTGTTAATCAAGGCGACTTCGAGATCGACTATATAGACAGGTATAGATTGTTAATAGCCTTCTAGTCTCTTACATATATTTTCGCTTTCACTGTACTAGACATTCGGATTATTATCTATTTCACGCTTGCTTTAGCTCTCGACACTCTTCACTCCAGCTTCATCTCACACTGTAGCTTTTTTTTCTGCCTTCATTCTACTTTACTTAGATTGACTGGGACTTTTGACTCTCCATGTCATCCTTCTATTTGTCATAATAGAGTTTGCATTATTATCTTGATTGCCGTTTGGTGGTTATCATTCACTCGAATCAGACGGCTTGACACTATAGTTTCATTTGACCTCAACTCATTCGTCAAAAAGTTTGCCTTTAGATGAGGTTTCTCTCTCCAGCCTCACCAGTCCGCTCAGTATTCATTCACTTCTCTAAGTCTGGGCCTTCATCCTTCTCGCTTTTTTCATTCTTCGTCTTCCTTGTTATCTCCGTTTTTTTCTTCCTCACTTTCTCACTCATCTTCTTCCACGGCTCCCTCACAGAGATTGTTTTCTCTTTTTTCGTCCGCAAACAATTCCAGTCCATCCAATGCTAGCCTTTTTCTCATTATCTCGATATCCATTTTCTCGTATCTGCAATTGGATGGCATCTACTCAGGCTACAACCGATCCCGTGATGACCTTCAGTCTGGAGCACGGTCCTCTCTTTGAACAGCTCTTTTCTTATCACAATTTGCTTATGCGCCCCCGCCCCCGCGACTTCGCCGTTTGGCGCGGAAAAACCAAGCTCAGACATTTCATTTGCATTTGGTTATAAAGACACAAAAGCTCAAGCAACTTATCCGATTCTATCACAATCTCATGCAGACCTCCATGTCTGTACGACTACAACATGGGGTGCAGACCCCTACCAGAAACAAGCTAGCGCGATCCGACGGGTAGCAGCGGAAAAGACAGAGGGAACATATTTTCACGATTATCATGCAAGATCTCTCCTACAATAGATAATGAAATACTGTCTAATCCAGTCTATTCTTTAAACATCTATGTTATCTATCTCGAGATAACTAGGTACAAGAAAGTAAACAAAGGTATATTCAGGGTTCAAAGTTCAATCAGATTCAACCGATCATAACAACATAAATCAATCAATCGCGTTGAGTCAGATCAATCAAGGGAAAAATAGGAAACAAACATGCTAAACGGCATTGGAAACAAACTAAAGGTCTTATTCGCATCAACTCAACTCGGACTGTCAATCATTTCTTCAATCCGAGCAGATTGATGCTCTTGGGTCGCTCGATGGGAAGGCCCAGGGCGCGGTCCCAGATGAGTTGCACCAGAGGTCCCAAGGCGCGACTGACACCGAAGGTGACGGTGTAGTAGAGCGGCTGCTGGAAGCCGTAGTGGTAGAAGAGCACACCTGATGCGGCGTCGACGTTAGGGTGAGGGTTCTTGGTCTGAGTTTTCGTTAGTTTAGGTTTACTTGATGGGAAGAAGAGCAGCATAAACATACCTTGCCGTGCTCGGTCAAAACCCCGGGGGCGATTTCCGAGTTCTTCTTCACCAATTGGAAGACCGGGTTGGCCAGAACGTCCGGACGAGTGGCGGCAAAGTCCATCAGCGCCTGGAACCGTGGGTCCGGCTTCCGAAGGACGCCATGGCCGTACCCCGGAACCACACGACCGGATTTCAAGGTGTCCCAGAGGTAAGTGCGCACATCTTCGTCCGTGAACTTGGTGCCGATCTTATCCTGCATGGCGAGAATCCATCGGAGCACTTCTTGAGCGGCGAGACCGTGCAGAGGACCTGCGAGACCTAGCAGCCCGGCGCTGTAGCTAAGATAGGGATCGCTGAGGGCGCTGCCAACCAGGTGGGTAGCGTGGGCAGAGACGTTGCCACCCTCGTGGTCTCCGTGCAAAGCCAAGTACAGACGCAGCAGATCGTGGAAGTCCTGGTTCTGCGCGCCGCCCTTGCCCAGGAGCTCGGCGAAATTGTGTGACCAATCCTGGGCGGCGTCCAGGGCCTGAGTGCCGACGGTGTCGATCTCGCCCGGACGGAAGACGAGCGCTGCGACACGGGGGATCTTAGCGAGCAGAGAGATGCTGTCGTCGAAGGTGGGTTCCCAGTATTCGGCCTTGTTCAGACCCTTCTCGTAGGCCTGGGCAAACTGGGACTCGGTGTTGAGGGCAGCGACCGCAATGGATAGCTGGGTCATGGGGTGCATCGAGCGGGGGAATGACTTGATCAGGTCAAGGATGTGCTGGGGCAGATGGGACTTCTCGGCCAATTCACGCGAGAAGGCACGGACTTGGCCAGTGGAGGGGACTTGGCCGGTCAGGAGCAGCCAGAACATGGCCTCGGGCAGCATCTCGGTGCCGGTGGTGCCCTTGGGGAGCTCCTTCTGGCAGTCCTTGATGGTCTTGCCGTGGAATCGGATGCCCTCGTCGGGGTCGAGCACGGAGCCCTCCCAGAGCATGGACTTGAGACCACGCATGCCACCGATGACATTGCCAACCTTGACCTCTCCGATAATCTCGTCGCTCTGCTGTTTCACTTGCTGTAGGAGTTCGCGTTTGGCGGGGATGACCGATTTCAGAGCGGTTTTCAAGTCGGGTTCCGCCGTTGCATAGGATCTGCGAGAGGTGTAGACAGCCAATTGGCGGGAAGACTGAGAACGAGCTCAATTAGTCTCTGCATTAGGGTGAGGCACCGAAGCGATCGGAGTGTTTAACGAACCTGGGCCAGCTTAGACGCATGGCGAGTGGCTCGCATTGACGTAGCCATCATGTGAGATTGTAATGGATAGAGGGGGAGAGATGCGGGTAGGATAAGCAGGGAGAGGGAGTGTTGAGGATAATCAAGTGGAAGGTGAGGATTGAAGAACGAGGAGCAAGAAAATAAACGAAGGAGAGAAGGGGATTATCCGACAGGACAGGCACTCCTTTCCCTTGAGCCGGTTGGCCTCGGACAGTCACGCCTGGCCGAGGTTGGGCGGTTGCACGCGGCGATCAGCTGTTATGTAAGGTGGTTCGGTAGAGGAGTGCCTGCGGTGTGATTCGGGAGAACAGGATGCGAGGGATACGGAGTAAGATCTTAAGGATTTGACTACGCTGACCTGGTAGGATTATCATATAGCAAATATTTCTTCATTTTGAGATATTGTCCTGAGATTTGAGCCTTTCTTTCCGCGGTGTGCCTGCGGTCGGCGTCACATGGGTCGGCACATCCCCAAGTCACCGGCAAGAATGTTACGAGGTTTGAGTCGGGAGATATTGGAATAATTGTACGAGTGGATTGGCTCTATCAGATTTCCTACCCATTGATCATCTCATCATGTCAATTGACGCCCCTTATCTGTCCGGTTGACCGAGTGTGAAATGTGAGTAAAGTACAAGAGTGTCATACTCCTGTAGACGGATAGCGATGGAGCCGATGGCGGATCCCGTGCGGGGTAATCCTAATGTGGTCTAGTCCCGCCCCCGGGAACTGTCTGCCTTCCGATGTCGAAAACATGCTTGAAATGTGGGCGGAAAAGATCCATCAAGGCGGCTTGCTTCCCGATACATATTTCGAGATCCGTCCTTTAGATGCTCTCGTCCGTCGGATACATGGTATCCTTGCATTAACGCGACGTGAATGGAATCTCCAGTAAGCCTCTTTTTTCTTATCTGCGGTGGCTTGTCTGATTTGGAATAGCATGAGCGACGAGGAGGCCTAGTTGGTCGTCTGTCTGGGTAGTACCTCTCCCGATCGGGAATTGGCTCTGGAAGGGTTGATATAGTCTTTGTTGTGTCTTCTTTACAGTAGTTTGCCTTATAGCCTCTTTCCAAGATCTTCATCGCTTTAACTCAAGTATACTGGACTGATGACAGCAAAATGAATGGCTTTTTATATACTACATCAAAGATACACGCCAAGAAACAAAGATCAAGCTGTCGCTGGTTCTCCCGCTATTATTTACAAGATTGAATAAAACCGGCACCATCCACTTATTTGAGCCACCCCGACGGACCGGCCCAGGTTCCCTTCACCATGTGGTTCATGTACACCCAGGGGAAGAAGTCCTTCTTCAGGTAGTAGAACGACCGACGGGGAACGGACTGGTCAAGACCGAGCTTGGCGAACGTCTCCTTGGGCTGGCCGCCGTACTTGAACTCGGCCAGGAGCACCTTGCCATACTCGGTGGTGAGCGGGCAGGACGCGTAGCCGTCGTACGTCGCATCTAGCTCCTTGCCCTCGATCGACTGCAGCAGGTTGCGCACCAGGACAGGGGCCTCTGAGGTGATGGCGGCGGCAGTCTTAGAGGTGGGGAGGCTGGATGCGTCGCCGGCGGACCAGACGTTGGCGTACTTGACATGGCGCGTCGTACCGGCGTCGACGTCGACATACCCGGCCTCGTTGGCGATGGCGCTGTTCTTGACGAACCCGTGGGGGCCCATCTTGGGCACTACGTGCAGCAGGTCGAACGGCTTCTTCACGGATTCCTGACCGTCTGGGCGAGCGAATGTGGCGGTGTTACCGTTGATCTCCACGAGGTCGTGCTGGAACAGGCCCTCGACTCCGCGCTCCTGGCGCAGACCCTCGAGCGCGGCGCTGTACTTGGGCACGGCGAACATAGACGGAAGACCGGTGGCGAAGCTGATCTGGATGGGGGAGCTCGAGACGTTGCTGGGGGTGTAAAGGCCGGCGCGCTTCCAATGGTCCAGCGCCAACCAGAGGATCTTCTGCGGCGCACCCGCGCACTTGATCACGCCAGCGGGCTGGGTGAAGATAGCGGCGCCTTTGCGCAGTTTCTCAATGGAGGGGAACACCTTGTCGACGGTGTCGTAGCCGTAGATAGACGAGACGAGAGAGTCGGGGTTGGCAAGAGCCTCGGGCAGACCCTTGACGCTGTCATAGTTGATATTGATGCCGGGCGCAACGACCAGCTGCTCGTAGTTGACCTGGTCGCCATTGGCGAGAGTGACCTGGTTATTCTCGGGGGAGAAGCTGCCGACGCCGTTGTTGTAGAACTTGAGCTTGGGGTCGATCAAGCCGTGCATAGGACTGCGCAGGTCCTCCTTGTTCTTGAGACCACCACCGACGAGAGTCCAGCCGGGTTGGTAGTGGTGCCATTGGGCCGGGTCGACCACAGCAATGTCGTTCTGGGCAAACTTGCCGGATCGGAGCAGTTGGTGACTGATTGCCAGACCGGCACTACCACCGCCGACCACGACGACTCTGTGATTCCGGGCCGCGCTCACGGGCGAGGCGGTGGCAAAGCCTCTCCGGGCAGTGTAGGCTGCCGATGTAACACGGCTGCGAAACATTTTTATTTTTTCGATAGGACAGAGATAAGAACTCTCTAATCTCTCAAGGACAAAGAACGGAGGGGGATGCAGGAAAAAAAGAAGAGAATCGGTCAATTCAGGAATTACTTATGGCCGATCCCGGACAGCCTGTTTAGGACTAGCGTCGGGGATCTTGGCGTTCGCACGTCATCGCCGGCCTCCCACATGGGCCCATTCCTTGGCACTCGCCCGAGAGAGCGTCTCCTAATCCGGCATCTATACACGCTTAAGTCTATCATAATCCAAGGTAAAGAGATTCTATGCCAGTAATCTGCTAGTTTGTCCAGTATGTCAAATTGAAACATCTTGGTCATTTTTACCACTCACGGTAGACTTCTCGATATACCATCGCGAGACTCTATCTAGGGCGCCTCCATTATATCCGGCGCGGCTAGCCCGGCCTCCCCCATGTGACGGTCTACAAAGGAGCTGATAAAAGGCAAGTTTGTTTATGACTCGTAGTCAAGCAATTTTCCCATGGAGAGGAAAGGAACTATCTAACAGGGGATCCTGGGGCCCTTATATGCTAAAGGGACCCGACTAGATACAGGAACCTTCCATCCATCATCCGGGATCGTCCTCGCAGATGTCGAAGCCTTCCTCCAGACTTACCGGGACCTTCCCTGAGGCTCTTCTAAGCAGGCGGTCAGTCATGTCACTTGCTCAGCCGAGCCGGGGCGTGACAGGATTGACCCTATACCTCACAGACTGAATTGCCATCTTTCAACGGCTCCACAAACAACGCATGTCGAATGTTATTATTCCGTGGATACTCGCCTGTCACGCGATCTACGGAACTTAAGACGACAGATTTCACGAATGGATGACCTCCTAGCTGGGATGCGTCTTATACTGCGCATAGAAAATAGACGTGCCTAACTAGACTGATTCGGGGTCAATTCTGCAGCGTGATGATTTTAGACTATATTAACTTATCTAGACATTTTTAACTTTAAGCTTTCCACCGACGTCATTAGACTATACATTTGATAGGATAGGATAGGAGAACAATAAAGAATAAATATAGAATGCAATCGTAATTTATAATATATAAGAGTAGAGATCTATATCACAACAATTACTTCAACCATCCTATTGCACAAATCATACCAATACAATCTAATACAATTGCTCATATGTATGATATTTATGCAGAAGGAACGCCACCCGTACCAAACAATTCCATTTTTATGCGATCATCGCTGACGCCCTTAGCCGCCAACCCGGCCTTCATGGCGCCCATAAACCCCTTCGGACCGCAGATATAGTACTCGGTCTTCTGGTCGTCCAGGAATAGGTCCTTCTCTGCGTCTAGCGTGCTGAGATCGATCCGGCCGGCGTGATCGAAATCCGCGCCTTGCGTTTCCTCCGCCGCAGGGTGGCTCGTGAAGAACGTGGCGTGCAGGTTGGGGAATTTCTCGGCGAGCGACTGGATGTGTGGGCGGAAAGGACGGGCGGCGGAGGTGCGCGCGCCGTGCACGAAGTGGATTTTCCGCTGCGTGGAGGTGGCGGTTAGGGTGTTCAGGATGGAGGTGAGAGGGGTAAGGCCGACGCCGGCGGCGAGGAGAACGATCGGGCTCGTGGCCTCGGCGTCCTGCAGGAAGAAGTCGCCGAAGGGGTGGGAGAGCTTGACGATGTCGCCCTCCTTGATCTGGTCGTGCAGGATGTTCGACACGTAGCCCGGGTGCGCCGCGGCGCCGGGCTGGGCGGGGTTGAGGCCGGATTCCCGCTTCACGCTGATGCGGTAGTGGTCGGATTCGGGCTTATCGGAGAGCGAGTACTGGCGGGCTTGCGGGTATTTGAGCTCGGGCACGAACACCTGGATGGAAATGTACTGGCCGGGGCGGAACGAGGGCAGAGGCTTGCCGTCGACGGGGGCGAGGTGGAAGGAGGTGATCTCCGACGACTCGGGGATCTTCTTGGCGATGCGAAATTCGCGGAAGTCGGTCCAGCCGTTGGCTTCCTGGTAGAGTTGGGCTTCGCGGCCGATCATCAGGTTGGCGAGTTGCCAGTACGCGGCGGCCCAGGCTTCGTGAATGGCGGGCGTGAGGGCGTCGCCGAGCACCTCGCCCATGGCCTCGAGGAGATACTTGCCGACGATCTCGTACTGCTCGGGCTTGATGTAGAGCGAGGCGTGCTTGTGGCAAATCAGTTCCACAGCAGGCGAGAGCACGCCCAGGTCGTCGATGTAGGAGGCGTAGGCGAACAGAGCGCCGGCGAGGGCGCGCGGCTGGTGGCCATTGACTTGGTTGGGCGTGTTGAAGACGGCGTTCAGCTCGGGATGGGCATCGAGCATGTTCTTGTAGAACACAGTGGTGATGGTCTTGCCATGGATCTGAAGGACCGGGACAGTGGCCTTGATGGTCTGGACCTGTTCGGGAGTCAAAGGCATGGCGACAGGTACGGTTGAATCTTGAGTGGGATTAGTGCAGGGGAAATATTACAGTGCGAACAAGGAACAAAAGATGAAGAAGAAGGAGAAATAGACCGTGTATTTATATTTGCCTCAAATAGGACGGGAATGCATCTCCGCGGAGATGATTTTTTTTTCTGCGAGCAAACGCCGCCACGAATCTGCGGGTATTGCGGGATGGCTTCACCTGGCCATTACTTAATTACACACCAAACTCTGATCTACAGGAGAGTTATAAAGACCAGTTAGAGCCGGGTTGAAAAGTCGAGGACCGAATCGAATTTGAGTACTCAGTTGGTAAGGGTGTGTCGACAACAAAACTGAACAGGTCACTATGCAGATGCAGAGGTATGTACTGCATGTACAACCACACCTACAATTGACGAGAAAGCAGACAATAGAAGTCAAGAGATCAGCCCACCAAACGCTGATCGGAAAAAATAGGAGGATTGACTACTCCGTGCTCCGAGAGAAAGCCGCACCAGGCGTTCTTTGGAGAGAAAAGGAAAAAGTCAGCAAACGAATCATTGACAGTTATGGGCCCATCTTGCCAGTGTGTCTAATGATGTGGTAAGATTATCAATTATCATTTTCCCTTTCGGAGAGTGAGTCAGAAGCCATGTCTAGAATAATTCTTCGGATTATATTGCACTTGCGGACATTGGACGGACGGAATGCAAATTCTTCGCTTGTGGCAATGGCCCGACCGAGGATGACCTCATCCGTGCATAAGTCCCAACATAATCTGCATGCACATCTGCACGGGCACGAACAGTTCACCAGGAATGAGGGATCAACAACCTCCAACGCTACTCGGTGTATGTTGGACTGCCACGTCTCTGATATGCTGGTAGTGTCTGATTGGCTCGACTCTATCGATCTGATATGAATTCCGAGCTCATTGGGTTGCCTCATCCGGGGTACCATGAATGCGAAAGCCAGGATGCTGCACCATGATTGATTGATTGATTGATTGATTCATTCCATTAGACTCCATTTCGGCACCCGTACGGGGCCACGCTGTCCTATAGGATTATTGAACACCAGTTGACCACGATGATCGACCGCGTGGATATATATATATCTCCCACTCGAAGCCGACCAGCGAGAGGCCTCCCAAGAGACCGTTGGGCCTCCGCTGGCTGGCTCCTGTCCACTCTCCCACTAGTCCGCGCAGCCAATTCAACCGTAGCCCCTGTAGTCCAACATCGTGTGGGAACAACGCACCGCCAGCACGCCCGCGAAGACAAGAAAGGCCTATATAGACGAGTGCAAGAATATGAAATCGGGTGGTCAGAGAGAAGACTTGGAATCAGCTGCTCTCCTGCGGCTCGCCCTTGACCACTACCCCGGACCGCCGCGATCCGGGGTCCTTCCGCCGTCCCCTGCGCCGGGGTCCTCCAGTCCTTCGTAGTGTGCCTCCACGTCTCCCTCGTAGTCCTCCGCCCCTCCGACCTCCGGCACCTCCTCTACCTGGCCGTCGTCCGTGACCCGCAGCCGAGCCATCTCCTCGCGCATCGCTCTATATAGTGGTTCTTATTCAGTTCGTCACACACGGCGTTTCATGCCAAGGTAGCAAAAAAAGAAAAAGAAAAATAACGACAAGGACAAGATTCGATTGCGACCCCGGAGGGATAAGATACTCTTAGGATTCACTGTTCACAGTGGGGGGATTAGAACAAAACAATCGAAGTCTTAGGGGGTTAACACTCACAGTTTTATGTCTTAGACACTCGACCACCTTGCCTTCGATGCTTGACTAAAATCATTGAGCCAGATTCTAATACCGGAACGTGATTTCGAAGCTACTAATTGACCCAGAAATGGGGCCTATGTAGATAAATTGAGGACTCGCGTCTCAACAAGTTATATACACTGCGTCAGATTAGCTTCTCGCCAGAAGTATTCTCCTCCGCGTCGAGCTGTATAGCCCGTTTATTGAGCATATTCTCTGTAGCAAAAGATCTTAAATCATGTAGAATGTATCGGACACGAGAAGCCCACATAAGAACCTGCAACTGCACTACAGAACGCTACAGCTACGCACAAGTAAGAAACTACGTAAAAAGTTCCATTGAGGGACCCTCGGCAGCTAGGAACTGCCAGCTGAATTATTTTTTATTTGAGCAATAGAAAGAATATGAAAGAAGGCAACCCGACCAACTCCCACAGAAAGAAAAATTGCTCGCCGTGCCCTATACAAAAGAAACCAGAATCAACGATTAATTCCCCATATATCAACGTCCACTAGAAAACCCTGAGGTCCCTCACCAACGGCCGTCATCGCGTCTTCTATCCCAGCTACCGATCAGTCTCAGCCATCTAAAAAAAAAGCAAGAATACTCACTAGGTCAAGATAAAGAAGACACAACAAAGACTATATCAACCCTTTCAGAGCCAATTCCCGATTGAGACTGGTACTGCCACAATGGCATTTCCATCTGTCTGCATGAGACATTTTGCAGTTGTCAGTGGTTTGAACCACTGAAACCGTCCGATGCTGACTGGACCGGCGCCACAGTCAAATTAAAATTATCAAATAACTCCTGACCCAGACCCAACAGACCACCTGTTCCTCCCGGGCAGTGTAAACTGAAGTAGATAAATCAGAGATGATGAGTGATGACCTATGATATGTCCGATATTCTGTATCTACCTCAACCGTTTTAACGGCTAAGTCCTGTCCAGTGGCTTAGAAAACTCCAATCAGAGCATGCGAATCTCGGTGAAATTTCAAATCAACTAATTCCAAGAGATATAAACATATAACGCATCAGATCAGCAAGCACGTCACTGGAGTTTCTAGCACTCAAGAGTATATCTGCAACATTATTTACGCATTCTACAAAAGCACAAACAAACATATCCTGTTCTCCACTACTACTCTAACCTTGGAGGATTTCCTCCCCTCATGCCCCGCCAAGTCCTGGTACATAGTTAGTCTCAATCATCACCCATCCAATCTAATGGTCCGGACAAAAGGATATAACGTACCTGCGACGTAAGCCAAATACCATGTCCGAGTAGCTCCTCCGTCAATCCAGCTGTAGTCGAAATTGGGGTCGGCGAAGAACTTCCACGACGCTACCGGGTCAATTATAGCAAGATTCGCGTACAAAACTCCCTTCCACCCCGCCTGCACCTTCTCGGCAGGCGTGCTGGCACTGCTGGCGAACATCGCATCCCACTCCTCCTGAACAAACTTCTGGCGTCGGACAAAGGCTGACGACGGCAGAAGAGGAAGCATGTGGATTCTATAGCATACACCAGTCAGTCGTTCAGCCGTGGACACAAGCCAGGGGGTCAAAATAAGGCCCATCATACCCTTGAATATATTCGAGATTGGCGCCAAAGTAGGTGGTGTGGTCAACCTTGTTTTCGAATAGCTTTGGCAGTGTCAGTTTTCCATCCTTGGTAGAAAAGAGAGGTCTCGTATGACTTACAATCCCTGTCACCTTGTTTGGAACAAAGCTCTCGGGGTGGTTTTTGTTGTCGCTTTCCAGAAGGAAATAGTTGTGGAGCGTTCGCCGAAGGATGCCGAGCATAAGATTTCCTCTCGCCTCCATACTCGCATCCCCAATGGTCTTGCCCCAAACCTTGAGAGAATAGGCGAACATGGCGTCTTCGGATGTCGACTCCTCATCCTTGCCGTCGAAGGACTCGAATAGACCTTTGGCCCAGGAGTGGCCGTGGAACCAGTCAAACCCACGGGAAAACGGGAAATAAGCATCATTTGCAGCAGAGTTTCCGGCGTCTCGGACCAGCACGTTGACCCACTCTTTGTTCGCAGGGAGCCAAGTTGGATCAAGCGTTCCAATGATTGCAGCAGCGTGGATGAAGTATCCGTAGTGAAAGTGGTGATCGTTGTACAACGTGTTGCCAAAATCCGCGCCTGTATCGCCTCCGTCGTAGCTGGCCGAGGACACCACGCCTTTCCAGACGTTGTCATAAACAAGTGGATATTGCTGTTTGTTGTTCACAAACCGAGCAAAGGCATCCTTGAGCGCCTTGAAGGCCGAGTCCGCAAGCTGCGGGTTACCGCCCAGCTTGTTCACCGTATACACAAGAGTAGCAAACTTGCTAAGCGCTTTCCCGCTGAAGTACATACTGTTCAAATCGCTTTCTTTGCCAACATCTTGTTTCAGCTCGGTCGGTGCCGCATCCAAAATCACTTTCTGGGCAGCCGCGGAGAGCTTGTCAACACTGCCCTGGGAGGTGGACCAAGGGGCAAATCCCATGCCAACGGGTAAGTCGGGTTCGGTCATGGTCCAGATCTCTCCGATCACCGCTGTGGCCTGGCCCTTCGTTGTTGTACGAATGGTAATGTTTGTCACTCGTCCTTTGGTGCTACTGTCAAATGATTCTATGTGGTGCGGCAAGGCAAACATCAACAAGGGGGTGCTCTGGACATCCTTGCCAGCCTTGGCCCAGGCCAAGTTATAGGTGCCGGTTTTGTCAGAAACGGCCCCGGATACTGCGCCCTCTAGGGCGTAGACACCGGACGAGTTGTCAAAAAACTTTTCCCCAGATGCACCCGCCGGGTTCTTGGCTACTTGGATTGTACCAGACCATCCAGCCGGCCCGCGCAGGCTGGTGCTCGATTCCAAACGGAAATCAGGGTCTTTTCCGTCCTGCGGAATGACATAAATGAGCCATGTTGCTTGGTCGGCCAAGGTTGCCGTATATTTATAGATGCCGGACTTCGGTGATCCGGCAGACACGACCTTGTCGAAATGAACACCACTTTGGACCACTGGCTGGAGACCCGAGTAGATTCCGGTCACAAATCCCATGCCCTGCACGACGGGAACAGTCATGCTTTGAGCCGATCCACTCTGTGGGCGTAAGACCGCATTGGCCGAGAATGACAATGGGTTCTCCGTTGTCAGTACTGTCGATGCATTCAACTCCGACGCTGATAAAATGATCGACTGGATTCCAATCGGGTTCACGTAGTACGACACTGGGTTGCCGGGAATGTGATTGTTAGTCGGACCCAATGCCATTACGGTACTTTCCACGTGAGAGACGGCCATGCCATAGCTTTGCAAGGTTCCAGTTCCTTTCGACCAGGACACCGCATATGGATGGGTAAAAGTCGCGTTGCTTTGGGTTCCTAAGAATAGCCCACTGTAGAACTTATTGGTTTCGATAGGAACCGTCGAGTTCACCTAATGTCGTTAGGGTCAGGCCAGAAAATGATAACTCAATAAGGGAAACGTACGATTCCCTTCCTGGGGACAGGATGGTCATTTCTAGACTTGATCGTGTTGGGCACAGGACCAGTGGCCACTGGAATGAAAACATCCTGATTGTCAGCCATGGGGGTAGCGGGACCTGACATCAACATCTGTTAGACTCATCACAATATGTGCGTGCTTAAAGGATTTACCTTGTATAGATGGAGACGAGTTCGGTTTGGATGACGGAGACGAGGGTGCTGCCGGAGTTGATGCGTCCGAGGTCGAAGGCTGTTCAGATTGATTTGTAGAACTTGAAGTGGCAATTGAGCTTGAACTTGTTGGAGCCGGGCTTTGAACAGATGGCTGACCACTCGAACTGGGTTCTGGTTTTGCAGCTGGGATGGTAGGCTTACTCGTAGGAGCTTGCTCCGGGCTGCTGTCCGGTTTGGGGTTTGGCGTAGGCCGTATCGGAGTCGCTGATGTTGGAATCGTCGCCGGAGTTGTAAGCGGCTGAGTATCTTGAGAAGTCGGCAAAGCGGCCGATGTCGTTGCAGGGACGTTGACAGGCCCTTCGGGTTCTGCCGTGCTTGCGCCCGTTCCTGGGAGAAGCCAGCCAAGCAACGAGTCTGGGTGTTCTAAGACGTCGAGAAGGTTATCCAATCCAAGGTCTCCCTTCAGAGGACCCTTCGTAGGCTTTTGCAGTAAATGGCCTTCACGTTCGAGGCTTGTAGGATAGAACTAAACAGCGTTAAACCCCACCGAGGCAGTATAGGGTGCTCAGGGTTCTTACACCTTGTGTTTGAGGAGCAGCTACTCTAGCTTCAGCTGGTGGATACTGAGTTTTGAATGCAGGCACTAGCTTTGCAGCTGTGGGAGCCGGCTTCACTTGTTCTGCAGCAAGTAGCCATATTAGCACCAGATAAGATCGCCATATGGGCTTGATCTCCATGTTGAAATGTCGGATGGAAAGCGAGATCCAATCGACAATTGTAAGAATAGCACAGATACAAGTAGATAAACCGGAATTGACGGTGGCAAGGAATGGACAGAAGCTCGATAAGCCTCCCAAAAGGAAAATAAAACTCAAGAACGATGGTAAAGAAAGGAACAATCACAATCCTAAGGCTTGTGCAGGGTAAAATCAAGAGTTGTTCACACCATGCATGCAGCCCGGTTTCGCACACGAGCAAGCCGAAGGAAGGACGCACAAGGTAGAGAGGAGAAGTAAAGAGATATCGCGGAAACGGAGTTTGTTGTCGCGCTTTTTATTAAAAAAGAACCCGACTCACCTATATCGAATATAGAAAGATTCCAGTCGCGACTGGCAAGAATTTAATTCTGCGCGGTTCCACTACTGCGCGTCAGAATACCAGATGACACCGATTCCTGCAGCGGGCTGGCCAGGTGATAACACGGGGGAAAATGTCGATCTATCCGGTGGTCAGTATCCGAGTCAGGCCCTGCAACATAACAAACAGCCGCGTGATGGGTACCCAAAAGGGTAAAACAATGCAGGGTCGATGGTGGTTCGGAATGCTCCTAAACTCAGACCACCCGCGGCGGTGACTACCCACTGTACCCAGACAGACGACCAACTAGGCCTCCTCGTCACTCACGCTATTCCGAATCCAAGCCGCCTTCATGGATCTTTTCCGCCCACATTTCAAGCATGTTTTCGACATCGCGAACAAACCATTTGAAGTCGGAAGGCAGACAGTTCCCGGTGTCACGACCCGGCATGTGACATAACAGACCGCCTGCCTAGAAGAGTCTCAGGGAAGGTTCCGGTTGATTAATCAATCAATCAATCAATTAAAATTCTCTATATAAACCCACAAACGCAGTATAAACATCAAAAAGCAACACAACTAAACCGGCTGGGTGCAGAAGCGAATATATTCTTCCTCTTCATCCTCGAGACGAGCGGCCGCGCAGCGTTACAGCCGTCCTTTATAGCTGAACCGGCGGCGGCCCCCTATCCCTACCTACCTCCGGACCTCCCTACCTCCCACAATCGCCCCTACACGGCTGGGGCCCCCGTTTACCAACGAAAATCGACTCTCCTTTCTACCCTCGCGAAGAACGCGCTAAAATGCGCCCTCCGAGACGCCACACAACATATCGACCCACTATACCGATCTGTGGACCCGCCGATTGGCGTGGTGAGCAGCTGCCCCGCGGAGCAGCGGTCAGGACGCGTCGGCAGAGTGCCAAGCGGGCAGCCGAACCGCGCCCCAGGCCTCAGGCACCTCTGCACGGCCACAGCCGAGCACCGCGAGACGCCACGTGGCCGAAAGACCTCGCAGCCGTATAGGGTCCCCTCTGCAATCTCTGTACGGGGCTCGACGCCTCGGAAAACACCACTCAGGCAGCCCCTGCCCTCAGGGGACCTCGATCTCTACCTGCCGACGCACGCAGATTGGGAACGGCTGCTCTACAATGAGAGGGTCTGGCTGCCGTTGCTGGAAGGAGATGTGCGGATTGTTTAACCACAGTATGAAATCCTTGTCTACGATGTTCTGACAGATTGATATCCAGTTGGTGGGACGAAGGCTAAAGCAGAGAAGGATCTTGTTAAGACGATTTTGGATATCAACAAGGAACAACTGTAGTCAAAGGCGCGCATTTTATATATTGGATGGTGCGACAAATCATCAACGTTAATTGGCAAAAGGACGTTGTCTCTGCTTGTCGCCTTTGCCGATCCAAGGAATGCGAATGCGGTGCTGAAAAATCCCCTGTATTTGCACTTCTATTTTTTCAATGTAGAACTATACAACTCGGCATATCGCCTCGTGTAGTGTCTGCGATGTTATCAATTTAAGCACGTTTAATATTTCTATCTCGTTCTTATCTGCTATCTATATTGCGCCGGAACACATTTTTCTACTGACTGTGACACTAAATATATATAAAAACGCTACCAGTGCACGAATTGCTAGGACCCGCATATTGTTACGAATGACAAATGTTCCGAGCGGCAGAAATATCAAAAAGAACTAGATCAAATGCGGTCGAAGAAGCCGAGATTCTTTCTCGTGTCCGAACGGCTCCAAACGCAGGAAGCGGGTAGATCCCGCAGGAGAGCCGACCACCAGGATCCAGTAGAGGCAGTCCCTCCACCTTCAGCGATACCCGCGCCAGGTCTCGAGCCAGAGGAGGCAGAGGATCAATGAGGCCTGTTTCTAGGGTCTGGGGGGGACGTCCGGCGGATTTCCACTTGCCATCCGGTACTTTTCGACTTCGCGGGGTCGGAGCGTTCTGAAACTTGGCCTGCCGGTTCCCTAGCCATTGGACCTTTTACAGGTCATGTCTGGAGCCGATCGCCCTTGATTTGGATGAGGTAGAACGGTTCGCAGTGGATGGGTCTCAGATGGGATTTTTGATGGGGTTCGGTCCCGAGCGGGTAAGCGACCGATAATATATTATTGTTCCTTATACCCCTTGTCCCTTCCCCTGAAATGTGACCTGTTCTTGTACCACGTAGGCCGTCCCGCACCCGACCTGCACTTCCCTTTCCCCCCTCCTGATTCGTCCTCTGTGCGTCGTCCCGTCTCCCAGGGTGCATGCCCCCATCACTCCCTCGCCCGCCCAAACTAAAAGAGACGGGTCATATCTTGAAACTTGAAATCCCCCTACACGCATGTGTTTAACGCGTAGAGACGCGATGAGGCAAATCCATCAACAACGGTTACCTTCTTTTTTCCTGTACGCTCTTCTTTCTTTCTCTATTCTTACTTATCAACTGGCCAGTCTCCCTACGAACCAATCTATCCACCGATCTACCTTTCATGGATCTCTTCACCTACTGTGATGTCTATCGGCTGTGGATCTGCATCTTTTGTAGATTTGCCGTGTTGTCAGTTCATGTTTCGGTCTATTTGGCTTCCCGTCATTTCAAACATTCTTTTGTTGTCATCAGGGCCCTCCGCCAGGATATCGATGTTCAGATATTTAAGCGACCATTCTGGGATCCTGTTTCCGGCGAGCCCTGTTCTATTTTATTTTCCGACAGCGCGCCGATTCCAGGACTCTCTATCCACCAAAACTACCGCTGCCCCCATTGTCTCTACGTGGTCCGGTCACGAAAGACACTCTTTAAGCATCAGAATAAAACGCATGATTCTCAACGACAGCTCCCGGAAAGAAAGCGTTATACAATTCGAGACCTCTTTACTTTCTCTCTGCCGGTCAGCTGTCAACGCTTCTTTTCTTTTCAAGCAGGCAGCAGCTTCTTTACTATTATTTTACCCGCAAGGCCCCGCCAGATTCCTTTACTCCGCGAGGCGAAATTCATCTACATCCAAATGATATCTGACATTCAGGTCCGTCAAACAACAACACAAAATATATGTAACACTATTCTTATCCGTCAGAGCACCACCAAGATTTGTCTCTGGTTAGATCTGACCCAATAGACACGTTATGTCCAGAGGCAGAACTTCCCTGCAGTCGTTCAGCTGAGTGTTTTTCCAGATCCTACTACTGAACCGCTATTAGATTACCTTGCAAATAATATACCCCATTTGGTCCGCCAGGCCTGTCAGTGCATCCGAAAAAAGAAGATCAATGAATTTGATCTAATGCGGATTAATAGCATCTTTGCCCGCACCCGCGTCTGGGATCGTCCGTTACTAGTGGACCTTCAGGACACCACCTACCAGCGTTATATCCGGATCTGGCAGCGGCTGATCTGCTTCGTGTATCGATTCACCGCACCCGGCCAGTCTACTCGCCTGACCCATTGCCTAACCCGGCTCCAGTCCGCATGACTCGATCGCATGATAAACCGCGTCCAGGTCCTGGTCCCTAGGCTTAAATCCATCGGACCTCCAATGGATTTACTCGCCCGCTGATTGGTCCCCGGTGTGTGCTCCCGTGGTCCTCGGTGCGTGGCTCTAAGGGGGGAGGAACGGATCCCCGTCTCTTTCTTCAAGCCCCTTTTTCTCTTCCTTTTCTATAACGATAATATGATATAGAGAACTATAACTAACTGTATCGGGATTATTGTATCATGTCGCGCGTCATGGCGCGACCGCGTCGTAGCGCAATTATATAGTAACTTCTTTTTTTTTTTTCTCCCTTTTCTCTCTTCCTTTTCCTTCTTTCTTCTTTTCTCTCATTTTAAAAGAAATAACCAGATTGACCTAATTCTATAAATCGCTTCTTCATTAATTATAGATCTTTTTTTTTATAATCCAATCTATCAAGTCTGGATCTGTACTGCATCTCGCTGCCAGTTTGCAGTAACACCTACGAATCTAGTTTACCATCTTCAAAGTCGACATTTCCACTATTCTAGTATAACAACATCAGCCCAACGCCAGACAATCTTAACTACTATATTTTAGCAGATCTGGATTGATCCGGATAAGAAGATTCTTCGATATTCATCGCTCAACAGTCTTCCGATTCCTGGTTTATCAATATTTCGTGGCTATAACTGCCCGCACTATAATTATGTATGCTGTTCAATCAAGAAAATGTGCGAGCATTAACGGAAAAACCATCAAGATCAAAATGATTCCTCAAAACATGGTAGACAATCAATTAGTCAAATCCAGGCCCGACTACAGAAGCGCTTAATCGACCGAATAGTCCATTGTCAGCATGTTTTTTTATTAGATCGGCCAGTCGATTCTTCAAGATAATCCACGCAGATATCTCAATAGAATAGAAAACAACGGAAACGACCTTTCTCAAGACCCCTGCCGCCATCATCCAGGCCCGAATCGAGCAGATCCTGCAGGAAGGCCAGGCCGCAACAGAACATGCGGATGGCCAAATCTCCGCTGTTGACCCACATTCGACTGCAGTATTGCTCTGGCTGGAGCTCACACATTGATCTGAATACCTGCGCGGGCAGAATTTGACGATTATGATCCTATTAGGCAAGCCGCCTGATTTTACAGTCAAGCCCTTATTCGAACAATTCATCAGCAATGTTCAGCGACTGATCGATCACACCTTTCACGCGATTAAGAAGAGCCGGATCAACAAATTCGATTAGATCTAGATTAACACCTTCTTTCGCCGGTTGGAGATCTGGAATCGGCCAATCCAGATCTATTTCCAGTCGGCCATTTATCATCAATATTGTCAGATCTGGCAGCGTCTAATCTGCTTCGTTTATCGCAGTAATCGAAGCGACCAGTTAATCTCGCTGCATCATCAATTGATCACTATCCAGTTCGCCGCGTTCGATCAGATAAAGATTTATGGCCAACGGCTGATGGATCTACTAATCCAGACACAAGACCTAGATCCGCCGCAGTGTGCGAGTTA